ATCGGTCATTTAGTGGGTTTTAGGGATAAAGTAGCGGAACATCATATTCGTATGACGTTCGAATAGTGCTTCCTATACAAAACTGTACAAAACGATAAACTTAAAAATAGAATTTCTCGACAGCGGGTTAAAGGAAATTAAAAAAATGTCAACGCCAAAATATATTTTAACTTAAACTTCATATCTAATTTTTGATATTTCAATTTTAATATAGGTTGACATTCGAAAATCGAAATGTCGCTTCGTCCTCAAACATAACGGTGACAAAAACTAAAGCCTAAAACACACTTAAAGAGCAAAACTGTCTCCTATTTTTGTTTTTCACCATAAAGCAATTTATACGCACACCAGTTAGGTAAGATGAAAACATAATATCAAAACAAATTCATAATAATATTGATTGTTTAATTATAAGTTACAACTAAAGAAAAATTTAGACACTTTCAGACTACATCTTGTCTTGAATGTACATCAAAAATATTTTTGTTCTGGTTTTGTGTTATGCTATGTAATATGTTCTATTGTTTTGCAAAACTATTTTAGGTTGATTAAATGGCATATTTGCACTACACATTAGACTAAGTACAAATAATTTTACTGCCCAATTATGTATTTTAAAATATTTTTTTTCACGTTTTTTTTTTAATTTAGTCCCCTCCTCCTATTGAAAAATCCTGGGTACGCCACTGCTAACAATGTTTAATGTAGTTATGCTCTTTAGATGTGTAACAGACCTAAGGGTAACATTTAGAGCTGCGTTTTTGTTAAACTTTTCGAAATAAATTAATAATTAATACTTTCCAAAATAATGATACTGTACTTATTGATTGAGTTTTATTGTCACCCTGTACATGTAGGCTGTTCGTGTGCGGCCCGAGATTCGGAGACTTGTCCATACACATACATAAATATACGAGACATATATATATATATATTATATGTATGTGTGTGTTTAAATAATATTGTAGGCATTCGAGTTCAGCCGGGGAGCGCGGAATAGCTCCGGTTCTCTCCCTTTGAATCCAATGAAATCGCTTAATGGATTACATATATCGATAAAAGCTACGAGTATATAGGTACAAAAAAAAAAAAAAACCATGCGATTTTAAAAACCAACTATGGCAATAAGCCGATTTTTTTTTATTGATTTTTTTTTTCTAAAACCATTTTTTGCACGGTGATTTTTTTTTTTTTATCTAAATAACGACAATAAAATATAATGCTTAAAACGTATACACACAATATACATAATATAATATAATAATTTATTATAATATGATATAGAAATATTGTCAAATATAATAAAATGATATGGAGCTCGCGACTTATAATAAGCTGCGTCATTGTTATACGAATAACAAAAAATAAAAAAACAATACAAAATAAATAAATAAAATAAAAAATGTGATATAAAAATAAAAAAACTTATTGTCGTTAAAAATACATCAGCAATAATTATATTGTTATTAAATTATATATAGTGTTTTAAAAATAAAAACGAACAATTTAATTTTTAATTAACGAAAAAAATAACAACACGGTTTAAAAAAGTTTAAAAAAAAAAAAGCTACATAAGTAATAGCTGCGATGAATCGGACACGTTTTGATTAAAATAACAAACAAATCGCGATACCTACACGCTTATACGTCTACGCTAATCCTTTGATCCAAGAGAAGAATGGCTAAAGTCAATTAAAGTCAGCCTTTTTTTTTTTGTTTTTTTCATAATTTTGGCTTATATACAGTTTGTCTTTTTGCGAAATTAATTCGTTTATATTGAAAGCAAGATTGACTTAAGCCCTTCTACTCAGGGACAAAAGATAAAATTACCTTAAATTCTATATCACAGACATTATTATTATATTAAAATTATTCATTAATTTTTCAAACTATCTACACATAGTAATTCAGTGCTCGAATTTGGGGGAATACGTAGTACCTCTCTTCTTTTTAGACAATTTTTAGCGTACCCCTTCTAATTTTTCATAATTTCATATACATCACGCCTTTCGATTTTTTTTTTTTTTTTATCTCACATTCAATCACCACCTAATATATGAAAACTATATAATGTTTATAAATAATATTGTATGAAAAGTGGAATTACGAGCACAACCGAATCGACTATTCGAAAAATTGAAAACTATTCAAATAGTTTAACTAATTTGGAAAAAACCTAGGTATGCGAATAATTTGTATTCAGTTAAGGGAAAAACTAGTTTAACTATTGAAAATAATCGATAGTATAAACTATTTGGAAATGGCCATCACTAATAAGAACAATATGCGAAACGAGCAATATCGAGGGCCGGGCATCGGTGGTGATTCAAAACGCTGACCAAGACTTCCGGAAAAAAAAAAAACTACAATTAATCATGGTTGTACCTGTACAAATATTGTGTAAAATGACAAATATCAGAAATTCGATAGGACAAACAGACCACTTTTTTTCCCTGCTGTCAATGTACCTACATATTATCCAAAATGAATAAGTGTCTATAATAATGTCCGTATGTAAAAAAAAAAAAAATAGACTTTATTTTGTACAATTATAATATTTAGAACTGTGGATTTAATTCAACTAAAACCCTTCTGAATATGTACGCAATTATGCACTACAAACGGACGAAATATGCCTTCAAATATGTAAAAACATGCATTATATTTTTTTAGAAATATGCAAAAAAAGCTTAGTTATTTTATCGGCTATCGTAAATATCAGACATCACGAGTGCGTAACACAATATCACCTACTCGACTTGTTGCTGCAATGTTCAGTAAAATTAGATAGCTATTAACTATAGACAGTTAAATACCGGCAAAAATAAATTTGTCTACACATAGAAGTATATACAGTGTGTTTCATTCAAATGGTAACACGAAATAATAATGACTGGTGAGTATTTTTTCTAATTAATTGTTTAAAATAAAATAAATTTAATAATAATAAAATAATTTTGTTTCAACTTTAACTTGCTTTATTTCGGCTAATTTTTGAGATAAGGGAAAGTTTATTTGCATAAGTTGCTTTAAAAAAATGGTTTATCCAAATCAAATGTAGGAAATAGGTGTTTCCATTTAAAAAAATGTAAGTTTTTTTGCGCATGCGCACACTGAAAGGGTAAAACATTTAAAAATCCATACAAAATGTGTATTTCATATCTTCTCTTGAAAACCCCATTTCAATCCGAGGTCACCGAACAGAAATATTTCGTGTTACCATTTGAGTGAAACGCACTGTATATACCCGAGTTCAGAATTATATTGTAACATTTTCATAAAAAAACTATAAAAGTCTTATTATATACTAAACAAAAATATTTAACGCCGATTTAAACCAGATCAACCGGAATATTAAGAAAAGAGCATTAAACGGCAATAAAAATGCACGGAATCGTGCGTGTTCATTATACGCCCTAATCCGTTAAATATATAAAAACTACGATTTCGCAATTGCAATTTTGTGAACACAAAGCGAATTTCGACGGTATGCATCGTGTCAGGGTGCAAATGAACAGTCCAAATATGAACGAACGAATGCAAAGCGAATTCAGTGGACAGTATACAAAGTCGTGCAGCCGTTTACACTATTCGTTCGTTCACCAGTCTTCGCTTTTAAGACGGTGCAGAACATGCCGTTTAGTATAGCGATCAAACTGCTGTTGAGTGAAACGTTAATTTATCACGATTTGAAAAAATCCTTCGACTTTACGTTGTGAAAATAAGGAACCGATAAAATTATACGATCTAACGAATAAACAAAAAAAAAAAAAACAACTATGCTAATGCTTAAAAACGCACGTGTGAAGTGTAGAAGAAGCAGAGAACGGTGACCGTCACACGTGCAGTGCGATTGCGGAAACCTTTGAAATGACTTCGCGAAAACCGAAATGTCGCTCGCTGTGCCGTTGACTTTATACTAATAATAATAATAATAATAGGCGCATCACGCAATGCGTTAATAATAATGATAATCTACTTTCGAAAACAGCCAGTCCACGAAACCTTGTTACGCCTCCCGCCCCCCTCCCCCGCCCGTCCGCAATTATTATAAATTCAAGACTCGTTTTGTTCTAGCCCTTTGACGTTAATAAATTGGCGTCCCGCCAATACGACTCCACGGTAATAACGCGTCACGCACTCGGTTGTTCGTCCCGGAATTACAACAATAAGCGTACACCACACGTTGCAGAGCATCAACCGTATAGAGAACCCCGTACGGACGAATACGACGAGCCGCGGTGACATGTGAAACGTTTCGTTTGAAATAAGTCACGGTGCTCTGGTATACATAATTATTATAATATTTAGGATCAGAATAATATTTTTAAAAAAAAAACCTCGCCAACGAATATATAGGTACCTACTATATACACCTGATTGATCGAATGGCGAATTTATTTGCTTCTTAATTTCTTTTTTTGAAAATGCGTCAGTTACAATAAAACTCCAGTCGAAAAAAGTACAATATAACCAATACAGTATAATATTATTGCGTTTGTTCCGAGTCGCCTCCACTCTAAAACCGAATATTAATCAAATATTTTATATTGTACCGTTGTAAAGTTGATAAACACAGAGTTAATCGAAAATATTCTTAATTGTTCTCGTTATTTATCGCAACAAACGATATAGTAATGAGGGGAGCATCAAAGACCTGCCATTCGGACACATTATGGAAAATGAGTATCTAACTGTAAGCACACGAATATTATTAAAGTCGTCGCTTTTGTGACGGTTTCCCACCTTCTGCCTCCCAAAAACGTGACATGCACTTTCTGAAGACCTAGTGATTAATGGGTTTTCGTATTTCGGATTAATAATAATAATAAGAAGAAGAAGAAGAAAATATAAAACATTACAAACAAAACAAAATGTTAATAATAAAAAATAAACATTTTAAAATTACTGGAAAATACAACTAAATAAAAACCGATATTAAATTTGATTTTATTATTAATACTCTCACTATATTTTATGTGTGTAGAACAATGAATTTGTCATTTTTCGAAGCAGCACGGAGATTCGGGAAACAAAAAACAATGCAACGAGAGAAATCTGAAAACGATAATATTGTATGCGCATTGCAACACGCATCCCGTTTAGACATAAATAAGATTGAAATAATTTGAAAATGATTCAGGCAAACATTGTCGAAAACTTACCTGGTTGGATCGGTTATCTCGTTAAATCCCTCGACTTCCACTGTGTTCGGTTCGTTGTCCAAGGAATAACTAAACGTAAGCTGTAATATCAACGACATTATTCATTACCATATTATGTTATAGTTGTTATAATTAACGTTAATTAAATCCAATATTTTTAATTAATAATTACCTGTTCGTTAAACAGATCTTTTTTTATAAGTCTCATTGGTTCCAAATGCGAATGAAATTGTTCCACTCTGGTCAGTTGTATTTTCAACAAGTATTCTGTAAAAATTTAATAAAACAATAATGAAACTATCGATTATAATATATTGTGGTAAAAATAGCTCGGTAGCCAATGATATTAAACAAAAGTAAAATTCATACCTATAACGTATCCAACGCTCACGTCATCTGGAAGACCTATACGATCTCCAATCGCCATTAGTTTACCGTTCCTGTGATCGAAAAAAAAAACAGAACAGAAATCCCTATTATAATTTAATAATTATAATTTATAACGAATTCGTTTAGAAAATCACGACACATAAGATTTTACGATTCTGTCTGCATAATAATAAAAGACGTTAAGTCAACATTTAAATTATTCATCCCGGAAACTGTTATGTATTGTTATTCCTAACGTGTTCACTGTTCATATATAATAAATATATAATATATATATATATTATATATGTATGTATATTTTCTGGATGCTTGACAAATAAACTACTTTATGTGTGACACATGGCTTGTGAAAAAATGAAATCGTCTAATACAAACGATCATATACAGTCATATGTTCCAACTCTTTAAAAACATTAAAAAAAAAAACCGTTTTACACAGCCATATGATAGCCGCATTAATTGTTACAAAAAATTATTATTTTATTTCCCATAGAGCACTCAAATCGGAGTTTAGAGTGAAAAAGAGCATTGTGATTCCTATACTAATTTGAGCGTTTCATGTAGCGATATCCCAAACTACAGAATACGAGTGTGTTGTTAAAGGACTACTATTTTTATGCGCAGAGATAGAGTAACTGAGTCCGTTTACATCCCCTACCCATACTTAAACATTTAACTCGGATTAACGGAAACTCATGTACATCAATTACCTGAAATTGTGTTCAGATTTGATAACTGTTACCAAAACGATTGTATGCAACAGTTACAAAAATATTAAAATAATCAAAAACACTGAAAATGATATTATATAATATGTTATATTATGACCAGTACTATAATAACTCGTTACGTACATTACACACTTTCAATCTAAACGGCCGAATGTATTAATAATCCTATTAATTATAATGAATAATAATCACAATTGATGGGTGGTCCTTATGATATAATCTATAATCACATGATGATGGATAATGAACAAGACATATTTGATTTTATACTCGACCATTTTAGATCGAAATTATATTTATTTCTTCGGTGTCTTCCGGTGAATAATTATTATACGGTGTAACGACGTTAAGATTAACGTCGAATAAACAATCATTGAAACTTTAACACATGATGATAACTTTAACATGATAAATGATTAATTTAAAAAAATATATTTGCAGAGTGTTCCATTTAAGTGGGTACACCCATTATCTTGGAAAGTATTAACTTTTTTCGGAATTTGTTTTATAGTAGAACATTTAAGAAAAATTGTTGTCACCCTTATTTTTAACAATAAAACCATTACTTTTGATTTTCAAATGGTAACCTATATTCAAAATTCCATGAAGTATTAGTTAAAATAAATTGTAGTGTTAAAATTATTGATTTTCTTCAACCCGTTGACAAAATGTTCGGATTTTAAGCTTGGGTCAGGGGGCAGTAGTGGAGCATCATTTGTGTGGCGGCACAGCATGCTGTGTACTAAGACGACACTATACCCGCATGTGCTACCTCAATCTAACCTAACGAGGAATATAGCAAAATCTACCTCAGGCAGACTGCGTAGAACTCGCTTAATTTAGAGTTTAGAGTAAAATCAACTTATAATAAAATTAAAAGAGAACAATATTCCAGAGAGCAAGACGATTCGTCTTTCCTATTATTATAATTATACTATTCCGAATATTGTGTTCAATATACATAGTTTAGAAATAAAGTCTAATTCATCGATTTTAAATTACATTACATTTCAAAATATGAATTAAAAAACACCATTTAAACACATCGACTTACCCTCAGGCTTTTACTCTAAAACCAAAATTAAACGAGTTGTACGCAGTCTGCGTAAGGTAGATTTTGTTATATCGCTCGTTAGTTGGACTGAGACACATACTGGTACATAACGTACTCTTAATAATGCACTATATTACTCTCTCTCTACCCGAACTTCAAAGTAGAACATCTCGTCAATAGGTTAACAGAAAAATTTATTTTAACTAATACTCCATCTATTTATGAAATTTTGAATATAGGTTGCTATTTGAAAATCAAAAGTGGTGGTTTTATTCCCAAAAATAAGAGTGACAATAAATAACATAAAAGTAGAATTGTAGAGCTGTTTTTTTCTTAGTTGTTATATAAAACAAATTCCGAAAAAAGTTATTACTTTCCGAAATAATGAGTGAACCCACTTAAATGGACCACTTAAATGAGTACCCTGTATACTATATGAATGATATTATCTTATACATTAATAATAAATATAATTATTAATTACTCAATTTTGTATTTTTAAAAACTGAATATTGAAGCTACCATTTTTTTTTTTTATTTAACTTTTAAATTAAAAACAAAAAAACTTCATTAAGCTCATAATTATACTATCTTTATACAATATAAATTTGAAAGAATATTAATTTATTAACGAAAATCAATAACGAAAAAAATAAAAGAATGCAAAGAAGAAACCTTTATACCTTTATATATAGGTACCTTTATAAAAATTAGAAACTAGAAATATACCTATTATTAAACCTGACATAATTATAAAGTTTTTGTATCCCATCAATTTATCTTTTGACTGTAACGCCCCGAACGTCATACACAAGTCCAAGACTAACCTGTAAGTTTTAAAACTTTTGACAAACATCTGTGGTAAATTATATACCAAACTTTCAATAAACCTGACGTAATTAAGGAGGTGTAAGTTTACACAATTTTGTTAAGTTTTCGATTTAACATCCTACCAAAACAAAATTTAAATAGTCCGTCAAAAAAGAAAATTTAAAAAAAAACAAACAAACAAATATAGGATTAAATACTTAAACATTTTTACAATTATTTTATGATATAACTACAAAATATACATTGCAATAGACTTATTGAAATTCGACGAGTCTATTTTAAATGTATTGATATAGTACTGGTAGAGCATTCTACTTAAACCAAATCCATAAGATGAATCTTTTATTGACAATATATAATTTATAAGAACTACATTTTTTCATCCTATTAACTTCGTATTTGGATCAAGTTCAAATAAGAATTTTTTCCCCATAAAGAATTTTAACCAATTAAAATCTTCCAATTACACAATCGCCTTACATTCCCCGACAAACACCAATAGAAAACCATTTCGGTTCTTTTAACAATGGCGGGAAATATTCTTTTCATTCTTTATTTTTATTTTTTTTTTAATTTAAAAAAAAAATATACCTACTCCGTTACTATTGGAATTTGAGCTTATTAGTGCGAAAAACACATCGCAGGACAACTCCTTTTCGGAGAGCCTTGAAATGATAAACCGGTTAACTCGTCAATTCAGCGACTTCATTAACGAACGAATAAAAAAAAAAACCTGCAGCAGAAGGGGCGAGGGGCGTCAACAAGCAGCTGCTTCGGAACTCCCAATTTATTATACAATTAAAATTAGAAAAAAACGGGTTGATAGTATAATTTTGACTGGTAGAGACCACATATTATTAAACTAAAAAAAAAATCGAATTCATTTTATTCTACCAATTAAATAAATATATATATATATATTTTTTTTTTTTATCGATCAACTGTTATAAGAAGCGACATTATCTACAAATTAAAAACAAATATAGGTATATAATATTGAAAAATCGTCACAGTCGTGTATAAATATGTTATTCACCCCGGATAGAACCTGTTAAAAACCTGATATATTGAATATGCATAAAGATGAGCCGCCGAAACAGAAAAATATCTCCAGTTCACACGTGTATATAATATCAATGATACGCGAGTATATTTATACAAATATGTATACATATAATCCTCAGCATACAAGCGTTTTTACGAGATAAAATCGTTTATTGGTTTCCCGTCCTGCGGGAATCGAAGATCCAAACAAAATATAAATGTATCTTATATAATATTATAATTTCCTAACTGTGTAAGTATAATAACATCGTCGATTTTATACTTTTAAGTTGTTTTAAAATGTGATAAATTGAAATATTCCTTCGACATCACGATAATCGTATGGACTATAGCTGTGCCTATCCTGTACCTATCAGGCTAATAAGCACTATCGTAATTATTTATTTTCTTTCTTATTTCATTTGAATTCGGTTAATTAATGCGCACATAAAAATTCAAGTTTCATGACACGTACTAAAATGGTTTTTCTTCTATATTTATAGTTGTGTATTTTGAGTATCATATTACATATTCTAATTTAGAATGCGCGACGAAGATCGGAAATAATTAAGAGAATAAAAATATTTATTTTAAAATTTACTCACCCGGATATAGGAGCCATTTTAAGCACCAACGCACGACTCAAACAAAATCCAGCACCTCCGGTAGCAAACCAAAATGTGGTTTTCTAAAACAAAATTGAATACATATAATAAGTATGATAGATAACAACGATATTGTTAATTATATCATTTCCGAATATTATTGTTTTTATATTTAAAAAAAAAATATATCTGTATAAAAAGTTTAATAAGGCTGTTTTAAAATTTTGAAAATAACGATAAACCATTACATCTGGGAAAATTATTCGGAGTAGAGTTCAAAATTGAAATGTTGACGTTCGTATAGTTTTTTTTTTGGTCTTACTATTTTATCAGTTGGTCACGATTTTAAGTAGTATTGAAATAAAAACTTCGAAAAACGACTTATTTAAAGTATATTCTGTGTTCAATTATAAAAATAAGGTGCTGAACTAAATGTTTTAAGCATTTTTACTCCTTCAAAAAGTATTAAAAGATGTTGTGTATAGGAAAAAAACACACGTATATAATTTAGGTATTATGACAAAATAATAGGTAACAAAATAATTATTATTTATTTACTTACGATAATAACCCGAATTATTATACGAATTCGATTTGTTTATGTAAATATTATATTTATAATAATTAAAAATATTAAAAACTTTAATGAAAAACATGTCACTTACACTTCTGTATATAATGCTACAAAGTTTAAAAAAAAAAAAAAAACCGTGTACTTAATTAAAGTTTCCAAATTACTGAAACCAAAGAAAGTAAATCACCAGCGGCGACAGCATCGGAAAACAGTGAATAAATTATTATTATAGTAATATTATTTCGATAACGTTTTTGAGGAACGAATTATTTAGTTTTGATAGTCCACTATTTCGCACACGTTTTGTTTCAGTCGCCTTTTTTACGCCATAAAATTTGAAATTATTCTACCATATAATTAGAACGTTTTAGATTAATCAAATAAATAATCCTCGTGATAGAATCGGACTTTTGATCTCCTCACTTTCGCTTACCCCGTAAATATTAATTCAGATTTCAATACAAAATATCTATGGTAAATGTTTGCATAATATGATTTAAACTCCTATTTGTAAACGTAGATCCACAGATATTATCGTGCAATAATAAAAAAAAAAAATGGATAAAACTTCTTAGACTAATCAAAAAGCGTTTTCGATTAAAAACTCAATCAAAACCAATTGGCAATATATCAACTTTGAACTTTTGTTTTTTTATTATAGGTTTAATCGGATACACGTTTTGATTGATTTCAGAATAGGTCCTCTTATATACTACGTAATATTTTACCGACAATATTTTGATAACAATTAAAACATATTCAATCGAACTGCAACCGCAATTTAATTAATTGTAGTAAAATATAAAATACAATGTAAACGAGCAGTGGCAGCGGATTTGTGTAGATCTACTAGTAAATTAAAAAGAAACCCCGTGAACTTTTGCAAAACTAAGTTCAACGGAAAAGTTCCGATTACGCCTCCACTCAAAGAATCGAAATATACAAAAGTTTTTTTATTAAAGTTTGAAAGACGTAGCGTAACTAAACTAGATTTATACATAAAATTATTTTATATCTATTACGTATTAAAATAAGTTATGCATATCTTTCAGAGGAGTACCTACTCGTGAAAACATAAGGTATTCAATCATATGGAAACTAAAATCTGATATCTAAAAAAGCTACAAGTATAAAAAAAACTATGAAAAAGTATGAAAAAAACCTCTATAAATACAAGGTTTCACATGACCATACGAAACGGTTTTTAGATGGACGTACCATTAAGGTGTCCTACAGTGTTATCCTTACGCTAATAATTCTGTTAATATTAATTTTTTTTTCAATAGGGTTTTGTGCAAAAATAGCAATGTAGGACTTGCTGTATATTGGTTTTGACAAACGTATCAAACATTTATCAACTTTAGGTGATACTTCGTAGACCCTAACAAAATAGTTATTTTAATACGAAAAAATGTATTTAAACTTACTTGAGATTTGGTGTGGATTTGTAATGGGTTCGGAGTGCTGGTTCGTCCCAAATACCAATCTCCAATTGGATTGTACAATTTTAATAACTCGTCCAAAGCAGGAACATTAACATAGTTGTCATCATCCACGTGACAAAACCACCTGAAATCAACGAGAGAAAAAAATTAATAGAAGCAAAGCACAGTAGGTTTATGTATATGTTTAACAAAAGTAATGTCAATATTTAGAAGTGTGATTATTAATCAAAAAGTTTGAGGACCAGCTGAAAACCTCTGCAGCAACAAACGTAAATTGTATTTTCGTCTATCAACCAACCTAATTAAATGTAACGAGTAAAACGGTATTACCTTAAAATATCTGAAATATTAAGTACCTATCATTTTAAATACCATAAGCTCGTATTCCATAATATAGAGTCTAAAAATTACAGACAAGTGAATAAATGCACATACTGCGTAAGTCTTACACTCGATTTTCAAATAAAATAATGTTAAAAAAGAATTTTAGTACCAACTATATTCAAAATTCGTTACTATAAACATAATATAATTACAAATAGATATATTATACTAGTGCTGAGCAATATTTTGACCAATTCGGAATCCGGATTACAATTTCACATAATCAGGATTTTGGATTTCGGATCCAATCTATCAATCCGAATCATAGAGCCAATCCGTTCATTTGTCTAAAATGGACTAGGTACTAGGAATAGAAAATAGATAGTAGATACCATCAAACGAGACATCATGGGACAGTTAAACAGATATTTGATTTGAATAAATTATTTATATTAAAATCCTAATTAATACCCATCACTATCCGAATTGATACCCATAAACCGGATTGATAATCATAATTCAAATTAAACTGATTGTAACGTTTGATTTAATCCGGATCGGTAATCATGATTTTTTATGTTCGGCACTAGTATATCCAAATATGGAGATTCATAAAGGAATGTAATATTATTTGAAGAATAAAAGCAAAATAATTACATACTCGAAGAATGATGTTTTTTAATGTATCGAAAATTTAAATTCAAATTTAGTATTCTAACATCCGTGCTACTCGTACTCTTTTCTCGTATTAAATTTACAAAACCGAAAAATTATATCCTTTAACTGGCGCCATTCGTTTTCAATAACCTATTCAATATTTATTAAATTGAGTTACACCACACTACACAAAAAGAGATACACAAGACAATAAAGAGCTGATACTGGGGACGGCACCCGTATCGGCCACTGTTGTAGGTGGATAGTAGGGAAGATGGGAGATATAAAGTTATTTATTTTATACCTGTAATCAACAATAAACCATTACTAACAAAAAACGATTCGGAACGAATTCCGTTTATACATGTTTTAAAAAGCCGTACTATTTACAATTTTCATCAAAATTTTATTTTAAAACTCTTATAAAAAACAAAAAAAATACTACAGTACACTCAATTCTTTTTGGTCACTAAGTACAACTTATAATCAATCTTCTGTCAAATTTTCAAGCATTTCTGTTAATTTAATAATTTTATGCACAGAGTACTTACCAAATAAAAATTGCATAAAAAACTTGCAAAATCAAAATGTCTATAAATAGTTCAAAAATGGTTCAAATATTTTGAATATTTTACCATGTCTAGAAATAGCAAATATAAGTTTTCTATCATAATTTCAAGTCTCTACGAATATTTTAAACTGAATTATATTAAAAAAAATCAAATTTAAAATAATAAAAAAATTATTTTCGTAAATTTCCCCAAACTTTCTACATATTTTTCGATTTTGCTTAATTATTTAACAAACTATTACAAAGAAAACCAAAAAACAAGACTTTCCTGGTCACTAACTATATTATAAATTTGACTAAAAAGATGCCTTGTTGTTTTTCTATTGAAGCAATATGAAAAATATTGCTGACAACATACGCCATACAAATTTAAAATAAAGGAATGCTGGCGTTGTAAATTTATCATTTTTTTTCAATTATTACAAAAACTACCAGGAAAATCAAAAAACGAATTACGATCTAAATTAAAAATGCAACAAAAAACGTCTCTTGTCGTTTTTCTATTAGCAATATTTATAGTAGAAACATATTCTGCATACATTTTAAATAATGAAACCGTATTGTGCCGTAATTCAAAAAAACGAATCGAATTTTTCGTATTTTGTTTAGTTTTTCCTAATTATCATGAAAAATACTTTATAAATCAAAAAACAACTTTCTATAACAGTGGCCATAAGTTAAAAGGAAAAAAATCGATATATTGTCATTTTTCGATTGGAACAATATTTCTGATAGAAAACATCGTGTATACAAATTTCAAATAATGAAATCGGTAACTCTGTAATGCGCCGTAAATATTTATCGTTAGGGCTTTTTTCTTTCAGAAAAATTACTATTTCAGAGCAAGATTTCTAGTAGAAAAATTGGTCACAGACACACGAAAAAAAATACATAGTAAAACCAATAGATCCCTCTCTGCGCTCCAAGACTAAAAAAAAAACAACTAATAGCTTTACGTCCCGCTGAGAATTTAAAAATTAGCCTGCAAGTTATATTTACAACTTCATAAATTTTACACGGCATACCACAACAAATACGACAAGACATATTGAAATAATAATATTGTTAATTAATATATTCGTATTATATACTGACTTCTTTTTCGATTCGAGAAACACGTCCAATTCAACAGACATCTTACAGCACAGCGCGCGTCTGGAAATCAAATTAAATCTAGTGTCAAATATAATATTATTATAACGATAAAAATTGTAATTTAAAAACAATTATTTATTGATATCCCACAGCGATTTATTATTAATAATATTGCGTTCGTGTGTTACTTACCTACTATGGGTGGCTGAACAGTTAGTGTTTACGACGTGGCCACCTAGAAATACAAAATAATAAAACATTTCCAATTATATTTCATAATAAAATGTAATATATAACAGCGAGTTTTATAGACATCAATACAAATCGTAAATTTTCACCATGATTTTATTAAAACTTGACAAAAATAATTTTATATTTTTTCTATATAGGCCTTTTAAGTTCAGAATTCAAATTCGTACAAAACTTGAATAGACCACGAAAAACTGTAATATTATGAAATAATTTTAGATTCTGAGCGGAGTGAGGAATGTATTAGTTTTACAACGAAGTCTATTTATTTTTTTTCAGTAAACAACTTTTTACCAGAAATTTTACTCTGATTTTCAAGTGTAGCATCTTTCCTGGGATGATAATTTATTTATTTTCCCAGAGGTTTTCATAATAAATGAGAAAAACTGGGAAAAAACGTAGACAAAACGGGAAAAATTACGAAATTTATATTATTTTTAAATCGTAAATATATTACGGCCTTTCAAATATGTAGAACCGAACTCCGCTCAAAAACGTTTTTCGTTAGCAATGATTAATAGTTGCGTGTAGACATACATTAAATTTCCCCTCTACCTTCCCAATATTTCACCTACAACAATGTCCCGCCCATTGTGCTAAGTGTGTCCGTAGTAGTTGCAAATTAATAAAATGTTTGAATTTAAATTTACCATAAACATATTTACCCGAGCTCTACTAAGAATCGCCGCATATAATATAATTGTATACGTTTTTCAGCGAATAGATAATATATATTATATTATATTATTTTACAAACGTTAAAAAAAAATGTCCGAAGAAAATCGAGTGTCTTATTTTTACCTGTTTTTATTTTATGAAATGTTTAATAGTTTGAAGATTGAATAGAATATTAAGCAAATAATTTTCCCGAACAATGATCCTCTGCGCATAATTATTTTCCATGTGTACATTAGCCTACTCAAACAAAAAAACGTCATTGTTGAATTCATATTGTTTAAAGACAAAAAGCATTGTTCGAGCTAAAAAAAATCCTCATAATTTTTAAATTAATGACTAGAGATTAAAAACAAACAAATATAAAAATCTTATCATATTTTTGGACATTTAATTAATTTTGAAAACTTGTATATTTTGCATACAATAATCTATATTGTAGGTACACATTATAAACACTGTACTTGGGCTTATTGATCCGATCTGTTTTTACTTTATAACTAGGTATATGTGACAATCAACTATATAAGAATACAAACGCAAAAATATTTCATTTATGCTTCTTGTTTGTGGATAATAATTTAAACGTTAAATGTTTAAAAAACATAAAATTTCGGTAAATCTTATTACGGTGAAATTGAAATTCTCAATAATATCACACCAAAAAAGTTTTTATTATTTATTATGACCTATCTTATTTTTACAGAGAATTTCTAGAAATCGAGATTTTGATTAAAATAAAAAAAAAGTTATGCATACAAATACAATATGTATAATATATTGTATATAATAGTCATTAATACAAATCCGCAATGACGGCAATATGAACAATATTTTACTATTATTCCAAAAGAAAAAAAGATATTTAAATACTTGTAGATAAAAAATAACATTTTTTTATCGTACATATTAATCTTTAAGAAATCGATATATGGTAATATCTACTATTTAAAACAACCTACGAATAAAAAGTGTAAACCTTAAAAATTCTATTTCGATATAACTATGTATAGTATTATCGTAATCAATGATATACTTAATAAATTATATGTTTCTAAATTATATAAAAAAAGTAATACTTATGCACGATTACCGTGATTAATTCAAGCCATATAATCTGAATATAATTAGTGGTATAATAAAATCTGCGGTTCTAATAAGAGTATAAAATATATTTTAGTACCAATGTTTTAACCCAACCAACCTAACTTGTACAGAAAAATTGAGGTTACATTACATGGAACTAATAAAAATAAAAATACGTGTGCAATTACTGTTAATAATACGAGTAATTTATCAGATTATGACCAAATTACCAATAAAAAAAAAAAAGGTCGTTTGGAGGTTTCTAGACATTAAATAATTGAGTTTTACTCGTATACGTGTAATTTCGGTAGAATTGTTACTGGTAGAACCGCATATTGAAACAATCTATCACCGATGTCTAATCATCAATATAAAAATTAATTTACACTTAATTTGGTTTCCATACCTAAATCTACTAATGTAAGATTTGCATGGCAAAACCTTTTTTTGTTTTATGTTTTTACAACGATCAACAATTTAGAAAGTATTTAATTTACAATTTTATTTTTTATTTTAGGCCATTCAGGCCTTTAGCAGCTTCTATCAAAAAACTCCAATATTTACGATTCTTGCGGTTTTTTTTAAGCCTTTTAAATCGCTTGTCACACTTATTGTTATACATAATATTTTTATAATTTAAATTCATAAATATTTTAAATTCTCAATTTGTTAGAGAGAGAAACAACGAATACTAAAGATTCACTTGATAACACTGGAATAGATTAATTTTTATTAATTTTAAGGTTTATTATTAGGTTTGATTCGATAAGTTTTCTTGTAATTTTTCTACTTCTAAAATAGAAATAGATATCTTAGAATCTCCAAGTAATAAAATGCTATCTCTAGTAATTTTTTAAAGATCTAGGTAAAAAGGAGCAAGTGACTCTCAAATCATATTTATGTATATAAAATAAATTATAAAGTTCAAATTCTTCACATAATACGTAATTCTACACAATGTTTAAACTTAATTTCGGTTTTTAAAATATTAACAGAATATCTTTATATATAAAAATTACGCGTACGAGTTTACGTACGATGCACTTTGAAACTGTTTAATCGATTTTGATAATGTGTGTGATTTAATTTAACTTAAATGATAGAATAGTCTTCAATGAATGGACTAAGAAATTCTGAAATGAGGGATGAAAGGTTCTTAGGTATCTTAGCTATGAAAATTAAATTATTTTTGTTGAATTATGGGTTACTTTAGTTACACGAATGAAATGAAATACAATTTAAAACAAAAAATAAATAACAAACAGAAATAAAAATGTCATAACAACTTAAAATAAAGAGTCTATCTGACTGTCTGCCGGTCTATTATTGACTTAAAATAGGATACTTGATCACATAGATGAAAATAAAAATCAAAAAACTATGAGTTGTACTGGGTGGGTAAGTGAAAAGTAAGAGGGCCATTGACCCACTTTTCATCTATTTTTTTTTCGTTCAATATACTTATTTCTTATACGGGCAAAGCAAAACGTGAATGAAGGTAAAAAAAACAAAAAATTAGCATGGGTAACGCCGAGCATAGGACAACTAATTATAATATAATATCCAATATTTATACTTTATGTACCTCGTCTATTTGAATAGAAAATACGTTTAAAAAAAAATATATATTTAACCATGTATCTAAATTGTATATCCTAACATATGTCATATTAAACTTTAGGTATCTAATTCCGGAATTTCGTGGTCATAGTTTATTCATGAATTGTAAAAATTTAAAATAAAGGAATAGAAAAAACAGTAAATTTATTTATATAAAACCATTTTCTACTCAACAAATCAAGACTATTTTAGGAACATTATTCAATATTATAAACCATTAGTCATATTTATTAGGTTTATTCGTGATATTAACATTAGAATACTTTTAGTTTGAAAAAATAATATAAAAATAATATAGATACATTACTCTGTATAAAAAATATATTCAACCATGTATAAATTTTAACCGTAATTTAAAATTAGTAAATAGTGACTTACCCGTAATTTGACTTAAATGTTGATCATCAGTGTCTGTAAAAAACCAAGTCTGCAAAATAAAAAAAAAAATATATACATATATAAATATCGATAACTTATTATAAGTTAAAAACAACTATTATAGTAGGTACCCGTATTATTACATCAAAGACTATAATTACGAGTATATAGAATCAAGAAAATATTTACACGTATCGACCTGAATTGTGTATTATAATATACAGTTGATCCAGTTAACCTTGATTTTATAATCACTAATAAGTTACTAGTTCCACTTTAAAAACCTATTTTAATCAAACATTAATATTTGTAATACATTTTACATTGAGTCCACGCTACACACTGTATAACAAAAACAAATAGTAATAACAAAATCTGAACAGCCACTGCTCAGCGGTATAAGTGAAATTTTGTTAAGGTGTAAAATAGAGGGTATATAATTTAGTTTATAAACTGAAAACAAGGATATAAATCATTGAAATTTTTAAAAAAGAGCAGATACTGCTGATGGGTGTGTCATTATTGTAGGTGAGAAGTTGAGAAAATAGGTAGGATTAGTATTTTGAGAAAATATCAGGTCTCTACAATTATTTTATCCGAATTACAACAAAGAAACAATCAACAATAATGAAACCGTTCATGCCGTAAACTTTCACGATTGTGAACTAAGCTCGATAAATTAATAAGATTATAAGTGCTTTTTCTTAGTAATTAAGGTAACCCAGAAATCCACAAAAAACCAGTATAACGTAATTTATTGTGTTTTTTTATTAACCGAAAAGTGTAAATCAAATACCATCTTCTCAACACACAGAATCTAAGAAATAATATAAATAAATAATTGTATATGACTTAAGTACTTTATTTAATTATCTTTAAATTTGATTTAACCATTGAAGAATTTAGATTCTGAGTGGAGCGAAGAAACTATTACTTAGTATAACTGGGATGTGTTTTTTTTTTTCGGAAAAAGGTTCTTCGGTTAGTAAAAATGCTCCGAAACTTTCATACCGTACTTTAAAAAATGCGAATTTCCTGTCATGCGAAGCAGTACATTAAATTAAAAATTTTTCTTAATTCTCAACGGGTTTTTTTTTTTTTATATTTTCTAGGAAACATTTTGTTGGTTTCTAAAATTAATGTTTCAAATATCGTTGTGAAAGATGATTTCATTAAACATAATAGATATGGTTAAATTATTATGACAATACGCTTATACATTTATAATATTATGTTGATTAATTGAACATTAAGATTTAGTTTTTGAAATTTATAAGGTGAACGAAAAATGATTATAACATATATTACCGGTCTGTAACAATAATATATGAATAACGCTCAACGGTTGTAATAGGTGCGGTGAAAAATTTTGACCATAACCATTACCATAGTAATAATTTATTAGAGTAGATACATGCACAATTCAAAACTAAAATACATATATATATATATATATATATATTTAATTTATTACTGTTGTTTATTATTAGGGATCTGCATCTGCCAGTTATCGAAATATCGAATACACTGTTAGGCGCATGATTTCTCATTCGGCTCATGTTTCAATTCATAGATCTCTAATGAAAATAATTCGCAAAGAAAAAAATATTTTATACATTTTGAAAAACGCAGTAAAATGCAATATTATAGTTTATCGTTTAACTCAATAGTCCTACAAAAAAATATCGCATTCATAATATCGGACTACCGTCGTATACTCAATACTTAGCAAACATTAATGATAATTACATCGAGGCGCCAATGTAGATTACGAAAAATGATATCGATACAATATAAACTTTTTTTAAACATTAGAAAATAATAAAAAAAATCTGAAAATGTTTTTTTGAGTGAAACAAGTTTTACAATTATTTAGTTTTACATAGCAGTTTTATAAATATTTGAATACAAATGGATTATGTGGTTGGGGGGGGGAGGCGGGAGGTTGGAAATTCACTAATTTGATTCCCTGAAAATTGTATGCTCTATAAAACGACGAAAACAATATGTAAGCTGACTTATAATTTGAACTTTAAACATAAATTTTAAAATATCAGATAATATCATTTTAAATACCAACTAATAATTATTTTTGACATTTTCGTGTTATTGAATTGTTGATTTCAATCTGTCGTTGACTATTCTGGCATTGTCTAACCTGGCATTCCTAACGAATCTTGAAAGTTCAATCATGAAACTTCTTTAACTTAGTTTACTGTCTATATTAACTGAAACAATATAACGTAGGTGGTACACCTGATAAAACACAACTACACAAGTTTTATGACAGGTCCGTAAGTGTTTATTGTTAATATAATATCTACCTATTCGTAGTTTAGAGAACGTCTTTTAACAGATTTAATTTAATTTTCTTCATTTCATTTTTTATTTAATTTACAAATCGTATTTTGTTTAACGTTGTGTTTGGAGAAAAATTTCGTTATACATTAAAAACGTTCAGTCAAAAACTGGTCCTTAAATTTAATTGATTACATAATAATATGTACCTATATAATCTACATGTCTGTAATAGTAGTAAACAAAATAAGGCCAAACAGTTATTTGTGATATAAATAATTATATTGGAAATTTTTTCTATACAACTTATTTAAATTCGTAGGAATTTCGTTCTTTAGAATTTGTTTTTTGTTTCAGCCCTCTGAGATACGTTTTCGATTTGATACAATATATAAAAGCCAACAATTTTTCAGTTAAAATTCTAATAATTTTAGTAATAATGACAAAAAAACACTTTTTAATCTGAATATTTTAATTGTCTATACACAACCCTTTAAATAATAGGACTATAACGTTTTTTACGTAAAAGTAAATAAAAAGATATACAACAGCCGGTAGTTGGTACGGTAAATATACTCGTGCATTAACGATTATTTAATTATTTATATAAATCTGCTTCTTTCCTCTTACTTTTCTTTCAAATTATTAAAGGCTAGCCAAGAACGTCTCAGAGAACAATTCGGGGCAATTGCAATCCATAGATTTATAATTTCGTGCGAAACGTATGAAAATGAGTGGATGACTAAAATTCGCAATTTATTCGGAGCGTAGGGAAGGATCTATTGGTTTTACTAAGATGTGTGTATTTATTTTTCTGTCTATGAACAACTTTTCTTCCAGAAAACTTGCTCCGAAGTATGAACTGTAGCACCTTTTCTGAAATGTAATTTTCTCTCGTTTATGCATTACGAAGGTCATTTTTCGATTTTAAAAGTAGTTTTCGAAATAATCGAGAAAAGCCCTAATAAAAAATATAGGTCATAATTACAGTGAGCTGAGGCGATGTCGTTTTCATTGTTTTTAATTTTTGTTTACAATTTTGTCTACCAGAAATATGTTCCAATAGAAAAATGACAAGAGCCCATTTTTGTTGAATTTTTAATCTAATTGTGGCAAAGAAAGTTGTTTTTTGATTTTCTTTGTAGTTTTTTTAAATAATTGAGCAAAACCGAAAAATACATACAAATTGCTGGAAAATTTGAAAAAATAATTCTAAAAGTTTTCAAATTGTATTTTTTTAATGTAATTCAGTTTAAAATATTTGTAGAGACTTAAAATGTTAAACTTATATTTACTTTTTCTAGACGTGGTAAAATTTTCAGAAGGAATATTTAAGAAACTGTTGAACTATTTATACATTTTAATTTTGTGAGTTTTTACATAATTTGTATTTAATATAATTACTCTGAAGATAAATTATTGGACTTAACGAAAATAATTAAAAACTTAATTGGAAGTTCATTATGTCATAATTTGTGGTTAAAAAAAATGTAGTTAAATGTAGTTTTTTTTTTTATACGCTATTTAAAATCAAATTTTGATGAGACAGTCATAAATATTATGGCTTCTAAAAATATGTAATATATAACTGCTCCAAATCGTTTTTCATTATCAATGGTTTATCGTTGGTTACTAGTATAAATTAAATAACTTTATGTATTCTAATTTCCCTATTATCCACCTACAACAGTGGCCGCATCTGTCCCCAGTATCAGCTCTTTTTTTTTTTTTTTTTTTAAATTAATTTTTCTTCACTTCCCTAGAAAAGTCGAGGACAACTGTGTGAATGGTCACCCTAAGATCTTAACCTCCACTTATGATTTGTGGCAAAACTAAATTTACTGGAGTTTATATTTTTTTTAAAACAATAAAAGCAGGATATTAGTAAAGTATTAAAAATTAATTAATTATTATAAATAATTACTATCTTAGAAGTAAAACCTTACACAATTTTCAGTTATTTAATATAGTCAGATATGTGTTCAAATTGTTTGTGTATGTAAATCTAATATTATTTAAGTATTGTGAAATACTACACAATATAAATAAATAAATATATGAATAAAAAACACAATATAATACTAAAAACTAATAAATCATAACATACATGTATACCTACCTACATATATACACACACACATACATGATTCAAACAGCCCTAGCGTCGTCACTGCATGCGTGCATACATATACAATAGTGTAAAATTGTAAGCTGGTATTAAAATTGTTTTACATAGTATAAAATGTCATAATATGAGTAACTAAAAATAAGTATTTAATGGTTTAGGTATAATTAAATATCTTATTGACTCTGGTTTTCGTTATTATTATTATTCACTTATAAATAATATTTCTATCTCAATTAAAGAAATTGTATTTTATATTTAACATATCTAGCAACTTCCTAAATGGAATCCGAGTAGTACATACTAAAAATATAAAATTACTTAGTTTATTTTTCCGTTTTAGTAATTTTATTTTAAAGAAAATTGTTCAACTATTCTCACTAGGTTAGATTATTCAATAAAACTAAAAAAAAAAGAAGACAATAAGCGCTCATTTAATATTGATTTGGGTAAATTACTCTTAAAAAAAAAATCATCAAATACAATATAAATATATTCAAATAATACCTGTTTTTTAGCTAACTGAAACCAAGTTTTTATAATGACTGGCAATCTGATGAGGTGATTTCTGCCGGTAGTTTTTACAGTGATAAATACATTGGCTAATAGATCGTTGTCAACAGGCAAGATGTTTTGTAATACTTTTTCATTAGACAACAAATAATCTGTTGAGTTTGTTACTCCTTTTGGCAACTACCAAAAAAGAAAAAACATTTTTTTTTTAAAAAAACAATCAAAATTGCAATTGTTGAGTACTTCTGGACAGCCATAGAACAAGTAAAACTGACCTGTTGCTGGCCAGGAACCAGTACGTTGGTGCTGGTGAGTCCGACCTGTTGGTAGAACACAAACGAAGCGAGCGCAAACAAGGCGAGGAGTATCTGCAACTGTAACAGCCATCGTTTGGTATTCCTGGACATAATTCCACGACGGTTGCCCGGTCACATTTTCGTGGGGCCACAGACAGCCGGCCGGCCAACGGTCTAATAATAATGATACATGACAAAATATCTTAATTTTGTCACGTAGATGTGCGGACAAAAAAAAAAAAAATCACCGAGCGTAGTACCGATAATAATATTACTTATTTGTTTATTATTTTGTTTACAATGCGAGTAGTCGTTACTCGTTATCACTTTATCAGTTTATTCGGCGTTATCAAAATGGCAAACACGCGCGCGCCGCACACGGTCACGGCGGACTATAACAAACAATCAATGTCGGTATACGCGGGCGCGGGGAGATACGCGTTGTCTCCGGCCGGCGGACAGGACGCTAATGTGAACACCGAACGTCTCGACGTCGGTTGCGGTGACGTGAACATTGGCTAGCGGCTAGTCAACTGCCGGGCGGTTGCCGCTGCGGCCTGTTCGGGAACGGGTCGACGGCGGACGTGTCGCGGTGCCATCAACCTCCTCTCGTCACACGCCCGAGGTCCAAGGTTTTTTTTCTCCTTCCTCCACGCTCGAAAACTATATCCGCCCGGTAATAATAATTACCCACGTCCGCCGCCGCCGCGCCTTAGCTTATTACACGCGCGACACGCACACCCAGTGTGCGTACAGTGTGTGGCGCAGGGTCGCCCCGAACAACAATTCGTAGGAGAGGGGGAGGGGATTTAAGACCTATCGGTTTGCCGACTCAACAACAAAACCCTTCGCTCGAAAACTATTACATTAGTACACAGGAGCGCAACCAGGAGGGTGTTTTTGGCGTCTAGACACCCCCTCTACATCTATGTTTAAGTAATACAAAATGTATTAAAAGACGTGTTTTTTTTTTTTTTAAAATGTAGACACGTAACATCCCCCTTCAAAAAATCCTGGTTGCGCCACTGCCGATACATTATATTTGTTTATACATACGTATTTTATAATATAGCATTATTTAGTAGCCTATAATTTGTATTGTTTCTGTAGGGTGGAAAAATTCACTTTATAGTTGGCAATACCATTTTCCTTGAGGAATAGGATCAGAAAGCCCCCACGAAATGGCGTGCCGTCAGGGCAAGCTATAGGTGGTAAGCGGCGCATGCCCGGCCAAAAAAGAAGAAAAAGTTAAACATGTATTATGTTAAATGGCAATACGGTTTATATATTAAAATTACTAACTATTCATTAATTCTTTATCAAATATATAAAATAAATAATTAATTAATTCTATTCAAAATAATTTATCAAGTTTTTCGATAGAAATTAGATTAATTTTTTTTTCATATAGGCAATTTTTTTTACAGAAGCGCTCGTATTTTAGGTTGTCCGGATCGTACCGATATGATTATTATGGGAACGACCGGTTGCGGTAAAAAGATATATCCATGTTTTTACATGTCGGTTGGAAACGCCGGGTCGAGCGCTTATCGATAGTTTAAAAAAACGTATTTCCAATATTTTACCGTTGCATATCGGAATATTGTGATTATAAATACCTACTATTTTATTATATTACACGGGTGCATTAAATATTAAAGTATTAATATCATTATGTAATATTTTTTTAATATTAATATTATATTTACGAAACAAAAAAGACGAACAGATTTTATCTATTAATCAATTTTAAATTGTAATTTTCAACAATAAAATACCTTTTTTTTTTAAAAGATTTAGTTTGAAGTTTTATATTTTAGCGCTTATCCAATATACAATATCACAGCTCGCCACTGCTTCCACGGCACCTGTCGTAATAGGTGACAAATGAGTTTGCGTCAGGTCGACAATTCTGTCAAAAATTATAAAGAGATCTAAATAAGACTTTGGTGGATTGTTCCATCTCGGATGTTTGTGGAGGCAATAGCTGAGAAGAGGTACCTACCGTGGTGCATACAGGTGATATACCTAGCTTTGATAGGTTCTACAAAAAAGTTTATTCCTTTTTCAACTACCACCTTATGCAAAACTGGATTTATTTTTTATAAATGACAATTAAAAATGAATTGAGTGATTTATTAAATCCTATCTCATTAACTATGAGAATGAGTTAAACCAAATTTGCACAGTCAATGATTTAAAAAAATAATTGCTAACCAATAATAGCAGAGAAGTCATTAAATTCAAAATAATATCCACGCGTGTCGATTTCACTAGCACGAGACAATTGAATAAGTATAAACTTGTTTTGTAAGTAGTTTAAGAATAGATGATTTTACTATAGTTTATTCGTGACAAATTTAAGGCAACTGGAAATTATGTTAGAATTCTATAATAAAACGAGTGGTGTCACGTCCGGCATGTAGGTACTTGTTTAAATCTAGGTGAGATACGTCTACTGATGGCCCGTTCCAGGCCCCCTTTTATATTGTGGCTTATCCGTGGCGCACGTGATCGACTGACTTTGAGTGACTTTGTAATTTACCGAATTAGTCTAGAATTAGGTTTATCACCCGGATCAATCATCCAGGTTAATATGCGCGTGCACCATTTTAATAATGCTCACGATTATAGACACTATTATAATTCCGTAGGTAATATTGTATATTTATAATATAGCATTGATTTACAATATTCATTTCGGTGGGTATTGGTAGTTGGTACACTAGGTAGGTACCTACACGTGTGTAAATTATACGTGTAGGTATATCATAGGTAATAATATAGGTACATGCCAATAGGTAAGTTAGTCGTATTACGTGAATAATTAATTTATCTCTTTATTTAACATTTTTTTTTTTTTCAAATATATTTTTAATCTAATGTTAGTAATTTATCATGGTAAATATATATAAATAAAATAATATGATATATAATGTATAAATTGTTATCCAACAAATTTGCATACATTTTTTTTCCAAATAATAATACCTACCTACTTAAAATAATCTAAGCACGAAATCACCTATTGACACCCATTAAAACTATTCGGTTGATTAACGTAGTTAGTTAACATCGACATTATTATTATTCAATTTAACTGCCTCGTTTAGCTTATAATAATTTAACGCATCGAGTCAAATTTTAATTTCCTTTACCAGAATTATTGCCAGTTCCAGACCCCCTTTTATATGGTTTATCTGTAGCATAGTGATTGAAAGACTTTTTAATTTACCAGATTTGTCTAGAATTAGATTTATCACATGGGTCAATCAATTTTCAATATTCATATTGGGGTAGGTATAGGTACATAGGCAGTGTCGACCTGGCATATAAAAGGCCTATGCAAAGATTTTTTTTTTCTAGGGCCTCCAATTTCAGTCTTAATTAATTTGAGTTTAAGTTGAAGCAAGGAAAGAGAGGAAGAACTGCAAATTTAATTTGTATTATCTTTGTATAATGTACTAAAGTACAATTATTGCACCTCTGGGCCAGTGGTGTAAAAACAGACATTTTGAATGTCCGCAGAAAAATTATTATCATTATATATTTTTCCATTAATTATCGAAAACCTCGAGGTAGTGGCAGGACCAGTGGAGGGCCCCCTCCCTCCTATAACCACCACAACTTCTTATAATATATTTTCTGTATTCACATCAATTAACATGCACATAATATTTAAGCTAGAAACAAATTGGGAATAAGAATATTCCTACAATCTAACCATTAGAGTAATATAATTATTATTGTAATTTTATATAGAGGTAAAATTATTTTTATATTTTATTTTATAAGTACTGGGGGATTCATGTTTCTCAAATGTCAATTAATAGATGTGCAGAATGCATTCATTAACATACCATAATAACATTTAATAGTACACTTGTCTACATATTACCTATCATAGGAGGGTTATAAATTATAATAGACTTCTTTTGCACTTAGCAGGGCTAAACAACTGTTGTCTATTTAACATAAACAATGAAAATTTCATTTTGGAAATAAGTAAATTTTCTCACCAAAAATGTTATTTTTTTGTTTTTCTCGAAGAGCATTTCTTTTAAAAAAATCTTTATAAACTTGACCCTGAATCTTCCACTACATTGAGGTCCTAATTTAGTGCCCCTACACCTGACGCGGGGTTCATACTCTCCGTAGCAATAATATAACTGGACAATTACATTAATTTTGAGCCTTTGGTCAATATCCTTTATGAAAATAAAACTCCTAGACAAAATATTGTGAATTAAACTACTGATCTCTAGGTCCTCAATTATGCCATTGTTTGGACATCAGCTCAATTTAATTAACAAATGAAAAATGATCTATATAAAATGGAAAGACCATAACAATACTTTATGGAGGTTTTGTGCCAATTCATCAAATAAAGGACACTTATAAAAAAAAGGCCTAGGCAACAAAGTACATCATAGGTAAAAATATACAGTATGCATCTTGTGTCGTAACATACATATATGATGTTACTGTATTATAATTATTAACTTATTAATTTGATTTGAAATTTTAATATAATAAATTTATCAAGTACTTATTATTTTAAAATAATTAGTAACAACTTTGAATACTACAATAACAAAAGGTTCATTAAACATCTTATAAAGAAGCAACCTCAAAAAGTTAAAAACAGCAAATATCAACATTTTAAAATTATACCCTAGCAGGTCTAGTGTCTAGTCTATTTGATACTTTTGATGTACACAGTAATGCTTTTCCAAAACGTGATTATATATATAATATTTAAGAACTAAATTATTATAAAACCAATAGTGTATACATGTAATATCAAATTATAAAGCATTTATTTTAAATTAACTACAAAAAGATAACATTTTAACAAATCAAATTAAATAAAAATATGCATTTTTTGTGATGTTAAAACATTATAATTAATAAATTAAAATACACCCATGTTTTAAATTTCAATACATAAACAAATGTAAAAAAAAAAAATACACAAATGATCATTAGTGATAAAGTATAAGTACAACCTATGGCTAAAATGAACCATTAAAAATAATTTCAGAAAATCGATGTTATTATTAGTATATAAAATTAATAAAAAGATCTATAAATTAAAGTACACATGAGTTGAAAAATCCATCACTTGTGATTTAATAAATAATATTATTTAACTAAACTTAAAATAATGATTCACACTAATTATAATCAATATACTTTTTATGTTTATACCATAGACATACATTTCTTAAGGAGTGGAATTAGTATCTATGACAGTCTTAAGAAAGTTTAAAATAATATGAAAATGAAATCAAAATATTTTTTTTTTTTGGAAACAAAAATAATATGAACTTTGAGGAATTTAAATTCTGTTAATATAACAACTTGGGTATAAGGTTTGGTAATTAATTTAATTACCAATTATTTTAATTTGTGTGTAATTTGAGTTTCACAAGATGAAAAAATATATATATAAATATTCTTTTTACAGTTAATATTTACAATTCGTCCTTAGGCTTCTGAGCCTCCTGATCTACTTCGTCTTCTTCCTCTTCTTCGCTCTGCAAAAAATATTTATACACACATTAATATTTCCCTTCTATACATGAACAAAAAAATATATTAACATTTATTATCTCAAAATATTTTAAAAAATGTTTTCTTGAAAATTAATATTATAGAACTATTAATTCAACAAAAGTACACACTGTATAGTATTATATTACCCGTTTCCACCCTCTAACAAATTTAAAACTATTTCAATTGAAAAGTATAATATGACTAGTTCTAACATATAATATATCTAAGGATATAAATGATTATGAGTTTAAAGGAATTGGATTTACCGATGTGGCAGGAGCAGCTTCTACTTGACCATCGGATTCAATAAACTTAACAATTGCATCAAATGATCTGTCTCCGTTATACTCAATAGCCTATATAAATAAAAAATAATACCATAAATGTAATACGTAATTATACAAACACTTTAAAAATTAAAAATAATATTTATAATTAGTAATATCTTATAAGTAATATTTAATTAAAATAATTAACTTACTTTTGCATCTCCCTTTGGATAGTATGTCAGAGTTGGGAAACTGGTAATTTTGGTATGTTCCAGTTCATTAACTGTAGCATCCATTTTTGCAATTACAATATCATCTTTATCGGCAAAATATTCTCCAACCTGATTAATATATATGTATATTAATTTAATATATTATCAGTGTACAATATAATATTTAAATACCTTATCAAAAATCGGTGCAAGCTGTTTACAATGACCACACCACGGGGCATAAAATTCTACAAGTACATTTTTAGTTGTATCTAAAGCTACACTATCAAAGTTTGTGGCAGTCAAAGTCCAAACTGGAGTTTTGTTCCAATCTTCAGGTAATTCTTCAGAAAGTAAATGTTGCTAGAAGAAAATTTAATATTTTAATAATATTATTATATAAGCCATACTCCTAAATAATAAATTGTAACTATCATACCTTAACTTTTCCTTCAACAAAGTCTGATACGAATTGTCTCACATTCTCACCAGTTAACTCTGAAGATTCTGGTTTGAACTTTGTCATATCATCTTCAAGTTTAATTGCCCTCATGCTAGGTACTTCATTTTTCTTCATTCCAAAGAATTCCAAAATTCTTTGGTGTTCTTCTTCATCTGCATTGATAGTAACAAACACAATCTAAAAAAAAAAAATTTAACCAGGTTAATTTTTAGGGTAATCAGATTTTAATTAAAAATATATTTTACTTGTCCTCTAAAGTCAATGGCTACAGGTTTGATATCATCAATGAATTTCTCAAAATGGCCTTCCTTTTTAGATAAGAACAATAATAAATGACTTTTGATCTGACCTCCGAATATTTTCTGTGCGGTTTCTTGATTGAATTCTATTACAGGAGGTAATGAATGAACAAAAATAAATTTCTTGATATCTTCAATTGATGAGATTTCTTTATCAAATGGAACTTTCTTTTCATCAAACTAAAATCAAAATATATACTTGAATAAAACTGTAAAAAAAAAAAAATCAAATCAAATTTAAAACATACATCTTTATATAAAACAAATGTATCCTTGTGTTCTAAATCAGTAAATTTAGAATAATCTGAAACAAGACCAAATGGATGATCATCAACAGAGTCAGCTAATTCTGAAAACAATTTTGCAGCTTTTGATTCTAAATCTTTAAAATAGCCAACAATAGAAACAGGTTTTCCTTCAATGAATGATTTGAGTTCTTCGGCTGATTGTAAAACTTTTGCTGCAGGACCAGATTTTTTTAATACCCACTGAATAATTTCATCCTTAGTACGACCACCTGTTGAAAAAAAAAAGAATAATAATATAGAAAACACAAATCAACAAAAATCTTTTGTAAATAATATTAATAATGAGAGTGGCATTAATAATAATTATTATTTATACCTGTGTAGTCAACTGGTTTTCCATTTTTGAAAAACTTCAAAGTTGGGTATCCACGGATACCAAACTTTTCAGCTAAATCACTTTCAATAGTAGCATCTACTTTGCCTAACTTTATAGATAATTCATTTCCACTCAAATGTTGAGCTGCGTTTGCGTATTCTGGTGCCAATTGTTTGCAATGACCACACCATGGAGCATCTAAAATATTAAAATAATGAAATTTAAAACGATTCAACATAAAAAATAATATGCTGAATTCATAATAAAATTTAGTAAAAAACTTGGAGATTGGTTCAATGGATTTTCAATCAACCCATTATTATTCTATATAAAGTGAGAATTTACTATATTGTGATTATTAGAGCCCGGAATTATATGTATTTACATGTTTGCATATCAATGGTGATTTTAAATGTCTAGGATTTATATCACACCAAGTTTATCATATTCGACAATTTTTAAATGCATATAATTCCGGGATCTAGTGATTATACTATTGTTTCATTAAAAAAAATCAAGTGTTAATGGGTTAATTTTCTGAATATTATCAATTTAAAAACCTAAATAACTAAGCATTAAAAATTATTCAAATGCATTAGCTTCATTATTTTCCCCACAACTTAAAAAAAATGGAATATCTAGTTAACATATTTGACAGAAATTACAAATTTTAACTCCATTCTGTATTTAAGTTAAAACTATTTATATCTCATCAATTTACATAATTTTTAATAAATATAGCTTATTTGGAAATAAAAAGTGGTTCCATCCACAACCAAAAACTAGGTTAAAAAATATCACAGTAATGTAACATTACCTGGGCCTAAAAGTACTTGTTTCTTAAATTTAAAAAAAAAAATTCTTAAAAATGTAATACTTTTTTGGATAATGGAGTGTATTATTGAGGATTGATCACCTTATACGTGTTAAATGCAAGAACACTGTAATTTATTTTATAATTAAAAGTTAAGACAATCAACAAAAAAAAAATAAATTAAAAATTGTACATATTCAATCAAAACATGTTAGTCATCATAACTTCAGTTAGAATAATTTTTTGTTTAAAGCAATGATTTATCAACACAAAGTTGTTCTTTAAATTCTCCTAACTTATCATGACAACAATAACTATAGAGTATATCCGACTTTTAATTTGTATTACATATGCTGTCTTTACCAATGAAATAGACAAATACAATGGTAGGTAGTCGTATTTTGTTTAGTATTAAACATATTTATTTTAGGCAAGTTTTTTAAACCTTTTAACACTGAAAATATATTAATATTTCTCCAATTTAAATATGCTTGCTCTACAATAATTATTAACTAAAGTGTAAACAGAATTTAAGCAGAACAGGAAACCGTTTTTATACAAACAGTTGTTGAAATAGTTATTGTAACCGACCCATGAGAACAGTTAGTACAAACCTGATGTAAGAAATACAATAAAGTACAACAGACAGAATTAGCCAAGGTCAAATTGAGGTCCTGGTGGACCTCAGAACAACTTAAAAACGAGCCAATGAGTCATTATATACATTGCGCAATGCACCTCATGGAAAAGAGGTGATAGTTATTTTTAATTTTAAAGAAAATAGTAAAAATCAGGATTATTTTCTGAAATTTATTTTTGATTTTGTAATTTCAAATTAATAAATTTTCAATTTAATTTTATCTTAACATTTTTGACTGAACTTATAGAAGTTCTGTGAGCAGAATCATTTTTCTTAGCAATGCTTTAACATTGCATCAAGATAAAAATTAAATTGTTTTATGTATTCTACCTTTCCAACCTATGTTTTAACAATATTTTTCTAGTTCATAAAACACAAATACTTTTTATTTACTTGCATACTGAACATTTATTTTTTTATTCAACTTAGTTTTAACTAAAATGTTTAGTTTGTATTTTATAAATTATATTACGATCAATTGTGTATCAATGATTTATATTAAAAAAAAATATTCACAAATATGATTCCCACATTATAAAAAAAAAACCATTACTAATTATTAACCTTATTATTTATATTAAAAAAATTAAATTATTGTTTATTAATATTATTTATTTTTATCAACATTGTTAAACCAATATTTTAGCTAATTTAACAGACTTTAAAATATATTAAAATTAAAATTGTTATCAAAATTAATATAACCAATACAGTGCAATATTATTTTAATGTACCTACGTTTGAAAAATAAAAAAAAATTAAAACTAGGTACCTATAAGTATTTATTAAATTACAAAACAATAATTTAATAAACTATTACATACAATTAAGTGTAAAACAGAAGACTTGCCTTTTCTTCCTTAATTGTTTATACTAGATACCTATTATATTATTAATATTAACTATATTTTTTCCTTCAAATTATAGAACATTTTAATTAATTACCCGTATTTCAACTTATAAATAAACACAAGTACCTACTACTTAATATAGGCTATTTTAACCGAAAACATCCAATTGTCTATAATCCAATATCAATTCAATGAGCTCCCCTTTAACGACCATTTGTTAGTGATGGTTCAGTGCTCAAAAGATGCAGGGGAATGGTGGGAGGGCAACGGGAAAATTTCTAACCTTCAAAATGTTATCGTTCTATGGTAGTGAACATGACAACGCGGTACGATTACTTACAAAATTTGACGAGCAAGTATTCGGACGACGAGACTATATGGTCGAAATTATCTTTGGTTAACACCAGCACGCCCTCGTCGGTATCGACGGCCACCTGTTCTTGGACACCGGCATCGGCGTAAGTGGAGTGCACCAAGAGAAACGCTGCAAACGCTGCGTAAAGAAACATGTCGACTGTTTGAATCTGGAGGAACGGGCAAACAAAAAAAATCGTGTAAGTACAATAATACCGTTACAATAATAATAATAAAAATAATAATAATAATAATAATAATAATAATAATTAATAGGTACACCACCTCGTCGACAGTGGTGGCCGTCGCTAATATACTTACCGGTGTGTCGCACGTAAACGTTTAATCGAATGGAAAATAAAGATGTTAATGTTAACGAGTATTAGAATACACGACTTAACATTAAAAACGAAATAATGATCCGACGAACACAGAAGCGTACGCGTCAACGGGACGTTTGTTCTGAGCGTCTGTGCGAGTAATGTGTCGGGAAATGTGCGGTACGTTCCGCCGCTGATAAAATTTTGATGATGTAAACAAAATGTTCGTACTGGCTCGTGGTGCCCTATCATTGGTCCGCCGGACGCAGTGCACGCACGCACACGTTTTCAAACCAATAGTTTGTTGTGTACGTCGACGGCCGGATTTTTATCTCTTTCTCTGTCCCTCTTATCTCGCGGGCGACCGGATTCCGGATTCCCGGTGCCCGGTGCCCGGACCCGGTCGGCGGCCGTTTTTTTTCCATTACTGTAAACATTTTGGCAAATACGATGTGAAATTACTATTCTGTAAGGGCGTAGATCCCATTAATATCATACAAACTCCGATACATACATACAATTTCCGAACCGAACACTTTTTAACGAAATATCGCATTGCGATAATTGCATACGTGTAAGTACTATCGAAATAATATTGTAAACGATTAACGGTTCATTAGTGTTACGGTATTGTCTGTGAAAACGTTTCACTGAGCGATACGAACGTAGCAATGTACGATTCGAATATTGCATTATTGGTATCGTCGAGTCATTGACACCGCCGCGTAGGTATCTAATCTAATGGTAGGTAGGTACGACTCGCACCGTACGAGTCATTGCTTCCGTTGCGCACCGCACCGGTGTCGAACGTTCCCAATTTTGCCGAATACCCCGGAAACGTTAGATAAACCCGTAGGTTGTTGTAATATTGTTATTCCGTGTTATTTTGACGGAAAAACTTTTTCTATTATATTTAAAAACATTTTGTTTGAAAAATATGTAAAATAACAATAAAATGTAAAAAACATAAAATGTCGATAATTCTTATTTAAGCAACTACTTAGATTCGACTTACGCCATCATCAGGTTTCTGATAAACAATGTTATACAATGGTTTACGTAAACAATTTAAAAAGGAACAATATAAATGTATTAATTTGTTTTTTAAATGTCCCAGAACGATCACGCCGGCGCGTGGTTTTGATGATGCGGTTTTATCCTGACGCGCGTTGCTTTATGCGAAACAGTTTTTCTATATTTCCGACGATTTTTCTTATCAAATGCCTATATTTGTTATGTCTATTGTCCATCTATCTGGTTTCTCGCGGTTTTACGCATATTCAAAAAGAATTGCACCTAATTAATAACTACTCTGGGTCAGGGCAGGCCATTCGCTGTTGTAAAAAGGAAATTGGAATTAATAAGGAATAAGGATAATACCGTAACCAGGAGGGATACGTCGTGTCCCCCTTAATCATTTGTTTTATTGGTTATTACGGTTATTTTGGTGTATTTTTTAATATTAAAAAAAAAATAGATAATAATAGAAATATTATTAGTGATCCAAGTGAGGAATTTTTAAAAAATTACCTCAATCCATCAACTAGACCAAATTTCCGTCAGAATCTTCCTCTAACGTTGACGATTAGAATTGTATTCAGTGGCATAATTCGGGTATAATGTCAGGGGTTGCAAAAAAAACTTAGGATTCAAAGATCTGTGAAGACTTTCCTCTCACTGCAAATGTTTCACAATTTTCCTCTACTTTAATGTATTTATACTAAGTAATGACTTACAAATTTATTGGTTGTTTCAATTTTTGTTTAAATATGTTTTTGCTTTTTATTACTTAATAACTAAAATATTCCATAACACAAAAATCACACATTATAATATAGAAAAACCAATAAATTTTCTTGCTTCGCTCAGAATTTAAAAACGATGCAATTTTAATGTTTAAATTTTTTTTACCAGTAAAACAATTTATGATGCATCATTTAATAATATAAATATTTTCTGAATTACACCATGTCTAAGAAAAATTGTAATACACCTTGTATATACCATGTGTATGCACATTATAATACAATTGATTGTAATAATCAATTGCTCATTACATGAAAATGTCAGGCCTCTGTGAATAATTTCATTTCATACAATTTCCATTTCGTTGTCCCGTTGAATCAAAAATTAGCTACAAAATACAAAATTTACTGTCACAAAAACCGACATTGCGTAAATATGTTCCCTTTTTTCCGACGTTTATTTTTTTGGTAATTTCTTTTATAAAGAATATCAAAAACTGAACAAAATAATTACCTATACCTATACTTGCATATATTCACTATTTAGCAGTAAGTACCTATATAGGTACTATACTTACGTTTCGTCTCAAATTGTTAAAATGAAAATTTTTTTAATCCGTTTATTAATGCGTTTGGTCAAAAAAAAATATACATATATACTTATTGTATCCGGTGACATCCGGTATCTCAAAACATTGAATATATTATATAGTTTTTTCTTTTTAAAGCAATTCCAAATACTATGTATTTTATGGAACATCTTGTATAATTTGTTTTATTTTCTCAATTAGCTTATATACTAAGTTACCCGTTTAAATGCAATTATATAACCATGAACCTATTTTGGGTAACGTGCCAAAAAATTGTATGCGATTTTTTTATTATTATTATTATTATTATTATTTTTTTTTTTTTATATAAACCTAACATGCTCTCAAATATACTTAATATTTACTAAATCAAATGGGGAGAAATGTGTAATTCATGTTTGCATTATACTATAAACCAAACATAATAAGTAGTTATTACCTATATAACTTTAAGAAATCCAAGTATACACTTTAGATTTACGGTTTCGAATTTGTTTTTTGTTAAATTAAGATAAATGAAATTCGATTATATACCGTATTACTTTACTAGTACTTCCCATGTCAATATATTCTAATTTTACTCATGTTTTAAAATATAATATATGTCATTGTGGGTTATCTAATTGCAGATATCAACATCCCTGAAAAATTTTAAATCTATAATTTACATTTTTATTTGTAGGTATCTAGAATCAGAGTCCAAGGAGTAAAAACTTGTAGGAAAATTGATTTTTTCGTGTAGTATTTTAGATTTTGTATATATTTTAGTATCTCATTTTAGACATAGATACATTAATCAAACTAATAATTGAAATACTTTTTATACTACTCATTTTGTGCGTTTTGTAAATTTTTTTATTGTTTTAATTTTATTTAGGTCATCATTTTTTTACATACCGGGTGATTAATCTAAGTGGATACACTCATTATCTCGTCAACAGATCGACGGAAATCAAGAATTTCAACACTAAAATTTATTTTAATTAATACTCCAACTATTTTTGGACTTTTTAATATAGGTTGCAATTTGAAAACCAAAAGTAGATAGTGGTTTTACCCCTAAAATAATACTGACAACAAATAACATAAATATAAAACTGTAGAGCAACTTGTTTCATAAATGTTCTAGAAAACAAATTCCGGAAAAATTTAATCCCTTCCGAGATAGTAAGTGTGCTCACTTAAATGGATCATCTGGTAGATAACTAAAATTGATATTATTAAAAAATGCACATACAATTAAATATTTCAAGGCATTTTACTACATTCTCTAAATCAAATTGACATATTATTTTTTAACGATTTAAATTCATAAATTACATTGGGAGGTGGAGGAGTTCTGTGAGTTAGTCTCTCAGCTATATTACGTTCTTATACCTACATTATAATTGAATATGTATAAAACTATTTATTTATTAATAATAATCATCTACCTACTTGTTAAATAGTATATATAATGTGCAAAGACCCTCAAAAATATTATTAATACTTACAATGTTTGTCAGTATGTAAGTTTGTGTTTATAATGAATATTTAATTTAAAACTTTTTTTCGTGATTGGTCGTATATGTTGTTCATTTAAAACTAAAATAATTTGAATAAATATATAAAAAATAAAATAAAATTACATCTTTATTGGTAATATTGGTATTATTTAAATTTTTAATAACACTGGTTATAAATAACCGTTGAAATCAACGCTGATAAATATAAACCTCGCTAGTCAAAACAATTACAAATAGGCAAACTAATAGTGCAAATTCTAACAGATTCTAATAGTATACAGTATTCATTCTTTACATAGATAACTTTATTGTTCAATTAGAAGGTTTATAGCACACAGACATATTTCTAAAGTTTTTTTTAATCAATATAATAATTTAATAATTTTTAATTATTATTGGTTTTGTTATAATTAACAAAGTTTACGTTTTCATTAGTACTGGATCGATTTTGTTTTAAAATAAAATGTTTAATTGAAAACGAACCTGAGTCATTTCAAAATCTTATTGAATTTTGTTCACCACATAATTAGAAAACATTTCAGCAGAACTAAATATTTGGTGCACATAATTGTTAAAAAATAATGAAATGCTCAAAATTGGCATAGATGCTCCTTAAATCTGTAGTTCCTCTATTTAGCCTGATTTTAAACAAACTTATTAAGATTTTATGTACATTTCTAAACTTAACTCAACATTAATCAAATTTAATTTTAGAATGGACATTTTTAATATTAAAGAGAGTGAAAGCATACCTAATAAATGTAATAATTTATATAAACATTTAAAAGTGTTTATATTTTATTTTAGAAACATTTATATGGATTAACTTTGTTGAATGTTAACTAAAATGATAATATTACACCAGATAAAGTTATAGATAAATTATCAAAAAAAACTTCTACTATAATTTTATAATTAAATTAAATTTAAATATTTAAATATTTAAACGTTTATTTAACATTGTATGACGAAAAAAATTCTTAAAAAATCTTAATTACAGACCTAATAACTCCTAAAATAATTAAATATGAATGTATTGTATTTAATACTATTATTATAACAAAATATGATTCATGCCCCCGCCCAAAAGAGTGATAAATAATACATCAATAATACATTTTTTCTCTCATAAGAAAACGCAAAGCATGTCACTGAACGTATTTCAAACAATTTTTTTTTAATTTCAAACGGTTTTTTTTAAATACTCCTTAATTTTGTTCTATATTTTTTAAATACAATTTAAAGTGTACACTGTGCAGGGTATCAATGGGAAATAATAATTTTAAATAAATGTAGATACATATACGAGAGCTTATAGACACATATTTATGTATCTCTACCTATAATCATAAGTAAATTTAAATAAATTAGCAATACTGATAATACGGACACGTACGGAAGACAATAAAACAAAAGGTATAATGAACTTGACCGAATTTCATAGACGATGACCATAATAACCACATTATAAAATAATTCCTGAACGTATATTTATATATAATTATTGGCATTAGTTTAACAGATTTCTATTCTCTTTACATTATTTGTGTGTTGTACATAATAGTACCTAATTATTAATTGTATCATCTACTTGAATACATTTATTTCGTCCTGTCATAAAGGTATTTTGATTAATCGATGCACATAAAACATGATGGATAATACCACAGTGGAAGCAAAAACTTATACTTTACAATCGGAAATATACCGAGAAATGAACGCTGACGAGGAACATAGTGTTGACGCCGATGATGATACTTTCGTCATAAAAAGTAAGTTGTATTTATTTCAATAATAATAATAATAAAAATTCGAATAAAATACATAATATATATTTTAATACCTATATCATTGATTAAAATAAATACTATTATATTTGTATTAAAATCTATTTTATCTATATTGTCACAATTAATTTTTTCAACTACTGTAAGTTGAATTACGAGTATCTGCATGCAGGGAATCAACCAAGTTTTTAACCTGATACGAAAATCAGAAACCTGAATAATGCATGAATCAGGTCTATCTTTATATTTTATAGCATTGTTACTCCATTTTAATAATTTCAGTACAGCTTAAAAGTAAGGTTGATATGAAAATGTCTAGGTAATTAAAATTTACTGTTCTTCTTGTACCATAATAAGAAATATGGTCATTGTTAGTCGATAGACCGACTTTTTATGTAACTGCATGTATTAACTGAGACTAAGTAGGTATACAACTTTAATTTTGTAAGCTTTCTATACGAAATATAGCCCTTTCCGATACTTTAAAAACAATATTATGTTTTAATTCGTAACCGAAACCCGTTAAAACATAAAACACGGTTTTAATCCCATACTCAAAAAAATGAAATAAAATTAATGACTATCTGCATGTGTATAATATAATATATTATTATACCTAAATATAGAGAAATAAAAAATGTTAATTATATATTTACATAAAATTTTTTTGGTAGGTTATAGCATCTAGTAGATATTAATTGTGATAGTATTTAGATCATCTATTGGTATCAATAGGTTCATAGCGAATATTATAATATCCCATTTTGAATGATTTATAGTTTAATTTATACGAATAAAACATTCTCTCGTGAGTACATAATACAGGAAATTTGTATTATGCTTGTACTCTTTATCCAACTGTTTAAATACGAATTATAATATATATATATAGGCTTTCGAAATGTTACCTACTTTTACATATAAACTTTTTTTTAATTTATCGTAATTTAAAATTGTTGTTGTAATATATAGGTTTAGACTACATTGTACCTACAAATTATTATAAAAAATATGATTGTATAAAAGCCTTACAGGAATGAAAAATTGCGCATTTTAGGTAATGGCATACCTAGTCCTAAAGAACGTGTTTATCCGTTAAAAAAAAATTACAAGTGCATAGCTTCATTGTTCGATATTTACAGAAATATGTATAATAATGTAATATTACTTATAAGTTTTGAGGCAAACACGTCTACAAGACGGAATGAGATTTTTGGAACACACTTATAAATTGTACTCGAAACTCAAATCAATAATCATCGGTCACACATGATTTACATTCAGCATACAAATATATATTTTTTAAAACACATCCTTTTTAATACCAGTTATTTTCTTCTCATATCTATATACTATAGTCAGCAAGTCAAAATTATTTCGTCGTTTCATTATTATTTTTTAATTGTAAAAATATTGAAGATTGTAAATAATGTACCATATAATTATTATAATCTTCAATCTACATTCATTTGCATACATTTTTAAATAGAAATATTTATATAATAAAAATTTTTCCGAAGCTGATTAAAAACAGAGCTAACCTACTAAAAATATATATATATATTTACGCGGCTAAACTTATTTTACCATGGATTATAGGCTTCGAATGCTTCGATTTTCCTGTATACAGTGGCATCAAATTGTTTCAAAACTACTATGACAATATAAATTAAACTAACATCCACTACTATGAATTATATAGTAATAAAATATAATTTAATAGTGTAGACTTTTATTTAGGTATCCTAAAATTATTCTTAATTTACAATAAAAATAATAAATAACAATGTTAAAAAGTGCCCATTATTTAGATTGTCCTGTATTTAGAGATTTTCCTATACATTAATAGTGAAAATGTCCCCGTTCCCGAAAAAACGTCCACTATTTGGAAGTGTCCGCTATTTAGAGGATCACTGTATATTATTATAATTGTCTAGAAAAGGAAAATATAAGTTTTCTGTCTAAACTTGAAGTCTCTACAAATATTGTTAACTGAATCAAAACAAAAAATTTAAAACTTAATATATTTCGTAAATTTTCCCATTTTTCCTTTGTTTTTCTTATGTTTTTTTCCGGATTTTTCCATTTATTATGAAAACAGTTGGGTAAATCAAAAAAATGACCTAAAAGTACCATCCCAGTCAAATTTCTTTTCAGGAAGAATATAGAAAAAAAAAATAAACATCATTGTAAAATCAATACGTTCCTCACTCCACTCAGAATCTAAAAATGTCGTTAGGGAGATGGATATTAGTTTAATTTATGTTTCTATAGTATTTTTAAATTATGCTGTACATGACATTACATTATTATATTATCCGTCCAGTCGTTGAAATGTTATCACGTCGATGAAATGTTTTAACTTTAAGATGTATTTAATTAATGTGAAAATAAAATAAATACAATTTATTTAATTAATTAATTTAATAAAAATACAATTTCTACCTTTAAATAATTGACACCTCTGAATAGTGGACAAAATTTCAGTGATTGAGAGTTTCCGGTATTTAGAGGTTTTACTGTAATTATAATAAAAGGCTCATTGTAAGTCGTACTTAGTGTTAATGAGTTGGATATAGTATTTATTTTTTTTTTTGTTTTTATAAGAATTTTGACGAAAATCATAAATAATATGGCTTTTCATAACATGTATAACTGAACTTCGCTCAAAACATTGGTGCACATTCAATTTAAAACTTGGGAGTGTTTATAATTATTTAAGATAAAGTATCACGGGAGGGGGGCTTTCCCCCCCATCATATTCGAAATAAAATTATATATTAATTACACATTAAATAAACAAAATTGAAATAATGAGATCCGATTTTCAATAATGAATCTCATTGCCTAATAAATAACCAACAAAGGATAGGTACCTACTTAAAAATATAAAAACAATTAATTTAAACTTACATATTTACTAATATGTATTTTTACTAATGCCCTCCAAGGCGTATAATTATCAAATAAATAAATAAATATAAATATTATACAATATTGATTATTAATACATAATTCATAATATAAATCAATACACAATAGTATAATAGTAATTACTCTCATATCTATTTGAGTGTTATATTTATTTTAATTAGCTCAAAATCTGAGGGTGCCAAGCACCCCCTGGTGCCCCTGTATGTGCACCAATGGCTCCGAATCGTTTTTCGTTAACTATGATTAATCGTTACATACAGTTATAAATTAAATTCCCCTCTATATCCCACTTTTTCAACTTCTCTCCCTACAACAGTGGCCCATTCATCGTGCGAAGTTTGTCTGTTTTTTAATTATTAGAATGACACAAATTTTGATTTTACCTATACAGCTACACGCATATATATATAGGTACTTAAAGGATGCTTAGTTTATTCTCATATTATTGTAAGCCCAGTATTAACTTTCACATAGGTATTATACTGTAAACCTGCATTATTGACTTTCACTGCATGAGTAGGTACCAGTATAAATGTCGTGTACATCACTATACTATAGTTGTTACTTTTATTTTATTATTATGGTAATTTATTGAAGTTGCCATTTGATATTATTCGAGTTTTATACAAATTTCAAATAGGATAACTTACTAACAAAATATAATAAATTATTCACTAGTTTTATTTTATACTGGATTTCGGATCTGATCCGGATTATAGAAGATGTAACGTATAGTTTTAAACAGAACCAGCCATATGACGTGGTATTGTCATATTAAGTGGTGATACAGTGACATAGAACACCGTTGTCAATACAAAACACGTACAATTTCAATTGTAAATTATACTATTAGAGGTATATAATAAATAATAATATGAGCAGCATTTAAAAATAAATCACATATTTTAGATCTTTATTATACGGATTGGTAATTTCAATCTGGATTGATACTTATAATCTGGACTGGTATTTTCATTCCGGATTAAAGGGATTGTACCATTTGTTTTAATCCGGATTTGGTGTTCAGCACTGTACTATAATATAGTATAGTTCTGGGTGACTGCGTACCATCGTCTATTTTTCAAAAGGTATTATATGCTATAATTGACAGATACGTTATAATGTATGACTTATAAGTATACAATATACATCGTATACTCTCCAAAACACTACTGCTAATCCATTAGCTTTTTAAGATCATATTTAATTAATAATTTAATTTCCATCTCCAACTATTTATCTTTTAAACAATAAAAACTAAATAATGCCAATGGATCTAATTCACGTAATTTCAGCTTGACGTACTTACTCCTTTGTACAGTAGTAGCCTGGCTAGAACCTGAGGTTTTTTTAATATATTTTTACAATACTTATAGGTTATTATTAATTTTAAGCAGGGCCCTCACAAAGCGGGGTAAATAAGACTATTTTCCTGTGGCCCAAACAATTAAACCTCTGTGTAAATAATTACATAAATCAATAAATAAATTTTCAAAAATTGACTTGGTACCTATATAAAATATTTTCGTAGTTAGAATTTTAATAAAGTTAATGATTTATTTTTAATCAATATTCAACACAAAAATGCTATAAATAAGGGGATTATAAATATGTAAATTTTAATAGTAAATTGCAATTTAATTATGGCCTTTCGGTACAGAGGCCACACATTTAATGCTGGGGCCTGTTTATATTGCGTGCAATGCTTAGGTACAATAAATTATAATTATTAATTTATAAGACAACAATCTAAATAAACGCGTATACGCATGAACTATAATATTATAATAAAGTAAAAGTACCTATTGTTTAAAGTTTTTATAGTTATTTTAAAATTCATCAAAATGTATAGACAACGATTTTTTTTCCAGAAAAATAATTTAGAGCAATAATACAAATAAGCGTTTTATGTTTTTTTTAGATGTTAGGAGTGTATTCAGATTTAAATGCCAATCAATGCAACCTCCTAATTCAGATCACTTTTCCGTAGACGAAGATGGCGATCTAATAGTGCTCAGAAGTCCATTTTCCAAAGCTATCGTTATTGGTAAATGTAAATTATTTATTTATAACATTAAATTAAACTATACATATTAAATATATATTTTTTATTTGAATATTTAATTTCAATAACTATACTTAATACTTTTAGAACATATAAATCGAACTTCGTTAAATATGGTCGGTATGCAAGTATGGCGCAGTGCACTATTAATGGGCGACTTCATAATGGGAAATAAAAATATTTTTTCCGGCGATCAAGTGATCCTGGAACTCGGCTCTGGAGTGGGATTGACTGGAATCGTAGCTGCCATGTATTGTAAAGAGGTAGTCTTTACAGGTAAGTAATAAGTATACCTAAAAGAAAAAAGATGGACATACTTCGCACGTAGGTTAAGTTGGGAAGTAGGATGCTCCAAAAGCGAATATAATATAGGTATAACGATAAACCATTAATATAAACGAAATAACGATTCTGAGCGGAGTTCAATTGATAGTAATACTTGGTTAACTTAATATGTCATATTATGGTAAAATAATTAAATAGGCATTATATATTTTCTTAGTAATATTTGTTTAATACTGTATCGATTTTCCCGTTTTTTTTTTCAGGTTTTCCAATGTTTTTCCTGTTTTTCCCATTTGTTGATGAAACTTCTGGAAAAATTGAAAAATAATCTATCTAAAGTATCTCTCTAATCAGATTTCTTTTTAGAAAAAGTGCTATCGGAGTAAATTTGCTGATAGAAAAGTTGTCTTCAGAAAAAAAAAATCGTAATATTTTACTAATATATTTTGTACATTTTCCAGTTTTTCCTCCGTTTTTTTGTTTTCGGTTTTTTACGTTTGATGAGAAAACTCTTGAGGAAATTGAAAAATAATCTTCTTAGAGTACTACCCCAAAAAAATTTCCTTTCACAAAATTATCTACATCGTAAAAAATCTGGTAGAAAAAGTGCTTACATAAAAAAAAAATTAAAAATTAAAAAAAAGTAAACATCTTTGTAAAATCAATACATTATTCGGCACATTTAGAATCTAAAATATGTGCTTGGTGTAGTATAATATATATAGTGTAAACCAATAGGTGTGTGCAGAATTTGTTTGCAGGGTTGTGTAAGATTATTTTTTCAAGATCTTTTTTTTTATTTTTATAAATTAATATTTATAAAAGTCACTATACGCGCTCTTGAGAGAGTTAATATTACTTATCAAAGCGGTAGGTGATCTCTTAAACGTGATCATGACGTATTAATGAATATTATTTTTTTAAGTTTTAAACAATAATTTTCGCTTTAACCATATCAATTGAAAAATGCATATTATAAATAATGTAATAGGTATATACTTACTTAAATTTAAGTATCTCTACCAAAGCCACAATTATAAGGTTAAATTATAGTGTTGAATTGAATGATTTATTTAGACCAAACACATTTTATATCTGTTGATGATATTTTCTCAAATTCCAAAACTTTTTTTATTATGAACATACTGGAAATATGTCCACTATCCACTAGAATATACATTTTTTTCTAACATATTATAAATGTATACTTTTTTTGTCAATTTAAGAAATAAGCAGCTTTAAAATGTTACTTTACCATTTTTTTTTATCACTGTTACTTTTGGATGTCAACAGTATCATTTGTGTAGCGGCATGGGATGCAGTGTTTTGCTCCACTACAACTCTCCCCCTACCCAAATATAAAAATGGAATATCTCGTCAACGAGTTTACGAAAATCAAAAATTTTAATGTCAACATTTATTTAAATGAATACTCCATCAATTTATGAAAATTTTAATATAGATTTCCATTTGATAATCAAAATTAGGTAGTCATTTCGCTTTAAAAATAATGTTAATATAATATTTTGAAGCTTTTTGTTTTTTAAATTATCAAAACAAATTTTCTAGAAAATAAATTCTGGAAAAAGTTAATACTTTCCAAGATAATGAGTGTATCCACTTACATAGATCGTCTTCTGTACTTATAATTAAATACAGCCAATAACTACTACTCAATCATTTATTTATTTATATTGTTTACGGACTTGGCCCCAGTTTGTATATACCAATACATTTTTAATTAGTTTATATGATTATTGATTATAGAGTATATTAATAATATTATGAGGACGTTTTTATTTTCACTGGTTTCATTACCTTACACAGTTGAGTGGCTCATTTACTAAATAGTTAGTTAAACAGTACGAAATGGAGAAAATATGTGATTTGACAAGTGAGACGTTAGGGTTCTTTAAAGTTAGTAAATCAGAAGAGTGACAAGGAATCAATTTTTGAGATGATGAGGTATTTAAGAAAGGTTAAGTTACAGGAGTGTCGATTGTCACAACGTGAGGCTAGGTTATGTATATTAAGTAGGTATAGGTATACCTATTTAGTTATTTAGCAAAGCTAAGAAATTTTCTCTGAACTCACTCGAGTTGACGACGGGTATTTAGGAGCGGAGTGGGAACAAAATTCAGGCTGGGAGATTGAAATGTAACCACGCCATTCAATAAAATACATACCAAATGGCATTTTCTTATTACGCTTGATTTCAGTCTTTTAATTTGAACCCACAATACTACATTTTCAATAATAATGTATTATGTATATACAAAATAAAGTTTAGTTAAATAATTTTATTATTAAATTTAGCTTTTAATGCATAGTTAAAAATAATTTCAAACTATATTTGTTGAATTAGATAATTTAACTTTAGTTGTAATAAGAAACCTTAGGAATAAAATCAGTTCACAGTTTATTATTGTGATATTCATAGTAAATGGTTTACATGGCTGTACTTAATGAATTTTAAGCATGAAGCATTTAAGCGAAAATGGTTTCAAGTAGAAAATGTTGTCTTGTTAGTGCAAAAGAAAGGTAATTTTTTTATTTACCTTACTTTTCTTAATAATGTGGGAAAACCAAAAAATCATATTATTATTCTATAATACTAATTTATATTTTATAAATTATCCCGTTTTGAGTTAATTTTACAAAAAAATCAGTTGATATAGTCTTCTTTTATACAAATTGAATTATGATGAATTTAAAAAAGATAAGTAAGTCGATAAATAAATTGTTAGTATTTTAATTTTTAATATTTTCAATCTTAATATTGTATAATAATAGTGTATATTCAATACTTTTGTAAATTTCAATATCTATTACCCAGTCATTTTTTTTTTCCATTCCTTCATTTGGTTTATCAATATTGTAACCCTTTTATTTTTCTATTTCTAGCTAGTCGACGCATGCTACTGTTTTTGTTTTTGTTTTAATTAATGTTTATTATAGTTTTTTAATATTTTGAAACTTTGTATTCAATGCTTACTCATATATTGTATTCAAAATGATAGGTACGTTAATAATGGTATAATATTTGATCAGTTTATCGAAATAATACAAAAAAATATTTACTAAATTTTTAAATAATACGGGTAAGAATTATATTACCCATACAAAATGATCAGGCTACCAGGCCATAATATGGTCCAGGCCATCTGGAAAATTCCCATTTCCAAACCAGCCATTCCGCCCATAACGGGTATTATACCCTGGGTATACCTTGTGGGTCCAAAACTGATACATTAGTTTTGATTCATTGATTTCTGGGTGACTGGCTAAAAGGGAAATTAATACTACAGCTATTTTTATGTATCTTTAAAGTACCTTATTATTATTGATTTTAACGAAAATTTTATTTAACAAATTAAAAACTGCAATTATAATATTATAATAGTGTAAGAATAAAAATAATACGAAACATTTCGGTTTGAATACCCCGTTAGTAAACATGTTATTTAGCATACTCGGTTAAATTTGAGTAAGATGATATTTATATATATTTATTTATTTATTTATTTATTTACCTAACTATATTTAAAATACAATTTTATTTTTTTTTCTAGATATTGATAATACAAATATATTATCGATGATCGAAAAAAATATACGATTAAATAGAGATTTAATCGTCAGTCGGACAACAGTGATGCCATTGGACTTCGGTGAACCTGAATTATCTGACGTATTATGGACCAAGTTGCGAGATGTAAACATTATTATAGCTGCAGACGGTTTGTTTGATACATTATTTTTTATACCTATTCACACAGATAGATTTAAAATAAAATATAATTAACCATAGACGCTACTAGGGGGTCTTAAGCACCCCCAAATTTAAAATTAGCTCCCTCAAAAATATCCATATACATTTTGCACATTATTTACACAAATACATTTTTTTATAATATTGACTAAATATTAATTCATGTATTTTATAATTAATAAGCACAACAAAATACCAATTACCTACAGATAACCATATATATGTATACAAAATAAAATTAAAAATGTTACGATACATTTTTATACAAAAAATTGTAAATAAAATGTGTAATTGCATATTATAGGTGTCGTGTAAAGAGAATTGTTGAGGTGATTACCCCCTTGATGTGTCCATAATTTTAGCACCCCTAAAGATGGTATGGTCTAGTTGCGCCTATGCAATTAACAATAATAACTATGCTCGAATTGGGAATAATGAAGTAGAGGAGCTCAATCCAACAATTTAAAAACTGCGTTCCAAGTGCACAATCACTTAACACAGACCCGTGAGGGGCTTTGCCTTACCAGCATTCTGAATACTACTTTTCAGCAACAAATATTAAAATTCCAAATATATTTTGATAACAATACCTACATCCTAAATGTTGTAGTAGAAAATAAAAAAATAATAATCAACATTGTATCATTGTAACGGACTCGTATTCCTATTTCCTAGGCTATAAACTACATACCAACTAAAGAGTAACGACTAGGTTACGACTGAAAAGTTATTATGACTTTATGAATAAAAATGAATTGAAATTCAAATACGATGCGAAATCGAAAAATTCAAAATCACCGATAAATGATAACCATAAAGCCATGTGTATTTAACTATCGTGTGCCTTTGTTTTCTATATTCACATTCTTTGTTCTATGAACGCTAGTGTTCATGGTTTATACCAATGATACCAAATTCCTTATTAATTATATGAATATTGAACCCCGATGATAATATTTTACCTTTTTTTTTTTTAGATATCGCTTTTTTGCGGATAATGTATGTAACCACCATATAGTAATTACTCTATGGTCACCACATGGTCAAAAGTTTAGTTGAATAAATTCAACTATGCGGTTATATAGGACCATAGAAAAGATGATAGTATCAAACTAATATCAAAAATAATTTTAAAACTAAAAATAGTAAAATTTGTAATACAATTGAAATTCACATTTTAATAAAAATTATTTCGGACATTAGTTTGTGCCGTCCTCCCGTTCCAGTAAAAAAATATAGTTGGGGAGGCAAAAAAATTAAAAAAATAGTTGAGGAGCTCCGTCCCTCTGCGCACCCTCCCCCCAATTCGAGCACTGAATAATAGTATGAACAGTATTAATGTATTATAGATTAGCTGGACCCGCTAGAGTCCCTAAAATCTTATTAAATATATCTGAAATATTTTCTATTTTAATTATTATGTTTTGTTATTTACCGTAATTAACATAGAAAGGTTATTTTTAATTCTGAGCGTAGTGAGGAATGTATTGGTTTTACTATGATGTGTTTTTTTAAATGTGTATACATTTTTTTGTTGTCTATAAACAATTTAAGGTCTAGTTGGTTAGAAAAAAAGTCGTATTTTGATTTTCCAAGGTGTTTTCATGATTGAGAAACAAAATTATAGAAAGTTTACGGCATTAATTAATGATTTTTTTTATTTTCGGTTGTAATTCGATTAAAAACTAGTGACCTGATATTTTTACTGAATATTCATTATTTATACTAATATGAGTAGTCATTAATAGATGTGGTGAAATTTTCAAAATATTCTGGTGATTATTGAGCTATTTATTGGCATATTACATTTTCGAGATTTTTACGTACCTAGTTTTTGTTTGGTTAATACTATGGTGATAAATTAATTTGATCAAAAAGAAATGTTTAAAAATTTACACGATTTTCATTATATGTTAAAAGTGGTAAATAAAAAAAAAAGTAGAGTGTAATGTATTTGTATGTGTACAATTTTGTTTTATAAGATTTTTAAATTCAAAACATGTAAGTAAACGGAACTTCGCTCAAAATCATTGTTTTTTATCATTGTTTTTTATCATTGTTTTATCATTTTTTATAAATATAAACTCAATATTATTATATATCTTACAATTTAGGATACAAATTTAGGATTTATACAACCAACTTTCCACCTACAACAGTAACAAACATATAAGCAGTATGTAAGCTCTTTATTTTTAAATTTGTATATTCCGTATATTCCATTTATTCATGTTCTAAGTTGAAATCATGAGTTACCAAAGATAACATTTCTCTAATGAAATTTTATTTTTAATTAATATTCATTTTAATTATCTTAATTCATTACCTATTACTATGTTTATACTTTATTATTGTTTATTGTTTTACCTATTAATATTAATATATTTGTATTTGCCGGAGGCATATGCTAATATAGTCGAGTTCAACAAATTCAAACGTGTGATTAGAACTGATAATAAGAAATCGAAATTTAAAAATCCAGTGTCGCATCTCAATTTTTTGGCTATGATTTTCAAAATGTGACATTTCTGCGATACTTTGCTTACAACCCATCATCATAACCACCAAACATTTTAGAAATAAATCTGTGAAGTGATCTGCACTAGCCATCACTATAGGTTTAACTACTTATAAATAGGAATATAGAAGTATATACCTACATTTTAATCGATTTATTTTACTTCAAGTCCAGGTCTCAATCATAATGTTTCTACCTAATGCATATTTTATAGTCATAATTGCATAATTAAATTCTATGAAGTTTTTTGTGACAATGGAACATAATATAATAGGTATACCGGTAAAATATATTTGTTTTTTTGTTTTTTAGTGATTTACGATAATGAAATAACTAAACAATTAGTTAATACCTTAAAAAAAATAATGGCAGTGTCTCCAATGAAAACCGCTTACATAGGAATGGAAAAAAGGTACGAAAATAACATTTTCATATTTTTTTTATATCATATTTTAAAAGTAACAAATGATTGCATTTACCTATCTTATTGTTATATCAGGTACGTGTTTAGTTCGGTGGATTTGGACGTGTGCGCACCTTCCTATGAATACTTCTGTGATTTGCTAAAGCAAAATAATTGGTTTCAGGTAGAAATATTAGATTGTAATTTTTCGCAATACTTTCAATACAACAAAGTCAAAGAATTAGTTATACTCAAATTAACCACCAACCATTCCATGTAAAGTATACAATAAATGATTAATGTAAAATGTGTAAAAATAATAAATACACAAATACTGTATAAATAGGTATATGTGCGTTTTTAATAATGTTTTATTATACGGAATGTATATTTTCTACGAGAAATCATAAAAAGAAAAAAATGAAATTTCAATTATTACTATAATACTTTCTAATTAAAAACCAAAAGCGTTTGACATTTTATGAAAAAAGTTATTAAGCAAATAAGCATTACTTGTTTTCTAAATTCGTTAAAATTTTAGAGGGGTAATTTCATCTCCCTAGAGAGGCACTTTCTTTTCCGTCAACCCGTTGACGAAATTTTCAACTTTTAAGTTTGAGTATAGGGAGAGTACTGCTTTCCTAAGTAAAAACGCCATAAGTCCAAATAAATTTAAAAATTAGTTAAATGTATAAAAAAAATCTTAAAATTCAGACCTCTTAAGTCAATACACATATGTCGTATATCTGAAATATTATTCTATAAACCGACTACTAGGAACATTTGTTTTGGTAGTACGCCCTAAATTGTCAAAAAATGCATTTTTACTAGGTATAAACGACGTATAATATAAGTATCAGAACTATACTAAGCAAAAACATCGTACACATTGATAAAGAGAACGCATTTTTGCTTAATTTTCAATAAAAATAATAATTGACGGTGTTCATACTTAGAGCAAAATATGGTTTTGCTACTCGAAATGTGATATGTGTAAAATTTGTTTGTAACCAATAGATCATTAAAATATAATAGTAATAATATAAATATATTTATAAAAAAATTAGATATGTAAGTACTTTAGAATTTATTCATTCATATTTATGTATATTCCATTGCATTTATCATGTAAAATTACCCATGAAAATCCATATCATACTTTGATAAGTAAAATATAGGAGATATTATGAAGTTTAAAAAATGTAAAATATGAAAACCTGTTTTTCTCAAAAATGTTTTCTGTTGACTTATGTCGTTTTTGTTTATTAAGGCAGAATAGATAGGCGCTATACAAACGCCATGCGCTCTGACGTAACACAAATGATGTTCCACTATACTCGTCCCTTACTCAAATTTAAAAGTGGAATGTCATAAAAAAAAATTACCCTGTGTACCAATTATCTTAGAAATATTATTTAATATAGTTTTTCAAAATTAATCAAAGCAGTAGATATAAAGACCGATTTATATCGGTCGACCTTTATTTACAAATAATGTTATATAATATTATGATAGAGTTGATATTTAAAATATATGCTGTAAATATACCTATACTTTTGCTTATTACAGATATAATGTCTAATAATAATACTATTTTACTATAAAACTTCATAACTTATAAAAGATTACAAAAATATGTTTGTGCTGCTTGAGATAGAATCGAAATATTATATTATTTCCACCTTCCTAATCGTTTGACGTGTGACAGTACAACCGTGCGACTAACTCCGTTCGCTAGATGATCATATTATATGGTTTTCCACCATTATAAATAATATAGGTGCCTATATTGGTATTAATTTTTTTTTTCATTAAAAATACGGATATACGATATATATTTGTTTTATTATAATATATAAGCATTTAAATAATAAATATATAAGCCATAAAAAGTATATAAATAATAGTATACGGGGTGATTTTTTTATCATGAACCAGCAATTATCTCAGAGGACTTCAAGTGAATTTGATTTCTGTTTTTTCTAATCATTATGGAATCATTTAAGCTTTATTTTAAAACCATTTTCCGTTTTTTACCTCTACTCCATATACCTTAAATAAGTGCATACTTTTGATTTTCATATAGTAACCCCCCCCCTTTGAACACATATTTGAATAGAGAATATTTTTCTAGAAATGTTGATATGCATAACACTAATATCAAATTTACCATTTATGAATTATAACAGTTTAAAGTTTATACCGGAGGAGTAGGGAAGGGTAATAAATTGTCTATGACCCTTCTGTTTGATACGGCACACGTGCGTATTTATGAGTTTTTTTTAATCTATATATTAACTAAAACCAAAAAGCTTTTTCATAACCCCCCCCCCACCTCAAAATCAATTTCTACATACGTCACTGTATAAAACATAAGTATAATGTACTTATGTTTTGTTATTAATAGTACTCATAGCTCGTACCTATAAAAACCGAGTGAACAGAAATTACACATTTTTACCGATTTCTTAATTACAAATTTTTAATAATAAACAAAAACCAGCAGAACCGATATTTTTAACCATACCAATATTAGGTAATACAATTGAATTGGCAGCCCTAAGTCTAAAAAATGAAAAGAAAAACATTGATTTTTCAAAAATTCTTAGACGTAAATTACGTATGAATAAAAAATATTTAGGCATACATACAAAATATAGCCGCAATTTGCACAAAATATTAAAAATGGCACGTAATTTACAACAACCCAAATGAATGCATAAAAGGTAAGACTGTACTATTATTTTACATTTGAAATATTTTCGTAATCATTTTTAAGTCAGTAAGTACTTACTTAATTGGTGTAAATAATGAAATCAATGATACTTTAATTTTAAAAAAATTATTAAACGAGTACCTAGGTATGTTAACTGATAATTTGTTAATTTTGTCTCGTAACTAATACGAGAAATATAATAATAATTATAAATCATCGATTGTATTATTATAAATACATAATATGCAAAAATGTTCCAAATATTATAATAGCATTAAAAAAAAAAAAAAAAACTAAAGGAAAATGTGTATTATAGGTATCGTGCGAATATGTTTTACATGTATAAACACTTTCTTTTACGCCTTCGACTCCTTTCACTACACGGAACTATTTATTATTAAAATACAAGTATAATATACACAAGTCGTTTTTGTCCTCGGTCACAACATCACGAAAAATTATTTATCGTTACTTTCTATTGTGTATTATTAACAGAATTTACAATACGAATCCGTTAAGAAATAATCACAAATTTAAAATTATCACAATGTATCAATACCTACAGATATACATTTCATGTATTTTCAATTTTATACAAAATTTGTATTTAATAAATTTATATAAAACTATTAAAACTTATTCAATTGTATATATTTTTTAATAATTTGTATTGCAATCATTGACATATACCAAGTAGATACCTATAGGTATGATATTAATTATATGTATTACCTAATAAATATATCATAATTTATCTTCATAGGTGTATGGTTTTAAATGCACTTTTACAACAAAAAAAAAAAATTGTAAACTTCTATAATTTTAGGCTCATGTACACGGGTGCCCGTTGAAAATGTTGAGGGGTGCCAGAAATGAACCCGTTAGAAATATTACAAGGTTTTTATAATTATTTGTAGTTTATCTACTATAATATTTACTATAAAAGCATTAAAAATGATTATGTTTTGATAAAGAAGTATGAAACACTTCACACCAAAGTTCTTGCACTCGAAACCAACAAATCTACTGGCACTCCCTCGGCCACAGCCGTTTTTGACATCATCCAGGAATTTTCTGAATGTGCCAGATGCAAAGCGAATGTGACTCATGATCTACACGAGTCATCTTCCTCAGACCCAACGTCAAACTTTGCCGATGAAAAAAAAAACACCTTAACATCGATTTTTGTTTAAGTATCCACTAATGAGTTTATTAAGTTCAATCACTTTCGCCTAGGAAAAAGTGGTTCATCGCGGTGACGCTTCACGAAAGTAACATTTAACAAAAATACTACTGTTATGCAAGTTTTTTCGGCGTTCCGTGTTGAAAAAACTCGTTCACCCGAGTTTCAATCGTAGGTCTCAATGGTTCGAGACAAAACTCATCTTGAACACAAAAAAATACTGGCTTGTTACAACTTAATTTCTCACACAAAATCTTCCCCTCTAACTAATCCTCGCTTTTTTTGGTCATTTATCCGCAAATCCTTCTCCTCGCCAACCATTCCTCACAACGTCTACTACAATGATTTTACAAGTTCGGATGCCTCAAATGCAGCGGAACTATTATCAAAGTATTTTTCAATAGTATACAATTCATCTACTAATCATTTAACCCCTACCTGACTTACTCCGCAGCCCCAACGTACAACTTGTCCAAAAACATGTATTTTTCAACTGAAAGATGAAGTTGTCTGGCCACTATATATTCTTTTTTTCGAAGTTCTTAAACTCCAGTATTTTTCCCTCAAACTCAAAACTCGGGAAAGGGATCCATTATCCCTGTCCTTAAGTCAGGTGACCCACTAAATATAACTAACTACCGTCCTATCTTACTATCTTACCACACATTTCAAAAATCTTCGAAATAATCACCCTCAAATCCATTCGTCCATCTATAAATCACATCTTCGTCGGCGAACAACATTCCGTCCTGGCCGATCAACCAAAATCTGCAACTTAACTCTATCTTCTTATACATACGACTTTTTTCGTGACCGCTGCCAAGTTGACGCGATCTATACAGATTTTTCAAAAGCGTTTTACCGGGTTGATCACTCTCATCTGGTCAAAACACTTGATCTTCTTGGCATCGGCGGACCATTACTATATGGCTGGGCTTCTACTTAACGGATTGTCATCTCTTCGTAAAAATCGCAAACTCGCGTTCCTCTATATTCACTCCCTCATCTAGTGTCCCGCAAGGCGTGGTTCTGTCTCCACTTCTTTTTCTCCTTTTTTTTTAACTCAGCGTCTACAGTACTTTCTCATGCTAAACTTCTAATTTTCGCCGACGATATGAAACTCATCCTAAAAATAAACTCAGTACATAACTGCCAAAATCTGCAACACGACTTCAACCGACTATTTCTATGGGGTAAAATCTAGACCTCTCTCTCAACATTCAAAAATATTTTACAATAACTTTTATCAACCTCTGCTCACCCATATTTTTCCCCTGTGAATTACACAATATCTCTAAAAAAGCGATTTAGCATTTACTCTAACCCCTCTCCCCAAATAAGCATAAACAAGAAATCTGTTGTAAGGCTCTTGAAGTTCTTGATTTCATCCTTCGCTCTTCTCAACTTTTCCATCTAGCCATGCCTCTCAAAACACTGTACTGCACCGAGCGCCCTAATGAAACCCATCGTTGAGTATGGCAGTATGTTATGGGATCCTAAAACCACAACAGCTAGTGCTTCTGTAGAGCGTGTTCCGAGGTTTTTCCGTACCATTTTTATCATCTAAATATTTCCTGTCCCATACACCACGACTACTCTTCTGTTCTATATAAGCTGGGCTTCTAAAGCTTAGCAGACCGTAGACAGATAAATAACATTTCATTCCTTTCAAATCTTCTTATTGGCAAAATAAATTCACCGCTTCTTTTCTTACGTCAGTTTTTAAGTCCCATATCGTCACACCAGCGTCCATGCTCCATTTCATATTCCCCACTCTTCTACTAGTTTCCTTCAAAACTTCCCCCTAGACCATCTAATGAGAACCGCAAACAATTACCCATCCTTTCAATTATAAAACACAAAAAGAAAAATGCTAAGCAATGTAAAAATAGTAATAGTTATAGGAAACAATAGTAATAGAGTTAAATATTAAGTTATCACTAGCAATTCATAAGTTTAATATAAGTAAAATATATGTTAGATATAAGAACACTCAATGTAAACTGGGCTTGTCCTGTAATTTTATAATAAATAAATAAATAATTGATAAGAAATTTTCTCCGATACCAAAAATCGCGGTATATTTTTACATAATATTCTTATAATCTTTGATAATATACACATTTTTTTTCCCCTTTAACGTGGCTGGTTTTTGGGCGGCCTATGAAATTGGGAAAACCCGGCACCCATGCATATTACCATTAAAGTACATACAAATGTTTTTCTAGTTAATGACATATGTGTAGTATGCACATTATACATATTGGTACATTCGTAGGTATATAGGTTTACTTGTCTCTATTTTTAAATGTATATTAGTTTAATGGACCTCAAAGTTTTTTTTCCTACAAAATTGGTGGTCGCACAACTAAAAAGATCGAAACCGTGGATTTAATGTATATTGTATATAGTTACACATATGTAACAGAGACCCCGTGGAGATATATATTTTACCACAACAAAAACCTTTTAGCTTAGAATTGTGTATAAAACAATTTCCATTGTTAATAATATTGTATAGCATTTAAGTAACACTAAAATATATATGGTCTGTTAAAATATCGTGGTACTTAAATAGTATACAAATATAAAATAAACTATTCCATGATGCTGATCGTATAATTTATTTTGCGTTTTAAACACTGTATAACTACTTGGCCGTTTTTGTTTTGATTCAATACGCAAATCTATCTATACACAGTAAAATAAATTTTAATTATGGCAACTGATTGCATCTTACATTATTATGCTAAATTTGAATGTATTAAACATTTTACCGCCCCTGGAAAAGCTTATATAAATATTCTGTGAAGATTTCAGGTTTGGATTATTTTAAACGAAATTAGAATGAAAAAAGAATGACAAACCATTATTCTGTACATTTTCCCAATTATTAAGAAAACTGTAAAGAAAATTAAAAAATAACTTTAACCATACGAAAACCAAAGAAAATTTTCTTCAAGTAGATTTCAAGTAGTAAAATTGTTACAGATATACACACACACACACACACACACAAACATTCAAAGCACATAATATAATAAAACTATATACTCACTGCACTCAGAATCTAAAAAAAAACTTTTTCTTTGAATATGACTCTTATGTATAATTATGAAGAAAACTAACATTTTGCCTGTCTCGAAGTCATAAAAATATTATAAATTGTATTTTATCATAAACAAGTACTTTTTTTTCATTTTAATTTAATTACCAAATATTTCATAAAAATTCAAGATACTCGAATTTAAATTTTTAACAGATAAAAATATATATTAGAGCTACAGAAAATATATTGTTCAAACAATTTAATTATTATAATATAATGAAATATTGTCACATAATAGTATGGACACAACAGTTTAATTATATATAAATTACACATTGATATTATATTATATTTGTACATACTATTATGATTGAATAAAAATGTAATACAATAAATTATTATTAGAATGATAATAGTTCTATTACAGTCAATACACTTTATTTTCTAGTATAATAATATTCACATAAAAATATTGAAACATAAAATAAAAAAATTCAAATTTAATTATATTTTAAGCCATTTAAATTTATTTATTTTTTTAAACTTTATATCTTTTGATCAATAAATAATAATTAAAGGCTTTTAGTTTAGATACTAAGGCAGTGAACTAAAGGCAGTGAAAAAGAAAACAAATTACTACTAATTTTGAAAATGTATGAACTCGAATGCTAATTGTTGATTACAAATTTAAATTATTTTGCTTGAAACTCTTAATAATACATTTTAATAAATAAATCTAAACTTTAAATATTACCAAGTGTATATATATGTATATTTATATTAAAAGAGATTAAAAAAATCCTTTTGCACACACACACACACACACACACACGCATATAAATATATATATATATATAATAACATTTTTATATACCACTTAGAAGATATTTAAGATATTTAACGTAAGTATCATACATCAATTATTGTTTTTAATTAGCCATAGAATTAAAAATTACAAAATATTACAATGATTTTAAATATCCTCTTGATTTTAATGTAATTCTAAATTATATTCTACCTTTAGTTTATATCTTAAAGGCATATAACAAATAATAAAATTAACATTAAAAGTTGACAATTATGTATAGAGTTCAATATTATTAAAATTCAATTTTTTTTAAATATATATTATGTGACTTTCAAATACTCAAGACAGTTTAAAAGTAAATAGTTAAATGATTATCTTATTTGGTTGGTTTAGTATTGTTTTATTCATAAATTATGACATTTTGCTTTAAAAATGCAATAAAAAAATGAGATCTGAAAACATTTTTAATAATTTTAGATGAAAGAAAATTATCTTATATGCCACTGTAAAATAAATCTTAAAAAACTTAATTTTTTAATTTTTTTAAAATGAGCTGACAGCAATTCAGATTCATTACAATATTTATATTTAATAGGGCAAGATGTATTTTTTAAATTAAATCAATTGTATTGGAGAATAATATAAAATAATTAAATTATAAACTTATGAAACAAACCCTGTAATACATATGAATATACCCCAAACTAAAATTTAAAGTTTTTAATTGGCAACTCAAAGTAATAAATACATATTTATCTATTATAATATATTCTGTGTATATACTATATTATATTACATTTACAAATCAAAATTATTTGTAGGCTTAAACATGTCAACAAAACTAATATATAAAGGTGTTTTATGTACTTTATACATGACATTATTTTATAACATGCATTTAGTAAATTGTTGCCTCAATAAAAAAAAAAATTTAAAAAGAAGTGTGATATTTAATAGTAATTCCAGTGATATATAATTAATATTTAAATAAAATTTAAAAATACTAAATTAATAATGAATACCAATATTTAATCAATTAGGATTAACTTGTCTTGTCACTTCAACAGTAAATGAAATATTAAAAATAACACCAAAATTAAAAAGAGTATATACATTATTTTTGTAACAACCTGCAGTTGTACACTATTTTATTGTATTGCTAGTTTAATGAACTTGAAATATTAATAGTTATAGAATTTCAAAAGGACAATTGTATAATATGACACTGCCCCTACATTATATACTATATAAAAAGAATACTGTATTTACTAGATAGTTAGAAATATTATATTGAATTAAATAAGATATTTGTATATACTATCTGTTTAAGATATTAAAAAACTGACTTTTCTTTAAATAGTATATTGCTGTAAGAATTCATTAAACATAAATTAAAATTACTTAGATTATTAAAAATATGAACAATATATATTATCTAATCAATGTACAGTGGAATAACAACCCTGTTTTAGTATCTAAAATAAAATATTCACGAAACAGCGATATTATGCAAATTTACAAATACATTTTACCCATATAACCCAAATAAATGTATTAAAAAAATTATAATTTTTTTTAAATTTAGTATTGTATACATTATAGCAGTATTTTTCAAAATCAAAAGTATTCATTATTATTCACATACTTAGGAAATAAAATAAATAGGTAAAACCATATACAGTAAATATTTCTGTACAAAACAGTAACATCTTAATTATATTATATAAATTTGTACTTGGACAAGAAAATAACATTATTTGTTTTAAAAATATTGCCAATAAATTATTAATAGATTATTTAAAAATATATTAATTTAGCATTTATAATTGTTTTTTTAAATAAAAAAACAATATGTAACCCTAAAAAAGTACTCATTGAGTTTACATTTTATAATAAGACATCCAATACTATACAATTATATTACCTAACACAGTAAATAACATCTAAAATTCTATGAATTTATTTACATATATATGTATATATATTCATTATTTTTTAAATAATAACACTTTAAGAAAACTAAAATTGAAATATGAAACAATAATGTTAAAGCATTTGTTGATGTAATTATTAAGAAAATAATTTAACAATCTTTATAAAGATTGAAAATGTTAACAAGTCCCTACAATTTTTCTCTCCACTGTACAATGATTATAATAATAATAAAATCATATTTTATAATCACAAAAGTACTTACTACAATTCTCCATTTATTTGAGTTTAGAGAACATTAATGACAACAGTGATTATAACACATTGTAAATACATTGGGGAAACTTGATTAAAATATATTACAACAATTTTTCTCAAAATTATCACAATATTAATTACCTAATTATTTTCGTCTTATAGATTCAGACCCATTTGAGGGTAGTTTTTCAGGAACTGGTTTTTTTTTATCAGTCAATATAGGGAAAGTCCTACGCCGCACTGTGAGAGTTGCAGATATTTTATGATCTTCACCATTCAAAGATGTACTATTGCGTTTTTCTAATGGTTTTTCTGGCTTATCAGTTCGAACTGCGGATTGAGATCTAGTTGTAGACCCTCCTTTTTTATCACTTTTTTTTTCATATTTTTTTTCTTCAACATTATTTGCATTTTTAGTAGCGGGAGGGTTTTGTCTTGTAGAATTACCTTTACGACCATTTTGTTGTTTAATTACTTTTCCTTTTAATTTATCTTGAAGTTTTAAAGGGTAAAATGACCCAGCAGGTTTGCGCCTGGTACCAATATCAGACTGCAATGGGCTCTGCACTAAACACCTAATTTCAGTGCGATCTTCAGACTTTTTAGCTCCTTCCTCACGCCAATATTTTCTCTGTGTTTCAAAAGATTCATATAAAACATTACTAGCTTCAGAATCGATAGCAATTATATCTTGCAACTTTTGTATTGTTGTATAAAATGTTACTGGACTTATAAGACGCAAGTCACACAAGTTACACAAATGTAACATAAAGTTTTTATACAAGTTTTTCCTAAGAATATCTTTTCCTTTAGATTCAACAAACATACTCAAAGCTAATGGTATTTGACAATCACCAACAAATCTGAAACCAAAATAGTAAAAAATTAAATTCAACTGCAAGGTTGTAAGTAAAAACTGAAATTTGAAAAAATTATTTGATTTTGAACTAAGTATATCCTTTAATTAAAAACATACATACTTATGCACATATCCAAGAGCGGTCCATGGGGTATGGACCTCCTCCCCCCCGAAATTTAAGCTTCTTACAAAAAAAACAGATTATTGGTAGTTGGTGATAAACTTTTTTTCGATCCTTTCTCCCAAAAAAAAAATCCAGGCTACGTGCCTGTACATACCCTTCTTTCATAACATGCAAATTCCACATTTTCATTATTTCTTTTTCACCATCATTTACATCGGTGAATTCATCAATCATCATTGAAGTCTTTTTCCGTAACCATATAGGATCACTTTCATCTTCACTATCAACATCCATTTCTCGTGGGTAAATAGGAAGGCATGTTGATGTGTGGTGATATAGTCTGAAAGAAATGTATAAAATATAACCATTGAACATAATATGATAAAATATAATTAAAACAATTCATATTTTAAGGAAATTGATGATGTTGTATATTAGTCAATTTAAATTAAAAAGTCAGACAAAATTGTAGGAATTATGATTTATGGATTTCATTTTTTGAAACAAATTATGATTTTTTATAATATAACAATAGATCATAAAATTCAGTAAAAAGTATGTTTACATCAAAATCACAAAAAAGAAAAAAATAAGATTAAAACACAAAACTGAAATTTCAGATAGTACAATATGTCTTCAATGAGAATGATCATACTTTATAATTTTACAAGCATTTGGTATCTCAATATTATACAAAAAATATAAGCCACCTAGTAATAGTTTTTATTAAAATAAGACTTGGGACTTCACTTTAATCTTATATATTAATTTGCATACATTACTATGCATATAACAAAATATAAAATTGCTAAATACTGAATAATGGTTAGTATAATATCAATTTTAGATTCGGAGCATAGCAAGGGAACTATTCGTTTTACTGTGTTTTACTTCAAGTGTTTCTTATAGTCTGTGAGCAACTTTTCTACCAGAAAACTTGCTCTAAAGTAACAATTATAGCACCTTCTCGAAAGGTATATTTATTTTGGTGCATTGAAGAAGACATTTTTTTGATTTTCTTAGTTTTCAAAATAATTGGGAATGAAAATTGATAAATTTATGGCGTTAGAATTTCTTTATTTTATATTTGTAGAGCTTGTTTTCTGTACAAAATATTTCACCAATAGAAAAACAACAAGATACCTATATGTTGTGTTTCTAATCTAATAGGTAACCACACATTTTTTTAATTTTCTATGTAGATTTTTAATTGAGCAAAATCAAAAAATACATAGAAAGAACAGGAAAATGTACAAAATATTTTTTTTATTTTAAATTTTTTTTTTTTTTTTTTAATGTAATTCAGTTAAAAATATTTGTAGTGACTTTAAATGTTGACAATAAACTTCTATTTACTTTTTCTAGACCTGGTAAATATTCAAAACATTTGAGCTATACATTTAAATTGTATGCGTTTTTATAGTAGGTATTGACATGATGTACATTATAAGTCATACTTAGTGGTAAACAATTGAGTGTTATGAAATACATATATATATGTTTTAGAAATTTTAATGAAAATCATAAATATTAAATAAACATGTATAACTGAACTTTGCTCAGAATCGTTTTTCGATATCAATGGTTCATCATTGGTTACAGATTTAAATTAAAAAACTTTATGTGTCCCACCTTTCCAACAATCCACCTACACAACAGTGGCCGCACACGTCCCTGGTATCAACTTTTTTGTTATATTTTTCTGTTGTCATTGTGTGAAAAATAGCCAATATGAACTTAGTAAATTTAGTTTAATTACAGAGTTGCTTGTCATTTTTTTTTTTTAAAGTGAGAAAAGTATTATTTTCAATTAAGTGAATTAAGTTTTTTAATCAAAATATAAAAAAAATAATGTAGATAAAAGTAACTAAAAATATTAGTAAAAACATAAATGATAATAAAAATTTGAAATATTTAATTTAAACACTTAATTATATTTAAAGAGCTTTAAAAAATGAGAAAGATGAATTTTTTAGGGAAATTAATGAAATAAGTGATAAAAAGTCAGAATATTAATGAATAATGAGTGCATAGCAGCTTTGTAATTAGAGCTAGGCTGATAACTTTTTTTTCCCCCGATATAAAACTGATTCAATATTTTATGTTTTTAGATCCATGAACCGATAACCAATATAAATTGTAGTTGGAGTATATAGCATTATCGCTATAACCACCATCATTATATATTTTTATCATTACACAAATTGATATGGGACTTTTTTTGTACATTATATCAGTTTTATTATCGGTTGGAAAAAAAAACCTATACCTGATATATTGATAGTATCAATATCTGTCAGTATTAATATCAACTATTGATATTAGCTCAGTACTAAATTTAACCACTTTTGTTTTTTAACTAATAAACTGGCTATGTATAATACTTTAAAATTTAAACATTTAATTTGTATAAAATACTTTTATTCACCTGTTATGTCCAGTAACATATGGTCTTTGGCCATCATATCCATCAGTATCTTCTAATTCGTGTAAAAATTCTGATAAAGACGCACGTCTGAGTCGTTTTGGATGACAAACTACTATTTTAGACACTACTGTACGTCTCACAGGTCCAACTCTGGTTATACGATAACCGACATTCTTGGATTCGTCTCTTTGTGGTTGTGCAATTAAATCTTGTGGACTACCAATGTAACAACCATCATAATGTTCATTTATTGCAACATCAATTCGTGCACCAGATCCTGTTGGCTATAAATGTATTTTTAATGTAAAAACAGCTTTATATAACATTTAAAATAACTTACAACATAAGAAAACGTAAATCGAGCATGACATAATTTCAAATGCTTAAGTAGTGCATATAATGTAAAACAATCCAAGTTACACCAAGGACATTGTAAATCTTCACTAGCTTCAGTTTGTTGACGGCTGTTATTATTGTATAAAAATTGATATACTACTTTCAATTTATTAGTTGAATTATCCATAGAACCATTAGCATTTTGAACACTACTACTTCTTCTTGAATTGGAGTCTAAAAATATTAATTAACATAAAAACTAAAAATTTTTTAACAAATATTAAAAATTAATACTTGGCCAATTATTTTCTTTATTATCGACAAGAGGAAATTCAATAGTAGTGGTATTAGGCTCTGCTGACCACTTTAAACGAAGCTTGATCTTGTTACGATTTTCAAATACACTAAATTGTGGTCCAGTTTTTACTTCCTACATTAATTTATAAGTATATATGTATTTTTAATTATAATTTAAATTATAATGAAGATAAATATATTCTTACTTTAAGGCGTTCCCATGAAGCTGATTTGCCCACAGCTGATATAGGACTTGCATTTATTTCTTCCACAACACAATCATAATCACCATCTTTGAGTAAACAACGATTCTGCTTGTCGTGTATAACTAAATTTGCACCAAATTCTCTTTTATTTACACCATTTCCTTCTTTTATACTCATTCTTCTTTTCTTTTGACTAGGTTCTGAAATCAGAATAAAAACTATTTTTATAAAAAATAGATTACTTTACAAAATGTACATAATTATTACTAAATTTTTAGTAAACAACTAAATAATTACAACATTTTAAATTTATTTTGTGATCTCAATTTTGCTTATTGGTTTCTAAAGTGATCTACATATAGTTAACAAAAGAATACATACAAATAGTTTTAAAATAAGTGAAATACATTTCATTAATCTTTATGAAAAAGCATATTGCATGCAAAATTATATAAAAAAAATAGACCATATTAAATTAAAAAGGAAACAACACAAAATAGAAATATATTTTAAAATATTATTTTTAGTATATTAATTAATAATTATTATATTAAAAAGACAAAAAAGTCACGCATAAAACAATGTTATATTCGTAAGTATCAATAGTCAACAGATAACAGGCAGCAGAATGAAAATATAATTTTGCGATAAAATCAAGAAATTGTAATTTTTAAACAATTATGTTTATCAATTATAATTTAATCTCGCAATAATATAATCATTTTTATAGTGTATGGGACCTTGATACTTACACAAAAATTGTTATTTAGCGTAAATTATTGTATAACACTTACGATACAAGTAACCTGCATCAGATCGCCTTAAGACTGTTATCATATAAATATATAATATAATTTACAGTTGAAATACACCGTTCTATTAGATTTCTTAAGTGCAAGAACTTAAAAATCAATTAATATCAGTTAATATACACATAAATTAAGTTAATTTTTCATAATTGCAAAATTAATGCAGTATTTTAGAAATGTACATTTAATTGAATGCATTTTATCCAAACATTGAATCAACATAATTATTCAACTAAATTAATTTAGACACCATACCCACCAGTATTTTCAGAATCGGAGTTCGAAGCCACATTCATAATCCTAACTAATAAATGATGCGATTTAGACATAAGTCCATTCATAGTAGTGGCAGTAAGTGATTCAACTGGAATAGATACAATCGCAGCTTGTGATGTTAGTTGATTACAACTGGGGTTAACAGGAACAGATGAAAAACCATAAGATACCTAAAATAATAATTAAATCATTTTTATGAGATCTAATACAATTTATTAATACTGTTAATTATTTTACCAATGAAAATGGGGAAGCATCTTTCCGCTTTTTGTGACTAATTTTCATGAGACTAGTTTCAATTTTAATGGGTTCATTTTCATTTTTCACTGTCAAATTTAAATTTAAATAATATTACTAATCATTCATTAGAAAATATATAACAAATTTAACCAGTAATTTAAAATTACTTTTATCATCATAATAACCAATGTAAGTTATTGTCAGATATCGTTTGTTACAAGTTTTTTTTTCAAAAATTTTTTTTTCCATAGTACTCAACAATGAATCCACGTCTAATTTCTTTTTGGGATGCTTCGCTCTTGGACGATTTGCTTTCATGTAGCTTAAAGTTCTAATTAAAAATAACGGCTAAATAAAAGAAAAATATACATATATTAGGTATAGAAAAATAAATTGTAAACTTGTAAAATATTTATCCTGTTTCAGAACAAAGATAATTAAATTTATGAAGATATACATATTATATAATAAACACAAGGTTTTAATTATCCCATTTTATTAAAGTATAAACAACTATTATTTCCCACCTACATCTAACATATTGAGCATATATAAATATATAAATAGATCGAATATGATAATATCCTTATAAGGAAATAACTATAAAAAATTAATTTTGGCACTAAATATATTTTCGTACAAATATATAAAATAATAATATTATTTAAATATATTGTATTAATTAGTTTTAATTTATTCTTACTATTAATTTATTGTATTATATGTTAAGTTGTACATGTAATGTAATTAAACTAATGGTTGAATATAAAACTTGATACATAATATTATGCATCATGTTTATTTTAATTATTAATTTATAATTTGGTAAAATGTAAAAACTACAATTAGGTACTAGATTTTTTAATATCAACTTACCTATTATTAATATTGTAAAGCATAATATATAAAAAAAAATACTGAATTACTAATTTAAGTATAAATTAGATTTTATAAATAGTTTAAAAATACATATGCTATAACATGTAATATGTATAGTGTGAAAAAATGAGGTTTGATATATACTGCACAAATTTGGTCATTTTAAATTGATATTAAAATAAGTATAACTATTTATTTGCTGATTAAACTAATATAAAGTTAGTGTATTATTAATATTATATGAATATTTATTGAACATCGACCATATTTATTTTAACAATAACTTACTGAAAACAAACTACGATTCCTTAAATATTTGTAAATCTGGGTTGGCTCTGAAAAAGATTCAAATAATGTTTTACTTAGTTATGTTATAAATATAACTACAAAAGAAAAAAAATAGACAATACTTATCTAACTAGTGTAAAATTATTACAACTGTTTATACCCAAAAAAACAGTTTTTTTTTTTTTTAATTATAAATAAAAATGAATAGTTAAATTACTAATTAAATAATTCAAATTTATATTTTTTTTTATTAAACCAAAACTGGTCATAATAAAATAATTTTATAATGCTTATAGCTTTGCATTATTATACTACACAATACAATATATTGACAATATTATACAATAATATTTAAATGTACATAAGAAATTGACGGAAAATAAACCCAGTTGTAAATTAATACCAATTTGAAAAATATTAATATAACAGATTAAAAAAAAAAAAAAAGAATGATAAATAAAACAAAATATAATAGGTATTTATTATACATATTAATTTAAGTGGAAGAAAAAATGAACTGGTAATTTAAAAAATAATTATTTCAATTGCTATAACTTATTACTGCTATTCAAAATTAATTCAACAACACTTGTTTGGTTGTTGTTTACTTTTAAAACTACTAATTTTAAAGTAATCGAAAGCCTGGTATCGAGTTTTATATTTTTCATTCTATTGTTACCTACTCAAGATGATTTTACATAATAAATCGAAGTTCATATTGTTTTTATAGTTTCATACCCGCACCACTGTAAATTCTACAATAATTAATTTCAAAAAATTAGTAAAAACAATAACAAACTTTTCAATCATTTTAGATGTGTGACTGTTTGAAAGTGATACAGTCATCTAACTGTGAATCGTTCAATACAGTTTTTAATTGAAATTGTTTGTTTTTATTGTTTAGAAGACATGTCATTAATTAAGGAGTTTTAACATCTAAAAATTAAGCCCAAAAAAAACTATGTTATCGAAAACTAGGTAGATAGAAATAATTAAAAAAAAATAAATACTAAACATGTTAATTTTTGGACATTTATCTATACAGTGTCCCACAAAGATATAGTTACTGCAATATCTCCTAATATAACAAAAATAATTAAATTCTATTTTTTATATTAATCACAGAAATAAGGAAAACAAATATTTATATTTTAATTAAATTTGTATGTTTTGATAAAAAAAACTAAAATTTTTCAAAATGAATTAACATTTATTATACAATTATTGGATTTCAATTACAATAAGCATATAAGCATATGAGCATATTAAGAATATTATGGAAATGAAAACACTAGACGAAATTATCTGCCCTAAAGTAACCCTTGACTAGTAACAATTAATCAGTTAACACACAGTATGTAGATATGTTCAAAATTCAAATACCTATAATTAAATATATTATGTAGGTAGTATAATAATTTACAACAAAGTTTTATTTTAACTATTTAATTTTTATAGTAATTTAAACCTACTTTCAAAGGCTTGTAAGAAAAGCTCATGATCTGTTTCGTCGATTCTGTTTTTGTCCAGTTCTTTTTCTCTCTTTTTAGGAGCCATTCTAAAAGACCGGGAATTATTTGCAATTAATAAATAAATGATGAAACACAAAAATTAAATGGTCGAAATTTAAATTCCAAAAATTAAATAAGTTTATCAATAATAAAAAAAAAGGCAAAAACTAAAACTAAAAAAAAAAAATACGTAAATCTAAAAACCGAGGAGGGTAAACAATGGAAGCAATCCATTGGCAAAGGGCGAGGCGAAGGCAACGGGAAGCCTACAGCCGTTCCGGGGGACAACGACCGATAACGAGCAACACAGCGTAGCCAGATATTCGAAAATAACTTACCGCTTTAAAATTTCCCTAGAAAAAGTTCGAATCATGAACAATTTGCAAGTTCGATTGAAAAATTATCAAACTATAGTAATAACGGTACATTTATTTTACGTAAATATTTTTTTTAATAGCGAAATTTGTAGTTTCTTCTAAAATTATGATTTTATAATCAAAAATTGTTGGTCACACCATTCACTTCAAGATTCCAATGATTATTTTCCGTTAGTGTTCAAAAAAACGTTAATTGTGCAATGATTAATGGATTGTTATTTGTTAGGTTAGGTTAACACTTAGCACCGATCCACCGCCGTAATAATTATAGAGAACAGATAAGATAAAATCAACATTTTTTTTTTGTGAACAAAATATCATAGTTTGTTAGTCTACTAAGGTATTATGGACTCCTTCACGAAAATGTTTACCTATTTTTCATTGAACTTCATGGTCTATATTTGAATGTTTGCTCATTTAATGGAACCATGACTAAATAGACTTAGTCATGGATAAGACCATCTTCATTATCCTCCATCAAAGATAATAAAAAATGATAATAATTATTATTTTGAAGACTACAATAAAGAGATCAAACTCTGCTTCTGATAACGTCCTGAAAAGAGTCGCACGATCAAATGGCCACAGGCTGCCTTCCGTACAATGATAGTGTTGCTAATTTAACCCGCAAAGTGTAGAGGTTATTCATGTTTTTTGGAAAATATGTGCATTATTTCAAATAATGACGCATCATAAATTGTATTGCTCGTAAAATTAAGCATTCATACATGTGCGTATGTATATATTTCGTAAATATTTTTTTCATGCTAGAATGATCTAGTCTTAGTGAATCATTGCTATATTTAACATATTAATATCTACGTTAAACTTATAATAATTACGTAAAAATATTAATTCATTTAGTATTTATTAAAAAGAATATTAAGTAATAACCCTACAATACATGATTTTTTTTTAATAATATTAAATTTTTTATTTTATTTTTTTTACTATTAATTACCATTATGAGGTACTATGAAAATAGTAATATTGTAAATGCAAAGACACGGCATTAGGTACGTCAATGAATACTCGCGTAGTCGCATGTGGTGCTAAATGCATACTGTTGTGTGAGCAACAACCGTATTTTATAATTTTACAAATAAAATAATTGAATTATTTCTTTGCTACCTATCTCAAACACACGCAGTTTAAAGGTATATCAATTCAATGTAATTTTTTTATGTACATAATAGACGTAAATTTATAGTCATTAATTGTGGGGACTAGGGAAATTCCATGCCTAATTTCTGTACAGTACACACTGATCAATTGATAAATTATTTAATAATTTAAATTAGGTATCTGCTAAAATCTACTGGTTTAAATGAAAACCATACAGGTACCTAATATTATTATATCTTATCATATTTATTTTCAATTATATTTGATTAATACTGTCCCACGTAGATCGATATCCCAAACAACACAGAGTTCCCGCGCCGTAAATGGGAAGTCTCCATATTGAGTCCTTTAAGAGTCCCATGCCAGGACCTCCTATGGAAGTAGGCTGGACCATACATTATTTTCGTATTACCGCCAACGAACGTCCTAATTAGGTGCGTAAATAAGCAATACAGATTATAATTTGGAAGTTTATTAGAAGGCCTTTGGACATCCGTAAAGTATTATTCATATTTCATATCCGTAAGAAACATAATTGAATATATTTATGTTGACACAATATTATAATAAAGTTAATGTAATTATTATTAGTATTCATACTTCATCCATCTGACAATCTATCATTAAAAAATTATATTTACCTTAATTTAAATACAATTATACTAAATAACTGAATATTTGTTAATTGTTATCAATTATCACAATTATCAGTATTATCATTCCCGCCTTAAACTAGTATCACAGAATAATATTGTGCTATAAACAATATTATTTATCATCTCGATGATATGTAGATACCTAATAATATAGTGTATCTCCAATGTATAAGTGATTTTAAAGCAACAGAATTCTGCCAAATATCAATTTACACAGAAATAGGTGTACTTAAAAAAGTGATGTCACCTGAAATGTATCATAATTTCTTATGTCTCAATAATATATCTATAATAATACTATATTCTCCTTAGTTTAGTTCAATTAATTGTTAACTACGCTGAAAAACTTCCACAATATTTTGTCTTACATATTTAATAAATTTATAGTGAACACTATATATCACATAAAGTGTACAAATTGCTCCATATTGTAGATGATGTTAGACATTTTGGGCTTCTGGATCGTTTTAGTTGTATTTAGGTATAGAACCTAGGTAATAATTTATTTTAACAATTTGTGTCGGTTGTTGCTGTGAAGCTACACCATGCATTGTAGGGTGTGTTTATGAAATATATACATATGCACATATATGAATGCATAACTTTACGAGCTATACAATTTATAATGAGACATAGTTCGAAATAATGAAAATATTTTTCAAAAAACATTAAGAATAGGTAATCGATTAATCATGCGACCCATTTTGCGACGTGTTTTTATGCAGGTGGCTATACAGCTAAATATCCTTATTCCAGTTTTAATGATTTTGTATTTTTGTTTATATGTTATACTATTTTAAACAATTTTTTTCTTAAATATTACAATGGTATTTCTTCTATGTCTACGGCCTTCAAGACCAAATTGTCAAACACATGCCATACCATCCGATTCAACATTCAACCAGCTCTACATTCGACACCTGGTCCTCCCATCATAGCCTTGATCTACTAAGTGGTCTTGCGTCTTCTGGAGAGCCTCATAATACCTTATGTACAAGGGCTCTTTCCTTTCAACAGTAGCGGCGCTAGAACTTTTACTTCAAGTGGGCCAAACTGAGGCCAACATTTTATAAGGAGGGCCAATATTTTTCTTGATACTTATTTATCAATCTATGAAGACTGTTATGGTAAAAAAATTTAATAGGCATTATATATTTTCTTTAATAATAATTGTTTAAAATTGTACCAATTTTTCCGTTTTTCTCTGTTTTCCCATGTTATTTCCGGTTTTTCATATTTGCTAGGAAAACTCCTGAAAAAATCAAAAAACTACTTTCTCAGTCAGATTTAATTTCACAAAAAGTGCTATCATTGTAAATCGGAGCAAAATTACTAATTGAAAATAAGAAAAAAACAGAAAAAAAATCGTAATATTTTACTAATTTATTTCATACATTTTCTCGTTTTCCTCCGTTTTTTTCGTTTTTTCACATTCGATGAGAAAACTCCTGGAAAAATCGAAAAATTACTTATTTTAAGTACCACCCCAAGAAAATTTTCTTTCAGTAAAAGGTTTACATCGCATACATCGGACTCGTCAGAATAAGCTTTATTGTAGAAAGAGTGTTCACATAAAAAAAAAAAAACAATTAAAAAATTAACATCTTTATAAAATCAATACATTCGTTACACTCAGAATCTAAAATATAACTATGATCTCTACATTTCTTTGTATTTTTATGTATCTAAAAATATGATATATAATTTAAAACATAATTTCTTTGTAATCATACAGGACGGGCTGGTCGGGGGCCAGGAAGATTTTAGAGTGAGCCGTGGCGACACCACTGTTTTTCGCCATGCGCAGCTAGCCCAAAAGTTTCTGATGTAGTTCCTTAATCTCTACATTAAGTATGTCTGATTCTCCACTTTTCTGTATTCCTATCCATACAAGGGCCAAAAATCAACCTCAGAATTTTTCGTTCAAATACTAAGGGGTTATTCTATTGTATCTTATGAATCGTCCAAGTTTCGCACCCATACTTCAGTACGGGTTAAATAAGAGTTCTATACAGTTGTACCTTTAGGCTCCTAGACAATATTCTTGACAAGCAAACAGCTTGTTCAATCTAAATATTCCAAAATAGCATCTATTGCCCGCTTGTATTCTTACTTTTATTTCCTCTTGTATTTGACTATTCTGGGTTATAAGTGTACCTCGGTACTTGAACTTCTAAACATTGATAAAATTTACATGCCCTCCACTTTCAGAAGAGTATATACATCCTCCGGTAAAAATGCCTTTTGAGCTGTTATGTATTCTGTTTTTTCCACGTTTATTTCTAATACAACTCTTTTTATTGCTTCAAGTAATTCTTAAGTTTGTTCACGAGCTCTTCTTTATTTTCCTCTAATAGCACTAAATCATCCACGTACGTCAATAGTCCAAACTTTGTCTCATCTACTTGTTCTCCTCTATTCAAAGCTATTCATTATAATGGTTCATCATAGCGTTATTTGCAACTTTGCAAGTCATTAATGGGTGACATGACTTTGTCATTCCATTTTTTTTCATCGTGGATAAATAAAGACATCTTAGGACAGCGTTTTCTGGAAGGGAATGTGTAATACGCACAATTAGTTTTTACGTCATGCACTTAGCCTATCCATTCTTTATTATCTATGTCTTCTTATCACCATTAGAAAAAAAAGGAATATCTATTATCCACACCATAGGGCAAATTACTCTATCAGCACAGATATAGAAAATAATTATCTTAATCCATGCTACAGAATTTTGAATTATAAGCTGCTTGGAATCATATTGCAGTGATGTACTAATTTTACAATAACACGCTAAATCAAATTATTGTACGCTCACTGTACACGTATTACATAATAAAAACTAATTACAATTTGCAAAAAGACAAGAAAAAAGCTAAAGGCAATGTTTTTAATTTTAAGATTCGAAATTTCTGCTAGCGCGTTTTTTAAAAATCGCTGTTGGCTACACAAACATCTTATAGGTAATATAACATTTATTTCTTATCACACGTTAAGGTATTTAGAGGAAGTGACCCCATCCCGTATTTAATAATAATAATTTAAATATACAGTCATTTGACATTCGAGTTCGGAAATTAAAATAAAAATATTCAGAGTATAGGTAATGGATTATTTGTATTGTGCTTTTATGGTATGCAGTATGCACAGATAATTTACAATCACTCAGTCAACGAAAAGCGTTCTCTATCAATCCATGTCTGGTGTGTAACTGTTTCGTATAAGGTCTATGTCTGTCAGATATATCAGATATGTCTTATTCACGGCTATTGATAATATTATCAATAGCCGTGGTCTGTACTATAGTACTGTTGATTATACTATCTAAAATCGTGCCTTACAGTAAGTTGTAAAGTACCGTATTTTTTTTTTTAAATATCAAATTCACAAACCTTTGTTAATATTCCAGAAAAGTTACCACCACGATTTAACATATACCTTAAATATATATATATATGTATGTCTTAAACCGTGGTTACCAAAAATACACCAAAGTTCAAAATTGGAAATTTCAAAATTGTGAATTGTGATAAATGATAATAGTTGTAAATTATCACTTTTTATTTATTCCACGATATATCCGCTTATCATTTTATGTTTTTGAAGAATGATAATGCTTTCCACGTGCTTTTCTGTTGTAGCGTACTAGAGTAGTTGTGTACTTGTGTTTGCAGTATTATTGTTCAGGGTAAAATTAATTTACCAGAATATTATAGTTAATCTCGTTTAAATTTTTTTCTGTTAACAATTTTGTTTTCATATTTGATTTTTTATTTTTCTAATGATTCATCATGATAAAACTAGAAACATCTTATAGTTTAGGTTCCATCATTGAATCTAATTTCTTAGGAATATCGAATGATGCTGAACCCGATAATGTTATTGTTACATTATCAAAGAATATGGTTACTTGTTTTCATGTTTGTTCATATATTTCATTTAATAATTTTTTTAATTTATTTGATAATCACATTTTTTTATGCATACTATTTAGATGCCAAGTCAAAATCAAGTTCACTGTTGGAGCAGTTCTGATAAATTGTCTTCTGAAGTAATCTTTGATCCATTAACCAATTGTTATTATGGTGTTTTTAACTATACAAGAATTGGAAAATGGTTACAAAATTCTTTAGACATGAAAGATATGAAAAAATATAATGTGAGTTTTTTTCTATAATTTATATGTTTTTGTAGTTAACAATAATAGATTGTGTAAATAACTAATATAATATCATACATTTAAGAAAATATTGAACATGAATTGTTAATACAAAAAATAACCAAGTTACTTTATATCACTATTATAATCAGTATGATTTTTTCATTTTAATAATGATGGAGCTACTATAATTTTATTCAAAAAATATATACATATAATAATTAAATCTTGAGGTAATTCAAATGATGCAAGTTTTCATCTACAAATAATGAAAATGAAAAATGAAATATCTATATGATTTAATTTTAATTCTCTTTAATTTGCTCAATTTAGTTTTTAAAATACAGTGATTATTTTTCACTTATAAACACCAAAGTAAACTAATTAAAACAAGTTTTAAGCCACTAATATGTATCTAATCTATAGTTCTTAGAAGATTAATAAAACTGTTACTTACAGAATGTTTACTTTCTTATTCTTAAGATGCAATTTTGAATTTTCGAACATCATCCAATACATTCATAAATGAGCAAGAACCCTTTAGAACAATAGTACAGTGGTGATAAAAAATAATTTTATAACAAATAATATAAAGAATGGATACCATACATTAAATAGCAAAAAATACTGATTTCAAACAGTTTGAAAATAAACTATTGAATTAGAATCAACTGGTTTCAATTAAAATATTTAATAGAGACCTATACTGCTCTGCTAAGCAAAAGTGCTGTAAAAACAAATATATTAGTTTTGAGAAAAATGTATTCTTGTATTTTTCGTTTTCTTACCTTTGTTTATTTTCCATTCTATTTGATTTTGTGTAAAATAAATAAAACAAATTTAAACCATATCAGCATGTATAGTATGCATACAATTATAAGTTATAAGTCACAAAATAATGCTAAGCAATTGCGCCGTAACTTGAATAGAACATAGAAATATTAAGACAAATTACAGTATCTATAAAAATATTTACGGTGTTTATGCTTAGTAAATGTAAGATGCGGCTTTCTTACTTAGTGCAATTAATATTGTTGGTCACTTAAATCATTTTCAATAAAATATGATTGTGTTTTTAGCTTATTCAATGTAATTTCTGGAGTTTTTTTTCCACAAAAATTATGTAGAATTGGTATACTTAACAAAAGCTATCATTTTTTTTTTCAAGTTGTCGTACTTTTGCTTAGCAGGACAATATATAAATTGCTAGTTGGAATTTCCTGGTAATTTTGTTGTGAATAGAGTTGTATCATACTATAGTCAGTATTTCCTTAAATAGAAGGGACGACAATTTATTCACGTTTAGTATTTGATTGATCCTGTTAAATTATTTAATTTTTTATGTATTTATATATATATATAGTTCACTGTCAAAATAAAACATCTTTTAACAAGATTGGACTATAAAGGAGCAGTAGCAGTTTTTGAAAATGGATATTGTGAATGTTTAAAAGAAGCAATTAGTAACAGAAAAAAAAACAGAGTTTCTATTATTAATGATGGCGAAATAATTGAGTTTTCAAAATTATGCTTCTTCAAAAAAAAAGCTATATGTATTATTGTATCTGTTGATAACAATGTAAATTGTATTTTTTATTTATGATCCACAGACATTTTATTGTAATAATGATCTCATCAAATTTTTAATATTATAATTTCAGAATATAAAAACTTTACGATCTGTGCCATTGGAAGATTCATTTTTACCAATTAATTTACAAATATCTTTCAAAAACAAAACTGTCAAATTGCTTGGTTATTGTATAAAAGAAAATTCCACTTCACTTAATGTTATAACATTTTGTAAGTATTTAACTATAAAACATTTATTTGTTTATAGTATTAACTATACTTATGGTGATTATGATTTAAAAATAATTGCCTTTCAAAATTTTAGAAACTTGATTGTCTAAAAAAGATTCTATAAGTAGGTGTAGTATTTGTTTAAAATTTTAAATATATATTGGTATCGACATTTTTGATTCCCGTAAACCCATTGACGATATATTCCGCTGTTTAGTATAGGCTGGAGAGATTAGCACAGTGATATTTAAATGTCCCACATGGTGCCACCATATAAATAATGCTTCACTACTCTCCCCTACTCGAACTTAACAGTGAAAAATCACGTCAAAGAGCGACTATAATCAAAAATAAAAAATATCCAGGGCGATTCATTAAGGGTGCTTACCTCATTTGTTTGGTTACATTTTGTATGTATACAAATTCTAATCTTAAACAATTTTTAGTGTAGTTAATTCCAATATTTTCAACATATTTAGATTTTTCATGACATTTAAGGAGTATCCTGTGGTGATACCAACTTTGGTTTTTCAAATGAGAACCTATATTAAGAAAGTTTTTCTAGGATAATGGGGATGGATATTCGGTTGATAGTTGCTTTGTCAATAATTATTATGTGTGTCACATTATGGTAAGTTAATTACATATGCATTATATATTTCCTTTAATAATATTTATTTAATATTGTACCTATTTTTCTGGGATTTCCAATATATTGAGAAAAATTCTGGCAAAATCAAAAAATGACCACCCTAAAGGATCTCCCCTGTCAGATTTCCTACAGAAAAAAGAAGAAAACATTGTAAAACCAATACATTCCTCGCTCCTCTTAAAATATAAAGTATACGGTCCTTTTTTTTTTTTTGTGAACAAATTTTCGGGAGGTAATTTTTCGAATTCCAGAACTAAATGGAAAAACAGGAAAATAGGTACTATACTAAAGAAAATATATAATGCACATGTAATAATTTTACCATAATATGGCTTATATGTTAACAAAGTAACACTATCAACTGAACTCCGCTCAGAAGTACCTCCCCAGTCAGATTTTCTTTTAGAAAAAGTACTATCATTGTAAATTTGAACAAAATTGCTAGTAGAAAAATTAGTTTTCCACGAAGAAAAAATAAACATTGTAAATCCATAAGCTTCTTTGCTTCACTCAGAATCTAAAATACATAATCAGATAGAATATTAGTTTAGTAAATTTTGGTGTGAACATTTTTGATTTCCGCCAACCTATTGACAAAATACTCCACTGATTCACTAGTTTAGGTAAGAGGAGAGTAGTAGAGTATCATATGTGTGGTGGTTTTAGTACTTTATATCTCGTCAACAGGTTGACGCTAATCAAAGATGTTGATTTAACATCTAAATTTATTTAAAGTTAGTGATTCGTTTTTTTTTTTCATGAACCAGAAATTTCCTTGGAGAATTTTAAATTAATTTGATTTTGTTTTTTTAGTCATTCTGGAATGGTATAAGCTTTATTTTAAATTTGTTATCCCTGCTGTTTGTACCTGAAATATGTATCCTCTTTTGATTTTTAAATAGCAAACCTCCCTCCTCCCTTTTCAATCACAAATTCAAATTAAGAATAATTTTAGAAATTTGATTTACATATAATGCTAATATCAGATTTGCTGTTTATGAGGTATAACACTTTAAAGTTTAAACCAGAGGGGTATAGAAGAGTTAGCAGTTTATCATTTAAAAATAGATATGTAATTTATAAGTTGAAAATAGTGTTAAAATAAAGCTTAAACATTTCCATAATCATTAAAAAAAAAATCAAATTCATTTAAAAATTTCCTCAGAGAACATATCCGGTTTTCGATAACAGAAACCCCTTGTATACCATTTAATTCATCAATAATTGTAATAATTGCTATTCAATTTTCACAGGGTCTGATGGCTTTTTATACTCTAGTGAATTATATGCTGAGTCTAATTGCAATGACTTTCCAGGAAAACTACTAACAGAAATTGCTTTTGTTAATTCAAAAAAGCAAGTAACAATAATTCAACTCAGTTCAGATTGTATTGGTATTTATGGAGCAGAATTACAAGGAGATGGTAAGTAATTTACCAAAATATTATAATTTATATATTTATAAAAAAAAAAAAGGATAATTAACTTTAAATATAAAATTAAAAACTTCCCTTATATGATTTTCAAAGTAATAAAAATAGTTTGGTTAAAATAGTGGTGCACTAATAAAACATTGTTTGCCCTGCCACCATATAAACCACATACACCACCACTACTCTACCTCTTACTAAAACTAAAAAGTGGAATTTAACGGGTTGACGGAAATCAAACATTTTGACACCAAAATTTATTTATTGTAATACTCTTTATTAAATTTTAGATTCCGAACGTAGCGAGGTATCTATTGGTTTTACAATACTGTTTATTCTTCTTTATTCTAGTCTGTGGACATGTTTTTTCTTAGTAAACTTGTTCCTATCTTTACAAACCTTTTTTGAAAGTTCAAGTTGTCTATATGGTACTTTAGACAGGTAATTTTTTAAATAAAAGCACCAAAGTAGGAAAACGTACAATTACACAATTTCGTTATTTTATAAAAAAAAATCACAAGATACCTTTTTTGTTGCCTTTTTGATATACTTTTTTACGGTATTATTCCCAAAACTTTTGAGCCGCTTCTGAACTTTTAAGGAATTTTAATTTTCGGGAGTTTTTTTGCTGTAATTCAGTTATAAATTCATTTGGATACTTGAAACTTGATAATAATACTTATATTGGATTTACCTAAATGTTGGTAAAATTTACGAAAATCATCAGACGACTTTTTTTAACAAACATTTTGAAATCAAATTTAAACAAAAATCGCAAAAAAATATTACGGCACTTCAATGAATTATGTATTATCGAACTGCACTCGGAATTGTCTTTCGTTAACTATGGTTTATCGTTGCTTACAGATATAAATGAAAGAACCTTATGTATCCTACCTTCCCAACTTTCCACCTACAACAGTGGCTGTACCCATCCCTAGTTTCACCTCTTTAATATAGGTTCTCATTTGAAAAAACCAAAGTTAGTATCACCACAGGATTGAATATTAAATATTTTGAAAAATCTGAGTTTTCAAAAATATCGGCTTTTTTTTCTTTCTTTTTTTACGGCCTTTTAGACCACACATCCAAACATAATTGCCTCCATCCTTCACGATTTGGTGCTAGTATATGCCAATCTTCCTCCGGGTAGAAAACTGTTACATCTTTTTTGACGTAGTCCTCCATCGTATTCTGGGTCTTCCTAATGGTCTTTTCCCTCTTAGATTCTCTTGTAAGACCGTCTTTGTCATAGCATCAAGTTTCCTCCACACATGACCTGCCCATTCCAATTTTTTTCTTTTTATCTCCTTTACTATATCCGGTCTGTTATATAAGTCATATAACTCCTCATTGTGTCTTTTACGCCATTCATCTGTTTGCGGGTCATGATATGGTCCATAAATCCTTCTTAATATTTTCCTTTCAAAGACCCTCAGTGTTTTGATTCATCATTTTTCCTTACAGTCCAACATTGTGCTCCATAAAGTACTATTGATCTTATTAGTGTGACATACGGCTGAATTTTAAGTGTCTTTGAGAGTATTCTTGACTTGAGTAAGTTCCCCATTGCGTAATAACACTTGTTACCCATNTTGCTATTATTCGACCCTTTGGGGTCACGGGGAGGAAGTGATTAGTCACGACCAAAATTAACTAAAATTCTTTTCTTATAACACTGAAAAAAGTGAGGGGAATCTACATCAAACATTTTCAAAGTTCATAAATAAGGACATTCCTAGTAAAAGATACAAATAAAATAAATTATTATCAAATAAATGTAAAATAAATATAATTAATACATGGAATATGCATTCCTTATGTCTTCCTAGTGGTCTATTCCCTCTTGGATTCTCTTGTAAGACCGTCTATGTCATCGCATCAGGTTTCCTCCACATATGACCTGTCCATTCTAATCTTTTTCTTTTTATCTCCTTTACTATATCCGGTCTGTTATATAAGTCATATGACTCCTCATTGTGTCTTTTACGCCATTCAACTGTTTGCGGTCATGATATGGTCCAAAATATTATATATAATACATTCTGTTTTCTCTTCATTAATTTGCAATCCAACTTTTATCGCTGCTGTTATAAGTCGTTCACACAGACTTTTTACTGTATTTATATTATTTCTTAAAAACACTATATCATCTGCGTATCCTAAAATACTTATTGATGTCCCATTGAGTTTCACCCCTTCATCTGGTGAGATATTCATCTTTCTAATTACTTTTTCCAGAACTAGATTAAAAATAATTGGGGATAGTGCATCACCTTGCCGTAGTCCTGTATTCACCTGAACTTCTCTTGATAGTACATTACCAACTTTCAATTTTACTATATATATATAAGCATATGGCTTCGGCATAATTAAATAAATAAATAAACAAAACAGGATAAATAAATAGATAAATAGATAAATAAATAAATAATGATAGCAATAATAAATANGGGGATAGTGCATCATCTTGCCGTAGTCCTGTATTCACCTGAACTTCTTGATAGTACATTACCTTGATAGTACATTACCAACTTTCACTTTTACCATGGTGCCATTTAAAGTGGCTTTAATTAATCCTATAAGCTTTTGTGGGATGCGGAAATGTTTTAAAATTTTGTATATACTTTCTCTGTTGATACTATCATACGCCTTTTTGAAATCTACAAAAAGTGTATGTAGATCTTGATCGAATTCCCAGGTTTTTTGATATAGTTGTCTTATANTGCGGAAATGTTCTAAAATTTTGTATATACTTTCTCTGTTTATACTATCATACGCCTTTTTGAAATATACAAAGGTGTATGTAGTTCTTGATCGAATTCCCAGGTTTTTTGAGCTAGTTGTCTTATAATAAATATTTGATCTATTGTAGTTTTATTTTCTCTACAACCACCTCGATAGTAATTTATGATATTTTCCGCCAAAGGTTTAATTCTATCTAGAATGCAATACGATAAGATTTTATAGGTTATATTCACTAAGGTTATACCTCTATAGTTGCTGCATTCTTTTTTATCATCCTTTTTGTGTAAAGGGCAAATTAATGCCATATTCCAATCTTTAGGTAACTCTTCAGTATTCCATATTTTCTCAATTAGTTAATGAATCATCTCAATCATTGTTTCATCGACACATTTTAGGATTTCGCATTGTATACCATCTTCGTCAAGTGATTTATGGTTTTTTAATCTCTTAATTTGTGTTTAAATTTCTTGTACCGTAGGTGTTTCATATTAGCAATTATTTGGTTGTTCTTATATATAATCAAAATATTCCCGCACGCCCATCGGGCGATGGGCGCGCCACATTCCCTATGCCATAATTCCTTATACATAAAATGTTTATTTGTACGTAGTCACCGTAATTTTATTTAATTATTGAATATGAAGTATACAACCTTTAGAAATATCCTAAATATTATTACATATTGTATACATTTATTTTGAAAATTACCCATGTTTGCTATTATTCGACCCTTTGGGGTCACGGGGAGGAAGTGAGTAGTCACGACCAAAATTAACTAAAATTCTTTTCTTATAACACTGAAAAAAGTGAAGGGAACCTACATCAATCATTTTCAAAGTTCATAAATAAGAACATTCCTAGTAAAAGATACAAATAAAATAAATTTTTATAAAATAAATGTAAAATTTTTTAAGCTAGTTGTCTTATAATAAATATTTGATCTATCGGCTTTAACTATACTTTTTAAAAATCAGATTTTGAATAAATGCAATATAAAGGGGTTGAGCACGCTTAGTGAATCACCCTGTATGTTAAAATGGTGGGTATTTTTTTCATATAATCTATAACAATTTATTAAAATTAATAAGAAACAATTTTATATAGGTACAGTTGTATATATATATATATACAATATTTACATTCTTTTTTAATTAATTTTTTTAGGAGCTGTTTTAGTAATATACAATTTTCATTACAATATGGTGATTGCTGTACAACATTTTAAAAACTATGCTGACCCTCCAAATTTGTGGTGTTTTGGAAATTATTTACTTTTAATAACAGGCCAAAACTTAGCAGTGCTTCCTTTTACATCTGAAAGAAATAATTTGTCTCTGTTAATGGATAATAATTTAATTAAAAAAAATGATAAATATGAAGAAATTGAATGGGATGTTAATGCAAAACAAAATTGTAATGATACAAACATTTCATCTTCAGCATTATCACAATCAAAGTAAGAACCGTATACATTTCTTAAAACATCAATGCTAATTTTTTTTTTTTTTTTTTTCAGGCTAAATGAAATAATTATCAGGGACTATATTAAAAACAAAAATGATGAATATTTGATTCAGTTATTGATGGAAAATAATGATATCAATGATATATCTTTAGTTGAAATATTGTCATACTGCAGTTTAAACACAGTAAAACATTCAAAGCTTTTGGTAAAATTATTTGCATATCCACCATTAAATAAACCAGCTCGTTTACGAGGTCAAATACCATTTGAAAATATGTTAAACCTTTTAAGTACTTTATATTCATGTATGAAAGAAAAACTAATTGAAGAAAGATTGATTGATTGGATGACATTATTGATTGACTGTTCATATCAGCAAATATTATTATCAAACGATCCTAATGTACTTGAATTTATCATTAAAGTGAAAGAAGATATCAATAATAAATGTGACTATGTGGACACAGTAAATAATAGAAACAATACAAAACATATTATAAAAAGTAAAAATGTTAATAGAAAAAAACGAGATGAACCTATTAACAATTTATATAAAATTGAAAAAATTAATTTATATTAAGTAAATTTGTGCTTTAAAATAAACAATTTTTTTTTTAAATCTCATGACATGGTTACTTATTATTTCTGAAGATATAAAATTAGTATATTTATTGCTAACCAGTAACAATTTTAAGATTTAATAATTGTAACAAAATATTTTATTTTATAGCAGTTTTGAAGTTTAAAAACTGATACTCTAGTTTTCTATTGCCTACCTTTCAATTTTGTATGTAATTTGACACAGATATTTTTTTAATTTCATAAGAATTTATAGATCAAAATTTAAAAAAGAAATCTAACATTTTAATAACCTGTTATACTATTAATGTTTCCCAAAGTAGTTTTCAATAATGTTGGCCATTTTTATGTTTTAAAAAATTGTAAATTATTAATATTAGTTACAAGCCGTAGTTAGCAGTCTCACATTCAAATTATTATGATTATAATTCACTGTTTAAGCACACTAATGTGCTTATCTCTAATATTTATTATGTGATCCAAAAAATCATATTACACTAACAGAAATAATAAAAATTACCGCTAACGTACAAACCTTATAATACTCCAAGAAAGTTACATGTCCTAAGTGTAAATCTAAAACACATGACTTGGTAGATTAAAAGCTAATTAACATAAAATAGAGGGGAAATAGAAAAACTATGAAAAGATACTGTTCACAATGATAATTCAATATATTTATTATTTATAATGAATTATCATAATTTATATGTATTAATATTCTTAGTGTATGAAATTTCATCAAGTGCAATAAAATTTTATTATAATTTCTTAACAATTTAAAATTCAAGCACATAATCAGACATTATCAATTTGTTCGAATTGCCAATCATTGTGTGTGATCTATAGACCTAATATCATTTCTCATACCAGAACTGTTTCCGTTTCAAATAAAATGTATCACTCTTGAACTAAGATATGTCTTAGATCATTATATACTATAAATAGAATGATGTCAACCACTAACTGTCATATGTAACCCTCTCCCTTCAGTTATGCAATTTACAAAGACATTTTGCCAAGTATAATTGTAAGTCTTCATCTCCTTCACCTTCCTCCCAACTATTTGGGGTCAACCACCCAGTGTTGCCAAAGTAGTTTAAAACTACTCTAGCAAAATACCCGATTATTATATAATATATTATTCATAGAGCATAGAACTATATAGTACAGTTTTGCTTTTTTGTTTTTGCCTAAACATCTTTTTGAACAGTAGTATGGCTCCGATGTATAAAGTACAGTATAATTTTTGAAAGAAAATGTTGTCTAGTTGGTTCACTAGGTTTTTTGATTTGCCATGGGGTTTTCGAAATAGTTGGAAAAACCCCCAAAAAAAATCATAATAGGTAAAACAAAATTATGTACAGTGCACCAACGTGTGTTAACTTTTTAATTTTTTTTTTACTATGTTTACTACGAGAAATATTGCTCCAATCCATAAATATCAAGCGATCAATTTTGTTCCTATTATTATATAGCTACCAACAAAGTAAATCGTTTGTTTGATACCCACAGTTGTTTTCTAAAAAAATTAGAAAAAACCAAGAAATATAAAATATAAGATTTTTCAAATTGGCGCACATTTTTATAACTTAAGTTTGTACAGCTTATTTACCAGCATAAGTATTGTTTCAATAGAAAAATATTGTTTTTGTATTTTTCAACTAGATGGTTAGCAAGAAACTTGTTTTTTGATTTCCTTTGTAGTTTTTTTAATAATTGAGCAAAAAGGAAAAATTTACAAAAATAATTGTCTTATTATTTTAAATTTTATTTTTTGAATGTAATTCAGTCTAAATATGCAGACCAAAAATGTTAATGTTAAAGCTATTTAATTTTACTGGACTTCGTAAAATATTCAGAAAATATTAGACACTAATTTTTATTTGGTAGGTAGTATCAATTATAGGAACTCTGTGGATAAATTGTTAGACTTAGCAGAAATCCTTAAAAATTTGATAGGAGGTTCATTATAAGTAGTAGTTAAAAATTTAATTTATTAATAATACAAAAATTTAAAATTGGTGATACCTATAAGTAATATTTGTAGTTATAATTTGTTTATGAATATAGATGAAATCTATGCTCTAGAGCAGCTGATAATGAAATATCAGTGGAAGAATTTTTAATTAATATTCTTCATTGTATTTGTAAACAAAATAAATATTAACAAATTATTAGTTATTAATAATAACTAATAATTTGAAAAAAATATAATAACTTATTATTCATTGTATATATTATTAAGAAATTAACTTTTCTTTTTTTTGAAAAATAGAATAGGTGGGGAATTTATTACATATCCTACTCCTGTAGTCTAAAATTTAAATTGGTTTTAGTTGAATTGTATACCAATTTTGCTTTAAAGCGCTAGCTGTCATGCCAAACTGAGAATCGAGCTGATTCGCAAAAACATAACATTGATAAGACCTTTCCGTTCGATATCCTCTATATCTTAATTCGTGTCTATGACAATACTACAGATTAAATAATCTGTGTGAATACTAGTCTAACGTGATAAAAGAATATCATGTTCTCATAGATATGTAAACTTAGGAATTGAATGTTTGTGTCTCCGTAGTCTGTGTTTAATTTTAATAAATTGTGAACTGTGATGTGTGTTTAATCGTTAAACTTTAATGTATGTTTTAATTTGTTATAAGATATAAATATAATATACATTTCCTAACGTTTATAAATCGTTAATTTAAGAAATATGTTAAATAATGTTGATACAAAATATGGTCTTTTCCATTTACAATTTGTTTCGTTTAAAAAAATATTTTAACTACATTTTAATCATTATTTTATGGTTAGTTTATTATTTTGGTATTTTTACTCATTTATTTGAGTTGGATTATTATACTCGTTTTGAGTACCCACTGAACACTAATATTTCAAAATGTGTAATTAACATACACTCCGGTAAATCGGATCAACTTCCTTGTTATAATATTAATACATTCAAATATGAACTTATATTATCAAACAACACAAAATGCAATAAGAAAGTATATTTATTAATATTGGTTAAATCATCATTAAAGCATTTTGAAAGAAGAAACATAATTCGCAAAACATGGGGTAAAGAGAATCGATTTTCTGATGTACCAACTAGAACAGTTTTCATATTAGGCATGTCATATGATATCGATTTACAAAAACGCATAAATGATGAACATGCAATATATGGAGATATTGTGCAGTATGATTTTGTTGATGAATACTATAATAACACTATCAAGACTATGAGCGCAATTAAATGGGCTTCAAACCATTGTAACCATACTAATTTCTTTTTTTTCTCAGACGACGATATGTATGTTTCTATTAAAAATCTTCTACGTTATTTAAGAAATCCATTTGAATACCCATACTACTTAAGTAAAGATGTTAAAGGAAAGCAATCTAACTATAGTTTACCATCAGATATAATATTATTTACTGGATTTGTTTTTCATACTTCACCACTAAGACATCAAATTAGTAAATGGTATACAATTTTAATTATAGTTACCTAATGGTAATTAAAGTTTCATTTTTTTTTTGACAGGTATGTCTCTCTATCAGAATATCCATATCATATGTGGCCTCCATATGTTACAGCTGGAGCTTATATGTTATCCCATACTGCATTAACCAGATTTTATTATGGAAGTTTTTATACAAAACTGTTTCGTTTTGATGATATATACTTAGGAATATTAGCTAAAAAATTAAATATTATGCCACTTCATTGTGAACATATATATTTTTATAAAAAACAATATTCTATAAGTAATTATAAATATGTTATAGCTAGTCATGGATATGATAACAGCGAGGAGCTACTTGATGTTTGGTTGGAACAATATAGTTATAATAATGCATAAGACTTGTAATGCTGCTCAAAATATTTTTATTTTAAATAAATTATTTTTGTTGTTAATTTAAATAATTATATGTATTGTTCTTCCACTTAAAAATGTGATTTTCCATTTTATCATGGCATACTTTAAGTAAATATCATAATTTTATTGTACAAAAAATTAAAAGTCTATTACTAATTTTTGACCAACTGATGACACAAATGTTACATTTTACTACCAGCGTTTAGAGACTAGAACCAAATAGAATTAGAATGGATCATTGTCATTAATTTATATTTAGTTAAGAAAATACACAGTTACCACGGTAGTAGATATATCTACAACTGCGATTTATAATTAAAATAATTAGTGGAACGTCTTTTCGTCGGAAATATTATATAAAATTATAATAATATTTTGATTTTTAACCTACCCGAAGAAATGAAGTTACTGCCATTTTCGTAGAGATACAGAAAAAAAATACCGTTATCAGATTTCATCAAAAGTGAAAAATGATAAAATTTGAGTTATTTCCCTATTTATTGAGGAGTCGATGTATATCAAAATATCAGATTATAATAAAACAATGACTTAAAGTACTAATGAATTATGTACATATAAATAATTAAAATAAATTATTTAAAGGAGCTATGAGTAAAATAAAAATATAATTTTATAATTAATTGTGTAAACTCACAATTAAACATTGGTAATATTTGTATTAAATTATTTTTTTATACTAATTGAATTTCGAAACTTAAATAGGCAATAAACAGACAAGTTGAACAATTTTAGGAGCTGGACAGACAATATAGATACAAAATTGAACGTTAGAAAGTTATAATATGATAAAAAACCAAGCAAAATAATTTTTAAAAATTAATTTATGGATGTTGGGTAGTCAACTTAGTTATTAAACTAATAGCAGTATAACTACAAGAGTTGAATTGACAAAATTGTATACAAATTTGGGAACTATTGGGATTTCTTATCAAATATTACTAACGGATCATCCGTCTATGGTAACAGGTGTCATATTATGATAACGATCGACGCATTACATTTATCATTTTGTTTATACTTGTGATAAAATTTGTTGGATAAGAATACACTACTCTAGACCGATAAATTTAATTTAATTTGAAAACTAATGAGCTAATGAATAATGAATATGTTCGCAATTTATTTTGTTATTAATGAAGTAAAACAAAAACGTTTTTTTTGCAAATATTAGTCAACCAAACAGTTTTATTAATGTTTATATATTTATATTAATTATCTACTTAAGTACTTAATATTCTGGTATAACAAATTTTTTTCATGTCCTTGTTTTTGATTAATATTTTGTGCCTTGTAAACATTAAAACCAATTAAAGCTAATAAATATAACTAATATGATACGATGCTCAATTTTTGGAAAAAAATTCAATCTCAAAAGATTCAAACATTATCGACCCACACCAATAACATTGGATTGAATTTTACTAGTAATGGGTTAATGCCTCTCAAAGATTTTCAATTTATTGAGAGTGGTACGTATATTTTATATTCTGTTTATAGAAACATTCATGTAATTACTTTTATTTTTCAACAGATCTTTATGTTCTTGAAAAATGTAGATTATCACTAGATTTCGGTGAAGCATTGACATTGGATAATAATACACTTTTATCATTGTTCAAACAATATTTAGACCACAGAAATTCTTTATCACTATATCATTTATACATAGCATTAGTGGGCCGCACAGAGATTGAAAATGAGCTACTACGTCAAAATTTATTAAAAAATATCTCAATTCATCGAATCCATTTTTCTGATAGATTAATAACTAGAATCAATACCAATGGTAAATTTATGGATATTGATGATTTAAAAGAAGTCAGAGATAAAGTGTATATCATATTACAAGAGTATGTATTATCTGTACCATGATATTAAATATTTTAATATTTTTAGATGTTTACCACATAAACTATAGTATAGTTACCTTTTACAATGTTATTTTAACTTTTAAGGTATTGGAATAATTTTGTTCAAACTGATATGTTTTGTAAATATCAAGTAGATGTCTTGACTGGTGGACAAGTTACACTTGGTGATATATTGCTTTGTGGTGGACTTCTTTCATATTTTATGGAGGTATTTTAATTAAAAATATAATGCAATCATTTTAATATCTACTATTATTTGTATAATTCTAAGTGATTTAAATATTTTATTTTTAAATCTTAAAAAGTTAAAGACATTTCATCTTTTGATATAATTTCAGAATTTGGATTATTCTTCATTTTCTAAAGTAGGTTGTATATAATTTGTATTTCCTAATAAAATAAATAATAGTTATATTATTAGTCTAATTTTTCGAATATATAATTTGTAAAATGATTAAACTATTTTTTAAAAAGGACTTAATCCTATATAATGTTTTACACAGTGTTCCTCTTGGAAAACAAATAGGGTTCCCAATTGTGACGATATATATAGTATTCTAACTGGTATGTGTTAGCTGAGATGCTAGCTAATTTTAGACAGCCCACATACTAAAAATTCTCTAAAAGATACCATTTACTATTTAGTATTATATTAAATACCAGTTGAGACTTAACAATGGCTCAAGAGCGCCTTACACTTCTGGTTGTTATGATACTTGATGTATAACATTTGTGTTCTTTAGCTCAATATAGTCATTTTAACATCTCTTAAAAATATTATCATAAACCAACTTAATAAGCCTATTTTGTTTTATTTCAAATTAATAAAAGTGAACATTTTTTAATCTACATTAATGATTTTAATTTTCAGTTCCTTGACAGCGAGGGCTGTAGATCTGTTGTTGAGTTCTGGCTAGCAGCTACAAATTTTGAACGCTGTGTAGAACAACTAAAAAATAATTCAGAGAACTATGATCAAGCTCAAAGCGATGCTATTTGTATTTATGAAAAGTAACTGAATCTTTTTATTATTAAATATTAAATAATTTATGTACAATAATGATCAAAAATATTTTATAGGTATTTATCCTTGCAAGCAACATGCTCACTTGGTTTCACAGACCAAGTAAGAATTTCAGTTGAAGAGTCTATTTGTCCTGCTGACATACATGGCCAAACTGTTTCCACAATAGGCCAGTGTTTTAGATCTGCTGTTTTAGTAGTATTGGCATTTTTACGTCACAGATGTTTAATGCCATTCCTATCATCTCAACATTATGTACGTTATTTATCTGAATTAATTAAAGCAGGAAATTCTTACCAATCTATGTCTCAAGATAACGAATCATCTAGTTCATCAGTTTCTGAGTATAGTACTAATTCAAAACGATCAATGTCTTCTCTATTACCATATTCAGCCAGTACAGATTCATTATGGAGAAAAAGACAGCAAAGGTACACCTATAAAGTTTACTAAAATTTATAATTATGATTTATAAAATTAATTATAATTGCTTATTCAAGAATTAGATTATATTTATATATATACCTTAGTAAATCACATGATAAGTACTAAAATGTCAAATTATATATTTAGGTACAGTTGGGTTATTGTGAAAATTTTTTAAATATTTCTTTTACTTTCTTAAATGTACGTTATAAGTAATTTATAATACATTATAGTCTTTATGATTGATAATTAAATAATATCTTCATAAAGAATAAAAGGTATCATTTTTAGAACAATTACTCGGATTATTAAACTTTAGTTTTCAATATATAAATAATATAATATATATTATATACTTCAATAATATATGTTTGTATGAAAAATACACGTGTTAATAAATTTTATTTTGTATATTAAAGATAAGAAGAAATATGTATACACTTTTATGGCATTTGTAAACAAGGAATAGTCAAGATATTTTAATGAAATTCTAGAATTTTAATTTCAAACTTCAATCTCTATTTTCATAAATATTAATTATTCAAAATTTGAAAAATATCATTTATTATTATTCTCATCTATATTATTGTGTTATGTATTTAATACTATAAATATTGTAACTTTTAGAGCATGTTACATAAAAAAAAAAGAAAGGAAGTAACATATTTTTAATACATATTATTTGTTTACTCTGGTAAAATGGAAAAAATATTCAAAATAGAAATTATGACTATGATTTACATATTTATCGTATTTATATTACATCAGGGTTTGGGACTTTATTCATTTAAAATCCACAGAAAGGCGCTTAAAAACATGCATAAAAATGAGCCTAGAAAAAATATTTTAAAAAGTAATCATGACAGAGCTCAGAGGGGTTTAAAATGTCCACCTAGATCCCCCCCCCCCCAAACAGTTCTAACCATTAAATGTAATTATCTAACAATATTAATTGTGATTTGTTATTACTCTTTTGAAGATTTTAAGTACATTAAGGCCCAAGCATTGTAGGGAATAATCATTAACACTAATTAGTGTTATTTAATAACTAGTTAATAATTTTGTTATGAAGCTCATTTTGTTTTAACTATAAATTATGTAAAAAACATTGACATAAAGTGTATAATAAGTTTTATTTACACAACTACTTAATTTTCGCCATCATCAGGTTGCTGATAAACAACGTAATTTAATGGTTTATACAATATAATTTAAAAAAATAACATAATATTTAAAACAAAAATAAACATAGTCGTTATAATATCATACAAGTATCATACTTGTATGTATTATTATACGCTTTATGTCAATTTTTTATATAATTAAATAAAAGTGTTAAAATCTCAATTTTAAATATAAATTATGTTTTTAGTGGATTGAGCTTTGGTCGAGTTGATGAATATGGACGTTTTGAAAGAAATATAGAACCAGATCCTGATAAGAACAAAGGTATTATGTATTTTATTGATTAACTAGATAATTTTTAATTCATCAGTATATCAGTTTAACTGGTCTGTTAAGGTCTATTGCTTTTACCATTATTAAATTTCTCCACTATATTAAGTTGAATTAAGTGATACATTGTGATCAATTAATTTTAGATCTTTGGCATTTGAATCAATCTACAAAGATTTTCCCAAGGGTTTTATCCATTTTTTCCGTCATCATTATCTTCTCTGTTAATTGGTAGTTTGCTTTCCAGGTGTAACTAAACCATTTTAGTAGTTTAGTTCTGATAAATGATAGAATTTTTGGTTTATTGTTGAATCATTGTAGTTTCTGGTATTTCTGTTTCTCAAATGTATTTCCTAATTGAAACATGTTCATCAAAGACTCCAACCCTACAAAGTACTTTTAATTTTAATTTTTTTTCATAATTTTTTAGAACCATGTCTTACTTCCATACTAATCATACTTGACAAAATGTTTTCTCATTACACATTTTTAATAGATTTATAAACTTCCTAGATAGTGCCAAGAATTTCTAATCCTTTTTATAGTTTATTTCAGTTATCAGTTTATAATATAAAAATAATAAGTGTATGTTTCTGCCAAATTTATTACTTATCTTAGGGCAAACATTTGGTTGGTATTTAATTTGCCATTATGGAAACCACATTGTTAAGGTAACTATGTCCTTTAAATATCTGTTGATTCTTTCTAATAGTACTATTGTAAAAACATTATCACACACATACGCCTGATAACAAAATTCCTCTGTAGTTTTTTATTTGCTGAATTTCCCTTTTAAATATCCATCTTCACCTGTTGCTTTATTATTTTTAAATTACAAATAATTTCCTCCTAAAAATGTCCAGTTCCAGTTCTGCTATGTGGTATTTTCCTCCTCATTTCCAGTATTATGGAATAGCCTGTTGTGTTGTTTTCAAAGAAATCTTTGAATTAATTTATTATTTGTTTGTCATTTGTTATAAGAGCTTTATTTTTATTCATTTTTGGTTTGATATTTATAGTCACTTTTAATGATAACATTAATATAAAATTATTTATTTGTTTTAGTTCAACAATATTTTCATTTTTGTATCAGTGTTTTACTTTTCTTAAAACCTTATTAGTAATTCTTCTTTATTCTACATATTTATCTGTGGTACGTGTAAAGCTGTCTTTCTTAGTTCATCATTCTTATTTCTATATACTATACTCAAAACTTTATTTGCATTACTTATTGCCTCCTTTATTTATCTCTACAATAAATCTACAACCTGCAATTCTTTTACTTTCTCTGGTTTATTAAGTTATATATATATTCACATAGCTTTCCAACATATCCAATGATTCAGGGTCATCTAATCTCTGTAAATTATAATTTTCTCTTACTGTATTCTTAACTATTTCCCATTTTGTTGACAATCTGAGATTGAATTGTGTAAATGTTAAGTAATGGTTGGAATCAGTATCCACTCTGTAAGTTCTCCCATTCTTGATACAGCTGGTGTGTCATTTGCTTACTAATTACATAGCCATTAGCAGGTATCCATTTGTATTTGTGAGTATCCTTTCTTGGGAAAAAGATGCTTCCAATTATAAGTTCTTTTGACACAGCAAAGTTAATTAACATGATACCAATGTCGTTAGTATCAATTACTTATTGGACAAATTGCAGTCCTATATATCGATCTGTCCTCTCTGCCCACTTTAACATTCAGATTGCTAACTATAATTTTCATGCATTGTGTGAGTAAGTTGTTCGCAATTCTTGAACTGTTTTAAGTTCATCATCAGTAGTTCTCAACCTTTTTATATCCGTGTACCATTTACATATTTTGACATTTTTTACGTACCATGTGAAATTTGACTATAGAATATTATGCGATCAGACGATCAACTACCATTGAGAAAGTCTTAATTTTGTAAAGCACTTTTTCATTAATTGTAGATCCTTATTCACCCACCCTCGTGTTTACCATTTTAAGTTCTACTGTAAAATAGTGTTGCACTATCTTTTTTTAAATTTCCACTATCAAGCTATCATGTTTCTTGCAGTACTACAGATCCAATTTTTAAGGATAACTTATTTAAATGCTCCTGGTTTATTTAGTGTACTCCCAATGCAAAAGCTATTTTTTGAGTACAATCGTTTGCCATGATTTTAATTTAATTTTAATTACATTTGCATTTTTATTATTTTTAGAATCTGGCATTAGACGAATGATGAGAAAATTTGTGAACAAAAATGGAGTTAAGATGCAAGAAGATATGGCGTGGCAAGTAGCCGAAATGATTGTAAAAGATGTGACCAGTGTTACAATGGCCAATAATGATGAAGAATATGGTGCAGAATAATATAGAATTACAATATAAAATTTTTTTTATTTTAAATATTCAATGAAAAGAGTAAATTTATAGATAATTTATTATAAATGATTTCTATATAAGGTGCACATATATTTATATAAATATATAATATTTTTATATTCATTACAAATATTTACTATAATTTGTTAAATTATTAATCGTTAAATTATTAAATGTTTAATTTACAAGATATCGCATACTAGAATCAATTTTTTCCCAAAGTATTATTGTTACTGTTTTCTATTTTATTTATACTTTAAATTTATAACAAAAATACTAATACTTTCTTCGCATTGTATAACTTACAATAATAGTTGTACAGATAATATTGAAAATGTGAACTCAAAATGTATTGAATAAATTTTTAATTTTTAATTGAAATTTCAAGTTATGATGTACTGATGTCTAATTATATATATATAAACAATGGATTTGAATTAAAAATTAAAACATTTTTCTTTTTCATAAGTTTCTAAATGACACTATCATAGAAACATAACCTAAACCAGAAAACACCAGAAAGTCATCTATTTATAATTTTTTGGATGAATCCGGGAAAGTGTAAAGAATATTATTTAGGAAACATTTAAAAAAAATTGTCAAATGTTGAAATATCTACATTCAAATTGAATTATCATTATTGTAGTTAATGAGCAGTTATTATTATGATATCTTCATTGATTGAATATTTATAATTTTATATTTATTTTCTAAAACGAATGTTTAAATCACAGTTTTATATAATATATTTGTTTATATTAATCATTAGCTTTATTTTTCATCGATAAAACAGTACAGCTGCTTAATATACAATTTTATTTTGTAAAAAGTATTTAAATTTTAAATGTAATAATAATTAGATATTGTATTGCAGACAAATGATATCATATATTTATTTAATACAATATAATCGGTGTGGTGAGGTAATTTTTCGATTTTCTCAAGTTTTCTCAACAAATGTAAAAAACCGAAAAAAAAAAGAAGGGAAATATGTAAAAAATGTAGGTATTAGTTAAACATATTATGGCCTTTTTTAATGCTGAAGTTAAACATTTAAGTTCAATAACGTACAATACTATAATTTATTCAAACTATCAAATACTATTCAATAGTCCTAGCCAATCACTAATTGTAATATTAATATGATAGACGGTATTATTTGTTATTCTAATAATTACTAATGTGCTCACGCCCCGTCGTACTGCATTGGTGGGCGACGGGTCTTAAATCGCCAAATCAGTTTATTCAACAAATAGTTAGCTGGCGAATTAATGCATTATTGACAATCTGGGCCTTAATCAACTATCAAACTTATATAAATAAAGAAAAATTAAAAGGTAACCCTAACAATAAATATTATTTGTATATGTATATAGATACCTACTTAATGTGTAATAAAAAAAAAGAGTGGGTAGTTGAGAAGGTGGGATACATAAAGTTAATTAATTAATACCTGTAACCAACGATAAACCATTGATAACAAAAAACGATTTGGGACAAAGTTCGGTTAAACGTGTTTTTAAAGTCCGTAATATTGTAACGATTATCGTCAACATTTGTTTTAAAACTTATAAAAAAACTACATTAGGTACTTACACTTAATTTAATTTTTTTTTTTCTCGATAACCTACCCATTGTGGAAAAACAAATTTTCCGTTATTTCTGGGTAATCGAACCGTAGGTCCGAAATAACAATGTAAAGGACTGGTGTTGCAAGTAAATATGTATGTAGCATAATTGATTCATTAACTAGGACCATAATTTTGTATGAGACCGCTTAGAACGACCGTTCAGTCGTGAGTCCCCCTACCACGTTTTCAATGTAAAAAAATAAAATACACGTCTAAATAAATATGGTGTGCCCCACTCGTGTACCGGTTAAAAAAAGTCGGGATCCAATTCATGCTGTTTAGACTAAACTTTTCAGGGTCAGCCAATTTTAACGCATCAATTATTTTTTTAATTATTTTCTTTTAATTGATATGACTCACTTACTTTTTGAAAATATTTTTGAAGATTATGTCATTTATTATATTAATTATTTAATTTATCAATGTAATGTTAAGGCACGGGTTAATTTATCTGATTGACCTAAAACTTGTATACTTAAGTCATTTGTATACATATTATAAACACTCATTTATGGGACGAATAAAAATATTTTGAATTTTATTTTTCATCATATTATACAGAGTGATTCTTTAAACTTAATCGCCCCATTTTTTTTTTTGGTTGAATTTTGCATGTATTCAAATTCTGATTATTGGAATTTTTAAGTGTAGTTAAAGCTGATGTATTTTCGAAAAGGTACTATTTTTCACAACATTAAAGTAGTATCCTGTGATACCAACTTTGGTTTTTCAAAAAGAAGACCTATGTTAAAAATTCCATAAATAGATGAAGTATTATTTTTAATATATTTTGGGGTCAACATATTTGATTATCGTCAACCCGTTGACGAGATATTTTATTTTTAAGTTTAGGTAGGAGAAAAGTAGTGGAGCACTAATAAAACTCGTCGTACAGCGACACAAATAATACTTCACTACTCGCTTCCTACTTTAATTTAATAGTGGAATATCTCGTTAAAGGGTTGACGAAAATCAAAAATATTGACATAAAAATGTATTTAAAGTAGGTATTTAATGTAGTTCTCATTTGAAAAACAGCTAAGTTGGTATCACCACAGGATATTCCTCAAATGTTGTAAATAATCTAAGTATTCAAAAATATCGGCTTTAATAAGTACACATAAAAATTCCAAAAATCAGAATTTGAATAAATTATGCAAAATTTAACGAAAAAAGGGGTGAAAATGCTTAGTGAATCATCCTGTATAGTTAAGCAACACTCTAATGATCATAGATATTAAATATATAGATAAAGCATACCATAATACTTAATACCTTGAATATATACTATTAATTACCTGCTTAATATTTAATATGTTTAATATCTATGAATAAAATCAATGATACCACAAACCACAGCCTTTGATAGGATATGAGGATTTATTATACAATATGTTCTACATACTAGTAGCGTTACCGTGTTCGACGGATTTTTCTAACGCTCTTCATATTAAATTTTTTTTTCAATCAGTTTGTCTTCAATCCGGACATCGATTTGGAGAACATTTTTATTTTCATCCCCTTAACACGGAAAAAAAACTTTGTTTATTCACTTGAAAAAAATTTCCAAAATGGCCATGTTGTAAAAATATTATTCTAAAGATTGTAATATATGATAACATTCATATCCGATAAATAGTTTTTAACTATAGACGTTTTAATGTCTAGAAAATAGGCGTGAAAAATATTAATATTCAATAGAAGGTAAAGAACTACTAGACTGATTGTAATTTATAATTGCATAACGTGTTATTTTATTGAATATTAATTGTTTTCATGTCTAATTAAAATGGCTATAACTAAGAAATTATTCATTGGATATGAATGTGTAATACATTAAAAGTTTTTGAATAATAATTTTTACAAAATGTATATTTTGAACATTTTCTAAAGGGAATAAATAAAAAAAAATTTTTTTGTGTTTAGGGATGAAAATAAAAATTAAATTTTTCTCCAAATCGATGTCCCCCTCCAAGACAAGACTATTAAAAAAAAATTCTAAAAAAAATTTAATATTAACCGTGCAAGAAAATCCACCGAACATGGTGGGAAACACTGTATTATAATAGGCCGTTTATCAACTAAAGTTATTATAGTTGTTTGGTCCGAATCAGTCTAAAAACACAAAAGTGACTGGGTTAGGCTCAAATCACTACCACAAAGGTGATCGCTGGGCCTGGTTTATATAGGGCTCTAGTAGATACAAACTTAAACAAATATTAAATGTTTTGTTTATTTGATGTATTCTGTGGACAATTGTTGGAACTATAATAGACATGATTTATGATTGTAATATTGCTATTAGTTAATTTGAAAATCAAAAAAAACTAAAATCTTAATTATATTGTATTTGTAGCTTGTATCACAAAAATATAGAAGACAAAAAGTATTTTCTTTCTACTTTATACCAAGGTTATGAGATATCAATTATTAATAATAATAACTCATAAAATATTACTATATTAAATACCTTTAGTTTTTATCATACTTTCACATAGGCAAAAATTAAAATATTAAAAATACATATGTATATATTAGGTAGTTTTAAAAATGATCTCAATAAAAACAAAATAATAGATAGATAATCTTTACAAATTATATAAAATCAATAATAATTAGTATAAATATATGAACAATAATAGCACTAATAATAACTCTGGTACTATCCTACAATAAATAATAGAAAAACAGTACTCAAGATTGAAAAATATAACATGTTGTAGAATGGAGTTTCTGTAGTAGCAATGGAAATTGCTTGCATATAATTGGATGAAATGTTGTTTGTACTTTCATAAGCATAAATTGTACTATCGATATTTGAATTATTATCCCTTAGTTGTTTATTTCCTTGAACTGTTTTTGATTTAACAACTACAGATGTTAACTTCCAATCCATTTTAATTTCAAAGTGTACTAATTTTAATAGCACTTCAGAGGTTTGAAAATCTAATAAATTAGAATGAATTTCCATGAGGGTTTGTGAAGATTTGGGTGTTAAATGTTTCATGTGGGAATCATTCATCAACTGTGATTATAAAATAAAATCCATGCAAATTAAATAATTACAATTTAAAATATTTATTATAAAATTACTAACCATGATTTGCTGATTATTAAGACATTTTATAGTATTTGGAGAAAGTCCTTCTAGTGCTTTTGAATTAAACTGTAATAAAACTTGCCATTGAGTAATGTTAATTCCTATATAAAATATTAACATTAATTATATATTCTTATAACTTATATTAGTTATATTTATAATTTAGATACTGAGCAAAGCGTTAAATGTATTGGTTATATAATGATGTTAATTTATTTTTTTTCATCTGTGAACAACTTTTCTACCAGAAATCTCGCTCTGATTTTTAAGTGTAGTGCCTCTTTTGAAGTCAATTTTTTGATTTTCCTAGTGGTTTTCACAATGATTGGAAAAAAATGGTAAAATTTATAAAAATAATGCTTTTATTATTTTCAATTTAGTTTATTTATTGTAATTCAGTTCAAACTGTTAGTAGAAACTTGAAATTTGGACAGCACACTTATATAATATGCCTTATTTAGATATAGTAACATTTTTAAAATATTGAAGCCATTTTTGAGCTATTTAAAGACATATTAATTTTATGAGTTAATTTCCTAATTTTTATTCTGTAGGTACTCTGTGAATAAAATTGTCAGACCAAATAGAAACGCAAAAAAATTTAACAGGTTTATTATAATTTGTATTTGTTTTTTCTAAAAAAAAAATTAATATGAAGTAGAATTTTATTTTTATAAGGACCATTCTCACAAAAAGCATTTATCTGATTCTTAAACTGAGTTTATGACTGATAACCGACCATAATTGGTCAATTTTTTTTTATAAACTGTTTAAAAACCAATGTTTTGTTGGTAAAAACAGGTCTAAAAATTTTAACATCAAATTTTGATGGATATCGTAAATATTATGGCCTTTCAAAATATGTATAACCAAATTCCACTCAGAATACTTTTGGTTAGCAATAATGTTATTGCGTACAGGCATACATTAAATTTCCCTATGGGTATATCTTACCCTCCCAACTTCTCACTTACAACAGTGGTCTACCCATTATATAAAGTATGTCCGTAGTTTTTAACTTAATCCTTATAGATTTATTTATTAAACATTAAATAATAATTTATGAGGTACCACAAATAATAATTCCCATATGTTCCACTTCAGTTGTTGTCCATAAATTTGGCTGTCCAATGACGGACACTGCTATTGATGCTAAATTTCTTATGCATGGCTTGTCATAAGTTTTTATGTTATTAAATGCTGAGCATGTTTTCCAAAATAATTCTTTATTTGGCATAATTATTTTATACATTCGAGGTTCTAATTGACATATTAATGAACCAAAGGAGCTCCACAAATGCAAGGGCATATCTGCTCTAGATTTTCTCATAAATTGGTTAGTTATCTCTTTACGCTAAAAATGTATACATTAAACCATGTTATTACATGCAATTTAAATAATAAATACGCATACAAACAATTTTATTCATTTTGATGTGTTTCGAAAGTAAATCAATGAGCTCTAATGACCAAGGGCTGTTAACATCTAGTTCTATTGTTTTTATGTCATCAATATTTAATCCCGATAAAACAGAACCAAATGTATGTAAAGCAATCTGTAAATTAATTTAATTACATTAGCTCAATATTATAAATATTTGTTGACACAGTAATCAATATAACGTAAGACATTCATTATTTTGGAAAGTACAACATTTTTCGGAATTTGTATTTTAGAACATTTAAGAAATAAATAACTTTAAAATGTTAGATTTTAGATTCTGAGCGAAGCGAGGACTATATTATTTTTAAAATGAAGTTTATTTTTTTTCTGTCAACTTTTTTACTAGAAATTTTGCTTAGATTTTCAATTATAACACTTTTTCTAAAAGGAGATTTTACTGGACTGGTACTTTAAGGAGGTTATTTTTATTATCCAAGGGGTTTTCATAATAAATGGGAAAAATCGTAAATATTACAGCCTTTCAAAACATGTATAGCTGAGTCTGCTCAGAATCGTTTTTTGTTAGCAATGACTTATTTTGCGAATAGATAAACATTAAATATCCCATCTACCTTCTAAAATTTTCACCTACAACAGTAACCACCCATTGCCATTGTCGTATTATAGTAAAATAATTACATAGGCATTATATATATTTTTTTAATAATTTTCGTTTAATATTTTATCTAGTTTCCTATTTATTAGGAAAACTCCTGGGAAAATCAAAAAGTTACCTTATAGTAACCTTATAGTACCTTCCTAGTCAAATTTCTTTTTAAAAAAAGTGTTATCATCGTGAATCAAAACAAAATTACTGATAGAAAAGTTGTCCACAAAAAAAAAAAAAAATCTTCGTAAAAACAATAAACTTCTTCACTCCATCCAGAATATAAAATTTCAACACCAACATTGATTTAAATAAATTAATATTTCATCTTTTTATGGAATAAATGTTATGAATATAAGTTGCCATTTGAAAATTAAAAGTATGTAGGGGTTCACACCCTGAAATAATGCAGAAAAAAAAAGTAATGTAACATTATAAAGCTACTAATTTTTTAAATTTTCTAAAAAGCAAGTTCTGAAAATAGTTAATATTTCTCAATATAATGAATGTTTTACATTACGTTGATCACCCTATACCTTGTTTTTTATTTTGGACCATATGTATCTAGATAACTCAGAATCAATATCAAATGAACCCAACAGATCAATGCAATTTTCTAATTCTTCATTACTCATAGAATGTACAATTGAATTGAATCGAGTGGAGATAACTGATGCAGGTCCTAATATTTTTAATGCTTCACAACCAATCTGAAAAATTACTAATATGCTGTAGAATAACTTTATAATTATTTAAGTTAAATTTTTTTATGTAGAGGCAAACTTACTTGCAAGGTAGAATTAAAAAATAATTCAAATGATCTTTTTTTTCTTTCACTTTGATTATCATTTAACGTTATATTTTCTTTTTTTTTAGATAAAAGTGAATTATTAGATGAAATACTATAATACGTGTAATTTTGAATATCATGCATTATTTTCTCATTTTTAAGGTTTAACAATGAATAAGTCAAGTTATGCTTAATATATTCAAATTTTTTAGTAATTTGTGGTATAGGAGTAGTTATTTCTTGATTATAAGTAGGTACATTAGTATTAAATTTATCATTTTCATTTAGTAACATTTTATAATTACCATTGTTTTTAGTATTTAAAATTGTGTTATAATTATTAATAGTACCAGCTAATGGTATGAATGTGACATCAAGTGAATTTTCAGTGTATTGATCATTTTCTAAACTAGTTGTTGAGCTTTCATTATATTTAGATGAAATCAAAATTGGTGTTGTAAAACTTGAATTGGTAGAATTTTTAACTTCTAAAATTGATATAGATTCAGTAGTAATTGAAGTTGTCTGTGTGGTTAGAACCTCAATATTTTTCTTAGTATTCACAGAATTATTTTTATCTTCTTTCTCTTTACCAGCAAAAAATTTGTTTAACAATTTGTTTGGTGATGCTAGTATGTTTAGTACATAATTAAATTCTGGTACTGGAATTAATACAGATGGTTTGAACATTTTAGGTTTGGCTTCTGAAGACTTTATAATTTCTTTATATAAGTGATTATTATTTATTGGACTAATCATTTGTAATTGATTTTGTATAGAAGTCAAGTGGAAATTAATTAAAACTGATAAAGAATTAGTAAAATCGACAAATCTATCACCCAAAAATAATTCACAACCCTAAAAAAATATAATAAAAGAATACATTTTGTTTATTTGGGTATATATTTTAGTGTTGACACTAACCTTGTAAAAAGGAATATTATTAGATAACCATTCAATTTCATCAGCGTATCGTGTTTGAATAATATCAGCAGAATTCAAACGTGAGATTTTTGGTATAGAATCTAATTGACCTTGGTTTAATACAATAAGAAGATCTGACAATGTTACCAAAGTATCACTTGACCAGTTTTCCAGATTTCTAAAATTATAAATAGTTATATATAAAATATATTGAAAAGTTTAAATATTAATTTCAAATATATTTGTAAATTAATGATGCAGAATTATTTATAAGATATTGGTTAAAAAAAAAAATTCAAATCCAGGGGAAAAAACCAATTTTAAATAAAAAATAAAAATTATCTTTTCTTCTTATTTAATACAAATTATTATCAATATAAAAAACTTAATAAATAAAATAAATTTCAGGAAATTTTTTTAAAGGTAACTGATACAGGCAGGTTCTCACAAACTCCAAGGAAGTAGGAGTGAAAATATTTTTATTATTATTTATATACATCCCATAAGAAATAACTACTAAAGTGAATAATACTTATTAATAATTGACTAACTATTCAATTCTGGTAAATATCATATGATTTTTATCCAATAACTACAGCAAAAAGTTAATTTTTATTTGTATAGTTTGTGATTGTTATATTACAGAAACATTGGGTAGTAGATTTATTGTAGGTTAAAAAAAATTTAAATATTATTGTTTATGAAGATAATAGAATATTTATTAAAAATAAATACATACACTTAGTATTTAATATGTTATAGTTATTAACAAATAAAACTCAAATAAATAATAAATAATCTAAAACATGTTCTTCATGTTCATATAATAGATTGATATTATATTACCCAAAGGCTTTGATTATTAAATTAGCCCATTTGTCCTTTGATAATGAATCGACACAAATCCTAGTGTCAAATAAACTAGATTCTATCAAGAATTTAAATGATTGTTCGTCTATTACACTTAAATACATTGTTGGAATAAAATGAATTAAATTTCCAAGTGTATATAAGTGTTCATAACTTAAACTGGATTCATTTTTTAACTAAGATAAAACAGAAACAAGATATATAATAATACATTTTTATTGTTTTTAGTTTAAAACTTACAATACAGGTGATATATTGGTCAACCATCGATGACAATTTATTTGGTTCAGATGCAATCATGAGTTCAGGGAAACTTAACCGTCCAATAGTATACAATATATTATCTCTCAAAATTGAATTTAATATAACATCCAGAGGAAGAGTTGTTAAAATAAATCCTAGAAAATTAGTATTACATAAATAATGATAATAAAATAAACTAATTTACCTTGCACTGCTTCAATTTCCCATCCTTCCAAGTATAATGGTGTGGAATAATTTATTGTAAATCTTGATTTTAACTTTAAATAATCAATAAATGCTTTAGCCACACAAACTTGTAAGTTTTTCGGGAATACCTAAAAAATTAGTACAGTTAACACTACATTGAATAATTGAATAGTCAATATATTAATCTTCATTTCATTAATCATATTTTTCTTCTGAATAGTATTTAAAAGTTAGAAAAAAAGTTTGATTATTCACTGTGTTCAGAATTTGTGCATTCCATACATTTTGAGACAACCATTTTAAAATTAATACTAGAATAGAGATTGTTATTAAATTCTAAGAAGTAATTACTATAACCATCACAATCATTCGCACTATAAAATTTCACATGTATCAGATCATTTTTAGAAGTATCATCAAATTTAGAAAAAGTTTAATGCAGTTATAATTTAAATATGGAAAAAATCTTTAACAATGAATTATGATCAAATTTTGTTTTAAGTTATGAGAAAGTTCTATAGAAACATTCCATGAATCAAACTTATAGTGAGTTAGTTATGTCTCGTATTACTATATCTATTCAGTATGGTCAATTGCCATGATCAAAGTTTTTTTTTCATTCACAAGGGATTGTGTACAAAAAATATATGCCCCCAGGAAATACTATTAATGCCACATTCAATAAAAATGGATCACCTCAGATCACCCAAAGAATTACACTTGTTTTTATTTAACTATTTTCTAGTTGAACTGATATTTTTAAAAATAGTAAATACATTAATATTAATACAGAATTAAAAAAAATAAGAATACAATATTATGCATATATTACAAAAAAAAGTTATAAACAAAGTTGATGGATATTAACTAAAATCAATATAGAGAATATTAAATAATAAAAAAAAAATGTATTCATATATTTTAGTTGTTATATAGTTGTATACGCTTTATATGTGGAGTATTATACATCAAACATATAAAACAATTTTACATGCACATTACCAATCTTGATTATTGTGCATAAAATAAATGAAATTTGCAAATAAAATTAATTACAAATTTTATTATAATATTCAAAATTGTTGAAATGTAAATAATCATAACTCATTATAAATCTTCATATTTACAATTTGATCTCAACAAAACAATTTATTTTTTTTTAACATGATAAATGACATATTCAAATTTATGATAATAATGTTCTATTCTGTACCAAGATGCATGTAAATTGTACAATATACCAATATCTTCTATACTATTTACTGAATATTAACATTTTTAACTTTGTAAATTGAATTTTGTTTAAATTCTAGATAAACCATTACTTTTTTATTAAGTTTGAGGTATGCGTTGTAGTTGGAAATGAAGACCATAAAATCCACACTATTTATTTTTTGTATGAAATTACATGTATACCCATTATAGAGACCTTTAATAAATGTTGATCCATTACCAGTCCATTTGAATAATAATTCATCATTTTCTATTATTACATTAAGCTAAATCAATAAAAAAAATAATTAAATAACTACAAAGTATATTAAGTAGGTAAATTAGTATGTCTATGAATATTTACTAAATATTTAGGTAAGTTGTCTATTCGATTAGTATAATTAGAATATAACTGTTTAAGAACATCAACTATAGGATCAGATATATCCGAAGGTGCTAACTGTTCAAAAAGAATATTATGTTTATTTTTAAGCATTTCTTCAATGAAATAGGTTCTTTTTACTGAAAAAAATATATGATATTAATATTCTCATTACTTGAAGCTAATATTGTACGAGTTCAAAATTCAATGCTAATTGTTAAATTACTAATGGCTTTTTACTTATTCTATTAACACCAAAGAATTATAGCTTTTATTATTAAGTTAGGAATATTTCTATAATTTAAAATAACAATTATAAATAATATTTAAAACTCACAATGCAAAATTACATAAAAATAATACATACCTGGATTTGTTATGTTAAAAATATGAAAAGCCATCGGCAAGTTATGATCATTAACTGAAGAAACCAAGTGGGATAGAACTTGATGATTGATATATCCAATATCAACATTTAAAAAACTAGAAACTGGAATTGCTTTTATAAAATATTTCAAACCAAGCAATAATTTTGGATCATTTTTATGAAAAGAAAACATACTGCTACAACCACTCAAATAAAAGGCCTGCAAATAAATTTCAATAATTTATTATTTACATTTTGTTATTAACAAATAAATTTGTTTACTTGTCTATCAGTAAGCATGTATGAATCAACAGCAATAAGTGATTGGATGCTTGGTGGAGTACTACAAAATTTCAAAAACGAAGTAGCTGGTTGAGTGTATAACAGAGGTAAATGACGTAAATCTTCAGATGTCCACTCATTAACAAAATTTAATTTTGAAGAAAGCCAATAACTAGCAATTTTATTAAATATCTAAAAAAAAAAAAAACATATATTTTTATTATTTAGTGAAATAGATCTACAAATAATTATGTGTACAGGATAACTCATCCATCATGATCCAGTATTTTCTGGGAGGATTTGAGTGAATTTTCATTTTTTTTGAATCATTTAAAATTGTTTAAGCTTCAATTTAACATTATTTTCAAATGTTGATCATACTACTTATACCTTAAAAGAGTATACACCACATTTTCAAGTTGCAACCCCCACTTTTTAAATACTAATTCAAATTGAGAATATTTTCTAAAAATGTTGATATGGAAAATGTCACTAAAATCAAATTTATTGTTAATGACTTGTAAAGGGTTATCAAATTATCATCTTCACGTGGATAGTTAGTTTATTACCCTTTCCTACTGTTATGGGTACTTATAAGTCAAAAATGGTAAATCCAATATTGTTATGTGTGTCCATCCAATTTATTTAAGCAAATATTCCCTATTTAAATCTGTGTTTGAAATGGGGGGGAGAACTATTTGAAATTCAAAAATGTTTACTAATTAAAGGAATAGGGGTAAATAATGGAAAATAATGTTAAAATAAAACTTAAATAATTCCAGTGGTTAAAAAAAAAAAATCAAATTCATTTAAAATACTTCAAGAAAATTGATAGATTATAATATAATGGATAATTAATAATGGATAATTATAATTCTATATTTATTTGATAAATGAAAAAATTAAATTAAATAAACGATTAAATGATTAAAATGTTAAATAATGATTTATTAATTTAGAATAAAAAAGTACAGAAGTAATATTTCAGAAATATTTTTATCTAGTTTTTCTGTATTTAAATCAGCTAAATCAACTAGTACTGACAACTGAGCAAATGTTAAAATTACAAAATATTTCTAAAAATCAGTATAAAGCCAGAATATTACTATTATTATAAATAATTTTAATATTTATCAACTTATTAAACTATATACTTGTTTTGCTGCTGCATAACTTAAATAGTTATTTTTCAATGATGAAATTGATACTTTTTCAGCAGCCCATTCTTCTGGTTCAAATTCATTGATTTGCAATGGTGATAACTTAAAGAAAAATGTTGGATACAGTAATTTCAGATCTTTCAATGTACTATTTTCCATTAACCAGGAAAATAAAAATCTAGCCTAAAAAATTTGTTCAAAAAACCATTTTTCACTAAAAAAATATTTGTTAATAATTATTGCTACATTATACTTCAAAAACATAATTTTTTCTGATGATGGAATTATTTTATTAATTAAATATATTTATCCAAAACAAAATTAGAAATAAATATTTGTGTGGAATATTTTAATGCCTAATGAAATTTTTGTTTTAAATTAATATAATAACAAATCAATATTTATAATCCTTAATATGATGTTGGCATATGATGCCACAGGTTTAGTAAGCCCAAGGCCTGAGCTCTTACTGATGGAAAGCCCAGGTGGGTGATTCCAATAGGCATATGGTATTGTTTCTGTAGGGTGGAGGAATTAACTTCATAGTAGAAAATACCATTTTCCCTGTGGAAGAGGATCATAATACTCCCATGGTACCTCGACCTATAGTAAGAGGTGTATGGGCGTCGGCTCATTCCTTTTTATATATAATACTATAAAACGTATTCGCCTCAGCCACGGCTGATCTCAAGTACACCAGATGGCCCGAACAATTATCTACCAAGGTTCCGGAGCAATGCGAACAACCACCAACAAATGATTATAATCAATTAGTTTATATAACAAAATACATATGCACACATTTTCTGGGGACCGGACACCGGGTCAGTACGCGGGCTATTGTTCAGTTACGCAATAACATGTTGTTACCAAAAATAGCGGACTAAGCAAATCTAGCAGGGGGATAAAGGGTATACATACGGGTCGCCAAGAACACCTTTTCAGACGAGTCTGAGTACTATCATCTGCAGGTATATTCACGCCGCAGACTTGTAAGTAAATTAAAAAGTGTTTGAATATTTCTCAACTTTAAATAAAAATACTTATAAATATTGTGTCTACTCATTCGTCTTAAACCTAACTTTGAGTTTAAAAATATGCCCACAACAGAGGCAAAAAAATAAGAGTAGCGGCTGGTCAATAACGGGTGTAAATACTTTTTGAAATAGCATAAGGAATTCTAAATAAGATTTTGGTGGATTGTTTTATCTCAGATGTGCGTGGAAAAACAGGTGAGAAAAGGTACCATATGGTATAACTTTAATAGGAGAAAATCTGAAAGTTAACAATAGGCTTGAGGAATGGAGAGTAGCACTTCAAGAAATGGACTAAGGATAAGTAGAAGTAAAATAAAGTATGATTTTGAAAGAATATAGACAAGACAGCTAATGAAAATAAACGTTGACATAAAAGATGAAGTTGAGTTTTAAGCAGGTACTTACAATACTTTGTACTTAACACAATTTGGCTTTGACGAGGATATAAACATATGAGGAAAGATGGGGAGAAGAAGATCAAAAAAGGGGTGGTTTGATGCAATTGAGTATATTAGAGCTATCATCATATGAAAGGTAAGAGATAAAGTCAAGTGGAAATTTAAAATGAGGGTGGCCGACCCTAAATAGTTGGGATGAAAACAAAGGAAAAGAAGATAAATTTATAATGTCAATGTATTACAAACATGGTTTACCATCATTTATAATATTAAATAAGTAAACGATAATTTATATTTATATGTTATAAATTATATCATACCTGAGGATAATCAAATTCGATATTACTTAATATCATTTTAGACAATTCATTATATGGTATAAGACGTATTAGTTCATTGTTATTAAAATCTGGTAACAAAAATTTGTATCTAAAAAATAATAATAGGAAATACAAGAAATTGGTTTATAATAAATAAGTAGGTAGTTAAATTTTAAAACAAACTGAGCTATTTGTTCAACTGTCCATTTGTTTAATGCAGAAGGATAAGATTGATTGATTAACAACATAGACCATGATCTTCTAACACTCTTAGGCAAATTTTTCCAATTAGACTGTTTATATATATTACAAAATGCTCTATGATTTTGTTTTTGTTCTGCTTCAGTTAACAAAGTCAATCTATAAAATATATCTGGTATTAAAAATAATGTAAATTGCATTAAATAGGTACCATATTTTTACTTAAAAATTGTATAAAGAAATCTAATTACAAATAAAGTCATTAAAAATAATACCGTAGTTCTGTATTAAAAAATTAATTTTAAACTTCATATATATCATTAACTACTCTTAAAATACAATGTTTGGTTGCAAAACTTTAATTATCTATTTGATAATATTATGGAAATTCACTGTTGTGATATGTTATATGAATTACTCATAGATAAATTATAAATCTATTTTACAAGCCTCATGAAATATTGTTATAAATTACTTATGATTAGATACTCACAATCGGATTTTAATAGGTTTACTACTGGTAAGAATATATGGTGCCCAAAGTCTAGCTAAAGCATAACCACATATATTAGATAACTTTTGAAATTTACCATCTTTAACATTAAAGTTCCATTTATATACTGTTTCACTGATAAATTCTAATATTTTATCATTTTTAATAATCTTTGTAACCAACTAAACAAAAAAATATATGTACATATATAAATAACTATGAAGATAAATAAATATGAAAAATGTATTATTTTCATACAAAATTTAGGAACTGTATGCGTTGCTGATTTGTTACAACAGATTGAAGAATTTTTTTTGCTATTATCGAATCATCTTCATTTGCAATTAATAAAGACGCTAAGTGAGTACCAGATAATATGTCTAATTTGTTTTTCTGAAATCATGTCTTTATTATAAAATATAAGTACCTATTTATTTTAAATTACTTACAGGTAAAAAATATATTAGATTCGTTGGCAGTTTAATGATGTCTTCAATACTAAAATTAGCTAAAGATCCAATTAACAATTTATCACAAAGTTCTGGCGAACAATCATTGAAAATTAAATTGAGATCGGCTGGATATCCTATAATTTCCAAACAAACAAGTGTTATTTATATATTTATCGTTATTACTTAATTAATCATAAACAAGTTATAATATAACTTACCAAATAATCTATCACAATTTACCAATTCATTTTCTCTGAGTAAACAAACTAATGAGGTTGATGAAGTTTCATTAAAATAACAACAACTAGCTTGCCGTTCTATGCATAAAAATAAAAATAGTCACATTAATAAATTTTCTTATTTAAGTAGGAATTACAGTAAAGAGTAATTTGTTACCTGAAAAAAATAAAATAATTAAAATAATAAAATAAAATTGATTTTGTAAAAACCACATGTTTAAAATATTAAGTTCTAACACAGCAAGAAAAAATATTCATGAAGAAAACTCGAAAAACAGAAATTTAAACTAAAGAAGAGTATATACTAATCAATGGCTATAGACAAGGACACTAACTATAAAATCATAATGTAATAAATATAATAAAGCAACTTTAAAATATAAATTTACTTTAAGGGAGGGATCTCCCCAGATAACTAATCTAATCGAATTTGTATTAATAAACTACAAACCAAGATAACTTCATGCCTAATGCAATATAAAATACTATACAATTATGAATAAAGTAAATTATATTTATAATCTATGGTCAGTAGAATACTTAAAGGGGGGTTTTCGGTTTCAAACTACTCCACCTCCCCCCCGAGAGCCAAGAAAAATACAAACATTTGTGAGTATTAAACGTTATAGGTATTTATTGTTTAATTGGAACAATGTTTCTATCTGAAGTCATTCAGAATTTGAAGTAAATATAATAAATAATAATTTATTAATTATATGTGAGTTATTAAGTGTTTAGTGTTTTGTAAACTGTAAAATGCTCAAACGCATACACATTCTGATCGTAAAACTACCAATTTAGATTTAAAAATGATGTCCAAATAACTATAACAATTATTATTTTTGGGTGTATACAATTGTATATGGATATTCTATTAACCTTGGATATAGAGATTAGATCATATACATGTATATATAATGTTTATGATCTAATGTATATAGTACCTATCAATAAGGTGCCATCTTGGTTAGACAAAACATCGTACTAAATATTTTTTTTCCCAAAAGTAATGGTACTGTAAAATAGAAATCTTTTGCACATCCACTTGTTGTAAAGAACGATGTAGGGAACGGTCCCACTATACTACCACCACAATTTAAGATTTAATTCTTTATAAATAATTGAAAGATTTGTCTTAAATCGTGATTACCACAAATATGAAATCTGATGGCGCATTTCTCAATTTACTGATAACACTAACCTACTTCAAAGAAGTAGAGCCACATAAGAGAAATACATTAATGTACAACATCTACTACCATAATTTTTAATTATTGTTTATATGCATAAACCTATAAGGTCTATGTTTATAAGTTAGGGGGAGAGGTCTTCAACTCGCCGTGTCGTTTCATTTCGTTTGTTTTGAACTCAATACGTTACTTTTGGATTGTACTAAAAATTTGTACTTGTCGTTCTAACTAACGTTATCACTTACTATCATTATTAATTTACCGTTCACCAAAAATGCGTTGTAATTATTATCCCACATTTTTCTTAATTTAAAATTATTATTATATCATATTATTTATGAATATTTATTATTATTTTGTCATAAATATTTCACCTTCTATATTTTCTTCAGTTTTTTATTATTTATACTATTTTTTGTTAAAAAGGTCGATGCCATTGAATTATTACCTAAACAATATACACTTTATTAATATAATTTACTTGTATTATACGATTAACTAATAATAATAATAAAAACACCAAAATCATTTATTTAATTTTAGTTACTAATTTATTGCTATTTTTAATAGTTGCATTGTATTAGTAGGTACTGACTGCTGGTTCTACTGGTATTTATTTTAAAATCAATGGTACAATCTATATTAAAATTACTTAGTATTATACTTACTAGTACTAGTTTGTGATTTTATATCATAAAAAAGTACAGTGTGAAGTGTTTAAACAACAAACTTTTTGCATAAAGTGTATATCTGTCCCTAAATAAAATGTACATTTTACAATTAAATAACATAAGTTATTATTTACCTTTACAAAGTTCATATTGAATTTAAACTAGTAATAAAATTGAATATTATTATAATATTTATATTTAATTTTAAATTAAATTATTAAAATGAAAACAAGAAAATGACGTAACCAGCTATAACCAGCAAGTCCAAAAGTTGAATTCAATTCTACGGTATCCACGATCAAAATTTATCTACCATGATAATATGAGCCAATCAGAAAATAGTATTTCACACAAAACAACACAGTGAGTTAAGGACTCCCCTTTAAAACTTTAAAGTTTAGACCAGAGGTTGGGAAGGACAATAAATTGCCCATCTATAACCAATAATTTCTTATACTTATTTTCCTTATTCGTGGTGACACTTAAGAAATTTGTTAGTACTATAAACCTGATATTATATAATATATGCTTATACGTCTATAAATGCGTTGTGCACTTAAACAATTCCGAACATGTTTTATTTAATTATAATTATGTACCTTATGTCCATCCTACAAATTGATCTAATAATGCAATATTTCAGAAAACTATTATTGGTTCGTTATAATGTTTACTTAAGATAGGCCTGTCCACATTTTAAGATATATCATTTTAATTCCGGATAATTAATGTTTAAAAATTCCTAAATTTTAAAATATTCAAACCAACTTTATAAGATTTGGGGTTGTAAAATTGGGAAAAGTGGACTGACTGAACTCAAGTAGACATAATTACAAATTCAAATTAGTTTTTAAAAGTATCATCACATTACTAGGTTGATCCATATGCTAGACAAGACTGCTGTTTTATCTAAAAAAAAGCTGATTGCCACCACCCATGTTGGGTTTTTGGCCCTTAACTTAAGTTTTTTTTTTTTTTAAATCAATTTAAGATTACCAAGCTATTAAAAATGTTTTTATTAATAAATTTTACAACTGAAAGTATAAAATATTGTGTGAACATAAAATAATAATATAAATACTAGAATGTAAAATGTACACACATTCGAGTACTAACTTAAAAGAAGTTATATAGCGAACAAATATTTTACAAGACTTTTTTACGTTTATTTATATTATTTTAAGTAGTGATTATTACATTAGTAACTTAAAACAAAAATAATCTAAAATCTTAGTTGCTAGTAAATAAATATAACCCTTATCACAAAATACATGATTATTGAATTCAGTCTTAAATAGGTCTACTTGTAAATAACAATAAGTCTTAAAATGATTTGGATCAATAATACTTTATTTAACAAAAATTGACATAATATGCATTTCCACATTTAAGGCTGTAAAAAAAATAAAAAAAAAACAATTAATATTAAGACATCTTTCATTAACACCAACTTAATTTAATACACTTTAAAATGACCGACAATATCAAGTATGGTGGCTTCGATAAGTGTTTAATTTATAATTGTTTTTAAATCCACTTATTTTACAAAATAAAGTTTAATTAGGTAGTTATCAAATTTATTATAAATTAAAATGTTAACATAAAATTAATTTAACAGTAAAAAAGATGTTAATCTTATCATCAGTAATTTATAATATACATAAACAACATTTTTCTATGCATTTTAGATTTTGAGTGGGGCTAAGAATGCATTTGTTATATTGTTTTAGATTCTGAGTGGAGCGAAAAAGCTTATGGTTTTACAGAGATGTTTATTTATTCATAATACATAATTTGTAAGTCATCCATTCCGAGTTATCCCTAAAAAAATAATTTGCTGAACTAAAATTGAAAAGCTGAATGAACTATGGCTAACTTCTGTTTTTAAGTAAGCCATGAAATAAATTTTAGTGAATAGTTAAAAATGGCTGGACTTACAAATTTTTTTTCAAAAATATTGAAGTTATAGTACTAATTTTACAGACCTCAGTTTAGGGTATATAAATGTACCGGGAAAAAGATTAATTATATATTTTTTAACAGATACAATAACAGTGCAATAGTCTTTATTTTAGAGGAAATCAAATTTTCATCTAAAAATGGATTATTCAATAGAACTTTTATTTTATTCATATTATTAATTCTGCAATATTACTAAAAGTATTAATTTTATAGTAGATTGAAATGTGAAAATTGATTTATATGTACCTTATTTTGGGCAATTAAAAATCAAAAATCTCATCCAACATTCTATATTGATTTTAAAACCACATGCCAATGTCCTAAAAATGAATAAAAATGAACAAACACCTTAATACATCTTTTAAATTGATATTATAATTTACCTTATGTAATACTTTGTACAACGGTACAAGGTTTTATGTGATTGATCATAATAATGACAAAAATGTGGACAGAGATGACCACAATCCATTTTAATATTACATATTTTTGAACACTGGTTTTTAGAAAAATCACTACTATCACAAACGGTTGAAGTCCAATCCTTATGAATTTCGCAACATAAAGTCAATTTATTTCCTGAAAATTAATTTTAATTAGACGTTTAAAAATAAAAAAATAATTTTTCTTCAAACCAAGGCATTTTTGATTAATAAGTATTTGACTCATTTCTTTCCATACAGTTGAATGTATAAGATTATCCATATTTCCCATGATATATAGTCCATTCTTAGCTCTAGATAAGGCAACGCAAATTCGGTTTTGGATGTTTAAAAAGCCTATATTATTATCAATGTTACTGCGTACTAAAGACAACAGAATAATGTCATTTTCTTCACCTTGGTAGCCATCTACACATTCAATTCGGAAATCTTCTAAAACACAACTTGTATCTCGTATCTAAAAGTAATTTACAAAATGTAAGTAAACATTTACAAATTACATTTCCTGAATAGTAAACACTTTTAATGGAACACATTATTTAAACAGGTTTAAAAGCTCATTTTTTTAATTTTTAAAAAAAAGATTGAATGTTAAATGTATAATTAATGTCTATTAATTATCTTTTCTTTTATTTTACTGAATCTGCGGTCGATAACAGTAGGTAGTATTCATATCCACTTAGAAATAATCAGGCACATCATACATACAAAAAGTATGTAGTACTCACTTTTAACTTATCAATCTCTACTCTGTCATTCTTCTGAAAACATTTTCATCTATATTCATGTGTTTTTATCCTTATAAAATATAAACTTATTAGAATTTTAAAGAAAAAAAAAAAATTGAAATTTTATAAATACTTGATAATATGATTTACAGATATTTTGAAATAAATGATTTTACTTTTAGGTGTACCGTAAGAAATAATACACATAATTATTTCATTTAATAAGTATAAATTGATTTATTAATTTTAGTGAAATAATAAAAAGGATAAATATAATTAATAAAAAGACTCATACTTTGCCACTTTAGTAGGTGAGAAGTTGAGAAGGTAGAGAGAAAATGTAATATATATTTATACGCTATGATTTATTATTGCTAACGAAAAAACGATTCTGAGCGGAGTTCAGATAATAGTGTTGTTTTGTGAATAATATATGTATAACATGTCATATTATGGTAAAATAATTACAGATGCATTATATATTCTTTTTAATAATATTTGTTTAATATTGTACCTATTTTCCTGCTTTTCCAATTTATTAAGAATATAGCTTATTTGGATTCTTTGATTTTCCCAGGAGTTTTCCCAACAAATGGGAAGAACCTGGAAAAAAATGGGACAATTTACGAAATGTAGGTATTAATAAAAAAAATATTACAGACTTTTTTTCCTGTGAACAACTTTTCTACAAGCAATTTTGCTCCAATTTACAATGATAGCACTTTTTCTGAAATCTAACAGGGATGGTATATTAGGGAGAAAGCCTAATACGTAGGAAAAACAAGAAAACAGGTACAATATTAAATAAATATCATTTAAGAAAATCTTTAATGCATTTATAATTATTTTACCATAATCTTTTTCTTCTTCTTCTTTAGGTAAATGGCCACTAGGACATTCCCTTAAAACACCCCTTCCTCCTGTCATCTTTGTCAGATACTCGTTCCTTCCAATCTGATCCTCCACCTAAGGCACTTACATCTTTTCTAACTAGGTCGTCTTACCACATATGAGATATTTCTCTAATTCCTTATTATTTCCAATATATTTGGCTTATGGAAAAGTAATTCTAGCTCATTATTCTTATCCTCCACTGATTGCTATTGCTATCCTTTAATGTTCCATAAATTCACCTTAAAATTTTTCTCTCCCAGACTATCAGCTTTTTTTCATCTTCTTTTCGTAGTGGCCATGTTTTCACTTCATAAGTTCTAACTGGACGCAGTAATGTCATATATAGCTGTATCTTAAGTTTCCTTGATATGACATATTTTGTCATATAATATTGTTGACAAAGCAACACTATCAACCAAACTCTGCTCAAAATCATTTTTTGTCCCCTTTATTTTCTTTCCAACTTCTAAACAGTGGCCTACCAATATGTGAGGTATATCCGTCTTTCTTTACTTATATCTGCATTTCTTACATTTTTCTCAGTTATCTCATGTTTTTTTACGGGAAAACATCTAGGAAAACCAAGAAATTACCTCTTTAAGCCTTAAGGTATCACCCCAGTTAGATTTTCTTCCAGAAAAAGTGCTATAATTGTAAATTGGAGCAAAAGCGCTGATAAAAAGTTGTTCAGATTAAAAAAAATAAACCATTACACTCCTTGCTCCGCTCAGAATCTAAAATATATTTCTGTTATAAAATGTTGGTATTACTTTCTGTAGTTCTAATAATTGTGCTTGATAAGTAACTAGTATAGTTATTTGGTCTTGGCGATAGCCTTGATTAAACAAATATCTGGCAAATTCCATAAAAAATTTTACTTCGTGAATATTTTTGTAACTATTAGAACCAATTACCTAAATTAATAAAATAATATTTTAGAAAATTCATTAAGAATTAAAATTATTGTACTCTAATTAATATAGTAGATATTATAATAAAAATAGATGAAATATAACAATAATCTTACACAATATAATCATCACATGTGTGATGTGTAATTAATTACTGTTTTAATTACTAAAATTAATATGTATACTACTTACTTTCTCTTCTTGCATTTCATGGTGAATAAAATATACATTTTTAGTAACACCACGAATATCACCTCTATTAATAACTGATTCGTGATTTTTTAAGTTAGGATAAATAGGTTTCATCAAAGCAGATATCTCAGGACACATTCGGTATTGTGTAACTAAAGTATGATATGGAAATCCATTTTGTACCATTCTTTCAAATAATGAAACATCAAAATCAAACTGTTTTGAAAGAGTAAATGATGCGGTTCTGGGGCGGAGTTGTTTGTGATCACCTAAAAATCATAATTAATAATTGTGTGATAATATTTTTAATAAATACATTTTTCTATGGAACAATAGGCATTATTATAAGAACACTAAATCTTTAAATATTATTATAATATTAAAATATTAAGCAAATTATAATTAAATTTTACATTACTTTATCATTTAAAGTCTTAGTAGACCAAAAATTAATACATAATATTAATCAAATTAAATAAAAATTCTTATAATTTTTTAATGAAATAATAAGTAAAACAAAATTATTAAATGGTTAATACTCATAAATAAATATATCAATAAATAATTTATATGTGGAAATAAAAAATAAATAAATGAACACACATATCATAATACTCCTACTTTACTTATTTATACATTTAAAATTTTTTCTTGAACAAAAGTATTTTTACCTGAAAAGACTCAAAACTCCCCCTGTAAATACATACTTAACAGGCCACTCTCAAACATAAATAACTTTCTTTAGATAATATTTTAAATATTAACATTTAAAAACAAAAACTGAAAAATTGTTGAGAAAAATATTTATCTTCATTATTTATTTTAATAAAAGTTGTTAGTATTATTTTAATAAATTATTACTTGCCAATTAAAATAACATGTTGACAAAATTTTGTTAAAGATGTAACTACATATGATTCTAAAACTTCAGCAGCTTCTTCCACAATAACTGTGAATTTTCAAACAATTATTATTCATTGGCATTAAAAACACATTAGTACAAAAATATCAATATTAATATAAGTATAACAAGTTATCAATTTCAAAAAACTATGGCTTCCCACTGTGTTCAACGGATTTTTCTAGAGTTGATAATATTAAATATTTTGATTTACAATTATTTTTTTTTTTTTTTTATGGAGGGCATCTGTTTAAAGAACAATTATATTTTTATATTTATCCCTTTACAAAAATTAAGTATATTTGCTTTTTCTAAATGTAATAAAATGTTTAAAACATTTGAGCTATTTTTGAGCAATTTATAAGACATTTTAATTTTATGAATTTTTTTACCTAATTTTTATTCAGTAGGTACTCTACAGATGAAATTGTTTAGACTAAACAGATATGGTAATACATTTAACAGGAGGTTCATTATAAGTTGCATTTAGTGGTCAATAAGAAAACATGTTGAGTTTAATGTAGTATTTTTTTTTAATGAACATTTTAATACTACATTTTTGACAAAAATTGTAAATATTACAGACTTTTAAAACATGTATAACCAAATTCCGCTCAGAATTGTTTTTTGTAAGCAATGATTAATCATTGCGCACAAGTATACATAAAATTTTCCTTTAAAAGAATAAAGAAGTGCTTTCCTATCTACCAAACTTCTCATTTAAAACAGTGGCCCATCCAGATTCCCTTAATTTTATTTTATTTCAACAAAAAATAAAAAAATTTTTTTTTTTTTTGAAAAATACAAAAGAGCAATTTGTATAAATATATTTTAAACAAAATGTTGGTGTTACAAATATGTATAAGGGTGAATCATTAAGTTTCTATATTTTTTTGAGGTTTACAAAAACCATTAATAAAATTATTTCTCAAAAAAAATTTGTCTATTAGTTAATATTATTTTTTGCCACTAGTAAATAACATCAATTGATACACCAATTTTTTTATGAAAAATAATTGCATTAATGATTTTTGTAAACTTCATAATATTTTAAAAACTTAATGATTTATCATAAATATTTATAACACCAAAATGTTGTATTAAAAAATATTTAAAAAAAAGTTCTATTAAATAAAAATAAAATTACATTTTTGAATTTAAACAAAATATAATAGAAGAATCATAATGTAATGCTTATAATAAGTTACCACTTACAAAAAAAAAAAAAAAAAAAAATCAAAATATTGAACAAGTTATTGCATTTTTACATTCTGTATATCTTGTTCTTTAGTACCTACCTAATTTTGAAACTATACATTTTATTTAAATAATTATTAATAATTTAATATAATATTTTATATCAGTCACATTTTTAAAATAACTCTACTCTAATTTTTTACATACAATAAACTAAATTATAGACTAATAATATATTTACCAATAGGAGGTTTTATGTTGACTAATAGAGAATATCGCATTGAAGCTCCAGTAGTAGTAAGACCAACCACATGTGAATGCATTATGTGTTGTTTTGCTGAAGGACTTTGAATATTTCCAACTACATTTGCTTTTAAAATATCAGATTTACATCCACCACCAATTCTTACAATTTTTTTAGTGATATTAAGTAAACCTACGAGAAACTGATCTAAAGCATGATTGGTATAACAAATAACTACAATTGGGCTTCTAAGGATATTTGTTTCATACATATTCTCTATTATACTTCTTGCTATACGAAGGCCAATATATGTTTTACCAGTACCTGGTGGACCTTGAATAACAGTAAATTCTTCTGTTAATGCCGCTTTAAATGCCATACTTTGTGCATTGTCAAGTCCTAAAAACGTGTTATCTGGCCAACACTTATCATTTAAAATATCAAACTGTAGACCATTAATATTGTACATTTTTGAATTATATGTTAAGTATGCTGGAACCTTAGGTTTAGTATTTCCATACACAATATATGATTTCATAGGAAAATTACAAATATTAAATGTTTTCAAAACTTTCATGGAATACATGTAAGGTAAAAAGTATGCATCAGATTCAGCCATAGTATAAAGAGAATTCAATTTTATTGTTTCATTACCCAAAGGTTCAATTACCAGTGTTTTAAATAATGCATCTCGCTTAATTTTAATAACTTTAGCAAAAAACATAGAATTAAAATAATCATCACTAAATACTAACAGTGATTCAAACATAAATCTTTTTGAATCAACTGAACAATTTTTTTCTGTATAAAAATTAACTATATATAACGATTTTTGATTTTTAACTTTTTTTTCTATTTTTGCTCTAAAATAAATATGCATATTAGGCATTGACAGTACATCATGATTAAGTTTATACATAGTTGTATAAAACTGAATACCTTCTCGTATTGGAGCAATAATATCTTCACGAAGTAAACGGAATTGTACATCTAAATAGTGTTCAACATTTTCATAAATTCCATTGATTATATTTGTACTTAAAATCACAATTTTTGAGGTGATATCTGTAGTTGTAGGATAAATAGATAGGTTTTTATAATATTCTGGCCACCTTTTAACTTTATATTTAATACAATTAGTAGCTTTTAAATTTTTGAACACTTGTAACATTTGTTCAGTCTTTAAATTATCATTTGTTAATTCTAATTGTTTAAAATCCATTGAATTAGATTTAATAAATTGTATAATCTCATTTAACAGGGTTGTAGAATTTGGATTAGTCATAATTTCTAATAAAGAATTACAATTAGTGAAGAATTCTAGCAATCTAGTTTTGCTAATTAAACCTCCAGCTTTGATAAAATCTCTGAGAGAACAATAAAAACGTTCTAAATAACTTGAATTATCTATCATATCTAAAATAATAGTTTTTGCTTGATTTAATTTCAAAAATTTTAGTTTTGAAAATATATTCATCAATTGCATTTGCATATTAACATCTACACAATTATTTAAAGTATATTTAAAATTGTTGTTACTTATTACCAATGAAAACACTTGATCAGGTTCCAATTCAGATAATAATTCTAACGTTTCATAATTCAAAATTGCTTCTAGATTATTAGTTGTAATGTTTATATCATTTAATTGATGACATATTATATCCATAATTGATGGTATTTTACAATTTGACTGTCCAATTTAATGTTTACATACATTAGTCATAAGTGTAATTTGTTTGCTAGTTATTATTACTTCAACATTTTTATAATTTTCATTCATTGCTGCAACACATTTTAAATTTGACGTTAATTCATCAAAAAACTTGAATACTATTAATAATATATAAATATTAAACTTAATAATTATAAGTCTGATAAATCAGACTAATTTAACTAGGTGTTTAAACATCTTATGAAATAAATAAGTATTTAATAAACATACCCATCAGAGGAAATCTGGTTGAATTAAAAAGTTTTTTATTATAAAATAACTAAAATAATATATTATAACAAAATTAATAGAAGTGAAGGCAAGGTATTCCATTTTTTAACAAGGCTCAGTTTAACCTTTGATCATATAGATACAGATACTATACAATATACTTAATAAAAGAGTAATAAAAATATTATAGGAATGGCCTCAGTACTTACTAAGTAGGTACTAAACAAGAAAATAATATTTGTATATTTCATTATATCAAATGGTGGCCAATAATGCTATAAAATTACAAAATTACAAAAAATCCTAATAAAAGGGTTAATTGAATTAATAATGACCACTGATCACATTGAACAAATTCACCATAACTATTTGAAATTACTAAAATTAAATAATATTTAGTCAATTATAAAATACTTATTTATAGAACTTACCGAAATATCTATTAAACAATAAGTACTTACTTGTAGCACGATATAGAATGAAGCGTACTAAATCGTAATACTTAATGAAATATTAACTAATATAATACCAGTTATTCACTATAGCTAAACTGAATTTAAATTTAAATATCACGAAAAATACATATTATTTAAATTAAAATGAATAATGTTTAAATGAAAGTACGAAATGTTATAAATTATAAACTACTGAATATAAAACAAACTATTAACCATTGGTCTTTAAATATTAGTACTTTTAAAAATTTTAAACAAATAACAAATTAAAAATTGTAGTTATTTGTTTCCTAAGTTTCTAAAAATAAGTTGTAAATATATATCAAAAAGGTATCAGGGAAGCCATATTCTCAAACAGATATTCTCGTATTGTAGCTATTAAATTCTTGTATTTACATTAAAATTCTAGTACTATCACAGATTATGTTAATATAATCTCAAATCTATGGCGTATCACTAAAAGAAAAAATCGATAGCTTTGCTCGAGTTTCATTATCAGTTATCTTAACTATTTTTTTTCAGTTCAATAGTGAAAAAATAATAATTTAGCATAATATTAAACTTAATACCATAGACATATTATTATCTTAATATGTCTATGCTTAATACTGACACGGGCAATACCAGGCGGGATACCTAGTATATTAAAAATTTAAATATTATTTTGGGACAAATAGAACAAATAAAACAAAAACATAACTATCATGTATATAAAACTAAAAATCCTTCATTCATTGAATTAAAACATTATTTTAATACTTCTTATTTATGAATAACAACAAAAGTATTTAAAAGGTAATTACCTACAGTAATGTTGCTATCGTAGAATGAGGGTTATCACTACTCGGTTCTGCAGTTACCTTACATCATATACTATGGATAGAGCTATTGACTAAATGTTTGAAGCAAACATACCTAAGGGGAATTGGGACAAATGCGCATGCGCATAATTTATATCACATGTATTTGGTCGAATTTATGTAATCACGTGTTTTGTACTTACCATTACTGTCTGGTGATATTATAATGATTATATAACAAATGCGCAACAGAATTCAGTATTTTTATCATTCGTTAATAATGTCTTCGTAGTTGTAGATCATTGAGTAATATAGAGATGTTGTGTCGTGTTTCGGCAATACTGTTGTGAAGACAAATGTTAGGTCATACACCCCAGTTGTGTGTCACTTTAAAATTCAGATCTCTACTAGATGGCGATATTAAGACCAACACCTGATTGATAATCAAAATGATATACTAGTGTAAAATTATAAACAATGAATTAATTATCAACTTAATAAGCTTAATAACTTAATATTGCTAGTGGAACATCCGTAATTATTAATTATTAATTGAATAAATTAAATTTACAAAGCCAAGTTGTATTTTGTTTGTGGAAGAACCATATACATATTGATAAATGGTCTGCGTTTTTCTCACCACTCGTCAATGGTATTCGTGAGGTAACGCGTAATAGTAAATCTAAAGAAAAAAATATTACGCTTCATAGGTCGGTCGGTGTATAAATGTACCTTTTTTTTTCTTAAATCATCATAAATTTACAAAATATATTCAACAAATACTTTGTACCTTAAATGTTTGTTATTTGGAAAAAGACTAAATGAATCAATAGTTTTGTTCTGTGTTATCTGGTTACACTGGAAGTAGATCTCTTTCGCCTCAATTCAAAATCGAACGGCATCTGCATTCGCGATAGAAAGCGAAGCGGCTGACATCTGGTGGTAGTGGAATGAATCATTGTAACGGGGCCGACATGAAAACTGAATTATTGGTGAAACACAAAATATTGAGAATTGGTTTAGCCGATTTGTCATAATTTATTAATCACACTTTGTGTTTTAATTTTGATTGCACTTTCGCATTTGGTATCTGTCAACCCATAATTGTGGATTATGCTTATTGTACCACAACACCAAAAACTCGCAAAAAACATAAATATTATCATGTTTCACAATGTAAGATATTTCTAACTTATTAACTTATTTCTACTAAATACACAAATTATATCTCTGTGTATATTCAAAATAATTATTTGTTTTTCATTCAACATTCAATACCAAGAAGATATGACCCCACAATTTTCCCAAAAATGTTAACCTATAAAGAAATGGGAGAATCTCCAGTTCGAATTAAAAAGTACATAAAAAATGTTATTATACATTAATATAATAATGTTTTTCAAAGCTAGGTGTCTTAGGATAAAAATTGGTTCCATTTTTTATTTAGTATAATTTATTAGTTTTTGTAATTATTAATTAGTAATAGTATAGTTCATACACTTACTATACCCAGCTACCTAGGAAACTTTTTTAAAAAAATTAAATCAAATCAGACGTTAACAATAAATAGTTAAAATACACCTCATTATTTGATAAACGTAATAGTAGATCAAAATTATATCAAATAGTTAGCGCAAAGTAAGAAGTAGTTTAAACTATACGTATCACTGTCATTTCACGGCCTACAGAAGTGCGTTAAAGGAGGCGAACTATCCGGTGAACCAACCTGGTTTCTGAACGCAAAAGAGGAGTGTGAATTCCCCGACACACCCCAAATACTTTCTGAATGAGTCTGTCGACAGACTGTATTTTATTATTTCACTTTTATTAAAAATGATACCCTATAAACTAAAATTTTAAATACAATTGCTAAAAATATTAGTTCGGACACGGTTTCGGTAGCACTAATTCTGAGTCGGTGACTATCACGATTAAAGATATACTGGTTGCCCAACAGGCTATATTCAAATACACTTATTTTCTTTGATTAATTTACTTGAAAATTAATTTTAACTAATAAAATATCTATTTAAAATGTTACTTAATATTACTTATTTAAAAAAACGAAATATGTCCATTTTCCATTAGCTATAATCAGAGGTGTTCCCATAAAGTATAATACATAGACGCCGTATACTCCCAAGATTTCTTTTAAATATTATGGGTATAGTGTGTACATACTCTCAAGTCTCAATCGATTTGCGATTTTACGGCTCAAGATTATTATTGACACGTTCTTTACCCATCTAAACCATAGGAAAAATATTTTTATTGTATCAAATGTTTTGGTATTATTTTACGACTTTGTAAACTTTAAAAAAAATTAATGAGAATACAACTGACTATAATTATAAGCATTGTGTTAACATTTAATAGATAATTAGTAATTAGTAATTACTAGTTATCAAATATTTATAAAAACAAAAACTAATATATTATTAGCAATGATTAGATAAAGTAAATCAACAATTTCGATTTGAAAAATATATAGTTGACAATATTTTTAATTTTCGATTTCTGTCCTTTTAACTGTTTTATTTATTTAATCACACTGTTTTTTTATTGTTCTATGTTTATGACCAAAATTGGTAGATTTTTTGGTTAGAGCTTTGAAAATTACAAATATAGTATCCACTAACTTGGATATTTTTGATACACCTCATGAAAATTTTAGGTTTTAACACGTAAGAAATTATTCTAATACAGAATAATCTTACGGACCAGATTTCATGCAACATAATCTTATGAGTGCTCATTTATTATTTTTGAAATATTTATTATTAATATTTCGGAACAAATGCAGTTTAGCTTTCAAGCAATTCTTTCCAAAGTGTGTGTTTTTGCTTATTTAATTTGATAGTACTTTCAAAAGTGTCGTTCAAATTTCATTGTTCAAAATCATGGTCAAAAAACTTCAAAATGACCGATTTTTCTAAAAATCGTGTTTTTTAGTTCAAAACACTAAAAAGACGTCCTAGAATAATGGAGACGGGTGCAGCCACTGTTATAAGTAATTTAATGTATATTCGTAAGCAACGATAAACCATAGCTAAAACGATTCTGAGCGCAGTTCAGTTGATAGTGATGCCTTGTCATCAATATATGTCATATTATGGTAACATAATGAAATAGGCATTATATATTTTCTTTAATAATATTTGTTTAATATTGTACCGATTTTCCAAAGTTTTTCCCACTTATTGGAAAAAGTTGTACACAGAAAAAAAAAATCATATTTTTTTTATTAATACCTACATTTCGTACATTTTCAGTTTTTCCGACAATTTATTGCGGTTTTTCCCAGATATTATAAAAACCACATGAAAAATCAAAAATAGACTTCTCTTAATTACCATAGTTAAAATTTCCTTTCAAAAAATACACTTGATATATTGAAACAAAATTTCTGTCAGAAAAGTGTATACAACAAATTGAGGGGAATTTTCAATTAAAATAGTCAGAGGGAGCGATGGCTTGGATCTCTAGGTACATCCAAAATGCAACTATCTTTTTCTTAGTTTAGATAAAAGAGAAAAAAAATATAAATAATTTTTTTTCGTCACATTGGTTTGAACTCGGAACCTTAGGGTAATAATGAACATAAAAAACTATTAGATCACAACAAATATGCTTTAAAAAAGAAAATAGTTATTTATCATAACTATTCATATTATGAACTCCGCTTGGAAAATCAAATTAATTATTGAAGCCAAGTACAACAGTTGAATTTTGATTTCACCAAAATGTTAAGAATATTATTACTACCATTTCTAAAAAAATTCCAAAAATGTACATCTTTGGTATTTTGAACTCAAAAACATGATTTTTAGAAATACCGAGAAAATATCAGAAATATTAGAACTTCCAAATGAAGTTTGAACAACTGTTTTTGAAAGCACCATTAAATTAAGCATGAAAAAACACACATTCTGCTTCAGAGCTAAACTGCATTTATGCTATTATTTCACTTATTATTCAGTTTTTGTTTCTTTTCATTTTGTATTAGCTTAGCTATACCATATTCTTACTGTAAAAGAGTTCCATTGAATTTATAAAATAAAAATAAAACATTGCACTTTTAAATATTACATAGGTAATATATTGTAACACGGTAATAATTCATATACACATTTTTCTTAATTCAGGTTATAATTAATTTTTTTTTTAAGGGTATATTTTAATAAACACAATAAATTATAAATTATACACAATAACTAAACTAAAATACTAAATTATTCAATCAACTTTAATAGAAAAAGATGCACCACAAGAACAGCCATCTTGTGCTTTTGGATTTCCTATTAGTTTAAAAGCAGCTCTGATTAACTGTTGTTCATAGTCTATGGTTGATCCTTTGACATAATTTAAAGAAGTTGTATCTACAACTATTTTAATACCTTTTTTTTCAAATATACAATCATCTTTAGAAATAGTTTTGTCTAATTCAAACTTGTACTGAAATCCTGAGCAGCCACCACTTTCAACACTAAGACGAAGAAATTCATCTTTGTCACATATTACTTGAAGGCGTTCAACACATCCTTCAGTTACCTTTAAATCATTTTCAGCAAATTCCGTTGAAAATTTTCTGACAGATTCTGAAACTGTTATTGATTTATAACATTTTTGTAAGTTTCTGACCACTGCAAAAATCATTTTAAGCTTTATCTAAGTTAATAATTATTAATTATCATATGTAATGAAGTTAAATACTTTATGCACACGTACATTTACATAGAGAGAACCGCTTTCGATTTTTGAACTGAATAAACTGAGGTAACAAACAGACTATGATTTTGAATAGATCTAATGATAAAGATATCAGATAACATCTATATTTTAATCTCCAACCATGGATAATAACCAGATAATAAAAAAAAAAAAATGGTTTATATCACTAATAAAATAAACGGTTCTTGTCAATACCTGCCTATTTGAAACGTCATATTTACCTTGTCTTATAGATTAATAATTGATTTTTAGCAGTTGTTACTACTAACCACGAATTAAGATATACTAAACACAATAAGATATCTTAATTTGTGCTTCTAGTTGCAGATACCAATTATTAAGTGTATTTAATAAATGTTGCTATTAACTGTGGCTGGTGACTACTATCAATTTGAGAAAATGCTGAAATATAATGTATTACATTATTATGTCCACATTTAATCATTAAAACCTAGGTATATATTTTAAAATAGCCATCTCTAATAATAAGGTAACTGTATCGTTTATTCCAGATAGACAAATACTGATAAGAACCGTTTATTTTATTAGTGATAAAACCGTTTTTTTTTGGTGTTTGGTTGGATATTAAAAAATGTCTACTACTCATAATATGAATAGTTATACAAACAGTTTACCATCATGTTGTGTTCATGTACTTGTTACGTGCCCACATACGCCTTCCGCAAGGGACGCATGCAAGCTGTATACGGTAATACTTACCATATATGAAACCGAATACCTACCTGATGCAGTAGGCTTGTAAAGTATAAACACACTAATCGACCAAATTCGGGCCGTTAGTTCTTAATCGTGATAACATAACGGTTACGTTTTCCCGTTATACCTATTTGTTGAGAAAACTCCTGGGAAAATCGAAAAATGACCTCTAATGTACCTGCTCAATCAGATTTACTTTCAGAAAATGCCTTCATCAAGTGGGTGCTTAAATATAATCCAGAGGGGGTGGGCTATGATAGTTTTAAGCTGATATAAGTACTCACCGGATATACCACCAGAACCTACGGACCAATTATCATGTAAGTCAGTTAAATATTTAAGAACATTTTCAACAGTTAAGTCAATGTTATCGAGTAAGTCAAAATAAAATATATTTAACGAGGGAGTATGAAGATCAAAATGAGCATCTTAGAAAACCCAAGAGAAGTATATAGAAAACAAATTTGCAGCTTCCTGCTCATAAGTAAAGGTTGATCAATTAAAGAAAACCTTTGAAATCTTACTCAAAGATGACCTATTATTTTTAACGAACTTCTGGTTATCAGTAGGGTTACTAGCTAATAACCATTCAATATGCTCAACATAACTATGAAAACATTTCTTAGATTCATACTTAAAACTAACACAAAGCAATGAAAATTCCCTGTAGTTATGAGCATTGGAGAATGACTTGAATATAATGTGCCTTTTTCTTTAAAAATACGATTTGTTTAAGTTTCTTATTAAACCATAACGGGAATATTGAATCAGTAAATGTATACTTCGGAACAAAATCGAGAAGCGATTCGATAATAAATGCTCCATCCCTATTATATAATTGGAATGTTGGGTACCAGTCAAAAGACGATAAGAATAAACGGACTTTTTCAAAATTTGCTTTACGAAAATTGTAGAATGTGTTACTACAATTACAATAAATAGTAAACTGATTTATTGGGAGAGAGATGTTTAACGCAGGGTGATGAAGGTCTGCCGGAATAACAGGTTTATACGACTTTTCAACCGATAACAGTTTATTATTAGAAAACACTAGGTCAAATATTGAATTTAAATGATTATTTAGTTTATATTGTTTTTCTGAAAAAAGCAGTATGTAGCGAATGCTTCAGGAATGCACGCAGCCCTTGGAGGTGATAAGGAGGAATAAATGAGACTATAATCGTCATTGTCCCAAGATATCTCAAGCGAATTATAGTCGCCACATACAATAAAGGTGTGTGAAAAGAAGTTTATTCGTATGTGCTCAATAGAGTTAATATGCGACTCATAAAAGAGAAGAATTAGGGGGAAAATAGACACCACCTAGATTGACCAACAGTAAAGCGAACAAAAATGTGTTCAACATTAAGGTTAGGATCAGAAATAAGAAAAGTTGGAAAATTGTTATAAATACCAATGAGAACGCTCCAATTCCGAGATAATACACTAGTATTAGTACATCTAGTGTACCTAAAAATATTAGTTTTATACACCAGGTTGGCTTTAGTAAAGTTATTATTTAACCGGGTTTCTGTTAATACATTAAATAAATGGTTGAAAGCCAATACATTACATATTGAATTATTTAATTTTGTTAAGACAATTTTGATAAAACCCCAAGATTTTATCAGATTGAGGCAAAAAAGTTGATTGGCCAGCATTAAAGTGGAATCAATCTTCCCCTGTTTTTGACAGCTGAAACAACTGTAGGCAATCCGTATTCATGAAGTAAGAACACTACACATAAATCAGTTCCACCACTATTGACTCTCCTATCTCTCTACAGTTACATTCGAAAACCTACAGAAAAAATGTTCTCAGAACGTTAAGTGGAATTAGATGCAGAGTAATAGAGTATAGGTTGAAAGCAGCATATATAGATTCACAAAAAAATTTTACTGGACGTGTGAAATCAGTATGAGATCCACCAAGACAAATTAGTTAGTAGGAACAACATTCTCAAGTGAGCTAAGAACTTACCCTTAAATATTTTAAAACCAATCTAAAAACATCTTCTAAATTAAGAAATGTTCAAGTGAAAAATTGTGAAGGTAGCTGCAAACCTAACCTTGGAGAGGATTCATACTTGCATTAAGCAGTCATTGGAAGGTTTACATTATTGTATCAAAAAAGAAGAGGGTGAGATTTTGAATGATTTATATAATATAGTTAGAAATGTAATTGATTATAATATTGAAAAATAACAACTACAACAATTTTATGTTTTTAAACAAAAATTAAATAAATAAGTGTAAATGAAGGAACATTTTATTAATACATTTAGTGTCCAATACAGGATATGACTAGGTATATTTATTAGGCACCATGTAATTACTTGATTTTCACTTTAGCTAAAAACATTAAACTAATAATCTAATAGTTATAAATATATAAAATTTATAATTATAAACCAATGTCATGATGAAATGGTTAAACAACCATTTCAAATAGGTTGATTAATTACTTCATAAATAATATTTTTAGTGTATTCCCAAAACAGAAGAAATATGTCCCTTAATGGAAAACGGATTAGTGATTTAGATGATCTGAAAAAAAAAAATCATGAAATTGTTAATATACTTTTTTTTTTTTATAGTTGGTCAGAACATGAATATTTATTTTAAATCTTTTGAAAAATTCTATTAGTTCACATCATAAACATTTAAATGACTCTTTATTTAAACTATCTTTTAATGTTTTGATTACACTTTTAATAACAATATAAAATATAAAATCATAGATTTGTTCTGAACAGTTTTACTTCAAACATAAATGTTTATGAACTCTTCATACCTTATACCTAATACAATATAAATAGAGAAATTTTTGATTGAGGGGGGGGGGGTAAATTTAGTCTAGGGGGTCTAATAACCATACCCCAACCTTTAAATACACCCCTAATATCATTGCTTATAATTTATATAGTAAAGCAAAATATTATGAGAGCCGTCTTTTTCATAAATACAATATTATTATTAATTGAAGAAGAATATTTTTGTTGTATAAAAAATATCTATATACAATATGAATATGTTTTACGGATTAAATTTGATTAAAAATTCAATAAATTACTGAAAATACATTATCAATAAAAATGTCTACAAAAATATGCAAAATTAAATTTTGTAATAATTAACAATACCAACTGATAAAATAAATAAATAATTATTATTATTATTATTCAGATTCATATTATATAATGATTTATCACAGATAAAATCAATAAGTTTCGAGTTTCAGCTCTAACATTTTAGTATTAACATGAAATAAATTGTATTTTAACTTAACTTACACCAATGTATACAATTTAAAATTTAAATTTTTAACTTAAGTTAAATTATGGTTAAAAGTTTTGAAGATTTAAATTGTGTACAAAATAAAAATAGTAATATTGCATTTAAATATTCAAAATTAGATAATTAATTTAACTAGATGTATTATAACTAGAGATGTTACTAACCCTGATTTTTAAGTTCGAACAGAACTAAACTTAAGAATATCCTTTCCTTAAAATTAATGAACCCGAATCTAACTGAGCTTACACATTTTTATTCAAACCCGAACCGAACCAAACTTTTAAAATACTTTATCTAACTCGAACATTAAAAAAGTAAAAAGGTTAAGTTAGGTCAAAAAGTTCTCAAACTGCTCAGCTCCGTGATTTACTATTATGAGATCCACTAATACGAAAAAAATAGAATTTTTCTTTTTTGTAACAAGGCCACTGTCCCACCACAAAACATCATATTGGTGATGGCACAGAATCGGCATTAAATGATTTTCTAATCAAATTATTGGGTATTTGGTTTAGTTCTATTATTAACAATTTTCAATTTAAAAATTGAACAGTTTGTTAAATTTTGAATTATAACACTATACCATTAACATCATAAATATAAATTTTAAATCTTTTTCTATATATAAATAAATCACTAGGACATAATTATAATAATATGAACTATTAAAAATAGAAAATTCTGTGGAATAACATACTATGTTTGAATTAAAGTTAAGGGAAAGATAAATAAAAATGTATTTGGCAGTAATCATTTTTAAATTATTAAAGTGTTGGAATGAAATACATCAATTTAAGTTTTTATAAAACAAACCTGCAGTTTATATTTCGGCATTTAAACATATAAATATGTTCACGATCACGTGTATGACAAATACTTTGACAATAATGATTGCATTTTAATTGCTGCAAACATGGCCGAGGACATTTTCGATTTATAAAATCTTCGGCTTTTGAAACTTTGGATAATGTTCCTTTATGAATAGAACATTCTAAAGTTAATTCACTTCCTAAAATAAATATATATTTATTTAATATTTGTTAGATTAGTATAGTAGAGATGATTACAAAAGAAAGGTTGCGCTGGGCAGGACATGCAATGAGAAGCCAGAACTATCTGTTAAGAATGTTATTAGAACAGATTCTAATAGGAAAAAGACCCTTGGGAAGACCAAAATTGAGATGGGAAGATATATTTAAGAAGGATGTTGTAGAAAAATTAGGAGGCGGAGTAAATTGAAAGGATTTGCCAATGAATGGTCGGCTGGAGAATTGGTTGTGAGACAGGATGGTCCTAGCAACTGGATAACCCAAAAGAAAGAAAAAATAATATTTGTGGATTAAAAATAATATAAAACAAAATTAAATAGAGCTTATACTACTAATGGGTGTTCCTATGTTGTAGGTGGAAAGATGTAAAGGTTATTTAATTTATATCTGTAAGTAACGATAAATCATGCTACTGAAACAAAATAGTGAAAAATGAACTAAGTTCGATTATATATTTTGAAATGCTATAATATTTATGATGTTCATCAACATTTGATCTTAAACTAATTAAAAAAAAAACTATTACATTATGCTCAATTTTTTTTTTTTTTTTTGATCACTAAGTTAAATTTTTAATGAATCTCAAATTAAATTTGCAATGCTTTTTTTAATCAAAACATTCTATCTACAGAATACCTATAAAATAAAAACTATGTAAAAATCTCTCAACATAGTAAATCAATAGATCCCCTGCTACGCTCAGAATCTAAAATATTGGCTATACCTATGGACTGTAGACTCTGAAGAGAAGTTTTAACATTATTCCATAATTCACATTGATTAATAAGATTGTCCATATTTCCAATAATGTATAATCCAATTTTTGCTTTTGTTAAAGCAGAACAAATTCGATTTTCGTGTTTCCAAAATCCTGAGTCTTCTTTATTACTGTGTACAGTAGACAGCAATACAATTTCACATTCAGGTAATGAGCAGTTGTCCACAGATGATACATATATATTTTTAATAAGCAAAGATTCTTGTTTATGCTAAAATTAATAATTACAATAAACATTTAAAAGTAGAATAATACTTAAAATTATCAGTAAATTTTTAAACCAAGTATACCTTTATTAATTCATGAACTTGATCTTTATGTGAAGTTAAAATCATTATTTCTTCAGGCTTATAATTTTGTAAACAAAGATAACGGGCAAGTTCTATTATAAATTTTAATTCATGTAAATTTGTATGATTCTTATTATTGCATTCCTAATTAAAATGTTTAAATATAATATTCTTAAATAAAACTAAAAATTTCTATTTACCTCTATTACATTGTGATCGATAAAATATACATTTTTTGTTATTCCTGCAACATTTAACAAATTACATGTATGATCACTGCTTTCTAATTGATCAGTAATAAATGGTAAAACTAATGACATTATTTCTGGTCGCATTCTAAATTGTTTAGTAAGTCTATTTAAAGGTAAACCATTATTTAATGTGCGTTCCATAAGTGTTTGATTAAAGTTATACATTTTTGCTAAATTGTAAGTGGTTTTTGGGCGTTCTACTTTTTGATCACCTATATTGAAAAAAAAAAAAAATGATTTAATTTATAACTTAATGCACATAATATAAGTAATATAATATAATATAGTTAATTGAGTACAATAAGCAAATTGGTAATTTTAAACTAATTCATGATACTAATTTTATAAATGATCAAAATATCAATAACATAATAAAATATTGTAATAACAACAAGATCTCTTCAATATATTTGTTCACTATAAAATGATTTCCACTAAACACAATTCAACTTAATAGGTATTTAAATATATATATGTAATTATACATTTTTTTAAAAATATAAAATTAGATATTATTTATCAATAAATAAAAATGTAAACATACCAATGAGAATCAAATGTTGAACATGTTCAGTCAATGAAGAAACTATATAAGGTTCTAGAGCTTCAGTACCTTCTTCAACAATGACTATACAAAATAAACAATTATAGGTAAATTCAAACTAATTATGAGGATAATAGTATACACATAAACATATATATTTACTAATCAAATTCAGCAGGATAATTTAACTTAAAACTATCTTTCAATACATAAGCTAAAATAATTATTAATTAGTTTAGTGATTAATTCACAATTTGAACAATTATTAGTAACCATTCAGTTTTCTTCAGGTTTTTGGTTTTATAGTTTAACTATAATTTTTAGACCAAATAAAATCGGTGATACAACAATATTATTCCATTATTATTGGAAATTTCAAAATTGGATATATATATACTTTAATTAAAATGTATATTTAATACACATTGATAAAGAAAAGTTTATAAAAATAGGCGTATTAGTACATGGTAACAATCAATGATATATATTTGGTTTTATTTTATCACTTATTAGATTCTTGAGCAGAGAGAAGATAGTCATTAGTATTTCTTGAAAAACATATTTCATTTCATGATAATAAAAATTAAATGTTTAGTTGATATATGAGATAGGATCAAAAAGTTCCTGTTTGAACTGCGTGCAAGAGCATCTAAGAGCAGTGATATCACTGGCTTTTATAATTTCTCCTCAGCACATCTGTAATTGTAGATACTCAATAACCTTCTTTGTTTTGATGTTTTTATAAAATAAGTTTTTCATATTTGTCGATTTTTTTAAATTTGTTTAAAAGAGGAAATTTTTATTTTATTTTGATAATTACACAATGATACAGGTAATGTTTTATTAAAATAAATATTAAAAAGTTTTTATTTTCATTTACTATACCAAAAAGTTTCGTACAAACATGAACTTGTTTTTGATTCTTGACATTTCCTCCATATTATTAAGACAAACTTTGCTGTCACTCTGCACGCCATTTACAGTTGGTCAGTTACAATTTGTTGGCATAAGTTATGTGAAACCTCACATTTTTTACCAACCAACCCTCTAAAACTCTTTTTTGGATTCATTAAAAAAAAAATGTCTGAATACAAAAAACATCAAAACAAAGAAGGTTATTGAAAACCTATAAATATAGATGTGCCCAGGAGAAGTCACAAGCGCCACAAGTTATATCAATTGTACTGTTTTAAGATGCTCGAATACAAACACACATATAAATACATATATGCATTCGCACTACCCTGACATAGAAGTTGGTAGTGATCATAAACTAGTTATGACAAAGCGCTGTTGAAAGTATAAGAAATACAAAATAAAACTGAAAAATCATTAAAATAAGATTTTCAGTATAGATGAAAAAATAAAGAAATTACTGGCCATACTCAATACTATATGAAATGCATCCAATGCAACTCTGTAAAAGCTTAGAAACTAAAAAACTGTGGATAATGGCCAGTCAAAAATGTCCTAGACCCCTCTTTATTTTATTATTATCGTTTGAGTTGGGACATTTTGGCGTGTAAATTGATATATTAAAACTGTTTTGATTATAATTATTAATTTATTTAATTACAGTTAATTAAAAATACAATGGAAAATTTATGCTGGAAAACTTGTAAGAAAAAACAAAATTATTAAATGAAACATTATGAGCTTAAACATGTTAAAATGTCTAATTCTTGAATTATTTTTGGTAATGTTTTGTATGTCAAAATTTTTTTTAATTTTTTACCAAAAAAAAATCTTCCCGATTCCAATTGGTATATATATGTATCCCTTCTAGTTTGGATCTTTTTTAAGCATATTATGTATGACTATAATGTAGGATAGACCATTTCTATTTCAACATTTAGTCTTGAATTGGTAGACTCTGAATGATTATTCGTTCTATGTATACCATTTAGAACTCATTCATGTAAATTCCAAATCGATACAGAAAATTTAGCAGTCTTTGCCAACGTTCATTTAATTGTAATCTTCCAAAATAATTACCATTTAAGTAAGGGCTGAAGGAATACATTTAATTTAAAATAATTTAAAGGTATATATTATTGTGTTTACACCAAAACGGCTTCATGCCAAAATGTCCCATTTCGTACTTATAAACATAGATTACATAAGCGAAAGATGGAAACAATAATTGGAAGAATAAAATAAAGAATGTATAACAGATGATGTTGAATACATTGAAAAATAATATGAAGAAGAAACAGTTTCTAGGACTGCTGGACCAAATTGAAAATAATACATTTTGTAAATTTTCCATTTATTATGAAAATTCCTAAGAAAACCAAAAAATGATCCGGTAAAAAAACCAAATTTCATTGTAAAACCAATTCATTCCTTGCTCTGCTCAGAATGATTCTAAAAGGGGGTAATGAGAAAACATTTTCCTGCTAGGCTATAGCTCACCCTTCCATTCTACACCCACGTATATAAATAATCTGTGGACATAGTATCATTGTTAAAATGTGTATACTTACCAATTGGTGGTTTTAAATGTTCTAATAAATCTTTGTTTTTTACTGCTCCAGTAGTAGTAAGCCCAATTATATGAATGTTCTTTAATAAATTTACTGTTTGTTCTAATCTATTTTGATCAAGTTTTTTACATAATTCATTATATTCTTTCCATATTGGAGTCAACATATTTTTATAATTGTTAACAATTCTCTGCACCCAATTATAGTATAGAACCCATCTTTGGTCTGCTGGTATTAAATGTATATCATTAACAATAAGGGAATTTATATTAGAGTCATCAAAAGCTAACATGTATTCAAAATATTCATAAAATTTCTTTAACATTTTTAATTCTTGTTTTATTTTTAATGAATGATATTCACTGCCTTCAGTTACTTGTTCTGTTAGTTTTAATAAACATTGTTTGATATCATCTAGTATTAAACAATGCTGATTGGATACCACATCATCTCGTTTATAATTTTTTATCATCTTGTCTACAGGATATGGATGAAATAACCAGTTAAGAAAATCCCAAGAATCTATAAAAGTATTAAATGACATTTCTGGTACTACAGATTTTAAAATACTCCAATCCAAAATACCTGTATATAATTTATCACATTCTTCATAACATTTTAAAATAGCTTGTTCTTTAACTTTTAATTCTTGTTCTAAAACATTATCTATTTTTAATTTATTAAGTTTCACTATTTCTTTTAAACTATATTTTTTTAAAGCTTCACATTTTGATTGACAACCAATCCTAACAAGTTTGTCAGTTATTTTTAAAACGCCTTCTAAAAAATGATCTAATGTGTGGTTGTTATTGCAGATTACAGCAATAGGATTTTTTAATCGTCCTGTAGTATATAAATTTTCAATCATTACTTTTACTATTTTTTGACCAATATACGTTTTTCCTGTTCCTGGAACTCCTTGAATTAAAACATACTTTTGAGTTAATGCTGCCTTAAATGCTTTATATTGATTATGCTCTTGTTGTAGATAAATTTCAGTAGGCCATTCATCATCTTTTAAAATATTAAATTTGTAATCATCAATATCATATTTCTGAGTGTTAGAGTCGTTTAAGTATTCAGGGGCACATGGTTTGTTTGAAGCAAACACTATATACTCTTTTAATGGAAATGTTTGAGAGTGCATCTGTTGTAAGGCTTTGAGTGTCCAATTGTAAGGTACATAAAATTGTTCACATTGTCCCATTGAAAGAATAGTATTTGGTCTAATATCTATATCACCAAGCATTTCTACCAATAAAATACCTTTTTTTAAATATTCTTTATCATCTTTCAATACAAGTCCAACAAAAAATGTGGTAAAATCATCTTTTGAAAATAGTAATAAGAAACCATTTATAAACAAATTTATATTATATAAATTTGGGTCAAATGTAATTACGAAACCCAATTTATTTCCAAAAAACTCTCTAGATCCATCAAATAATACCTTATTACATACTAGATTAGTACCACTCGTAATTCTATTTTTACGATAATATTGAATGGCTTTTCTTAGCGGATAAATAAAGTCTTCACGAAGAAGATGAAATTGCGTGTCTAAATAGTGATCTTCAGATTTATATGATCCTTTTTCAAGGTTGAGTGGTAAACATTGTACATAGTCAATATCGTTTATAGTTGGGTGAATCTGTTGTGTTCTAAATGTTTTCATGAACTCTTCTGGAAGTTCTCCCATTATAAAAGCAAAAAAAATCTAAAAAAAGAAAAATTAAATGTGCATAAAGAATATATAATGCACATTAAATCATTTTTGTTTAAAATAATTACTTACCTACTATGTAGGTATACGTAAGGATATATGTTGCAATACAATAATTTGAGGGTAAATTAAAAAAATATGAATAATATACATTCAATACATGATACAAGTAAAATTTACAAAACAATTTATTATGCCATATTTTCATAAAATTTAAATTAATAACACACTTGATAAAATTAATATCACGAATGAATGAAATAAATAAAATACCTAAATCACATTTTTTTATGAATAATACCCTCGGAATATAGTCCGTGATAACACCATAATAATTCATTCATTGTATTATGCATTATATTTCCATCTTGATAAGACAGGCATATATCAGCTGACTGATTTTAATGTTCTAAAAAGTAGATAGATAGTATACTCAATGATGTAGATAACGAATTTCCTCATCGTACACTATATCTATAAATTAAATACCTATTGAACCCAGAGTTAAATACTCAAATAAAGTATTAAATTAACATTCGTTTTTTTTGTTTAATTATTTATGTTTTGTTAGTTATATATAATATTAGAATTACAATTCAATTATAAAATCTGAAAATTTAAGAATTTAAATTAAATTTTATTATTTAAATAAAAAATGCTTAGAAATGTTATATTTATCAAAGTTCATGAATAACGTTTTAAAAAATAAATTCCTTCGTTTTGGTGCACCATTTATTTTATTAATCATTGGAGGATCATTTGGCCTGAGAGAATTTGCACAGATCCGTTATGATTATCGAAAGGTTCAGCTTATTAGTCCAGAAGAACTTCGGAAACAAGGAATTGAGATGAAGCCCCGAGGTAGTGTTACAATAGAAACTGAATATCAGAAACTTTTAGAACAAGTTAATTTAGAACACTATGAGAATAAAAGAATACCAAGACCACCAGGATATGAAGATTGAAATTAAAAATTGGTTTTAAATCTTTTTATGTAGAAAATAATTTATTAAATAAATACATTTTTAACAATGTTAATTTTGTTTTACATCAATCATCTGTTCAAGTAAAGTCATCAAAGTTGTAAATCTTTCTTGAATCTGTAAATTAAGGATGATTATTTTATTTAGTAATATTAAATAAAAATTGTAAAAAAATATTTTACTTCCGACACCGATCTTTGAGGTATTCGTCTATTGATTGTCTCCAATAAAACTTCAATGTCTTCAACTCTTTTACAGGTTTGAAGAATAATTTTATCTTCATCAATTGTCCATTTATTAACCAGCTGTTTTTCAGATGTAATATTTTCTGGTTTCTCTACTTCTAAATAACATTTGGATAAATTATCAATAGCTTTATTTTTTATTGTTGCACTTTCATCAAGTACAGATTTATTGATATCAGTTGTTAACTTAATATCAGTGTTATGACATAATTCCTTATTGATTATATTACTATTATTTGAGTATTCAATAAATTCTTTCTTAATTATATGTTTATATGATTCTTCTAAATTTTTCTGAGGCATGGAAAGAATACTATTTACAGACAAGTCATTATTAGTTATTAATGACTGACTAGTTAATTCTATATTAATATTATTTACTATTTGATGTTGCTCAGATTTAATGTCTTCTTTTTTTATATTTTCAATAGTAGATTGGGATGTGCAATTAATTTCGGTTTTTGTTTTATTCAGTATATTGTTCTTAGTATTTATACCTAAAGTGTCTTCAGTATTATTATCATTATTTTTTTTATATAAATCTGAATTATAATTATTGAAACTAAAAGGTTCTGAGTTAATCTGATTCATAGTTTCTAGTTCCTGTTTGATACAATTTTCTTTAATATCGACTTTTAATTTCTTTTTGGGTACAATTTTTGTGCTCGATTCTGCTTTTGGGATACAAAAAAATACCATCTCACTGCTATTCAATTCTTCATTATTAACATGAACTATAGACTTTATGGATTCATTATATGGGTCTTGATCATCTTTACATTTAGAATTTCCTTCCTTCTTAAATTTTAGTTTTAAAGACTGCACTACTTTAGACTTTTGTCGTTTTTTTGGTTTAACATCAATTAGATCTTCTTCGGACTCTAAAACAAATAGATAAATTCTTCAGAATTATGTATTAATAGTTTTTTCAGTACAAACCTGTTCCCGTGCTGCCTTTGATATCTTCTGCAGAACTGGGAGAATTATTTTTAATCAAACTCTTTCTATTTTTTTGCTTTGTTGTAATATTTTCTTTAGTTTTATCAATTTTAGATTGGACAATAGATGGATCAGCTCCTTCAAAATTAATTTTAGCTAATTTCAATCCTTCTGGCGTATCAAAGTAAATACGACCTTTAAAAAACTAAATATAAATGTGTATATTAATATTTTATACAAAATTATACCATTTTTAAATAAAAATACATAACATTTAAGGTAATACTAAAGGTAAACAAATGTATTTTGTATGTAATTACACATAGGGTGTTTAAAATAGAACAATACATGATGTTTACAAGCATTATGCTTTTGAAAAAGCAGCTGTGCAACTATGTATCTAACTTATTGTAATATTATTATATATATATATATATATATTATATTTATATTATAATGGTTGATAGCAAAAAATAAATATCAATATCAATATTTAATAAAAAATTTGGCATCTAAAAAACTTGTATATTTCTATTGTAAATGTTGATAACACGTTTGTCTTCAATTTATAAATATTAAGATACAAATTTATATAATGAAAAAAATAAACAGGTATACATGCTACTTTCAAAAAATAGCATGAGACTGTTTGAACTGGGCACTAACAATTCATCAAAGAGCAGTAGAATTAATATGACTAACTTATGAGCATTTCTATTTTTGTAGATTTTCAATAATCTATTTTGTTTTGATATAACCAATGTTTTTCATGATTGGGTATTTTTAGAGGGGTTAGAAAGGATGTTTGATTTTATTGTGTAGACAAAACCTCAGTTATCAAAGAAATGCAATATTTTACATGACTTATGCCAGAAAGTTTAACTAAAATGTAGAGATGAGCGAAATGGCAACATAGTTGATGCAGAATGTGGAGATTCAAAATCAAATCCAAGTTCAGGTTTGTCAGGAATTTGTTAATATGATAAGTTGACAATAAAAACTTTTTGAAATTGTATACTAGTAATAATCATTACTTAATCATTGCATAAATGATGAAAGAAAAATCCTTTCCAATTCCCTAAAAATCTCTTAAAGTTTTTGTTCTTTAGGTTTTATTGAAAACACATGATGTAATGGTGGAGAAATACAAAATGATAGATAACTGTTAAAATGCACTATATATGATACAAGATCAAAATGATCTGCATGATAAATTAACATATTGGGAGGTTGATTTCATAAAATACTGGTTGGAGATGGGAATATAGGGTTTGTCGGCCATACGACAAGAAAATTAAAAACATATTTTATATAAACACTAGTTAAATCAAAACTAAAAGTGGGCTCTAAAGAATTATCAAAAATAAATGTTTTCGGGGAGAAGTCACAGAAGCCTGTAATTAATCCTACTGCTTTTCGACTTTTTGAACAGTGATGTCATTTAGAACGTGCAACTAATCCAAAATTATAGTATTTGGTCAGCTTTACATATTGTTTTGTCTGAATAGTGGAATGGATTGTGTCTTATTGGTCTACATTTATTACATCTATTTTTAAATTAATATTTTATTTTCCTTTTGAATTAAAAATAAAAACATAATATATTAAATATTTGATAACAAATTTTGTGATAAAAATCAAAAACTGTTCAATATTTTCAACATTTTACATTCTTTATATCAAAATCAATATTAGCTGAAAATTTTCATTACACATACATATTTCTTTTAATATAAATAAAACTAAAATTCCAACTAGCAACATTTTTGTTAGAGCAATTCAATTATATTATTAAAACAATTATTTTATTTTATTAATTATTTTATAGAAACTTTCTTCAGCATTTTCCAAAAATTCTTTCAATATTTTTCACTTTACTTAACACAATAGCTTCTAATAAAAGATGATGTGAGTGATGCCAGATTAAGTGAACTAATGTTAATTTTATCTATGAGGAATCGGATAATGCACAAAATATAGATTTAGATGAAACTGTAAATAAGTTAACAAGCATAAGATGCGTCAATAACATCTCCAATAGTAATAAAAAAAAAATTTGCATACCTATTATATTAAATGGTATATTATAATATATTTCTTACTCTAGTGTTTTATATAGCTATATGATTACTAAATACTTTGATAAGAGAATTTCTATAAGATTTAGTGTAAGGTCACGTGAGAGTTTTATTGGCGGATGCTGTTTTTTCAGTCACATACAGTTAGGGACATTATCAGTTTTCATCGAAATGGATGACAAAGATGTTGCGATTTCACTTATACAATTTATCAGATGTGGCCCACAGTACTGGTAATTTTTCAACTTCAGTTATTAATTGTTAAATCTCCGTATTAGTATTACAAAAAATTAAAAATAATATATATATATATATATATATTACCTTATACGAGTGAAAATTATCTACTAAATGGTCTATGTATATTATTTTATTAGTTAATTTTTTAATGTTTTTATTTATTGCAAATAAATTTATAATACCTACTATTAGATGGTTAAATAGATTTAGTGAAAATATGTGTTTTATTTTATTTTTGTTATGCTGAAAATTCTAGACAGAATTTGTGAACTGTATTATAATACGTATATTTAAAAAAAAAATATTGAAATGACACATTTGTTTTTTAACACACCTTGAATTTTGAATTCAGTGATAAATAGTTTGTTAGAAAACTTAGAAAGAAATAAAAAATGAACAGGTGTATGGCAGAAATACATTTTGATAAAACTGAAATAATTAAATATAAATATTAAAACATATTACATTAAATATTTACCTTCAGGCCGCAGGATCTACAGTGTGCATTATCTCCAAGTCTGTGACATATACAGTGACATATATTTAATAGAGTATGATCTTCTGAATCTGATGGAATTATTTCTTCATAGTCTATTCCATAGTTAACACTTTGGTCAACGTCCAAGTCTTCCCAATTATCATCAGAAAAAAAACTAAAATAAATTTTACTAAATAACAATATTTACAAAATAAGGTAATATAACTTAATGGTTAGCACCTTTCAGGAGGATGTTCTGTAGGAATTAATTGAAAAAAACAATCGACTAAAATTGGATTACTTTTTAATAAAGGAAGCATAACTGAATGTACTTCTAATGGAGTAACATTTTCATTTTTTGATAAATGGAACAAATTATCTAATATTTTACGAACTTGAGTTTGTTGTTTTTTCATGCAAACCTAATTGAAACTAAACGTAAATTAAACTGATCAGTATTTGAAAAGATAAAATATATACTTGTAATTTTCTTATAAATTCTTTTATCCTAGTTAACTCTAAATAATCCGTAAATTTGCCAATTGATAATGCTTGTCCTGGTAGTAAAAATCCTAAAAATTCATATATCAAATCTTCATTTTTATCAGTAAAAACTTCTTTTATTTGTTGATATAATAGATTAATATTGCTATCATCTGCATCACCAAAAGATGCTAAGAGTTTGATGGCTTGATCAAATGATTCAGAATCTAACTTTTCTCGTAATTTTTTCATATATCCTTCAGCATAATCTATGAGAAAAAAATAAATTATATTATACAATATAATAATCCAATTAATAATAGAATTTTAATACCTTGAGCATATTGCAAGTATGATTGGTCATTTTCTGGAAAAACTGCAGCCAAAGCAGTCTCATATTTTTTTTTCTTCTTCAAAGTATTTAAATTAGAAATGTCATTTTTACGTTTTGGGGTACGATGATCTGCCTCAGTTAAATTCTACACAGTAAAAATATATAATGTTTATAGTCAATTTTATTAGTTATTAGAAAAATATTTAATTATTTAATTATTATTTCATCTTACCTTTTTAATACTTATGTGTTTGATTGACCTGAAAAATAATTTGAAAAGCTATATATGTATGTATAGACAATACAAATAGTTAATAATAGTAATAATTATAACATATAATATACATATTATATAAATAAACCAAGTACTCTTGTTATATGAGATCTATCAATAATTTATTTTTGGTGATAAGAAATTTAAAAAATAATAAATTTGACACACTTTAAAAATATAGCAAAATCAAAAAAATTATTTGTATTTAAGTGAACAGAATATATTTATCAATCTTCTAAAACTCATTCTCATTTATTAATTTTGTAGCACCATTAATTTTAATGTCACAAATATTTTGATCATATAGTAGAACGTCATTAATCTGGACTGATTGGAGCTCAGTCCAAATTGGTCCAAATTAACGAAAGCCCAGATTAAATAAAATAACGAAACACCATGTATTTTATTTTTTACTTTAAGTTTATTGGCTTCAACAACTAAAAAAAATTTTGTATGTGTTATAGAATATGTATTTTAATACATATAATTTATAAATAATAATCGCGATAACATGCATTTAAGAGAAATTTGTGGAACTTGTTTTCAAGTTTACTTTGGTCTACGACACAAACTGCGAATTCTAGTTAACTGGATTCCGGATTAATGAGGTTATAAGGTATTTATAGATGTCATCAAAAAAACAGTCTAAATATTTTAAAATACGCTGTATATAGATCAATTACCATTCATAAATACTATAACTGTTGCAAATCACACTTTTATATATATTGCATAAAACAATAGTAGGTATAAAAAGTAATTAATTAACATGTAACTTACTTCATATTAGTTTCATGATGACCATCATTAGGTATCTTGAGTTCATCATTACCATCAATTTGGCATTGGTCCATTTTCTTATTTTCAAACCTACACAATATTAAAATTTCTAATATTCAAATGAACTAAAAAGTAAAAATACATTAACTTTGAAGTATTCATAAAGTTCAACCTGTTATGTTTACAATTAAATGTATTCACTGTTATCAAAATCACAGTAGTATGATAAGGATAACCAAACAGCTGTTTTTCTTTACAATACTATCTTAAATCTTTCATCTAATTTAAAGAAATATACTTATCGAATTATCAAATTTTTATTCTGCTTCAAGTATACTTCTCTATGCTGACTGTGTTATACTTTCACGATCAATTTTAGACGATTTAGTATTTAATTATACAAATTAAAAAGTATTCAATAATCTTTACTCTTTTAAAATCTATCAGTATTAGGTAAGGTGTTATACTTTTTATCAATGTTTCCTTAATTTTAGAATTTTTTAATAGAAAGTGTACTTTTTCAAGACTTCATTATGGATCATTTTTATTTTTTTAATTAAATAAAAAGTGAGTATTTTTTTAATCACATAATTTCATTCTTGTAAATATTTTAGTATAATACAATACTTATTAAGTAAATAATTCATGTTATTTCAATTTACTATATCTAGTTTCTATTAATAATAATCATGGTTATAATTTAGTTATTTATTTTAAATTTGTATACCTAGATATGTATCTAAGTAGGCACATTAGTTTTAGTTTAACCCACCTATTCTTTTCAATATGACATATTAAGAAATATTTATATTATGCTTAAGTCCCTATACATAATGTGGTGATGTCCTAAAAATATAGTCAGGTAAAATTCATTTCAAGAGACCTAAATAATTAAGCACAGCCTACTTTATGTCCAAAATTGTAGTTAGTCTATGTTTTTATTTCTGTAATTAAGTATTCATTTGATTTGGCTAGCAAACTTTGCCTCAAAATGAAGCGGCCCTATACTTAATTTTTAAAAAAAAAATTCTGGCTAAGGCCCAACTATGAGTAGAGTTCGGTGCCATTGAGTATAGATGAATGGTATTCAATACTGAGTTCTGTACAAATCAAAGAAAAAAATGTACAGATTAGTAGCAAAGTAAATATTTTCAAAATACATGTTTTACTCTCATTTGATGGTGTCAAAATTGGTAATTATTTATAAAGCTTTTTGAGCTCATTGAATTCTTCAAATTGTATTTTTAATATTAAATCTGCCTAGGTAATCTTAATTGAATAATGAATTACTGTTTAAGTTTGTTATTAAACAATTTAATCAAAATATGTATACTCATCATATTCCATAGGTATATTAGGATGGTACTTATTTTGCTAATTTCAAAATTTTCTTCAGAACGCCCACAATTTTTTGTGTAAATTAAAAATAAAAAATCCCATTTGAGGCTATTTTCATAATATTTAGTAGTGGTGCACAACATTTTAATATTTAATAACATAAAAATTGAATGAAATCAAAACAAATAATGTAAAAATGATCACAGATCGTTTTTAGGGGTAGTCAAATAAGGGGGAGATATCCCTCCCTACATTCCACAAAGACATTTTTCTTAAACACTTATAATAATATACAGGATGGTTTTTTAAGCATGCTCATTGTTTATCCCATTTTTATGGTTAAATTATGTATAAATTCAAATCCTAATATTTGGAATTTTTAAGTGTAGTGAAAGATGATATTTTATAATTAGAATTTTTATAACACTTAAAGAATAACCTGTGACAATATCAAATTTAATTTTTCAAATGAGAACCTGCATGTCTTAATTTTAAATCGGACGATCTTTCTGAAAATGTTAACATATATTTAATCAAAATTTGAACGAAAAGTTTCTGAGTGTTTCTAAGTAATACTAAGGACTTTAACTGCACAATTCAAAATGAGAAATTACCTACACGATTATACATATGAAATATGAAAAAACATATGTGTTGCAGTCACTCTATTGTATTTATATGTTATGTTTATATTTATTTTATAGTCTTTTTCTTTTGTTTATAGTTTTATATATGTTTATTTAAAAGTTTCACCAATTAATAATAATATGCCATATGAATTAAAAAAATGAAACAATTGGTATCCAATCCCGAAAATGATATTTTCCTTTTTATATTTAAAAAACTGAGAAATTTGTTCAAATTTTGTTTATAATACTTGAACATTTTCAAAAAAAATTATCTGATAGTTAATTTGCCTCAAAACATGTAAGTTAATGAGAACCAAAGTTGATTAGTTTAAAGGTTTGTTGCTTTATACTTTCGTTTTACGAAGATTAGTTCGGGTTATATCCTCTCTTCAATTTGCCACAGTTGAAAGGGGCCCACATTTACTAAAATTACAACTCGTTTGCCACAAAGATTATTTCTAGTGTAACCACTCGTTTACACACACATTTTCCTTCTCACGTACACAGACTTAGGACTATCAGTGCATATAATAACTTCTCTGATCTGGTTAAAAATTATGTTTTTAATGAGCTATGTGTTATTAATTATTTAATATAATTTAATTACCTATTACAGTAAAAAAGGAAGAAAGCAGTCGTTTGATTTTGTTATTTTAAATTCCGAGCGTAGCGAGTTGGTTTTACAGTACTATTTATTATTATTTATTTTTTTTTCTAGTCTGTGGACACGTTTTTTCGGAGTAAACTTGCTCCGATGTATAAATGTAGTACCTTTTCTGAAAGTAAATTTCACTTCAAAGTCAAAAGTCACTTGGTAATTACCTAAGTCATTTTTTAATTTTCGAAATGCTATTTAAAATAAAAACGATGAACCAGAAAAAATATACGATTTTTTCACGATTACATTATTTTAAATTAGTACCTACCATGTTTTGTAGCACAAATATGGCTTCAATTGAAAAACGAAAAGAGACCTTTTTTGTTAAATTATTAATCTTGTTTTTAATGATGCAGGTCGTTTTGATTTTCAAATTAGTTTTCATAATAATCGGGAAAAAACGTAGAAAGGTTAATTTAGAGAAAATGACTGCACTTCAAATTATGTATCACTGAACTGCTCTCCAAATCGTCTTTCGTCAGCAATGGTTTATCGTTGCTTACAGATATAAATGAAATAACTTTATGTATCCTACCTTTCCAACTTTTTACCTATAACAGTGGCCGTACCCGTCCCCAGTATCTGCTTTTTTATTCAGTCGCTTTTTTTAAATTATTTTAATTACCTACTTCAAAGGTTTACCTTGGAAGCTGCTACCCATTTGTTCTTAGTAATTTAATTGATAAATTTTGTTATTTGAATATTTTGTCCATACATTTTTCATGTACTCGATTGTTTGTGACATCTCTTTCCGACAATAATTATTAACATTCATTTGTATTGAATTTAATTTAAGTTCAGTTTTTGATTGATTATTTGAATGTTTAAAATAACATCAATAACTTAGTACACATGTGAATGAGAATTGATTTTAAAAATGTTTATGGAAAGCTTCAGCTCTGTTCGTTGTTCTTGGTCATCTGGTTTGCCTGCCCACAGGGATGAGTTGAAGTTTGAATTAGGTAATATATATAATATAAAAACATAATTAGAGAAGTATAATCCATCAGGTGAATCAATAGCTATTAAATTTGAAAATACTATTTCTATTTCTTCAGGTGGTAAATACGGCAAACCAAAAGAATATTATAGGCATTTATTTACCTAACTCTGAATTATTATTTTTATACTCCCATAATAATTTACTACTACTTTGTATTCAATGGAACCAAGATTGAGCTCAATGAAATGTAATAATTTGTCATGTATTTTTATTTTATTTTAAAATCTTGGTTATCAATAAATAATTCATGTACCTATTCAATTATTTGTTATTATTTCATTCAGATGACATTCCTATATTATCAACATAATATCAAAAATATACGTGTTAACGAGTACTTGTTAATTTTATATTTTGTGTGCAAACAAGCGGTTCCTTAATTTGCGCTAACGAGTTTCAGGTATTGATTGCTTAAATTTGTAGTAGGTATCCTAAAAGATGAGAGGGGTCTTGCAGGGCATTTTTTAGATTGAAGTGACTGAACAATTCCTTAGTTCCTAATCATTGAACTGAGACAGATGTCTGTGTCAAACTGTTCCGTTCAGTTTAATGATATGATTTTTAAATCTGGTTTCACCAGTATAATACTACAATATTTCCTGTGTTATCTTCTAACTATAAATTGCATAACTTATTAATATTTAGTTTATTGTGGTTGGCTGCACAATAGTTTCCTGTATGCAAAGAATACCGCATGCTGTGAACTTACATAAAAAAAGCAAATATAAGTTTTGTCTACACTTCAAGTCTCCACAAATATTTTTAACTGAATCAAAACAAAAAATTAAAAATATAATACATTCATAAATGTGTTTAAATAAATTCATAAATTCATAAATGATTCAATAAAAATGGTTGGAAAAATCAATAAATTACTTTCCTAAAGTACCCCCCCCCCAATCAAATTTCCTTTAAGAAAAAGTGCTATACTTGTAAATTGGAGCATAATAACTATTGTCCGCACAACGAAAACTGACCAGTGACTGGCGCGACTCTAACAGCAATTTTCAATCAGTGGCCATCATAAATGTAAAACTAACTGCCCCGTTTTTTTTATATTTATTTATTCACACTGTATATTATATTAATTTTTTATTATATGAATCATGAGAGAAAATAGTTTAAAAAATGATGAGTATAAAACATTATTTCAATACATAATATATTAAATATACAATTTATTGATTGTTAATAATAATTTCAAATCAGTCAAAAAAAAATATTTTTACACATACAATAAAAATAACATATTATTGATACCTATGCTTAATATTAGATATTTATTAATAATTGTCAATAGTATTTACAAATACATGTATACATACAATTCTAATCAATATTAGTTATTCCAAATGCTCTATTTCTGATTCTTCATCACTGTAATCGCTATCATCGGGCAATATGGTCAAAACTACTGATTCCATTAAGGCGTTCCTAAGAATTTCCTAAGAATTTGCGTGGAGACTTGAATGTCATAACTGACATCGACTATTCATCAACTTTATCTTTTGCTTCGAAGCAAATACGTTTTACAGTGCGCTCCGACATTGTAGATTGTCAGCAGTACGTATTTGAGCATTTTTAAAGAAATCGGTTTTGTTAATAGTTGTTTTAAAAATATATAAACTTTATAAACAATTTGTTTAGTCTGGCTAAGAATATCACTATTGCTAAAAGACATTTTTAATAAATCTGAGTACATAAATTTATTCAAACACAAGAAAAAATACACAAATATTCACGAAACCGATTTCAAAAACATAGTGTACAACACATTGTCTGTTACAAATTACTGTAGCATAATGCACAAAATCAACAGCTGTATGCCTATATACACTATACACGTGTTATGATTCGTCCATATAATATATTCCAGTTGTCCAGCTGAAACTAAATACCAGTTTTAGATGAGTACCTAAATTATAAATTAAATAAGGGACCTCAACATCACATAAAAAACACGTACTGACTTTTTTTTCCAATAACACTCCATGTCACCTTAAAATAAACTGGTGCCAAGATTTCTAAAATTGGAATCTTTTAAATCAATAATTTGTATTGGGCCTTGAAAAGTTCATTAATGAATTTTGTTGTAATAATTTTTGTAATTTTTTTTTAATAAGATAGGTATATTATCTATAAACATAATTAGCTTATACCTATAGTTTAAAATTTAATAATTCTGAGATATTATTTGTGTGACAAAAGTTTTTTCATTTTCTTTTTATCTATAAAGTAATATAAGCTATGAAAATTAGCATATATTTAATACATTTTAGTTTTGTTCAGATAAATATAACAATAGGTAATTTTTTTAGATATACATATTATACCTATGGTATAGCTACATTCTAAGTTAGATAAAAATTAAATCCATGCTTATCTGTCTTTTTATTTGGCATAATTATTAAAAAAATAAAAATCAAAAAAGGTGTCCTATTACACAAAGAACAATGCTTATTTTTTCAGAATTTTTAACCTAAGCCATTACTTAAATTAATTTTGATTTTAATCAAGAGAATTATGTGTTAAACATTTAACAATGTTTCCTAAACTTTGTTCAATATATTAAAGGTACCTTACCGTATTATCAGTGCTAATAACTTTTAACTATCAGTATTCATTTTTTTTTTCAATCAAATTTTGTGTTGGGAAACATGAATGTAGAGAAAAATTAAATTTTTTTTTTCATTCCTCAATTATTGAAAAAAAAATTTATTTTTTCACTTTTTACAATTTTTCAAAATAACCATTTTGTAAAATATATTGTTTTATAAATTTGAATGTATCATACATTCATTTCTGATTTATAGTTTCTTATGTATAGCATCTGTAATTTCTAGAACATTTGTGAAAAAAATTAATTTCAATAAAATAGTACATTAACACAATAAGGAATCACAAACAGCACAGTGAAAAAAATGAAAAAAATAAAGTAATTTTTTTTAGTATTTTAAGGATGAAAAATAAAATTTATTTTTCTCTACATTTGTGTCTCCTAGAAACAAAACTCGATATAAAATAAAAAATATAAACATTGACATTATTAGTATTAGGATAAACCTGTAAGACACCCTGTATAAGAAGAAATTAATTAATACATGATTAAATATGTTAATCACTTTTTGAATGATGCTAATAACATATTTATCTGTATAAACATCACTGAAAAATAATAAAATATAAATGTATTTAAAGAAATAGATGAATTGATTATGTTTTTTAGTAGGCATTTAAACAATTTTTACACATTATATATTACTCTTATTATGTTCCTTCTAAAAAATAAAAAAAAATCTATCTATATCACAAAGTTCTTCTTATGTATGTTAAAATATATTATACTATAGTAATCAACTGATTTTATTATTAATTTTAACAAATGTTTGCATGCAAATAAGTATAAACTAATATATAAAACCGTGATTTATAGATTTATTTAATTAATATTTTAATGATAATTATTTAGGTTAAATTGTTGTAATTTTTTACTTAAATTAATTAGATATTGGTTATTTTATTAAATTATAATATTTTTAGTTATAGTTGTAATATATGATAGTTAAAAATATATTTGGGATGTTTATGCTATTATAATATAATATATATACACTTCTCATGCACTAAAAAATAGCCAAATAAGTAAGGAAAATGGACTAAATATGTATGAAAATAACAAAACTTGAATGCAAAATATAGCATGTCAAATAAATATAGAACCAAATTTATTTATAAATATATATTATGAAATATTATTATTTAATTAAAATTGTCAAATATATGCCTAAAAACAAAAAAGCCAAAATATGCATTTATAAATAAAAATCGAAAAATATGTAAAATAAAAGTGTTTGTAATGCAGACATTACAAAACAATTTTCTATTTATGAATACATTCAATAGAGAAATTTAAAAAAAAGAAAACCCTAGTTCTAACATCTGATTTTTTTTTTTTAATTTTCTATATAGTCTATATTGAAGTGTAAATGCACTTGACCTATATTTTACATTGAAAAAAAACTTTGAAACAGTGTAATGTATCAGTTTTTGTAAGTTAAATTTTGATTTGAATCATCTATAATATTTCACTAAATAAAAAATTGCCTATGTATTAAATAATAATTTGTCACAATAAATGTTTACGAATGAATCGCACTAATACAAATGTAAGTCTAAAATATTTATGTTGAACATTTCTTAAAATTATCTTTATTAGGTTCATGTTGACAATTTTAATGAATGCCTATTTATCTTTTGTTAAAATAAAAATGGTAAATTGTATTATTTATACTTTGTATCTATTAAATTACTATAGGTAATGTACATATTACTATCTATTAATAAAATAAGATTAAGTAGGTAGGTAAATTTGAATCATAAACAAACTTATCTAATTATACCCTAGTTATGTCAATTCATTAATGTGTATTTTAAAGAAATTTATCAATTTGGTTTTATAATTGAATTTTAAAATGTGATGTTCACATGTGACATAGTACACAACTTGCAGTCACTATGTTTGTAAAAAATGAAAGTGTATATCCTATAATTTTTAAATATTTAATTAGCATAAAAACTGTTCTAACTATTTATTAAGATGTACCTATTAAGTTGTTAGTGTTTGTTGGTATATGATAAAAAAAATGTATTATTTTTTAATGATATCATCATCATCTTTAGGTTACGTTATTTCAATTGCTAACTAGAATACTCAATTACTACATAGGTATTTTGATAAATATTAGGCACACCTCTTGAAAGATATGATAAAGGATTTTAATTGAAATATAAATATATTGTAAAATGTCATTCAGTGGGGGCATTCCAATGATCAATTGATTAGTTTTCATCCTATAAGTATTTCATACAACTGTATTCAAAAAACATAAAATACAATTTTATAATATCTTTTATTTTCTTATTTCTTATTTATAATTTATTACATTATTTAACCAACAAACTTTCTAATTTTATCTTCAAAAATAAAAGCATTTTTTTTCATTTTAATATCCTAAAATAGTTTTTTTTTGTCATGTATTTGATTTAATTATGCCTAAACTTCAGTGGAAATTTAGATCAAATCATAGTTCAGTAGAACTTTTACCATTGTCTCTGAGCTATAATGTGAGCAGAAGCTATGGAAGCATTTTGAGTTATTTTCATTTTTTGAAAAGACTCGATGGCAATACACAGGTAATATAACATCACACATTATATTAATATTAAGCTTATCATTAAAACAATTTTAAAATCAATAAACTAGGAATAATATCATATAATGTAAAAAAAATATATATAATCATAAAATATGCATTTATATAAATCGACATAAGTTGACTTTGTTGACTTGTCTATTGTAAATAAAAAAGTTGAGTGGTATGCTGATAAAATAACTCAGTTCGTTAAAGAGTGTAAATTAATTTCAAGATTATCTTATTTTGCAATTTTAACAACTATAAGTGCTTGGATTTAATTTATATATTAATTCATATATATTAATCTTAAAACATTTAATGCGGATTTTTAAAACTTAATTAAATACGTAAACTAAAAATAATATAATTATAGACATTGTAGTAGTTAATGTAATTAGTGACAACATTTAAAAAGGTTATTATTTCATTAGCTGTGAAAAAACCACATAATTAGTTCATAATTATCAATACTGGTGGTTTTTTTAGTTAACTATATTTAAAATTAGTAAGTATTTTATTTAAAAAAAAAGTATTTAAACTCATATTTGGTTAAAACTATATTCCATATTTAATTGACCAACATAAAAATGTTAATTTCACCTTTATGGCAATTTTATTTTAATTAATTATTTTGTTAAGAATACTAATATGCATAAAATAATTAAATATTTAAATTTTAAATTCAAAACACAAGGTTTAAAAAATATATAAAACATTAAACTATGTTGTATTGGTGGTAGTGTTTTGAATCAGATTCATTAACTTGTATTACCTACTGTTATTTTATTATGTATATATAAATAACGATTATATAAGTACTTAAATCAATATTTTATTTGTTGTATTCATAATGATTTATTAAAATTTGAATATGCGTTAGTATTAATATTTACTTGGTAACTAATTTAACGTTTTAATTAATATGTAATGATGGGTAAGTTTTTTTTTCAAATGAACTTATTCATGTTCATCAAATAGATCAATTGGGTATCGAGTAATAATTAATAAGTAAAACCTAACTAACAAATTATATTTTTATAATAAAAATTATAAACTAAAATATTTATATAGAGTATATAATTGTAAACAAACAGTAAATAAATATTAAATGTATAAAATATTATTAATAAACATAACTATGGTCTTTGAAAGTTAGCTTGCAACAAATGTACCTAAAACTTTCATGTTCAAGTTCATTTATTGAAAATGTGTTTATGTCTAGTTTATACTAAATTAATTCTCATTGTTTTCCATCACTGTTAATATATGCTTTGATTACTATTAACTTAATAATTTAAAGTACTGGATTTGATTTCCAATAAATTATTAACATATATTAATGTTATCAGTAATTAATTTTAAAAAAATGCCTATAAAAATCCATGGGTATTATACATTGTTATACATTAAGTTACTACATTTTCATACAGATCAAAATATATAGATATGTCGAACAACGAAGATCGTCAAAGTGTACCAGTCAACATTCGTTACACTAGAGGTTTCTCATTTTTACGTTTACAACTTCCAACAACCAATGAGTTTAGTGATTTGAGACGTCCACAAAGATCACATAGTCAAGGATTTCTTACTGGGTTGTCAAACCGTTTACCTTCATTTTCTATCACTGGTCCATTATATGATGAAAGTCCATTACCGCCTACTGATAATACAAACAAAAGATTCAGCTTTGCAAATTTTAGAAAAATTTCATCGGCGGTCAGTAGATTGCAACACTGTTTTAACACCAGTTTCACTAAAACACTGATTTGTTTAACACCTAACAATGAGTGATTGAAACTAGCCAAGCTTCACTTTTTTTCTATATACTAAGTAGTTGATGAACTATTATTCATGGCCCAACACAGCACTTAGCTATATACAATAAAATACATATTTATTTATTAAATTTAAAAGTTAATTTTTAGTTTATAGTAATCATAATAGTTTTAAAATCTATATATGTATGAATTTACAATGTCTTGAACTATTAATAGATTTAGTTACATTTCCTCGATTTATTGCCAGTCAGGTTTGTTTAATTTTACCACTAATAAGGTAGAATTTAGAATTTCTTTTAAATATTTATAGAGTAATCTCATTATGATTTGAAAATTACAATTTTGCGAGAACTATAATTTATGTAGTAAAAACTAAAAAAAATTATAAAATACTTGTATTTGTTGTTATGTTTTATACAAAACTAATCAAAAGAAAACAATTTTATACTTTCATGAGGCACTAACATTTAATGAATAATAGTTCTGTAAATGGGTATCAGTAACAATCTAATCAAGTATTATGTAAAATAGATTGATATGTCTGTTAAGCTCAGAAGTTAGAAATGCAAATTTAAGGTACTATACAAATATATATATAATATATTTATATCAGTATGTCAATTGACTTAAAAAAATACCTTTGAAAAACCTAAAATAGAGTGGGTATCTTTCCTATTTGGTGCTCTATTGAGAGTTATGTGGTAATGTATATTTCCATACATGAAGTTATAGTTTTATCACAATGGTAAATCATTTTAAATAATTTGGTTATTAAAAATAAAAAATAGGACGTACCTAATAATATTATTTAAAAATAGTATTTTAACAATAAATATTTATTGCGTTGGTACCAGGAACAGAAATACTACTTATTTGAAACATGTTTATAATATACTTAAAATTATATAAACATATTATACATAAAATTATATAAACATATTAAACATAAAATATATATACATTTTATGTTATCTGAGTAGTTACATATTTAGTTGTGAGGCTAGTTTCCATATTTACAGCTATTTTTTTTTTTTAATAAATTTAACTAATAATACTAGTTTATGCTAGTTAGTTTGTGTTTTTGAGTTTTGAATAACTAATGTTCTAAAGCTGATTAATTATTTATAATTTATATTGTATATATAAATATATTTGAAGTTTATATTATATATTATTTAAACAAAAATTAAATAATGAAAGATATTAAAATGTGGTAATAATTTTGCTTATACAATACAAATTATAAAATATGAATAACTTATTTAATTTTTAGTAAATTAGTGAAAATATTTTTGAGTTTGTTTGCTTACTATGGTGCAAAGATTATTTGTTCTTAATAAATTTGTGTGTGTGTTTTTTTTTTTTCAATACTGAAATGAAAACAATAACTTTATAATATTATATGCATAAATGTCTTTATAATGTTTAGAATCTTCATACTAGTGATTCAATGGTGTCGTTATGCTACAGAGCTTTACACAATTACATCTCAGAAAATAATTTAGAAGGTCTTCAAGGATTTCTTGAAAACCGACGAGTTCTCGTAGATGATCGTGATGATGTAAGATTAATAGATTATATATTTTATTCTTATAATATTCAAACATTTTGTTTATAGAATGGAGCTACTGCTTTACATTATGCTGCTACCAAAGGAAAATTGCAATTTTTAAGAGAACTTATAAATCATGGATCAGATGTAAACATTGAAGATAATGTAATTACCTATCTTAAATTATTATATATTTTTTTAATCATAAACCTAATAATTGAATGTGGAGTATTACAATAGTGGTGTTAAAATTGTATATATATATTGAATACAATTTTTTTTTTAACGAGTTCTAATACTAGTGATTTAAAATCAGAAAGAAATTAGAAAAATGGGTAAGGTTAAGTTTAAGGTAATTTAATTTGAATCCTATATAAAATAATACCATTATTCTGTATAGAGTTCAGTTAAACATAATGTCTTAAAATGTATTAATTTTTAACTAAAAAATAATTTATACCAAACATTAAATTTTAAACGCAAATTGGGATATTTCACTCAATGTTATTTTTTTTATCAATACTTATTTATTTAAGTTTTAATTTAACTTATCAGGATAATTGGACAGCATTAATATGTGCTGCCAAAGAGGGTCATTCTGATATATGTGCTGAACTGTTGGATCATGGAGCTGATATTGAACATAGAGACATGGTAAATATTTAGTATTTATATTTATATAAATCAAAATTAAAACAAATTTTATATTTTAGGGTGGATGGACAGCACTTATTTGGTCTAGTTACTGTGGATATACCAATTTGGCCAATTTGTTATTGGACCGAGGGGCTGACATAAATGCACATGGGAATTTTCACATTACTGCATTAGTTTGGGCTGCTGGCAGAAGACATACAAAACTTGCTTGTAGTTTGATAGCACGTGGTGCTAAAGTTAATGTTGGTGATAAGGTATGTACATGAATTCTTTAAAATATTTAATGCATAACAAATTGTCTTACATAATGTATATTTAAATATTATAGTATGGAACTTCTGCATTAGTATGGGCTTGTCGAAAAGGTGATGTAGAACTTGTCGATACATTATTAAGAGCAGGCGCTAATGTTGACACTGCTGGAATGGTAAACATAATTTAGAAGAAAAAAAAACTTGTTTAATGTTAAATACTTATGATATTTATTTTATATTTAGTATTCCTGGACTCCATTATTAGTATCAACAATGGGAAATCACACTGAAGTAGTAAATTTACTCCTTGAACGTAAACCAAATGTTAATGCTTTAGACCAAGATGGATGTACTGCTTTAACAATCGCATGCAAAGAGGGATATTACGATATTGTCAATTCACTTTTAAATGCTGGAGCTTACATTAATATACAAGTAAATAAAATATATTATTTCAATTTTGATTTGAATCACAATTTTTAATTATTATTTTTTTAGGATCGTAGTTCAGATACTAACCTTATACATGCTGTTAAAGGAGGACATCGTAATATTGTAGAAGCACTACTTAAAAAATATGCAGATTTTGATGTCATGGGAAAGGTATTTATTTTAATTGTCATGCAAGTAGTTTCTATATAAAATTTTAACTTTGTTGTTAAACTACAATTTCTTATTTGCAATGGCCTAAAAATTACAAGCTTATTTGATTTTCCAAATGTTTATTTTAAAATATTATAATTTTTTTGTTCCCTAGTAGAACCATAACAAAGCTTTTCAGCACCTCAAGCCACACAAATATATGCTCTCATCGCTTACCTCTATTAATTTCCATTAAAATATTATATTTTTATTATGTATAAATTCTGAATAGGTACATTTTTCTGAAATCACTCTCGGTCTGACCTAATCTGCTAGTTTAAATTTTAATGAAAATATTAAAAACCAAATTTATTTCAAAATGTTTTTAACCGATCCCAGAATCATTTTTCTTAGTTATGATTTTTTTTTTTTTTTATGTCTGAATAAAATATTCAAGTAAAATTATTTAAATTTATAGGAAAGAAAAACTGCATTGTATATTGCTGTAGAAAAAGGAAATATAGCAATAATTAAATTATTACTTGGTGTATCTCCGGATTTAGAACTTTCAACAAAAGTAAACAATAAATCAATGTATGTAAATTGATTGAGTATGTAACTATTTTATTTCCTTCTTTATAAGGATGGTGATACACCTTTGATGCGAGCTGTTAGAAACCGTAATGCTGAAGCTGTACAACTTTTAATTGAAAAACGTGCTCGTGTATCTGCTACAGACAAACGTGGGGATACAGCATTACATATAGCTATGAGAGCTAGAGCTAGAGGCATTGTTGAAATTTTGCTACGAAATCCAAAAAACAGTCAGTTATTATACAGACCAAACCGAGCAGGTGAAACACCATACAACATGGATGTAAATGCTCAAAAACCTATTCTTAGTCAAATATTTGGTTCGAGACGTCTTAATACTAATGAAGATAATGAAAATATTTTGGGATACGATCTTTATAGTAGTGCACTAGCTGATATGCTTAGTGAACCTACTTTATCTATGCCAATTAATGTTGGATTATATGCTAAATGGGGTAGTGGAAAATCATTCCTACTAAATAAGTTAAGAGGTAAACAATTATTTGTGTCTATACATTTTTAAAAAAATTTTACGAACAATAATTATGAATTATATGAATGCATGATTACTTTTTTAGAGGAAATGAAAAATTTTGCTCATCAGTGGACAGATCCGTTTTTTCAATTCCCGTGGCTTATCATGGGTGTGGCTCTCCACTTTTGCTTTGTGACAGGCACTGTGGTCGTAGTACTAACCTCATCGTCATTTATAGCAATTACCACTACATTTAGTTTATTAGCTGGTGTTTTTTTCTTTTTGATTTTAGTATACTTTTGCAGTCATAGGTTAGTTAAATCGTGTGGTTTTATATATATTTTTATAATATTTATTGTTATAATTAGTATACATAATAAATTAATTTTCAGAGTTGATTGGGCTTATAATTGTATTAGCTATTTAAGTCAAAAAGCTATTACTGCCAGAATTATTCTTCAAATAATATTTTGCCATCCACCAGGTTCAAGTTGGGGTACATCAGTTACAGCACAACCTATTAGGTATTTAAAAAATTAATACAATTGCATTTTAAACATCATAGAAATTTTAGGTTTTGACCAAGTTTGTATAAATTTAGATTTTATTTTACTGATCAAACTCGAGTAAGTAGTACAACATCTGGAGAAAGTACTATTGTTCAAATGATTGGTTCATTATATGATTCCATAGAAAAAGATTTTGGATCAATTTCTACGCGTTTGTACAGAGCTTTTCGCCCAAAACCAGGTCAGTTAATTAATTTATACTTCTTGAGATTCCTTATAAATAAATAATAATTATTTATATAATTTTCAGTAAAACTAACTTCACCTTGGAAATGGCGCAAATTATGTTGCATGCCAAACATAATATTATTTGAATTATCTTTTATAAGTGTTTTATTGGTTACAGTTATTATTGCTATACTTAATGGTACATTAATTTTTATTAAGTAAGTTTTAGTCAAAATGTAAAAAAAAAAATTGTGTCTTGTAAATTATATTTTTTATTCTTTTGATTTAGTGATATTTCATTTGATAAGGCTATTGGAAATGTAATACTATTTTGTTGTGGAGTGTTTATTCTATTTCTATTGATAGGAAATTTATACACATTTAGTCAATTACTACAATCATTAGTATTCTCACAACGTAAACAACTGAGAAGAGCTACAGCAAAATTAGATACATTAAAGTCTGAAGGCTTTATCCAAGCACTCCGAACTGAAGTTAATTTAATGACAGAAATGGTATGAATATTTTTATTTATTCCTTAGATTTTTATTAAAATTGTACTAATTATTTTGTTTTACAAAACTAAAGGTGCGTTGTTTGGATGCATTCACTCAGCAGCAAACTAGATTGGTAATAATTATTGATGGTTTAGACTCCTGTGAACAAGACAAGATTTTATTACTTTTAGACGCAGTCCGAATGTTATTTTCTGAACAAAATACTCCTTTTATTGTTGTTTTAGCTATTGACCCACATGCAATATCTCAGGTTTAATTTATTTTTTTTTCATCTAAATGTTATACCTAAAATACACCAAGATATATTTAAAAAAAAAAAAAAATTATATTTTTTATAGGTTATTGAACTCAATAGCCGACGATTATTAAACGGTATGGATTTTTCTGGACACGATTACCTTAGAAATATGGTTCATTTGCCATTTTTTCTTCAAAATTCTGGTTTACGTAAGGTAAAATTAGCTCAAAAATCAGCTCAATTTCATCGAAAGAGTGTTACTAATCAAATGGATGAATGTGGATTAGTACATTCGGTAATATGAATTTGATATTTATTAAAATAATTTATTTTATAAATTACTTTCAAAATGTAGGCTTCAACAAGGCGATTATCTAATGAATCTACAACTCTAAAGCCTACAATGGGTTCTTCTGGTGGTCTTAGTCGAAGCAAGGGTAACATCAATTCTACCAGAAATAAACTAAAGTCCAGTGAAAGTATTGCAAGTAGTATAGCTAGTAATATACACAGATTAGGTGGTCCGCAAGATCTCTCTAAAATTTTATTAACTGATGATTACTTCAGTGATGTAAATCCTAGAAGTATGAGGCGTTTAATGAATATTGTTTATATCACAGGTACATATATAAAATTAAAAACTTAAAAAAAAATATATATATATATATATATACATTTAATAAATATTAAATTAAATGTTTTTAAATATCCAATTTTAGGTCGTTTATTAAAAGCATTTCAATTAGAATTTAATTGGTACCATCTCGCTAGTTGGATTAATATTACAGAACAATGGCCTTATCGTATATCTTGGATAATAATTTTCCATGATACTAATGAAGATACTATTGATGATTCTATGTCATTAAAAACTTTATATGAAAAGTAATATTTATTTTACTATATGTTTATTTTAAAAACTATTTTTATAAGTTTATTAAAATTTACAGAGTGCGTCGTCAAATACAATTTTCTAAAGACATAGATCCATTAATGGAGATGGACAAAGATGAGAAAAAATTTGAAATATTTCTTTCTTTTCATCGAACAACATTGCTGGTGAGCGATTTAAGAATATTTTTACCTTTTACTATCAACTTGGATCCATACTTGAGAAAAGTTATTAAAGACGAAATGCAAAACTCCGAAGATCCAAACATTTTTAGGCCATCAATATCACAAAATGAACTTCAAACCCGAAGAGTACATAATCAATTTATCAGAAGACAAGTTAGTTTTTTTTTTATAAAAAAAATTTAACAATATTTTATTGATTATTTGATATATATTTTTACATTTTACTCTTAATGATTAAATATAATTTAAGAAAATGGGAAATAGATTATCACTTGTACAAGAACCTTTACCAGCAACATTAATGTTGAATGAACCACAATCTACTTTATTATGGAATCAACAAGTTCAAAATAGATGGCATACACCGTATGATGAATTGCCAAACCAACAACACAATTATTCCATATCATCATTACCTGTAATAATAATTTCTATATATGTATTTATAAAACTATTTAATATTGTATTTTTTAAAAAATTCATCTGAATATTCTAGGATGAATTTACCAACATTAAATTGTCATCTTTAAGTGTAGATGATATTTGTAAGTTGTTAATTAGGATAAAAGATATGCAAGAATCAAACATTCCAAAATACACACAAATAATCAAGGACAATAATCTTACTGGTTGTGTACTCTTACATTGTAACTTAAATGAGCTAAAAAATGTAATTTTATTTAATTTAATTTAATACAGAATTTATAAACACATACAAATTTGTTTTTAGGTATTAAAAATGAATTTCGGTGATTGGGAACTTTTTCGTATAGTTTTATCAGCATTACGAGATAAAGAGTATTTAATAAATAATGAAACCAATAGCAATACAAATTTTAAGCATACCAGATCAGGCAGTTCCAAAAATCATTCTCATGAAAGAAGAGGTAATGGAAATTATATTTTGTTGATTAAATGTTTAAAATAGCGTGTTCTACTATATAATTTTAAAAAAATTTTGTATTAAGAGCACCTTATACCCATATATACTGTCTCAATCAGGTCTCAAATAGGTGGTTTTTGAATTATAAACTATTAAAAAAGTTAGTTATTTAAAAAACAAAAAAAAGAAGGTTGTTGTTTATTTTGAATAATACAAAAACCCTATGACATTCCCTCCAAAATATTGTTCTCTATAAATTGCATAATAGGTACTTAATAGGTACTCTAAAATCAAAATTAAACTAGTTTTACTTATTTTGTGTAAACATTGTTTTTTTATGTTACCTGGAAGTTGAACTGAGACAGTAAATGCAGGTATAATGTTCTCTTAATATGTATATTTTGGGTCAAGTAGAAAATGAGTCATGATTGGAAACTGCTAGGGCAATGTATACAATACTCTAAATCTAAATGAATATATTAAGTAAGAATATATATATATTTTATTATAAAGCACAGTTAATAACTGTTATTTTGGTTAAGTACACTTAGGTAATGTAAACATATTTTATGTATTTAATTATAAAATAACTAACTTATCAAGACACTTTTTAATTGGATTAATTATTATTATTATTATTAACTATTAACTTAAAACATTTTTTAACCATAATTGTTACAACAACAATAAAATAATATGTATTTGTTTATTATATTATAAGTACAATAATTGTCCAAAATTCTACCTGTTTGCTCTGCATAGATAAACAATTTCATATTTTTATTCAATACGTTTTTTTTTATTTTACCCAATTTATAGAGCATTAGAGCATTTGTTGTTATGATTGATTCTCCTATCTAACCCATAACATAACATATGTATTATACATTAGTGGCATAAGTAAGGTTAAACATTTATGCAGTATACATTCTTATAAACTGGTGAGGTTTAAAATATTTGATTAGAATTGATATGGCTTTTATACAATATTAATCAGTAATTTTTTTTTTTTTTTTACACAAATAAAAAACTATTATAATGTTTAAGATCTTTATTAAGGTATAAATATATATTTAAAATTAATATAAATTGATTAAATATTTAGGTTCTTCCAATAATAGTAATAATGTACAAGGTAATTTGAATGAGAAAGACCAAAAAGGGTCCAAAGTATCATCCGTTGAAAAACAAGTATGTAGTATATAATTCATAAATTAATATATATAATTATAAAATCATTTTTAAAATCATATAAGTATAATTTTGAATTGTATTTATTGTATTAAAAATTTAAAGAAAATACTTTAAAGGTAACATTAGAAGAACAAATGATATGTGGTGCTTTGCAAACTCTTAATGAAGAAGCATGTGAAGATGTCTTAGAGGAATCTGAAGAACAAGGTACCATAGCAGCTGCTACCTATTTGCAAGTTCCTCAGCAGCCTATCGACATAATTACAGGTGAGCAGGTGAAACCGCAAAGTCAAAATGAACTCAACAGTAGTAATTATAAAACAGGAAATCCTAATATAGTTATAAACACAAATAAAGTGACAGAGTCTCTAATTGATATTGGTGGAATGACTGGTGAAAAATCTTGAGTATGGCATAACTTATTAATCATTCTTTGTTCATCATGATTTTCCAATTTGTATTTTTATTAATATTATTCAATCTGTCAAAATGGTTCTGTAAGTAGGTATTTAATCTCCATAATTTAAAAAATAAATATTTTAATTTATGTTCTTTCTTTATTTAACAAAATAAATTATAATTCAATTATGTATATTTTTCAGTTATTATTGACCTTAAATCTTTATGATTTGTATAGTTTTATAGAGAAATATTATTAAAGTGTAACAATAAATTGATATAAAAGAGTTTCTTTATAGTAATATTTAAATTGTGTTATGCATATTTCGCTATTCTACTAAATCCTTTCACAGTTTATGGTATAGATGTTTTTGTTGAAAATTTTTTAAAACCAAATCTGTAAACTGAAAAGCGAATTAATTTAATTTTGATTATTGATTTTTTTTTTTTTTGTTATCTATTCAATATTTTTTATAAAATTTAAATAATAAAATACTAGGAACTTATTTTATTAATTTATTATTATGTAAGGATTTTGCATTTGAATTTATTTTACTTTGTCTTACTAGTACAATATTTGTGTCATTAAAAACTATAGATCGTAATCATTCATGGTAATTTAAGATACATAAAAATAATATAGATAATACTATAATAAAAAACAAACTGTATAATAATATAATTGTTGAACTGTTATTAAGAATATTTTTTCCATAATTAATAAAAAATATTATATATATTAAAAAAAAAAAAAATGTAAATTTGTTTGGGCATTTATTACCAAAAGTACATAATAGTAAAAAAAAAAAGAGCTTAAAAAAGAACGATGTTAAACTTTCTATGAAAAAGTATCACCCCAAAAGTGCATTGACATCAATATTTGCTAAGTATCTTTGTTCCCATACTTCTTTTGTCCTGATTTTACCTTTTACTCTTATACCCTTGTTTTGTCATGAAATCTTGTCAATCTCTATCAAGTGTTTGTCAACTATTTAAGGTTAGGTTTGTCTTTACTACATCGAGGTATTCATCACATTGTGCCGGAGAGAAAATCTTCAAAAACAGATTCAAATGTGGATATAAATGCATTTTTGGCAAGTTTTTTTTTTGGAAAGTATGATATATTTTTTTTGATCTTAGTCATTTTTTATTTTTGAATAATTTTTTGGGAGATCTGTACTTTTTTTACAGTTAATACTACAATCGTTGCTGTGGTGCATATTTAAAGATAATTATTTAAGAATTTCATTGCATTTGACTTAGTATTTTTTTTCTTTATCTCAATTGAAAAAGATTAAAACTAATGCAAATTTGTCCAGACTTGGTTAATTGCTAAAATTTATTAGTGAGTAATTATTAATTGAAATTTTGTATATTTATTGTAAATGATACATAGAAGTGGCTATTGTACTTTAAAACTATTTTTGCGTATTGGTCTTATTGGGAGGAAGAAAAGGGTCAAAGTCCAATGTCCAATTTAGATACTTTTTTTTTTTGCAATTTTAAAAATTGGCATATGAAGCATGTTCCAAACACCTCAACATTTCATTGCATTTAGTTTAGTAGTTTTCTCAACATTACGGTGGCTACATTTGCACACTTACAACCTCAATTGGGATGAACAAAGAAATTTCATTATTGCCTCATTATTTTATAGCTGTTGGAACAGATTTTTAGGATTGATAAAAATATCTACAGTTTTAATTTCCCCGCCTTATTTAATTAAATTTAGTTGATATAGTATAATAAGCAGTGTATGATTGACCAGCATATTGTGTATGTAGATATGTGTTTTTACATTGCAGCGGACTTGTTTTTTAGCTAGGCTTATCTGCCTCATAATTAAACTTCAATAAAATGGTATGGGTATAAAAAGATTACAATCAATGCTTGCTTTAATAGGTTTCTACTATTATTATCTTTTTTAATTTTTCATAATTTTTTTGTATTTTGCGAAGCAAAAAATATTTACTTTATTTAATTAAAATAATATACATATATTCAAGTGTTTAAAGATAACAAACACAATGTTATCAAACACTAGTAGTCCCTAACTCCTAATTTCAGAGAAATCAATTCTATATTTAATTGCAATTATACGAAAATGTGTTGTATAAATTATATCCTAAGGTATGTCCACACAAGTTATAATTAAAAATGAACGCTACAAATATTCAAAGAGTTAAAAATTTACCATTTATTTATAAATACATATTTACATTGTGTGTTGTATGTCATAGATCAACATGTCCGTGATCATATTTATACCTTATTGTTTTACACCCGATCATCCTCACTAGAACAATATTGATATGCAAAACCCCAAGGCCAAAATATTGTATGTATAGAATGCGGTGAAAATGTTTATTATAATTATATGATTATAGCATTATAAGGGAATGCCACACCTGCATTTAGTTGTGTTTATGTTGAAATTGGAGTTAACACACAAATTAACAATATTTAAAAATGAGAATATTTTCGAGTACTGCAAATAACTTTTTACTAATAAAACAATGTATTATATCAATTAGGTATTATTAATAAATTAATTTTACAGATATGTACAAAATTAGAAGAATTTTAAATTATTTATCCTACATACCCTCTAGAATATATTATTACTGAAAAGTATTAATTTCTTCAAATTTCAATTTTCTAGAAAAACAAGTATTTAATATTTATATGATAAAATATTTTTTTAATAAACTAGGTATGTTTTAATAATGTTTGATGATTGATTACTTTTTAACTTAATTTTTATCTAGTTTATATTATGTGACAGAAATTATTGAATATGTTTTATTATAACATATAATTTGTATTAATGACAATAAGCTTAACAAAAAAATAATATTAATTTTATACTATATATAAATTACAAATCGATTGGGTAAAGTTAGAGAAAAATGGTCCAGGGATTTCCATAATGTATGGTATATATGAAGTGAAGATGAAAGATTATTAAGAAATGATGAGGATATAAAAGAGAGATAGAAGGAGTATTTTGACAAATTACTGAATGAGCAGTATCCAAAAAAAATACTAGAAAATGTTTTGTGGAACAAAAGTATGATAGATTTTTTTTTTTATGTAGTTATCTACAGTATCCAGACATTTTAATCATAAAAACCATGTATACAAACATCATTATAAAACTGATAGCTAGATAGCTCTCCTTACTATACTCAGAATATACTATTATTATAAATAAATAAAAATTATACCTGTAGATTTGTATAATTGATTTTTGATTTAAGATGGTACCATAATATGTTGTTATTTATTTCTACGTAAAAATAAGGCACTCATAATTATTATGTTTTGTAACTATATTTAAATTATCATAAAAAAGAATAACTAGACAATTTTTTTTTAATTAGAAAAATAAATTTTTGTTTAAAGAATAGAAATATTAATGCTATACTTTCAATTGCTATAAACGGTTTGCTATATAATACACTAAATAATAGCTTGGAAGAAAATTGTATACAGTACCTAATTGATGATTTAACAGTTTTAAATTAAATAAACATTCAATTCTTATTTTGACATGCATTTATAATTTATTGTCTAATTGTATGTGCTGTACATATAATTTTTCAAGTATTAACTTTATAAGTATATTTAACTAGGTATTATATTCACCTATTTGATTAGGTATTGTTGAAATTCTAAATTATTGATTGTAAACTATCAGCTTAGTGGTTAATCTATTTATGTTTTCAAAGCCATAATTTTTTAAGAACAGTGCTTTTAAGATGCATAAGGTTGTTCTATTCATTATTAAGAAGATATTTATACGTAATCACATAAATGGTACTTTAGAAAATCTATTATTAAATTTTCATGGAGCTATTATAAAATTACAAATTGACAATATGATATATGTATATTACTAATATTTTAAATATGTAAATTTTAAATCACAATGATGTTTATTAATTTTTCTATTGGTATTGTATAGATGTACAGATTATTTACGTTTGTACTTAAAATTAAAACAAATAAACATTCCAAACTCTAATATTTTTTCAGAATCTTTTTTTTTTTATTATTATGGTGAAATAATGTATCATTGCTTTTAAATGTAAAATAATACCTAATTTAATCTAATATAATCCTTCTTATCATGCAGTCTTAGTATATTGTCCTCATTTTTATTACAAACTTTATTTTTATAGGTGATGGATCTGTATGCAGTACAACTTCAAGTACTGATAATGGAGACGTTGATGCATTTTTGCTTCAAGTAAATATTTAATTTTTACTAATTTATAACTTTTCCAATGTATTAAAAACTATAATAATATTTTGAAGAATTCACCACATCATAGTATTGTTCAGTATCCAGTGTTTCAGTATGAGGGAAACAATTCTGTCTCAGCTAATTCTTTGAATAATACTCCAATCGCTTCAAGAAAAAATCTTATTGATTACAAAGTTAGTATATAGTAATAACATTAAAACACATAAACAAACTATGTTTTTATATTTTAGACGTGTATTGTAACTACAACTAGTGAAAAGGGAGGAAAGCCTGTTTTACTTAAATCCATCAAAAGACCAGCATCTTTAGTTATGAACAGACTTGATGATGCAGATACAGTTACTGAAACAAAAAATCCAATACAAGTATATTTATAATTTTTAAGTAATTTATATTTTCCTTATTATTTGTTTATATTTTATTTATCTGTTAAGGCTAGTGGCATTGTAAAACAAGGTATTGCAGGCTCAGTTGGTATGTTAAGTTGTTTAGTAGCGAGTACAAGTTGGATACAACCCCCTGCCGTTACTATATCACCAGTTCGCAGTAATGAAAAATTGCCAACAAGTCCACCACAAGATCCAAATCATTCTTCAGCAGTTTGTGCAACAGCAAGTAGTGATGATGAAAGCACTCCTTTAGTGTCAGATATGTCATCGCCTCAATCTGACCATTTGCAAATAAATACTGATCGGTAAAATATTATATCTAATTTTAAATAATTGAAAGTATTTTTTATCAATTTTTGTATAGATCAGACAAAGTTTATACATTTAATGGTATGTACTATAAAGAAAACTCACAACATTCATTAACTTCTCAATTATCTTCAAAGAGTACGGAATCTTTGCAATTAAGATCAGAAGGTGGTGGATGTTCATTTGATGAAGATATGGATATTCTTCAGAATATTAATAGTATTCAATCTGGCTCTAGGAGAGTATCTTTTGACAGTGATATTAGTGTATTGGTACACCCATATGACTGGAACGATCCTGAAACTATGGTATAAATCACAAATTAATATATTTTAATTTGTGATATAAAATATATACTGTTTAAAAACAATAATGTTATTTTATTCAGTATATATTTGACTTTATATTTCATTATAAGCTCATTTACATTCTAATTTAAATTAGTTATAGTTTATTTTAAATATTACTACTCTACATTAAAATATTATATTGTTAATTTATAATAACATATAGTGTTCATATTTTTCTAATGCCCAGTTATTGATTTTTTTTAAAAAAAATTTTAATTACTTGAATAGCACAATTCTACCAAGTTTTTTGACTAATAAATGTTTATACATATAAAGCTATTTTACTAAAGTATCTATTCACACTATACAAATTTGTAGTTTCAGTTACACAACTATAACATATAAACTGCAATGTATTATTATTATTACTTTTTTTGGTATTTCTTTAAAATAAAAAGAATAACATACTATTCCAGTTACAGAATACATTTAAGATAAAATCTAACAAATATTATTTGTAATTTTGTACCATATAATTTAAAATTTAAAAATATTTATAGACAAATTATTATTTCATAATATAAAATCAAACTGATTATACCTCAGTATAAAGCATTACTAGAACTGTATTCATATTTAGTCTTTATTCTGAATATAAACTACTATTGTTTTATAATTTAGTTACATTAAAATAAAATATTCTGTAAATTACATTTTATTCATAAATTTAAAACTTTTTTTTACCTAAATATTTTAAATGTTCACTTAAAATAATAATTTAATTATAATTTAGAATGATATTTTTAAAATTGAAAATTATAAAAATTAGAAGATTATAAATAAATCAGCAGCAATAAAATCAATTCTCTGTATCCCATAAACTAAGGACAAAAACATATTATTTTGTTAAATATAGTGTATGCCGCTTTTAAGACTCACTTTGGGACCAACATAAAGTGAGTCTTGTAACCGAATGAATCTTATAGGTAAAGTGAAAAGGAAGGATGTTTATATTTGGATATGTTTTGACCATTCCAAGTGATATTAAGTCTAATTAGCGACTGAACCTTATATTCATGAGTCTTATAAGCGTTGTCCACTGTATTAGGTATTATAAGATGAACTGTTATTGTTTTTAAAATTGATTTCTCATTAATACATTTTGTTTTTTTTGTGTGCGTGTGTGTTATAGTTTAATTAGTAATGTTATATATTACATTAAAAACTAAGAATCAATTACAATAGTTTTAATTGATTTTATATATTCTTTTTTCATTCAATAAATATGTTCTTAGCAATGACTTTCAAACTTTACCAGTTTTCCTATTATTTTTCTCTATTAGTAAAATAACTAACGAATAAATAACATTTTAGATTTTAATTATTTTAAAATAATTTAAAACACTCATATAAATATTTAAAATCACATAAAATAATTAGTGTTGTAGCATTTATTAATACATATCCAGTTTTAAATCTTCACGAATACTATTAATACATGTTTACATTACATAAATATAATATGATTTGTGTTCATAATTATTTGATATTTGATGCATTGATGATATGAATCATTGTAATATTAGTATTACTATTATTTGTACTTTTCTTTTTAAATTAATATAGAAGTATATTATAGCATTTTAGCAATAAATATGTTTAAACAAATTATTCTGACTGTCTTAATATACTCTAGTTTAAGTAGACAAAAAAATGTGCCTTTCAAATATATTAATTAAATTAAAATGTACAGTTCGTACAGTATTTTATTTTTTATTTCAATAGTCCATACACATGTGAATCTCTGTTATTTATTAATTTTAATTTTAACTTTATTTATCTCATTAATTTTTGTTAAAAATTGTATATTGTTCCTTTTTTTAGTGTCATTTTAAAATTATCAATATTTTTACTTAATTATTACTCTATTGTTTAATTTATTATTGTATTATTTACCTACATTTTATTTAGAATATTTATATAATATTTACTTAGCTTAGATATTATTTTATATGTAATTTCTAAAGCAATAAATTCACTTTCTATGTATTCATAGGAACTTTGTATGAATTTATTTATAATTTTTAAATTTTAGTTAAATTCATTTCAACCAATAAAATTTATTAAAATATTGAATTAACTAAGAAATTGAACCTTAGTTGATTCACTGCTCGGTAGATAAATTATATTTTCATTATATTACATTTAATTATAAAAAAAACCTCAACATCTTAAGTAACTCTCCCTTCTTCTGAATCTATAATAATTGTACATATCACATTTACTTGGAGTAAAAACAAAAATTACAGATTGTAAAACAACTTTTATATCAAAAAAAAAAAAAAATTTAATTACTACCTATATTTTTATTTTAGTCTTGTAAATATTTTACATGTTATATTTATTATTTTTCTTAACATTCCTGTATCCAATACTATATCATTTTATGGCCACTTTTTAAAACTAATGAAATTAAAAATATATTCTGATTTCATTATAATTTTTTATCAATAAAGTTAAAACAAAAACTATACTAATATCTCCATTATTTAGGTAGGTAATATTTTGAGATTTCATAAGCTTCACCAACAATTTAAAGATTAATATTACCTTTTTATATATTAAACATGTTTCCAAAAACCATTGTACAGCACCTTTGTACACTCTAATATTTCATAATGGAATTTTGTTAAGAAATTAGAGGCAGAGGGTTAGATATTATTATCAATTTTATTAATTTGAATGTTATTGTTGTGAAATTTCCATCTATAAAAAAAATATCAAAAAATAACCTTTATAACATTTTTTATTAAACGTAACTCCACACGATGTGGTGTACAAAAAAATGAAATTTTCATACCTCGATTTTAAGTATACTAATAGAAAACTAGGTACCATTAAATTATTTTTTTAATTTTTTCAAAACTATTAAATTTTGATTTAAAAGAGCCACATTCCTGCCAACTTCATCATATTAACCTTGGCCTTTAGTGGTGTTACACCCATTAACCTTAATCTTTTTCGTATGCCTTATACACATTACATATATACATAAAACAACTGTTTAATATAATTTGAATTATGATAATAAAATATCAGTGGTCTTGTACTATAGTAACATACATGACAAAATAATCTAATAATAATTATCTTTTCATGATAACCTACAGTCCCACACCAAGGCATCAGATTATACCATTAAATGTAATACTACATGGGAATCATGAAAAAAAAATCCCTGCAAATAAAACCCCAAAACAATTATACTGTCAGAATTATATGTATAAAAAAAATTGAATACAGTTTAATTATCAATGGTTTAAATGTATATTGTGCACACAGCTGTCAAAAATAATAATAATTAATAATTAAAAAATATATAATATTGTATCAGTCGTTCGCTTGCGTAGTTGCACATATTATTGAATACAGCAGCCATAAAATCTCCAATAGTTACTTATCTTTTCATCATTCTGTCTTTTAAGTTTTAACCAATTCTTTAAGACTGATGTTTATAGAATGTGTATGTCCTCTTTTTGATTTGTTTTTTTTTTAATTTAACTAAAGCACCTATGTTAACTGGGCTTAATTGGCGTTGATTTCGTTTTTTTATTTTCTGTATAAGCTTCCATATTGTGAAATGTTTTTGACCAACTAGTTTAGAGTACTTATTGTTCCTATTACAACCTTCAACAATGTTATCGGTTCTGTGACAGTCATTAAGGAAAGGTAATTTCATACAACTGGAGGGAAAATTGGTGGCAATTTTATCTAATGTAAATCCAAATTAATTAAAACTTATCTGAATTATTTAATATATTTTTCTAATACCACAGTTTATCGCTCTAAACAATTGATATTTGGTAACTAAAATTATTATGGTTATGCGGGCTTAGTAGATAGCACAATTACATTACTTATATTTAACCAGTGGCGTGGTAATATAAATAATATTGTAACATGTAAGTAATAATTGAGAACAATAATCTGTATTCATTAAATAATTCTATAAAAATAAATAAATTAATATCAATGAGTTCCATGATCCAGGGTGGGTTGGGATAATAGTAAATAAACCAGTGCGAGGTTGTTGTAAATGATATAAAGTTTCATCCATGACATTTTTAAGTTTCAACCACAAAAATATTTTACTATCATAAAATAACCAATTTTTTATAGGTTTATATAATCTATATATATATAATAACATGTCCTGACTGACTGATTTATCACCTAGCCCAAACCATTGGACGGATCGGGCCGAAATTTGGCACACAGATAGCTATTATGACTTAGGCATCCGCTAAGAAAGGATTTTTGAAAATTTAACCCTTAAGGTAAAATAGGGGTTTTTATATTTGATACGAATATGTAATTGCTTATTTATTTATTTTTGTTTATTCAAGGTGTTACGGATAATAATTTGGTTGCCACGGAAAAGAAAACTATTTTAATTATTTTTATTACTATTATTTAAGCTATTAAAGGTATAATTAATATCAAACTTTTAATAATAAGTACACCTACACATTTTATATCATTTTCACAATGCAATCACCCTTTGTGGCATTATGGTATTATAGTGAAAACACCTATTATTATTATTTTTTTTTTATGTAATATGTAATATGCTAAATTTTAATATTTTTCAAGAAACAAATTTTCAAAAAAAAATGTGTACCACAAAGAATTAAATTGGTTTATCAAATAACATAGAATAGTTGGAACTGCCTACGCAGGTAATGTATACGATAATTCACTCCTCCCATTTAAATTCATACATGTATAGGAACATAAAAAACTTAAATCAATAGTCTATAACAACAATTATTCGACGGACGATAACTAAAAACAATATAAAACAAATCACTAGGACAGTGTTTCAATTTCTAAGTTTAATTTTTGTAAAAAATATTTTATTTTATATTTTTAATGTAAACAACAAATATATAATATAAAAAGGACTGACATTCTTTGCACATAGGTGCAACCACTGTTGTAGGTGGGAAGTTGAGAAGGTAGGATATAGACGGGAATTTAATGTATATCTGTACGAAACGATAAACCATTGTTAATGAAAAAACGAATCTGAGTGGAGTTCAGTTGATAGTGCTGCTATGTCAATAATATATATATATTTATCATAATATAGTAAAATTGCAATTATTTAAATTCCAAAACTAAAATGAATACCGTTTTCCTCGGTTTTTCATATTTGTTGAGAAAACTCCTAAGAAAATCAAAAAACGACCTCTCTAAAGTACCTTCTCAGTGAAATTTCCTTTTAGAAAAATTGCTATCATTATAAGTTGGAGCAAAATTGCTAGTAGAAAAATTGTCTACAAGAAAATAAAAAGCCATAATATTTTTAGCTAATATCTACATTTCTTAAATTTTCTCGTTTTTTTTTCGATTTTTTGCATTTGATGAGAAAACTTTCGAACGATTCGAAAAATAACCTTCCTAAAGTACTTCTCCACACTGATTCTCTTTCAGAAAAGATGCTACACATAAAAATCGGAGCAAGATCTCTGGTAGAAAAGTTGTCTAAAGAAATAAAAATAAACATCTTTGATAAACTATTAGATTCTTCGCTCCATTCAGAATCTAAAAACAATCAATGAGGGTGTTTCACTATGGGATTTTAGAAAATATTTTATTTTCAAGCTCAAGTATGTTGATGTGTATTGATTTAATTAAATGTATTAAGTGGTCAGAACTATTACTGTCTGCGCTGTGATCATCGGCATATTATTATATTATCAATAGTATTTTATAGTTATGCAATTTTTAGCTATGTTATAATAAAACTTTTATATTAATACGCATGCCTAATTGCTTAAATATTTTTAATAATATCATATTTTAGATTCTGAGTGAAGCAAAGCTTATGGTTTTTTATGGCAAAGATGTATACTTAATTTTTTTTTCTGTGAACAACTTTTCTTCTATTAATCTTGCTCCAATTTACAATAATATCACTTTTTCTGAAAGGAAATCTGACAAGAGAGATCATTTTTTCATTTTCTTATCAAATGTAAAAAACCGAAAAAAAGGAGGAAAGACATGAAAAATCGGTACATTAAACGAATGTTAAAAATAATTTATAATGTCTATTTAATTAATTCACCATAATATGACATAAATATTTTTGTCAAAGCATGACTGTCAACTGAACTCCGTTCATAATCGTTTTTTTCGTAAGCAATAGTTTATAACAGTTCATCCCCCTCCATAGGAAAAAACTGAGTAATTATTATTTTAAATAAGTACGACTATTATGCTGTTAAGCAAAAATATTTTATAAGTATATTTTTTTCATACATTAAAATTGTAGCTAGAATTTATATTTTTGTAAGTAGGTATATATAGGCATTATATAATTTCTTTAATATTGTAGTTTTTCCTATATTTTTTTAGATACGCACGTGTCGGACGACGTACGTCGAAAAACAAAATGATTTGAATGATCTGAACTTGTCGGATCGTGTCGGACGACGTACGTGCTGCCATTCCGTCGCACTGTAGGTGGCCCCACTTGCGCGCGGGTATTTGTTTCCAATCAGACGTGCGACATACGTGTCTGACGATATACGTTCCCAGTGTAGGTACGCGCTAAAGGGTAGATTACACTGAGCGATTTTACACTCAATTCACCGGTGAATTTACTCGCTGCGACTAAGTCGCTCAATGTAATCGTTCTAGTCGCTTACTCACCGCGTATTGAATACTCGCTGCTCGCCCACGATTAAAGTTGACGGCCGGGCTACTTTTTTCGCTACTCGCTGGCTATTTTACACTCCAGCGAGTAAAATCGCTTTGTGTAATCGACATGGCTAGTAAAATCGCTAGTGTGCTTATGACTAGTTGTTGTTGCAAGATGTCGGAAGCTTTAGTTCGCGCAAGTATTGTAATTATTTCTCATTTATTGCGTCAGAAATTGGAAAAAGGAAAACTAAGAAGAATAAAAGAATTTGGGTTAGAGATTGGATTGCTAGACGAGAGAAATATGGTGCATCGAGTACATTATTAAACGAATTAAAACACGAAGACTGTAGCCTATCGAAATATTCTAAGGATGAACGGGGCCCAGTTTGATACATTGTTACAGATGATTGACGGACTAATTAAGAAGACACACAAATTTTCGTTTCTATAAATATCCTTTAAATTTTTAATTTTTGCCTTGAGTTGCTTTTTATCTATTCCCATTACCAATCCTTCATTCTCGAGGTCTGCATACAACTTTTTAAACATTTCATCTTTTAATTTTATATTTCAAAGCAATGGATACTGATCGTAAATTTAAGAATTTAAAATATAAAAGAAAACGAATGAATTATATCAAATGACAAATTCTTGTCACATGCATATACATGTATATCACATGAATGCGTGTGCGCGACTAGCGAGCGAGCGAATTTAATCGCTCAATGTAATCATACAAATCGTTACACGCTCACACGTCCGCGACTTTAATCGCCGACACGCAGCGTGTAAAATCGCTCAATGTAAGAGACCCTTTAAGCAAAGCGATTGTATGCTTCTGTTTACTAGTGGAACGGTTCATAAATCATAAGCATGTGCGTGATTGTGAACACTGTAAATGCATAAGCGTTCAACTGGAACGCACCCATAATATAAATAGTATAGTATAGTAATCAATGCTTTAATCATAGATAATTTCTTTATTATCTATGGCTTTAATCGTGTTTAATAGTTACACAAATTGCGGGGCTTAGCTAGAAATTTCCATATTATAAACGATTCTGTGAGGATGTATTTTGAAATTAGTAACGATATCCAGTTTTAAATTTATTTAACACCAGAAGATTCGTTGTATTTCATGGGAAAGATTATAAAGAATTACAAAAGAAAATTCCGGCATTTATTCCATGATATACTATCTACATTTAAATTATTTATCAACATTTCTCACATTTCGTGTTTTTTAAAATTAATTCTATAGTTTGCAATATCATAATATATACATTTAAATTTATTTTGCAAATAAGATTAGTAAGTTTAAATTAAACAAAATTGTTATAATGAAGTGTAATGTTTGTGAAATTAACAAATCTAAGTATAAATGTCCTAAATGTAGAAATGTCAAGTAGTAAGATAGTCTCAAATAAATATGTTTGAACAAATTTAAAAATTATTGTTTTTCAGTTGTTCAGTTGTATGTTACCAAAATCATCTTTTAGATAATTGTACAATAAGCGATCAAGACACGTCAGTAGAAATAGTAAAAAATGCACAATTGTATCCAACTGAAGATACCATCTCACCAGAAAAATTGAATTTATTATGTATGTATTATTAATTAATTGAGTTCTGTTGTTTAATAATTACTCAACTAATACTTTTAAATTTATTATAAATATATACTAGGTTAAAAAAAAAAAAAAATACAAATTATAGTAAAGGTTATTTATTAAACAATTATAATGTTCTCTAAAAACTTTGAATAATTAATCTTCCCTACTCTTCAAAATCACATATCATTTTTGATTTTAATAATTTACTCAACTTATACATATATCTATACAATTTCAATTTTTACTATTTGATAGTTGATAAAATTTAATAAAATAGTTATAAAAATCATTGTATGTTACGTCTAATGTATATAAGAACAAAACATATACTAAATTATATGCATGGTATTAAAATCAGGTATATTATTTTTGTTGATATATGGATTTAATTTTCTTTGGTTTATTACTTATCTAATAGACATAAAATCATATTATGTAAAACCACCAACATAGTCTTTCTATTAAACTAAAGCAAAAATTATTTAAGTTTAAATTATAAGTTATAAAAAGTAAAAGCTAATTTATAATTGACAAAGATAGTTATAGAATATGAAATATATATTAATTCTAAATTAGTTAACCTTGTTATTTTAATGTCTATCTGTAAAAGCTTTTTAAAAAAGCTTTATTTTAATTTAATACAAAGATATATTGCACTTCAATTTTTTTTTCTAACTAATTGACTCAAATCAAATTATTATTATTATTAATATTTACTTATATGTTTAGGTTATGACAAACGTTTAAAAGAATTAGTTTCCGATTCTTACTTACAAAACTTATTGGCAAAAATAGACACCAGTACTAATCCTAATGAAGAATTAGAAAAAGCTATGATTGAACCTATATTTGAAGAATTTGCTAGACAATGTTTAGAAATTGTGAGAAATGAAAATATGAATTGATTGACAAACATTTAAATTATCTCCAAGTACAAACATTTGTTTTATTTTTCAAATCAATATATGTATAAGTGCAACAAACTTGACCAACAATTTATCATGTATGATATTATTATATTAAATAACATATTTAAATATGTATGCAAGAAAAACATTTACAATAAATTGTTAGTAAATTTAAGATAATGAATTATATCAATAATAAACATTTGTTTTTAATTCAAATTCAAATTAAATTATAGAATTTCAATTATTACATTCTTAAGTTTTTATTAAAATGTGCTATGTTTCTGAGGCAAATGGTATATCATAGTTAATATTCATTGTACATATTATTTGCCAGTACCTCTGTTGGACTGGTGGAACACTAGAAACATTTTTGTGAATGAGTCAAGTTTTGTATTTTAGACTGCAGCTGAAATTACTTACATAAATTATACTTTTATAATGGCTTGTTATAAAAATTATATATTTGAAACTTTTAGGTTTTATTTATTAACCTTTTTTAATTTCTATATTCTCTATATTATTTTTAAAATATTTAAATCAAGTAATCTTAATTTTCACCTAAAATAATTACATTTTATTTTTTCTTATATTTGAAATTTTGCATAATTATGATAATTATTCTTTATTAAAAAAAAAAATATCAGTTTATATTTTTTGATATTATTGTGATTTGACTTTGTCCAATTTTACAAGTGAGTGGCCTAGTTTTTTATATGTATAATATTTTCCCATTAAGAATTTTAATTTAGATTAAGTTTCAATACATATAACCCAAACAATATTGATATCAATTGAAAGTACATTTGATAACATCTTATTTGAAAAAAAATAATTTGAAACAGGTTTGATTTTTATAATACTGTGTAGTTCGTTGACAATTGTCAGTATTTGGCCAATTTGAAGTTCTGCCTTTTAATTTATATATTTTTTCAAATCTATATTCTATTCTTCATGTATATTTTGTTTAACACAATTTTTCATTATTTTAAAGATAATGTTCTCATATAAGCCATGTGATATCTTCTTGGTTTCGGTTTCGGTCTTAACAAATTTAAAACCAAAATAGCATTTGTTACCTGCAGCAACATATTAAAATTAAATGTACCCATTCAGTTTTCATTTTTTTTTCATACTTGTAAAAATGAACAGTAAAATGTTAAAATAATGACTGGATTTAATAACTTTGCCTCAAGTTTTTTCACTACATTGAAACATCCTACATACGACTTGTTTTCCCTAATGATTAATTCATTTGAAAAGCATTTATTTTCACAGCATGTTTCTGGTAGTGGTAATTGTTTTGCTTTATAACTATTTCCACCATATAATCCACAGCACAACAACTAAAACATAATGTACTTTATAAAATTATTTGCATTACAAATGAAGACTGAAATATCCTTCAGATGAGTAAGTAGAGGTGGGACAAAGTAAAAGTCGCGCATAAATAAATAAGAAAGGTACCTAATGTTTCACATAAAATACTAATTTAATTACCTACATTAGTATTTTGTTTGTGAGTGCAAACTTATATTTTTGTCCAAGGAAAATCCTCATGTAAACTCTCATACTCTCTAAATCAGAAGTTCTTAAACTTTTTTATTCGAATACTATGAATCTTTCCAGCACCATTTTACGCATAAAATTAAACTATTTAAAGTTCCAATATATTTATTCTGTATTGACCACAGTAAAACACTACAGTTTAATTATTTATAAAGATTGAACATAAAATAGTATTAGATATGTTAAAAACATTTGTACAAATATGTATTTATTCATTCATCGCACTACCTCCACACATCTTTCTGTATATCACTATGTTGTCTACTGTGTACCACCGGTGATATGCATACCACAGTTTAAGAACTGCTGCTCTAAATGAAACTTACTATAATGGATAAACTTTCTAAAATAAACTATATTCTATTAACTGATATGAAAATGATTTTTCCAACTTTTTTTATGAATAAGATAAGTGATAGTATTAAGAATCTATAAACCCATTTAAGAGATAATTTAAATAAATTGAATATTATATTTATTATAGGTACCCACTAATAATTGTGGTTTTGAACATACAAAATACAACAGTTTTTTTTTGTAATTTTTACAGATATCACACTTTTGAAGCATAAAATGTTATTAAATGACTTAAAATAGACAAAGAATTCCCATGCTTAGGAAAATAAAACTTCCCCTGTTCTCCTTGTTAAAGGTTTTACATTTTACCTTAGAATGCTTACATTATTATAATTATAGTACATTGTTATAAAATAAAAAAATAAAAACTGCTATTTTGTCAACTAAAATATTATAAACATTTTTAAGTGTTAGTTTTTAAATCATGGTAAATGACAGTGCTAACACATTTTTATTTGTTATAATAGAGCACTCTACAAACCAATAACCTAACAACCTAACCTTAATTATAACAGACCAAAATTCATTTCTTATCTTATCCTACTCAAAATTGTGGTATCAATATAAAATTGGACGGGAACCAAATGTCTATGGAAAAATTATGACGAAAGTTGACTGTACACTTACGGAATTTTTTCGGGGGAACTAATTATCCATTTACATAGATATTGAGACATTGTGATTTAAAAGTTTAACTCTAATTATTATCATTGACAAAATAAAGTTTAAAAAAAAATGAATTGATAAAAGTGATAACAGTTGGTAGTTATTTAAGAGAAAAGACTAGGTTTCCGGAAAAAATTATTCCCGTGATTTGTTCCATGTAAATCATCCGGTATCTGATAAGTGACAACCATATGTTCCGAAGGTCGAGGTTGTTTTTTTCGCACATTCCTTTTTGGTGAGGCGTGTTTTCGTGGAAATATGTTGTTCGACCGTCTAAAGTGAAAAAGTTTAATTGTATCTACGGCTTGATTGAGAATTTTATTAATTTTTTTCCGTTTTTATTAGTCACAACGTTGATGCCTACAGTCCGCGTTGCAGTGTTTAATTAATGTTGCAAGTAGTCGGTTGTAGCCATACCTACGTATTTTTTTTTTTTTTTTGTTAGTAGCAATTCGTTGACGTCTCATTTCAACACAATGTACATAGATATAAACGTATGTAATGCACTTGTATTTTCACATATTAACACACTGTAATATTGATATCAAATATTATAATCGTATCTTTAGGCTATATTTCCAGCCTACCTAATTCATTCTGTAGTCATATCTTAAATTATCATTAAGACGTGTCACCATGGATGACAATAGCGCTGATCAAAAAGTTAATGATGCACAGTCTGACTTAAAACAAAATTGTGTTGAAAACACTAATTCTCTACCACCTACCACCGATAACTGTGTAGCTAAAAAGACCTCGTTTGAGATAACTAGCATCACAGAACCAAACCATATTGATGACAACGATGAAGACTCACCAGACACTGATTCACATGTACATGATCATAGGACAGATAACAGACATGATGTTGATTTGCAAAATTATGCTGATAATATAGTTGTATATAACACTTCCAATGATTTAGCTAGTTCTGCACCAGTTATACCGACTAGCTCTCAATATGGCCTAGCTATAGTTGATAATTCTGATGGAAGTCATTCTTTAGGTTCTATAAAAAGTGAAGATATGCATGGTGTAGATCCTAGTTTACAAAAGAATGATTGCGATTTAAATGGTCTTCAAAATAAAAATAGAAACGAAAGATTCAAAGTGGTGAAAATTGAGAGTACAGAACCCTTTAAGCGTGGCCGTTGGGTGTGTATGGACTTTTTAGACCATTCCATGAACCAGCAACAACCAGGAAATAACAAAATAATAATGGTAAATGGTGATAATAAAGATTATTCTCAAACAAATAACATCGATACAGCCGAGTCGTTGGACAATGGCCATCATGAATGTTCAGAGTTCAGGGTTAGTACTAATAATGTCAGTACTTATACCACAAATTGCAATACCTCTGATAATTATAAAAATCAGACATCAACCTACAATATTGTATCATCTGGTGTTACTACTCCTATTCATAGTGCTTGTGTATCCCCTGGTCAGAGTTTACAAACTAATATGCAAGTTCCAATTTTAGCAAATCAATCAATTGCAACTTCTGTACAGGCATCTCCACAGCCACAAAGTCTAACTCAAGTTCAATTGTCAGCACAACATAATATTAATCAAAGTTGCATGCCACACTCCAGCTTACAGTCTCATCAATTACAACAAGTAATTGCCAATGCCGGAATAATGCAACCTCAGTTACAACAAACCCAACCTGCTGTTATTAATGTTATGCAAAATCAAAATCCTTCAATACAACCACAAAATCTACAGCATTTGAATTCTGTGGACCAGCATGGCACTCAAACAATACCACAACAATATCAACAGCCTATGTCACAGGCAAATTTACAGCAACAAATTATGCAACATAATATGTCAGCACAGTTTCAAAAATCATTTGTATCACAAAATCAATCCGGTTTACCCAACTGTGCACCATTACAACAATCAGTCAACCAAATGATAAATCAACAAGTTCCTCAATATAATATTAACTATAATAGTTCACCTCCAGTTCAGTCCCAAAATACGTCTGAATCTTCAACTACAGTCCCAATGTCCAATCAACACATTAGTCAACAACAATTTCAGTCAATTCCTATACAAAACCATGTGCAATTACAGCAGAACCAACAACAAATGACAGCTCCTGTACAACAAATTCAACAACAGCAGCCTAGTCCACAGCAAACTATGGTGCAACAAAATCAAATGCAACCTCAAATAGTTCAGCAAAATCAATCATTGTCTCATCAGCCATCCATTTCTCAGCCTAGTCAACCACAACAAACTCAATCTGTTCCTCAACAAACTCAACAAATGTCTCAGCAACATATCCAACAGCCTCAACAAACACCACAACCTCAACAATCGTGTGTCCAGCAAGTATCTTCATCACAGCAACAGCAACAACCACAGCAAATGCAACAGGTTGGACAACAAATACAAGGACCACAAGGTTCTCAAATACAGCAGCAATTACCTCCACAGACACATCATATCAATCAACTGTCTCAAATGACCAATCAAACACAACAAATGCCCCAATCAAATCAAATGCAACAAATAGGTCAACAAAGTCAGCAAATAACACAGCAACCCCAACAGATTAATTTACAAACTCAACAAATACCACAACAAACACAATTACAACATCCTAAACAAATGCAAGCCACTCAAATTCAATCTCAACCTCAGCAAATTAACCAACAACAAATTCCTCAACAACAACAGATTGGCCAAATTACAAACCAGAATCAAATGATACATCAAAATAATCAGCAATTAACTCATACAGGACAAATGATTTCTCAACAAACCCATAATCAAGGTCAACAGTTAAATCAACAAAATCAACAACAGCAGCAGCAGCAACAACAACAACAACAACAACAACAACAACCTCAACAGCAAATACAGCAGCAATTAGCCCAAACTAGCCAGCCTGGTCAGTCAATGACTCAACAAATTCTACAACCAAATCAAAGTATGCCGCAACAAAATCAAGTGTTAACACAGCAGCAGTTGGGAATAAATCAACCTAATTCACAAATGTCTGTTTCACAATCTCAAAACCAACAAGTCATTCAATCACAACAGCCACAACATATGCAACAACCTGGGCAGCAATATCAACAACCACAGCAGATGATGCAACCTCAACCACAACAACTACCAATACCTAACCAGCCTATCATGCCACCAGCTTATTCACAGGCACAAACATTAAACGCCATGCAACTTCATCAGGCTGTGATGCAAATTCCAACCAATGCTGTTACATCTACCCAAATGCATATACAACAGCAACAACCAGTGGTTCAATCCAATATAATGCAACCTCCTCAAATGAATGTTATGCCACAAAATAACATTCAACCCGCCATTCCTATGTCACAACAACAAATGACATACTCCTTGCAACAACATGTACCTATTAACCAAAACTATGTTAACAATATGCAAAGTTGCTACATTCCATCACCACAACACATGACTTCATACAAGCCTGAAATGAAAGCTGTAGAAACCGTTAACAAAAAAAAGGAAGACAATAGTGAAGAAATAGAAAATGGAACTACTAATAACTCCACTACTACAGTTGCTATTGATAATAAAATTGAACAAGCTATGGATTTAGTCAAAAGTCATCTAATGTATGCAGTGCGTGAAGAAGTAGAATTATTGAAAGAAAAAATTGCAGTGCTAATGGATAAAGTCGGATTACTGGAAACAGAAAATTCTAATCTTAGAATGCTCGTGCCACCAGATATGTTAGAGCAGTACAATCGTGATAAACAAAAACCTACCAATAGTCAGTCAGCTCATAACCAATAGAATTTAATTTTAACTGTTTGGTAATTTATAGGTATATATTTATATATTGCTTTACCAACGTTTTAGTTTAAATAATATAAAAACAGTGATGTGTACAGAATGTTAACTTTTTAGTTTGATTTGTAAAATGTATTATTATTAAGACTTTGAATTTAATGATTAAATGTATATAGCTAATTATGTTAAATATAGCTATATACTTTTAATTATAATTGAATATAACATTTCAAAATGAATGGCTCAATGTTGTAAAGAATATTCAAATTTTGATATTATATCAAAGAATACGTTAATTATTTAAAATTATGAAATGGAGTTAGGACATTTTATTTGTATTAATTTATAATTTTCATAAAAAATTCATTTTCTTTTTCCATATGTTTATTTGTTAAGACTGTTATAATTAAAAACAATTTCAAAGTATAAATCAAATAATGATTCATTTTTTTATTGGTATACGAGGTGCATAAAGTTACTAATGGCTTTGCTTTGTGATGTGCAATTGTTTACAAAGAGTAAACAGTATTTAAAAAAGATAATAATAATTAACTGAATTTAAATTCAGTTGATTTAGATTTTTTTCTCTTTATATGATACCTGTTTTACTTTAAGGTGTATTAGATACAGATAAATAATATTAATAATTATTATACAATCAACATTTTTTTTTTTTTGTTCAATATAAAAGACATCTTAAAGTTATATAATATAAGTTATAATTTATTTTTTTAATTTTAAAATTAATAAACAACACATCAAATATGGATAATTTAAATTTGTACATAATAAATACATATTATGCATAAATACCGTATTATGTTCAGGATTTGAAATTACTTTTTAAATAAAAACCACTAAACACAATTTTACTCGTTGACAACAATTTTGCAGAGTAATATTTACTAGTAGTTTTTAGTTTAGATACTAAAAAATTACCTTTTTAATAAATTTATATTACTCGTATTAATCAAGGTATATCTAGAAATGTTATATTTAAATAAAAGTATGCAACTGTTATTTTATATAAAATCTATAGTTTTTAAGTATAAATACACCTATTTAAGTATACTAATATAGCAATACACAAATTTACAATTTTTCAGTATTTAAAAAAAAAAATGTTTGTTAATGCTAAATATATTAATTTTTATTCTTTACGTGTATATTGTTGAAAATTAATTAAATCTGTTAAATTATTTAATCATATTTTAAAATATAAAAAATTGACTAGGAGGTACCTATTAAGACTATAGTTGATATTAATACTGTATTGCTATTTATAATTGGTGTATAATAATTTCTTTAGTACTAGCATTTTTATTTTTTAAAAAAATATTGTTATACAAACTTACAACACTCATCACTCCATGTATAAGATAAAACTGTTAATTTATACTTAATATGTACTTTATTATTAAAATATATTATGTAATTTAAATTTAAAACTGAATGTGTATTATTACATTAATGATGAATTTTATTTTTATTTAAGCTTCATTGTTATTTTGAATTATATTTTTACTAGTTTGCTAAATAATGTGAAAAAGTTGTATATATATGAGTATATATTTTGTTTGTCTCCAATACTACTTGTGATAGTTTCAAATATAAAAAAAAAGTTGATAAGGCTTGTGAATGTATATTATAAATTATAATGTATTCTTCTTTTTATACTCCTACTAGAAAATATATTATTATAATAAATAATTAATCAATGGCAAAAAAAGTGTTTTATTATTATTGCTTTTTGTAGGCAATTGAATTAATGATATCTGAATATCAAATTAAAAATAATATTTACAAGCATGAAAATATGTATTACTAAATACTTTTAACAATCAACTAAAAAAAAAAAATTAAAATAATTACATGATTGTGCAAAGCTATTGATTGTTTTTAATTAAATAGTCTTTATTTACTGTATATTACAAATCAGTAATTTGTTTCTATTATTTTACAGTGGCGGTTAAAAAGGAGGCAAAAAGTGGATTCCCATGGGTAGGAAAAAAATACAGCCCAAGGGGACTATGTCTTTTACGATTTTATCTGTTTTTCTTTTTCTAGAGATTTATGAAGATACATAAAGTAATTTAATTTATAACTGTATCCAACCAAAAACCATTGCCCAAAAAAAAAATGATTTTGACCAAAAGTTAGGTGAATTTTTGTAAAAATTTGAACTTAAAACATACTTATAAATAAGAACTACATTACGCTTAAATAGTGTTTAATTACCAACTATAATTTATGGTGAACTTTATGTATATTTCATCATTAATTTAATAAAAATAAACTGTTGATATGTCAAAATTTTCAGAAAAATAAACTATAATACGGCTACCTGTCCTTAAATTTTTCAAAAATAATAGAATTAAAAGTTTTTTTTCAATGATTAAAAAATTAATTTGAATAGAAATATTTGTAGTCATTATCCCTGTGAGTATTATCTATTTAAAAAAAAATAGAATTTGATTATCTTTATTATACTTGGAAATATGGTAATGGACAATATCTACATGGGACATGTATTGAGTGTATACCTACATCATGATGGAAGGCTCTAAACAGTTTGATTCTTTAGTCTCCAAACATTTTTAAAATGCAAATATTTTTCAATTACACATGTAGAGATACAAGCATATTATATACATATTAAGTACCTAATATATAGTTGAAACTTAAAAGTTCACTGTAATTTAAGTAGATACCTATAATACGACTACTTACTACATTACGACAGGTCACGGTATGTACTTACACCTAATACATACCATGGTATGTACACCTAAACCAACAAATTCGCAACAAAAATCATGTGGTAATAGATACCTACAAACCTACAGTCAACTATTTTCAGATGAAAATGTAAAATAAATTTTTTTTCTTAGAGTTGTAATAGTCATTGTTTAACTATTGTACATAAATTAAGAAGGTATTCACAATTATTAGTTAATAATACGCTGTTTATCAAAGACAGTGCGAACTACTATTTAAATTTAGATGACAGTAATTTTACATATGTTTTATCTTAACATAAGTAAAATAACTAAATACGTAATTTTTTCATTAAAAAATAGTATTTGTGCGATAAGTATATTGTATACTAGGTTACAGCTAATGTTAGAAATTGTATAACACCAAATTTTCGTTCAGTGGATTTATTACTGTGCATTTAATTTTAATATTAGAGCGAATTGGCCTATTGTCAAAATTAAAGATAAGAATATTATCTGTAGGAATATTGATTTTTTTTTGAATTTTTAAATTTTAAACAATACAATTGAAATGCTACCTATTTTAAAAGTATTTGTATATTTTGTGTTTGATAATAAGCCAATTCACTATTAATATGAAAATTTACAGCACAAAATTGGATTTTCCGAACGAAAATTTTATATTATCCAATTTTTAACATTAAGTTGTACCTGACATAATATACATAATACTTATATACCTATACGAGTAGGCCGAGCCCGTATATGGGGGGAGTTGGGGAGGTTCAAACCTCCTTCTCCCAAAATGTTTAAAGTAGGTACCTATATATAAGTAGATAAATAGGTATGTATTTATAATATTATAAAGACTAACTACAAACTGTATATATGATTGTTCAACAGTTTATTTTAAGTATCTATTTATATATTTCCCAAATTCCTACTAGTCATTACACGTTATCTTAAATTTTAGAAAATGACAAATGTGGGTTTATGTTATCGCAATTGTCGGACGATGTAGGTTATGTATATTTCTATAAAAAATAAATGTAGATTCGAGTGTAATGTGAATATGTCAATAACTATGTGCAAGTTATTCATTCAATTCATAAAAATAGTGGGGAAGAATTTCACAAATTATTAAGTATTTTTAGAAGTAGAAAACGTATTCAATTTATGACTGATTTTCTTAGATGAAACGGTTAAACGCCAAGATTAATTAGACAATGTATTCATCGTAATAATATTCTAACAGATTCACCAGAACTGTACCTATACCTACCTACTATAAAAGATACATCTTTTGCCCATCTATTGACAACCTACTTTAAAAGTTAATTAATTGAAAGATTTATAAAACACAATTATATTAGTTTTAGTTTAAAACAAATTGCTTTCCAGTTCTCTAATTAAATTAAATCCAAGTAGCAATGACTTTAAAAGTGCATTGATTCTTACAAAAGCTTTTTACTGACATATGAAACTTTTGAATCAAAATTGAATGAGTGAATGGAAAAACGGAAATCAGTACTCGATAAAAAACTTCTAAAATCTGCAATTGACATAGGCGTTATGTTGAAGGGCTTTTATCCAAACATTTGGTGTTTAATATCGATACTGACAACACTCTCAGTCAGCAGAAAGTTAATTTATATCTTTTATATTATTATATAATTATATATAATATTATTATATTATCTATATATATATATTATTTATATCTTTATATATATCTCTAAATATATATATACATATCGAATAGATTACATCAAAATTTATTTAAAGTAATAATCAATCTATTTATGGAATTTTTAAAGTAAGTTCTCATTTGAAAAACTTAAGTTGGTACCATCACAGGATACTCGTTACATGTTGTTAAAAATCTAAGTATTCGAAAATATCGGCATTAACTACACTTAAAAATTCCAAAAATCAGATTTTAATATATGTAAAATTTAACCAATAAATGGGGTGAGCACTTTATACATTTTTTTAAAAACACAGGAAAACTAATAAGGACTGAGGAATAAAACTTAAAACAAAAACTGTTTTATTTTTGTATAAAATATAATTGTTTTTTTTATTCTTTTGAAAAATATATGGTTTACCTACATTAATAGAATCGAGGTAATAAAATGTTAAATAAAAAATTAAGGAAATATTTTAACGTTTTCAACTAATAATCTTTAATTTTATTTATACATTTCATTGAACTATTTTAAACAATTCTTATATTAACTAGGTAACTAGGTAAAAATACGATATAATTTTCAATCAAAATTACTCTTTGTCTATGTTCCCTTGAAATTAGGTATCTATATTGACAACATTTAGTTATAATCATAAGTACCTACACAAAAACCGGTTAATTATATAGATCCTTAGAGTTATTTTCTGTACTAGGGAGACATATATTTTTCTCCACTGTCCCCGGTTTTTCACATTTGTTGGGAAAACTCTTCAGGAAATCAAAAAATTACCTCCCTAAAGTACCATGTAAATCAATTTCCCTTCAGAAAATAAGTTACACTTGATATATCGGAGCAAAATTTCTGGCATACAAATTTGTAAAATAAATTGAGGGTATTTTGCGATTAAAATAGTCCGAGCGAGCGACGGCTTGGTTCTCTAAGTACACCCAAAATGAATTAATACTTTCCTTGTTCAGGTAAAGGAGAAAATAAAAATACAAAACATTTTGTTTGAAACCTGGGTTTGAACTCATGATTCTAGGATGACAAAAGGTATGTATAATCATTAGATCACGACATACTTTAAAAAAGACAATATAGAGTTATTTAACATAACATATAATATTCGCATAACATTAAAACTTCAAAAAGCTATAATTTCAAAAGTTAGTCAGTTGGCTCAATTCTGATTTCACCATCGTTTTTAAATTGGCAATATACATAAGTGGAAAGTTGGAAGGTAGGATACATAAGTTTATTTCATTTATAGCTGTAAGCAACGATATATAATTACTGATGAAAGACGATTCCGAGCGTAGTTCGGTAATATATATAGTTTGAAGTAATTTTGTTTTTCAATTTTCGCTTAAATTTAATTTCAAAACGATTATTAAAAAAAAAAATTCAATAAAAATATGATCTCTTATTGTTGAGGAGAAAAAGACACTATGTTATATCATCCCTTCAAACTTCTCTCCTTGAACAGTATCAACCTTTTTTTTATACTTCTGATGGTTATATAATAAATACATTTATAGCTGAAATTATCTACATTTTTGATATGCAGTAAGCACTGGTGAAATTTAAACAACGAAATGTGAGTAAATCAAAAAGGTAACAAAAAAAGGTGTCTTGTGATTTTTCGATAAAATCATAAAACGTCGTCCGTATTTTTATAAAATCGTGAAATCGTGAAATTGTACGTTTTCCTACGTTTTTTTTCCTCTTAAGTGCTTTTAGTTTAAAAATGGCGTTACAATTTTTTAACTTGAGCTTTCAGAAAAAATGCTTAACGTAAAAATCAGAGCAAGTTTACTAGGAAAAACGTGTCCACAGACTAGAACAAAGAAAAAATAAAAAATAAACAGCATTATAAAACCAATAGCACCCTCGGAATATAAAATTGAAAAATTAAAATTGGTCCACATTTTTTACTCAATCGATTTTCGTCAAAATTTGATATTAAAATTTCTTTATAAAAAAATTAATTTTATTGAATTCAAATTTTTTTTTTACCACAAAGTAAGACTCTTAATGAACCTCCCGTTTAATTTTCATGCATTTCTGTTTAGTATACAAATTTTACCACAGAGTACCTAACGAATAAAAATGATGTACAAAACTCTCAAAATTAAAATGTCTATTATATATATTTATCATCAATAAATCGTGCATTGTTTGTAGGTAATCTGTATTTTGTTCTGCTTATTAATTATGAAATATGTTATGGATAAAATATTTACTCGATACTATAACAAATTTTAGGGGGCGCTAATTTCAAACTTGGGAGTGATAAAAAATAACTAGTATACATCCTAGTTGTACCTATGCTCTTTAACTTTTATCTTTTACGTTTACATTGAACCACCATATATATATAATAATGTGAAGGTAGATAGTTGCCTACGTTGTATCAAATATAAAAATATATGTTATAAAAATCACTTACTTCGGATTGAAATTCATTCCAGCGTTGTGTAACGTCTGATTGAATGCCATAACTTAAAAAACTGAATTTCATTTCTTTTTTCACTATAACTTCCTGAATGGCTTTTCTATTAATTATTGTTATTCCGAGGCCAAATTGAAATAATGCACCAGCAATCATTATACCACTCATCTAATACGTGCATTTTTAAATTTTAAAAAAAAATATTATAATTTTAATACGTACCTACCTATTGAATTATTCGTATTCAATAATTATATTTTAAATTAGGTATAAAGACATTATAAACAGCATAGGTCATAAATTCATAACTGACAAATTTATTTAATTTTCTGCCTTCCGTAACTAAAATCCTCCTGATCAAATTAGGTATTTTTTCAATAAAAAAATGTAATTTATCAACATGTAACGACAAAGTTAAGAAAATAAGTTAACCTGTAGCTACTTTCAGCGATACACGAGAATACGAATTGTAGAGATTCAGAAGCTGTAGCTAGTATAAGGGGGGTTGTTAAAAAATAAAAAAATGTTTGATTAAATTTATGAATCTTATTGTAATGAATACGGTTATCTCAGAAATGAAATTAATTTTTTATTCTGAATTTTTATTTTTTCACAAACTGAGTTTAAAAATCAATAAATTGAAAAGTATTCAAAACGATCGGTATTGACGAGAATCAAAATATGTATCTAAACCAGGTTTTTGGTTTAGTGGGTTACCACTGTGACTGAAATCACGCCTCATCTTGTATTTCAGATTGATAACGTTATTAACACGTTCTTAGCAGTATGGTAACATTAGATCATTTACTATATCATATATGATTTAAGATTGTAACCTTAATATACCTGACGTTTTGAAAGATACATTTGAATTCATGCCCAAACTGATCTTTTTTAGTAGTTAAATTTTTCAAAAACATGTCGTAAAATAATCAGACAAAACTATAGATTTAGGGAAAAATGTTAATATGGACTTGAAATATGCACAAAAACTTATATTTGCCTTTTCTAGGGGTGGACAAATTTTCAAAAATGTTTAGCCGTTTTTGAGCTATTTGTAGATATTTTAATTTTGTAAGTTTTGTATGTAATTTTTATTCGGTAGGTACTCTGTGGTAAAATTGTTAGACTAAACAGAAATGCTTGAAAATTTAATAAGAGGTTCATTAGTACTAAGAGTTCAAAAAAAAAATTGAGTGTAATGTAGTTTTTATATAAAGGAATTTTAATATCGAATTTTGACTTAAATCGTTAAGTAATTTAAGTAAAACATTACGCGGAAAAAATTTAATTTTAAGAACGATGGTGAAATTAGAATTGAGCGGACTGACTTAGTTTCGAAATTATAGTTTTTTTAAATTCTGTAATTATATAGTTATTATAATACGTATTACGTTGAAAAATGAATAATTATTTGTAGTATATCTGTCGTATTTTAGTGGTCGTACTCATCTGTTGTCATCCCAGAGATCATAAATTTAAACCCGAATTTCAAAAAAAACTGTTTGCATTTTTTCCCCCTGTTTAAGTAATAGGGAGAAAACAAATACATTTTTGGTGTACTTAGAGACGCTAGCCGTCGCTCGTTATCTAAATATCTACTAATACTATCTTAATTGAAAAATACCCTTTGGTTTGTTGTGCAAACTTTTGAATAGAAATCATGCTCCGTGTATCAAGTGTAACCCCTTTTTTGAAAGAAAATTTTATCTATATGGTATTTTAGGAAAGTCATTTTTTTATTTTACAAAAAGTTTTCATAATAGTTAGGAAAAACCGGGATAAAATGTCGGAAAAACGGGAAAATTTACAAAAAAAACGCTTTTATAATTAAATTAAAAATATTCGTAGTGACTTGAAATTTGAACAGAAAACTTACATTGACCTTTTCTAGACGAGGTAAAACTGTAAAAACATTTGAGCAAAATTTGAACTATTTACAGATATTTTAATTTTGTGAGTGAGTTTTTGGTATAGGTACCTACACTCTGTGGATAAAATTGTTAGACTAAACAGAAATGTTTGAAAAAATTAAACCCCCTAAAAAGACAGTTAAACAAAAATAACAAGTTATTTTAGATTTTTATCAATCGAAGAATTTTAAACCATACATTTTTTTTCATTTTGAATATTTAAATGAATCAACCTGTAGGTTGATTACCTGTACAAAAAATGACCAAAAAAAAGGTTTAATAAATTATAATCTATATATACACAGTAACAAAGTTGTCTTCGTATTTTTAAAGCACCATACAATGCAAATATGCACGACAACATCATTGCAAAGCCGCTGTATAAACTGAAAAATATTGGCTTATTTGATTCTAATTGCAAAAATGTTCTAGTAATATTCAAATTTGATATATATTTATCTGACGTGATCATTAAAACAATTGAACATAGCTGAAAAAAAAAAAAACAGGAAAACCATTTATAGAAATAAAATCAATATGAAAACCTCCATACAATATAATATAATATAACAATTATATTATGTTGTTTTGTACACATACAGGTGTCCCATAAAGATATGCTCATTGCGCATGGGCGTATTTACGGGGGGATAGATCATCTATGACCTTTTTTTTTTAGTGCCAAATAATATTTATTGACCTATTACTCTTTTTCACATTAGTGATAGATATCATGAATAACTGATATTTAGGATAGAGTAGGATTAAAGATATTTAAATTATGTATAGCCGCAGAGTAGGGTTAAAAGCAGTTCTCTTAAAAAACTATAAGAAAAAAGAGTTATATCTCATACTAACTGAAAAAAATTATAAGTATTCCAAATAATAATTTAACATCAGTTTATGTGTCAGTCTGTACTAAAATAAATAAATAATGTATTTATTTTCTTTATTACTGACAGAGAAATAGTGTACATAAGTCAATTAGCCATAATAATAATCAATTGGCGAATACGAATACAGCATGCTGCTTAATTATAAGGATTTATTCAGTTTGTAATATTAGCTTTTGTGTCTATTCTAGAGTTCCTGTTAGTTAAAATTAGAATTTTAGAGTTTCGGTTCATAAAAATACTAATATTAATATAAAAAATTTGTTTTAGACTTATCTAAATACTCTGTCAAAATTTCAAGTCCCTTCAAATATTTTAACTTGAATTACAACGAAAAAACCAAATTGAAAATAATGCATTTTCGTAAAATTCACGTTATGTCTACGGTTTTATTAGGTTATAATGAATTATTAATAAAACTACAGAGAAAATCAAAAATCAAGTAACTTATACTCATGAACACTATTAAAAATTCAATTAAAATGGTCTCTGTCATTTTTCGATTGAAGTAATTTTCATGGTTAAAAACATAAATTGAATATATTAAAATAATTGAACCGGGACGCTACGTTGTCGTTAATATTAATCAATTTTAATTTTTTAACTTTTCCCAATTATTAGGAAAACTTATTTGGATATCCAATAACGATTTACTCTGTCAGCGGTTAAATATTAAAAGGATCAAAATCGATATTTTGTCATTTTTGATTGGAGCAATTTTTCTGGTAGAAAACTTAAGTATAACACAATAAAAACAATGCAAACGGTAACGCCAAAGCGCATTGTAAATATTTGCCGTTTGTCTATAATTTTCTTTTGGTTTTCCCCAATTATTTCAAAAAAATCCTTGGAAAATCAAAAAATAATTAAAGAAAATTACCTTTTGGCTCTATAAGTGCTATAGTCTATTCTAATTCCTCGATACGGTCCTAATCTAAAACTTGAAAAAAAGGGTAATTACACAATATTTAAACCAATAATTGAAATAACCTTTAAAAGAGACTGTTGCAGATTTGAGAGGGGGCCGAAGTCCCTGTACCTCTGAATCTTGAGAGTACACGGTATACAATATATATGGAGTGTACTCTATGGGAACACCCCAGGTTAAAATATACATTTAATATTGTATATAATTAGTTAATTATTATTAACTGAATATTTTTACGAAGCTTTTTACTTTAATTCCTTCATTTATGATGAATAGTTCTATAATATGCCCATGTAAAATAAACACTGCCCTTGCAAAAAGTTACATTTATCTGGGTAAAATACAAATCGGTGTAAATATCAGACGAGAAAAACTATTTTCAATAAAATGAATATTAGACTTGATGTCTTTCCAATCAAAATTCTTAAATATAAAGAAAGGATAGATAGAGTTCTCAGAATCGGATTGTATAGGTATCGTATATTATATCAATAATGTTTTATTATTATAGAAGATTTGTCAAAAGAAAATTAGATTCACTATAAAAATTATTGTTAATAATATTAATCCCTATTATGGGGATATTGTAGGATTCAGGAAACATCTTAACGAGTGGTGATTTTTTTAATTTCTTTAATATTATTACCTTAATATTTTAGATTCTGAGTGGAGCGAAAAAGCTTATGGTTATACAAAGATGTTATTTTTATTTTTTTTTTCTATGGACAAATTTCCTACTAGAGATTTTAGCAATTTTTCTAAAAAGAAATTTCACTGGGAAGGTACTTTAGAGAGGTTGTTTTTCGATTTTATCCGAAGTTTTCTCAACAAATATGAAAAAACCAAAAAAAAACGGGATCCATTTTAATTTTTAAATTGGAATAATTGGAATTTTACCATATTATGACATATATATTTTTGACAAAGCAGCACTATCAACTGAACTTCGCTCATAATGGTAAGAATGTATAGTTAAATTTCGTTATCAATATTTGTGTTATTTTGATGATAATGGAAAACAAATAATATTATTATTATATTTATTTATATTAGACATTTTTTTTTTATTTAAGTAGGTTGTTTTCTTGTTTTTACTGTGAAGAGTTTTGCATAAAGTCTATAACTCACAATTAAAAAAACATTTGAATAAAACATTATAGACGGTTCAGTGTACATGAATGCAAGTAGATCTTTCCATTTTTCGGTTTTATGATGATTAACTAAACATCTGCTGTCAATAGAAGTCATTGAACTATGACCTTCAAAGAACAACGATAACGGCGTAGTTTTTAACTCGTGTAACTGTTGCCAACTTGGATTCTTTGCATTATATATATCTAATTAATTTAATGAAATGATAATAAATTACTTTTTATTTTTTTTCAATTAAATTTAAAGCAATATAATATAGGTAATTAACATAAAAACTTATATTAGGCGGGTTGTAGATATATCAGTGGCGGTTTTTAAAGGGTAACCCCTCTTGACATTTTTATTACACATTACGTACATAGGTACCTCATGGTATTAAAAGATAATTTCCTCTATATAAGATAAGATTTCCTCTATGTTAACTTCTGTCCTCTGGTAACCATTATGATCACAGTGACCAAGAACGTGATTATTAATTATATTACACAGACATAACACAGGATATTTTTGGTATAGGGTTTTTTTTGAACTAGATCAAATGTCACGGATCAATTGTGGTCGAATATTATATACCGGGCCAAATAACGGGTCACCATGCAACCGGGTCACTGTACTGTGCTAAGTGTGCTCATCCAATTTTTTTAGTTAAATTTTGTAAATATTTAAATTCAAATTTTTGGAATTTTTAAGTGTTCTTAAAGCCAATATTTTCAAATACTTAGATTTTTCACAACATTTAATGAGTATCCTGTAGCGATACCAACTTTGGTTTTTCAAATGAAAACCTATATTACAAATTCTATAAATAAATGGAGTATTGCTTAAAATTAATTTTAAGTCTTCGAAAATATCGACTTTAACTACGCTTTAAAATTCAAAAAATCACAATTTGAATGTAAAATTTAACCTAAAAATAACTTGTATCACTTGATATGACTATAACTTGATCATCCTGTATAATAAATGTCTATATCAGTAATGTAATACCTGGCATTGGTTGTATAATATACATATCGTAATAATAATATATAATACATAATATATTTATGGTCGGATTTAGGGTTTTTAAGACCCCAGGTTAGGGATTTAGGCAGTGTATGCGATGGCACCTCTTACTTTTAAAACAGTCCTAATTAGGATGCTAAAATCATTTACCATTTTTTTTTAATTCAAATTAAATTATATTTTTATATTAATAATATTGTTTCCTATTATTTTACTGTCAGTAAAAAAATATCGAGCTATCAAGTAGTTGGGTAAATAAATGAATGTATCGTATATTTTATAATCTGCAATACCTGATGCCTATAGTATACAGATATAAATAAAAAAAACCGCTAAAAAAAAAAACCTATAAAAGTTGGATAACTTCGGGGTTGAACAGTTAACGGTTGCTATTATAGAAACATTGAAAATTATTTCAATAATAAATTATAAAAACTTTACCAATTACAATGGTATAAAATGAAAGTTTTCTTCATAGTTTAAAATGTAAAATCATACTTGATGGACGATGATTAAAGTCTAAATGATTTTATGGTACCAAATGTTAAAAAAGAAGAAGTTAAGAATATCGATTTAGAAAAAACTGTAGATGTATTTGCTGGACTTAGAAATGGTATTCTCTTAGATATCCTCTTCATAGTCATATAAAATAATTTGTTTTAGATAGATTTAATAGATGGCATATTAGTTAAAATAAATTTTAGTATTGAAATTTTTGATTTCAGTCAATCCGTTTACAAGATATTCCACTTTTAAGTCTGGGTTAGAGGAGAGTAGTGAAGTATCAGTTGTGTGGTAGTGCGGCGCGTGACGAGTGTTAATACTTCTCTCCTTCAACTCAAACTTAAAAGTAGAATATCTCGTCAAAAGCTTGACAGAGATCAAAAATGTCAATACTAAAATTTATTTTAACTAATATTTATGGACATTTTAATATAGGTTGTCATTTGAAAATTAAAAGTAAGTAGTGGTTTAACCCCCAAAAATAAGGGTGACAAAAAATAACCTTTCCGAGATAATGAGGGTACACACTTAAATGGATCACTTAGTATATTAAAGTCTATTTGGTAAATAAAAATAAAAGAAACATGTTAGCTGTTAGTTAATTGTATTAAATTAATTATAGTTAAATTATTTTACATTTATAATTATTATAATAAAATGTTGTTTACATTATGTTGAATATATACAGTATATGCACTATAGTCTAGTGTACTTAAATAATATTTAGTATTAAATTGATACTTTTCGAAATTTCGTTATTACAAATTTGTCAACCATTTGATAAAAATCAAATGATCTCAGTATAACACTTCCAATACTTAAAAAATCAACCCCTGATCATCTAAGTCCGTGAACTATTTTTTTTATTATATATTTTATTTTTGAAAATAATTGATCAGTTACAGTACCACTACATTTTGAAACCATCAAGACTAAATACATACGCAACACTATTTCTATGTTAGGAAAGTTTCATTATAAATTATTTTAGTTAATAATACATATTACCTACTACTATTACCTACTGGAACTCAAAACCCGCTAAATATTAGGAACCGGAACCGAATTTAAATATTTTCAAATAACCGAAACCGGAACCTGTACCCATATTTTAAAATTGAAACAACGGGTTTTACATTAATAAATTATTTTGTTTTTCCTCAGTGGTTTATGCTCAATTTATCGGCTATAATTCTTATACCACAGATTAAAATACGACTGCGTTGATACTTTATTTTTATTTTTGATTAGAGCTGTTTATTTTTTGTGAAATCATGATAAGTAATGTTATGACTTATGAACTCTATTTTTGTATATTTAAATTAAAATAAAAATAATCTATAGGTACTAATAAGTTACAATGGTATACTATTATTTTATCGACTACTGTCAATAAATGAAAAACGCAGACTGTTTCGGGAGCGAATTAGGGTTTTGTAATACATCAACATACCTAATGGTTTATCTATTGTTCAAACAGCTGCATCAGATTGTCAAGTTATAGGATCATTGACAGAAGACTGTATAAGGAAAAGTCGCCCTCGGTGAGCACGAAATCGTCATCCCCAGGCCTTTTTCCCTCACATAGGGAACATGAGAAACGCCACTTAACCACCAAGAGGCCTTGCACGAATTATATAAAAATATTTTTGGAATTATTTAATACTGGTTTTAACTAGAACCCTACTTTAAACTCCTAAATTAATTTTCAAAACAGAAACCCGAACCAGAACCTCTTAATAAAATGATTAAGTACCGAAATTGTAAAAACTAAAATACATACCAGTCCCTAATATTAATATGCCAATTGAAAAATAATAAATAATAATATAATTTAATATAAATGTATCATATTTTATTTAATAAAATAATAAAGTAACAACAAAATTATTAAATATAACATTTTATTTGATCCACTAGTATATGTGATTAAAAAACGCTTCGATTATTTAGTTATTAGGATTATTATTATTAGTGAATTTGCACTAAAAAAAAAAAAACCATTCAGTTAAAAATAGTGTCTAAAACTTAATTTATAATTCAATTTTAAATTTTAATACACTGTCATGAAACAAATTTTAAACATACTCTAAGGCCCTGATTTTTTAAAACGAAGTAAGTACTTGTCCTGTCTATCTCCAATCATAAAAAAGTTCACAGTATTTACTATTTTACTAACCTGTGGGGACCTGACATAAGTCGAATTTTGCAGGGGCTTTGAGGCCTTGTCCCTTGGCCCTAAATCCGGCCCAGCATATATTATAAAATCAATAGTTAGTGTTAAACTAATATACCCAACTATTCATTATGCTTTTAAAAAAAATTATATTATAAAGATAAGTAGGTTTGGATAATTTGGATAGTTTGGATGATTTATATTAATGGAAAATTAATTTGATACACATTTTTAGCCACATGCAGTTTGTTAAGGCAAGTTCTTTAAAAATCAAATCTTATTCTATATTTAGGTTGTTTTAAATCTATATTGATAAATGTTTCATTTGTATAGTATTTAATGATAATAATTAGGTGCCTACCCATATAATATACCTATATGGTTACATACAAAATAATATTATATTATATACTATTTAAAAATTACCGTTTTGACTGGGGCCTGGCTTTTTGTCTGTATGAATGGTGTAGTTATTAATTATACTTTGATCATTGGGAGTTTCATTTGAAGAACTCGAATTTTCATAACCCATCATTGAATGATAATTTAATAGTTCTCAGTTAGATAATATTTAGATGACTACTATCTACGTACCTGTATATTATTTATTTATTATGACTTTTATAATAGATATTCTAATATCAATTGTATTGTTATCAATAATGCAATGAGGAGTTGTAACTTAGAAACCAAAAAAATAATAAATGCTTATAGATTATAGGTACTTAATTGAGAAATAATTTGAATCGATTGATGATTCATTTAAAAATTATTTTGGTTCTAAATAATGCCAACACATTTTATCAAATATTTTATCGATTAAAACTATGTTATAATAATAATATATTAGTTGGTCTGTTGGTCTTACATCTTCTTCTCTATCATCTTCATCTCAAATTCTGGACATTCTCGTCTTAAACTTCCACTTGGCCCGATTCCTCACATCTTCCTCGCATACACACACCGTTCTCGTATTCTCAATCGCATCCAATCACTTTTTTTTTTTGTCTTGTTCTCTCCCACTACGTTTATATTTTCATTACAATTCTTACTTTTTCTGATTCCATTTTTCTCATGATATACTCGAACCGTATTAGTCTATTTTTCTCATTTTGTCGCTAACAACATACACTACTACTAGTATAAAATCTTAATCTCACCTAAGCTACCCTATACGTACTCATTCCCGAACATATTTTCTATTGTTACTCCTTTCATCCAGCAAAGCATTCTCATCCCTGTTACATTTTTCTGTTTACTGCCCAAGATGAATGGGATGAAGGCGAAGGAGAAATATATATAAGCATATGACCATATGCCAATCCTATAGGTATTATTATTTGGTAATAATATTTAAAATGTAGGTAAATACAAGATTCCTTTAGATGTATAGCCATATTATTATAAAATGTAGTATAATAGTACCTATTATATACATATAATTTATTACTATAATCTATACTCTATAACACTGTCTAAAACAATACAAGATAATGGCACTTAATTAAACTTCGTACCAAAAAATCAGTTTATTGGTAGTTGGTGATAAATTATATGTTTGGATCCTCCTCCCAAAAAAAATCCTAGCCTGTAGGTTTTAATAAAATTAAATAATAATAATTCACTTCAGTTCAATTTTGATAAATCTACATTTCTACAATTTAAAATTAATAATAGCCCTATTTTAGAATTTGATAAGATTATTTGGCATGATAACTTCTGTAATCCTGATACCAGCTATTATAATTGCCCTGATATTAATAGGGCTAATTTTATAATGTATATAGGTCGATATTTTGATGATCCCTTAAAGTAGGCCATTAATATTGATAAATTAATAGCTCATTTAAGGAAATTATTTTATATTTTTAAACCACTAAAAAAATATTCTGTGTAATAATCTGATACAAATAGTTTATAAAGCACAAATATATAATACAATTTATTTAATAAGCCGAGACTCTATTATCTAGTATCTTTTTATATAAAGAATGAGGAATATTTTTTAATTTTACTTCACTTCATTTAAATCATGTTTGTCCGTTATAATTTAAGTATAAACATACAATTTAATATATAACTTTAACAATCCATACTCATAATACTCGTTTTAGAAATAATATTAATTTACCTATGTATTACTAAGTTAAAAACAACATTCACTCATTCTGGATCATATGTATTTGTGAAATTTTGTATTAAATTTAATGTTAATATTTTGGACTTTTATGCGTCGTAGACGCCAATAACTTCAAAGTTAATAACATTAAATAAAAACGCAATGATTTAATAGGCGGAACTTTAACACAGTTGTCCACTAGTGATCGTGTCACACGATCACTAGAGAAAACCCCGTTTTATTTTCTCTTCCTTCTTTTTATAAAAAATAATACAATTTGTTTACATCTTATGCTCTACTTAAATTACTTGCTTCATTAAAACATTATTTGTATTTTTGATGATTGTTTATTTTTGTGACATCGATTTCGTTTAAACATATAGGTAATGAAATACTTATTAATATTTACTAAAATATTGCAATTGCGTATTACTACAGTTCCCGTTGTTAATAAATAAAAGTTTTTTCTAATTTTTTTATCTATTTTACAAGCTAAAATTATGAATACCTAACATTTTGTTCATAATAAATATCTATTTTACAAAGAAAATTTACTTGCACAAGTTTAATGTAATAACATTTAGTCTAAATTTTCAATTTCACAATGTTTTTTTTCAATTTTACAATTTGTTAATTCAATGAATAATAATTCAATTTCAATCTCAGATATGTCTGTCTTTATGAAACAAAGAGAGAGAAAAATTTAACCTTGTATATTTAGTAATTGTATTACAAAGAAATTGATTTTGATTTAACATTTTTATTAAAAATAATAATATTTTAATTAAAAGCCACTTATAGTCACTTCTTAATCGATTAATAATAAATTATTGGAATTCGGTATTTTTATTTAATTGTGCAAATCGATGGCACAAATTAATTAAAAAAATAAATATATTTGTCCCTTCTTTTTTGTTTTAAATATTATATTATGATTTATAGGACTATATGTACTGATGTACATATAGTAATATATATATATAATATATATCAACACATGTAATTAATATAAATATGGTATTAAATATATGCGTTATAGGTATAATATAATTTTGTTTTGAACTACCTATTCAAAAACCTGATTATATTTCGTTAATAATTTGTATTTTGCAATTTTCTTTAATTTATTTAGTAATACCAAATGGCATTCTTCTTACAGTATTTATTCTGTTATAATGTACTTACATACGTGTACATAAATACGAGGGCTAATCAAAAAGTATCAAGACTGGTAGTGTCATTCGGAAAAGCAGCATCGAAGAGCAGTAGGATTGATATCACTTGCTTCTATGACTTTTTCTGAGTACATTTGTTTTTATTGCTTCTCTATAAAATTCTTCGGTTTGATTTCACTGATATTTTTGTAAAATATATTTTTCGAGTTTGGCGATTTTTTAATAAACCCAAAAGAAGAGTAACTTGACAGATTTGGAGATTTTAGAAAATCTGTCTGCATTTTTTTCCAGTTTCAGAGGGATGCAACATTTCGTGGTTTTCGCCATTAAATGTCAATTGAAAAACTGAAAATGTGCCCTCGAGTGGCAGCAAGTTCCGCTTCTTTTGGATTCATTACAAAATCGCCAAACGTGAAAAACAAATATTAGAAAAATACCGTCAAATCAAAACGAAGAAGTTTATAGAGATTTTATACGAATAGATGTGCTCAGTATAAGTCGTAGACGCTAGGTTTACAAATCGTTTTGCTCTTCAACGCTCGGTTTCCGAGTAATATTATCAGTCTCGATACTTTTTGATTAGCTCTCGTATACATAATATATTTTTCTTTTTTAAATTTAAATTAATTTTAACATTAGAGGAAAAAAAATATCCTAAATACCTACATAAATTAAATCAATTGCATTTCTCTGTGTGGCAAATAACACAAATAATGTGTATATTATCTAAAATTTTTATTTTTATTTTGAATTTTTTGTTTTATTTTTCCCTGCGTTTTTAATTCTATAATAGGTATAGCATATAATTTTACCAATTTAAATTTTTGTATTTAAGTGTATTAAAGATATCTGTTAGTTATTTAATTGTTGAAAATTTTGATTTCTAAATTAAGCATATCACATGTCTCTAAAAAGATTTTATATATTTGTTAACTGGAAGGAAAAAGTTTTATTTTAATTTGAATATGAATAGTTTTGAAAAAAATTATAATAATAATAATTATTATTATTATTGGGAAATAATATGGGATAAATATCACAGAAAATATATAGATTAATTTACAAAAACTTAAAAAAATAAAAATAAATTATTAAAAATCAGTATATATAATAATACACATATATTTCAAATATAAAGATGGTAAAAATATAATAAATCGCTCCAGCCAAAAAAAAAATATTTATATATATTTTAATAAAATCAAAATATAACCTCTGAAAGAAAAATAAATCAATTTTCCGGGAAAATAAATATTCTAACCCATATATCATCCCAAAATAAGAACGCATGGAAGTCTATCTTAGAGATGTATCTACCTATATATCCCTCGAGAGAAAAAAATAAATACAAGATATAAAACTTCTTAGTAGAACGCGTACAGTCACGAATACACAATTTTCCTCTAAAACTCACTTTTACAAAAAAAAGACACACAGACAATAATTATAATTTCACATTCTACTGTTTCCCTAGATGTTAGAAATAGACTATTTTCGTACTTAAACGTAATAAAATCTGCAACAAGATCTTTTGTACCTCCCACAGTAGTAACAATTTATTTGTATGTGTTAGTCGAAATTTGATAAAGTCCAATTATAAAAAAAAAGCCGTTACTGGGAACGGGTGAGGCCACTATTATAGGCGAGTAGTAGAAAAAAAGGTGGGATTCATTAAGTTATTTAATTGATACCATTAACAAATGATGATACATATATATTCACCATTATATGATACACCATTAATAACAAAAAACGATTTGGAGTTAAGTATTATACGTATGTTTACTGTACCTTTGTATACATGTTTTGAAAAGCCGTAATATTTACGATTTTCTTAAAAATTTGATTTTAACAATCGTTTAGGAAAAAAAAATACTATATTAAACAATTTTTTTTAACCACTAAGTATGACTTGTATCAAATTTTCAAGCATTTCTTTTCAGTCAAGCAATTTATCTACGGAGTAACTACCAATTAAAATGCGTAAAAAACTCTCAAAATTAAAATGTGTATAGCTCAAAAAATTGATCATAAAAATTTAACACAATAGATCACTTGATATTTTTCTACTAGAGCGATATTTGTTATAGAAAATATAAACCGTAATAATTTAAAATAATGAAATAGTGCCGTAATTTAAAATAAATATTATATTACGCATTTTTTTATTTTTCCTAATTATTATGAAAAATACTTTAAATATCAAAAAATAACTTTCTCTGTCAGTGTCTAAATGTTTTAAAAGAACAAAATCGGTAGGTAAATTACATTCCGAATAATTTTCTATAAAAAGTGAATTCAGTCCTAATTGTGATTGAATTTATGTGGTTTATTAACGCTGTATTTGGCAGCGTTCCTTTTAAAAAGTAATTCGTTCCACTTCCTCGTTCTTTTTAGATTCTGAGTGGAACGAGGAATATATTGGTTTTACAATGTTTATTTTTTTTTTTTATGTGAATACTTTTTTTACCGGAAAACATACTCTGTTTATCAAGTGTAGCAACTTTTCTAAAAGGAAATGTACTTTGGGTGATACTTTAAAGAGGTAGTTTTTTTTAAACTAACATTAATATTCGACATAATGAGGGAAACGTCAGTCTTGAGGTTAAAAAAGATTTAAAGTTTAAAAAAAAGATTAAAAACCTCTATTACCTCTCTAGTTGAGCCTATGACAGTGACCCATCTGTCCCCAGTATCAGCTCTCTTTTTATTGTTGGCTGTGGTCTGTATAAGTATAAAATATAAATAAGTAACATCACGTACTAACGCTACTCCAAAATATTTAACACTACCGGTTGCGATGTAGTGGAGAGAGAACGTCGCTGAGTAAGGCAATATCGGAATTCATGGTGCCGTTTGCAGCAGCATGTTTTGACGGCATAAAATTTACATTTGTCCATTAAAATTATTTTATTCGGGATAAAACCGAGTGGGTCATTTTAAACAAAATATTCACAATATTATAACTACAAAAGCAGTTAGTCAAATTTGAAAAAAAAATAATATAAAAATGATATTTCATAATCATCCTTTTTTAATGGTAAAAAGTTAGTTGCTCAACTATAACTACTGTCCTAGTGGTTCTTTTCCGCGCAAAATGATTTTTACTAACAAATTTACAGAGGTATACTCTTAAAATTATCTTAACACTTAAATTATATTTAATTGCTGTTTTCAATCTAATTTTGACTAAATTGATCAATAATAATATAAATAATGAGGAACAAAATTAAGACGTTTTATGATATACAATCGTCGTGGAAGTCATACTATTAAAAATTATTTTTACAGATAGCCTTCTTATTTTAAGTAATAATATAGTATGAAAATAATAATATTAATAATTGTATAGAGATTTTAAATGAAACAATTTCAGAATTCTCTTACTCTGCTCTTGAATATTATGAATATATTACTATTTCCTAAAATGACAAAGAGCTCACTAAACTTTCATATAATATCCATAGTAATATTAATAACTTGAACAGTAAAGATGAATCAAGTATAAGATATATATAACAGTGATTGTGATTCCAAATATATTCCACCTATAGACATTAATTTATCAGAACAAAATGAAGTAAGTACCTAAATAATCATAGATGGGCAAAATACCTAGCATTATAGGTGTATATATTTTTTATTATTAGATACCTTTTAAGGATTTTAAATTACTTCTAAAATGTTCTAAAGACTTCTAAATTATTGTAATGTAAGACCATTTTGTAATTCATGAATTAATAAAACATAAAATTATAAGCTCATAATATTTTATTGTTATATTATATTGAAAATGTAAAATTACATTTAAAACATACCCATCACTATCTGGAATACTATTCGGTTATAATACATTAAATTTGACTATTTTTTTTTTTTTTTTAAAACTCTATTTAATATTAGTCAAGTGATAGGTAATTAATAACTATAAATTGTTGAACATAAGGTAGAAGTCTAACTACAACAAATAAGAAGAAAACACAAATAACAAGAAAACGTACTAGGAATAATTTTGAATGGATTGATGTTAAGACAAATTCAATTATTAATATAACAATACATACACAATGGTCTACTTGTATATTTTCATTTAATTTTAAATTAAACTCATAAAAACTAGATTTGTATTCTAAATATTTTATATTTACCAAAAACATTTAGCTTTATTTAATATATCACAACTTTCAGTGAACTTCTCGCCTCCTTTTAAATAAGGTGGTGTGAATTCTCTGTAAGCAATACAAACCCTTCTTTCTAGAATATCTTCTCTGAGTATACAATGTTCCCATAAATATCTAGGTTTTCCATATAAAACTAAAAGTGATCTTCTTGGCATTAAAATTCGAACAACATCAACTGGATAGTTAGCATTGTTTTTTGAAATAGGCGAGCATTCAATGTTTGGAATATAGTCTATGTTATATTGGTTAGTGTACTTAATGTGATGTGGAGTTAATGTAAGTACAGTATCTGCTTGTAAGCTTAATGTTACAATTCTTTCACCCCAAATCCAACAATCATCTACATGAGGATCAATTGACGCACCTGATTTTGGATTATATTCTAATGAACACTGCTCTATTGTAAAAAAGTTTTTCATAATTGGAATTTTTACAAAACGGTCTTGGACGAATTTTGTGGGCGATGGAAAACCACTGAAATTGCCCATTGATAATCGGCGTTTTTTAAAGTTGCACTTTGGCCCAAAGTTCTAAAATGTATTTAACTTTAATAAAATTCAAAAAATGCAAGTCATCTAAAAAATAACATACTTGTTTTCTACGACCACTTTGTGATATATCCCAAGGAATAGCATCTAAATTGTTTATGAGTACTTCTTCTTCTTTTTCAGAGATAAAATCATGTTCAATGAAAATTCCATCTAATTTGTATGACATACCAGTATGATTGGGATGGTTTTTATATTCATTTGCATCCCAACCACTCCATAATAAATTGCAGAAAGAGCAATAAGAAGCAATAGCTAATTTCTAAAATACAATTTTAAATAGATTATTTGAATTAATCGAACAATTATTTTTTAAATTATTATTTTTATATTAACTTTTAAACTTTCAGCATCAACAGTAGGAGTTAAATTATATTCTTTTTCACATACAAAACAAGTTCTAACTCCTTTGCATCCACATAATTGTGATCTGTCCATCTAAAACATTTCCAAAAATGTATTATAAGAACAATAGTAAATATTCTTCAATTTATTCTTTGCTTCAGAAAATCATTTATGTATTATAATGTATGGTAATACAATTCCATATAAAATAATTATATACAATACACATATACTATAAAATATAAAGTAATTTAATAGTAATAAACCAGTCTTAATAGGAATAGAATTTATAATTTAAATTAGTTAATTTCATATAAGACAAATTATCACTATTAAATTTTTTGAATCAAATGAACTACATTTATTTGAATATTACAGTAATAAATTGTAATGCAAAGATAATACAAATTCAAAAAGTTAATCCTTTGTCTTTGTACATGATATTTTTAAAATTTTTTACCCTAAAATAAATAATTTTCTTACAATAAAAAGTTAGTAACATATAAAATACATTGACCTAATAACTATTAGATCATTACGTTTAAACACTAATCATCCAAATAATATAGTATATAATATATTAAAATGTTTAGTACATAATACAAATACTATAATTGAACAATATTATATTTTATTCAAAAAATTACATTCTTACTTTTAAAATTATTTTAACTAAATTAAATAGTCAACAGACAAAATTTGAACATATATCATTTCAATTATAATTACTGCATACTTATTGATGTAAGAACTAATAGATACATACCAATACAAAATATTTTGATAACATCTAATTTAATATTTTAATAAAACCTTAGTAATTCATGGAATTTGATAGTTAATTAAATTAAATCTAACAGTATACAAACTAATAACTGTTTAAAAAAATATCATTATGATTATTAAGGTATCTTAAGGTATTTAAACTTTTAACTCATAAATATTGTTTCCTTTTTTAATTATAATTGCTTCATTGTTTAATAACTCCACTACATTATAAAAATCTAAAGTAGCAATGTTTAATTGTTTTGATAATAACTTCATTTGATCTATACTAAAAAGTCGTTCTGTTTTACCATGTTTTAGTAATTCTGTTAACAATTTTTTCGATTGGGCTCGAATACCAGTTTTTTTTATACTTTTCTTGAATCCAAATCCACTAAATTCATCACATTGAGTTTTAACAAGACTAAAATTAAGTAGTTCAATAATTTCATATGCATCTTTTGCAGTTACTTGTTCTCTTAGTTCAACCTTGGCACGTGCTTGTGCCAATCTAATACATGATTCTAATTGTCTTATAGTTATAGGAATACCATAATTTAAATTATTAGAACGAAGTTCAATAAAAAATTGTTGTAACATTTCTTTAGCTTCATTTGACAAAGTTGGTGATGAAACATATTTTCTCGCATATGCTATATATTTACGCAATTCTGATTGAGAGATATATTCACTGTCTTTACTAAATTGTGATAATCTTTCTTTAAGTGAACTGTTCATTTTTGAAGAACATTCAATATTTTGTGTTTGCTTTATCTTATTTGAATGTATATTAAGCACATGTGCTGTTAGCTTTTTATCAGTTAATTCATCAGGTGTATCTATAAGTAAAAATATTAAATCAAAACGAGAAAGCATTGCTTGACTCATTTTCAAATTATCTAATACACTTTTATCACAGTTATAATGGCCACTAATTGGATTTGCAGCGGCCATTATAGTAGTACGACATGGTAAAGAGCAAATTACTCCACCCTTAGCAATGCTTATTGTCTGTTGTTCCATTGCTTCTAGCAAGGTATTATGATCTTGAGTCATTTTATCAAATTCGTCAATACAGCACACGCCTTGATCAGCTAATACAACAGCTCCAGCTTCTAAAGAAAAATCTGTACCTTTTTCTCTAGTTAAACTAACAGTTAGTCCAGCTGAAGAACAAGTACTTCCACAAACAAACACACCCCGTGGAGAAATATTGCATACCGACTGTAGCATTTGTGATTTACCAAGACCAGGATCACCAATGACTAAAATATGAATATCTCCACGTGTCTGATTTAGATAACAATTACTTCCACCAAATAGTGAAAGTAACATACCAGCTTTTACCATTTCATGGCCATATATACTTGGACATAAAGAGTTTACCATACATTCAAAGAGATAAGGTTTTGAATGAAGTTTTTGGATACAGTAATAATCTCTCATTGTAAAATGAAATTCTGTACTTGTAATTTTTCCTTTGGATTGATTTTTATTGTTTTGTATGGATATTACTTCAATATATTGCATAAAAATATTTGATTCTTTACTCACAGAATTTAGTTTGTTAGAATTGCATAATTTTTTTTTTACAATACCTGTAATAGTTATAACATCTCCTGGAATACAAGTATAGACTAAATCATTTGTGAGTTCACATTCAACAGTTCTAGGTACTCTACCACTTTCTCTGTGATCATCATTTTGTAATTCTTGAACTCTAATAGTTTGACAGTTGATAGTTTGAGTAAGTGGCGAATTTCTACAAATAGAAAATGAACGACCATGACATTTATTATGGTTACATTGTTTTGGTTTAGTAAATATACCATCAGGTTGTTTAATATTTTGAATTGAATAACAAGTATTACAAGAAAATGCTAACCATGAACATTGAAACTTTAAACAGCTGGCTTTTATAACAGTTCCATGAACTAAAATTAGTCTTCCATCTGTTTCAGCTTTTAAATGTTTCAAATGAAAGAGTGGACCGAAATTTATAATTCTAGGATGTATCATTGGTAAATCTTTGAATATAGTACAGTTATTTTGAACATTTTTGTTTAACTCATCCAATGCATACTGATGAATAGCTAATCCTAAACAACCCAGTGTGTAATTTGGTCGATGTGTTAAATCATCCCAGAAGTTTTCCCAAATTGATATGAAATCTTGATCTTGGTTAAGAGATTCAACGTTTAAAAGATAAGATTTATTCTCTACGAGTTGTTCAATAGACATATTTTGTTCCAGTTTGTTTAAAAATGACACAGAAGCTGAAATATATTTTACTGTTAAGCTATCTTTATTATACATTTCATTGGGAAAATAAAGTTGCCATTTGTGAAAAGGACATTCTTGAAGATATTCAACATTAACATTAATATCGCATTCATTAATTCTATTATTTATTTGATGATTATTCTTTTTGTACTTTTTCCAATGACCACAGCCTGTCCATTTAATTTTGTTAGGGTTACTCATAATAGTATTTGAATTTCACAAAACTAACTGAAAGTAATAAACATACATTTATTACTTAAATGTTTAAAAGTATGAAACAAATTAATAAAGAGAAAACAAGAATTCCAAATTGATTGGGTGTAAGATAGACCCAACCACATCAGCATAACTGTTACTTTGTGCTTAATGTTACTTTTCTGTTATAAAAATAAGAAGAAGAATAATATATATTTTATATTAAAATCTGTAAGTTGTAGCATAGAAAAGCAAACAGTTAAACAATATATATATATATAAAAAAAAATTACAAATAAACAAAATATATTATACAAACATATTTTTTGTTCAATAATTCTGAAATTCAAACTTTAATTTTGAGTAAGTAATACAATTAATTAAATACACTTACTTTGGAAATACTAATTAAATTTTATATTTAAACAAAAAAATCACTGTGACTGAAAAAAACTGTTACAATAAAATCTTTGAATCTAAACACATTTTAGACAATTGAAGCAGTTGATGATTAGTGTGATATCACAGAATTCTGTACTTCAATGATAAACTGGTGAATGGTAATATGATGTGATTTTAATTATGAAAAATTAAATAAGTGTCAGCAGAAAATGCCTTATGTATAAAATGTATATATAATTATTATGAAGACTAGAAAAATTCTAGTTTTCATGATTATTACTCCTGATAATAAAAAAACGGTTTTTCACTAATAAAATGAACGGTTCTTATCAGTTATTATTACCTGCCTACCTGGAATAAACGACATAGTTACCTTATTAGTTATTAGAGACGGCTATTTAAAAATATATAACTAGGTTTTAATGATTGTAGACATAAAAAAAAATAATATATTAATATATTATATTTCAACATTTTCTCCAATTTATATTAATTGCCAGTTAGAGTTAGATGTTAGTAGCAGTGTGCCTAATTAATAGTAACTGCAGTAACAACTGCTAAAATCAATTATCAATCTACAAGGTGATTTTTTTAACATGAACCAACTCAGAGGATTTTAGGTGAATTTGATTTCTGTTATTTCTTATCATTATGGAATCGTTTAAGCTTTATTTTTGATGTTCGGCGCCATTTTTTAAATAAAAGCACTTAAGTAGGAAAAACCGTAAAATGTTACGATTTCATTATTTTATAAAAAACGGACGACGTTTACTACCAGTAAAAATCAAATTTAAACGAAAATCACAAAAAAAATTACAGCACTTCAAATTATGTATGTATTACCGAATTGCGCTCGGATTCGTCTTTCATCAAGCAATGGTTTATCGTTGCTTACGGATATAAATGAAATTACCTAATGTATCCCACCTTCCCAACTTTTCACCTACAACAGTGGTTGCGCTCATCCCCATTATCAACTCTTTTTTTTTTTTAATTTTAAAAATACATAATTTTTGTATTTTCTTGCAATACCGTTAAAATGTGTAAGAATTTTCTCCTAAGAAGCTTATTTTTTCTTAGATTTTAAATTTATTCAAAACACTTACATATTTGATTGTGAATTAATTCGGCCGTTTCTTTGGGTAGGTTTTAAAAGTTCAAAATATCATTTTTAACTCCATATTTTGTATTAAAGTATCTAAAGGTTAGGTTAGGTTAGGCTAACAAATGGTTTGTGTTAAACGAGCCTATATTATCGGTCCTCGGCTGTCAGAAATTTTCGACAATTATTAATTTTATCATTGATTATAGTATTTATAATTAATGTTTTTAGTTATTCACGCATGACAACAATTTGGGACTAATTTTAAGAAACCGGTACTTATCCATGTCCCAATAGGAAGTTGAAAAATGTCGGGACTGTTTAGTAAAAACTCGTAGTATCCCGGTGAAATTGATATGAAAAAATAAATTATTTGATTTCTTGGTTTATTTTGTCATAGCGAAATCGGGACGAATGGCAACCCTCACCGTGTATCACATTTTTCAATCACTAGGTATTCAGAGTTGCCAGATGTACGAAAATTTAGACCATTTGTACAAGGTACGAGGAACATTATTCTCGTACACGTTTTATACTAGAAATCCATGAAGATCTAAATGTATTTATTTTTTTATTTAAAAGTTTTCAAGTTGTCCAAAAATGTAGTTTGACATTTTTTTCTAATCTTTTATAATATTAAAATATTCTATCAATATGTGTAATTTTAGAATTTTTATAAAATTTAATTAATAATGAAGATTGTATTGACTATGACGAAATAGATATGCTACTCAGATTTGTTAATTCGTGAAAATAACCCATTTAAATTATACAACACAAAGTTAAAACCACGGTTAAATATACAAAAATAAAATCATAAACTAATAACCACGACTTAAGATATTTTCATATATTTTAAATTGTGCTAATAACCATAGATTCATTATCCTATATTATTTATGTAGCACTTACTACCACTGAACTAATAATACTATAGTACACTATAAAAAATTACCTATTATAGTAAGTGCCGAGTAGTGGTAATTGGTAACCTTTATTCTATGGTGACAACTGCAGGTAATTGTAAATACCTTCTAAATACTTTTGTTGTTATTTGTAAATATAAAGTATTAAGATAATTGTATAATTTAATGAATGAATTAAATAATGTTGTTTTTGTTTTATTTGTCCTATTTATCCCAAAATAGTATTTAAGTTTTTAACACACTAGTTGTCCCACCTGGTGTTACCGGTGTCAGTATAAAGTTTAACATCATGCTAAATTATTTTTTTTTTTTTCACCATAGGTATAAAACAATTAAGATAACTGATAATGAAGATCACGATTTCAGGGAGCGATAATACTTTAGCGGGATACACCAAGACACGAGGTTTAATGATAAAGTAATAAAGAAACGTTTATTTACGACATAACAACATTAAACAAGTGCTCGCCAGCTGACTGCTTGTAGCGCGAGAACAGGCGAGCACGCATTTATTAGAACAAGATAAGTGGTAAAAATCAATTATACATGATGGGTCGGAGTCGGAAAACAATGTTTTGCGAGCGGCGCCGGTGCGAAGAGAGCGAGCGGAGCGGTCGAGACGTCGAGTCGAACGGAGCTGTGGCCGATGACTATTGAACGCCGACGGCGAGGGGAGTGTCCGACGTCCGCCGCGAGTGACGCGCAGCGGGAAGCAGAAATGTTGCGCGAAACCCGCCACAATACTATAGATTATATTAACATGTAATTTTAATGAATTTGATAGCTACAAGAATAACTGTTGGCATCCCTGGTATTCATCATTCGCTTATTTTTACTGTATAGTATAGATCACACTACTTGTTTTGTGTATATACCATATAAACATTATAATATACAAATATACTATAAATTGCCTTTGGAACCAAATGTGTCTGCCGTTTGCATTTCGTACGTCTCAAATATGTCACTGGCAGAAGAATTGCTTGCTGATCTGGAAGAAGATGGCTATGATGATAGTGAACCTATGATCATAGAAGATGAGGCTTCTCGTGAACTTCAAGACAATGCTTTGGTTCCAAAACAAACTGGTATTTTGAACAATATTTTATTAATATTATATATATCAAATTAATAAAATAATAATAATTAGTACTTTTTTGAATTTACTTATAGATTTTAAAAATGTTAAAATTCGGGATCTTGCTAAACTACGTGATTCAAAGCGCCTAATAGATATAATGCTACAAATAGATATATTTCAAAGCAAGCAACGAAATGGTGATGAAGTTTTAGGACCGTCCGAATCTGATCCTGAATATCTGCTCATTGTCGAAGCAAACAACTTGGTTGTTGAAATCGATGATGAAATTTGTATGATATTTAAAATATTTAATAGTTTAGAAATCAATTTTAATTGTATTGATTTTGTTTTTCAGTAATCATACATAAATTTGTTCGAGATAAATATTCAAAACGATTTCCAGAGTTAGAATCTTTAGTCGTTGGTCCATTAGAATATGTGCAAACAGTTAAAGAACTTGGAAATACTCTTGAACAATCAAAAAACAATGAAGTACTTCCAACATTTCTTACTCAAGCTACTATTATGGTAGTTTCTGTAACTGCATCAACAACTCAAGGGTAAACATATTTTTAATTATTTTATATTTACTATTCATTGTAACAATTTGTACAGTTTCTAGTATCATAGACTAGTGATTATCTACAAAGATTTGGAGTATAATTGATTTTTATTTTTTCCGGTATTGTATTATGTAGATATTTTGAAAATTTTACTTTTGTTTCGTGTACAGTTATAGTGCTAATCAGTTTGACTATAATTGTCATATAACATTAGCAAATATCAACTACTGTTGGTTAAATTACAACCCATATTTTTTTGAAGCTCCGATATTCTCAATATTTTGTTGAAAAATCATGGATGTACTCTCAAGTAGTTAAAAAAATAAAAAAATGTAGATACTACTATTGGGTACATAAAGTTATTTATATCAGTAAGCAACGATAAACCATTGCTAACAAAATACTATTTTGAGCGAAGTTCAGTTTTAGTTATTTTGAAAATAGAGATTAAAATTCACCATCTAGTTCAGCAATTCCTAAAGTGTGCGTCCTGGGGCACCTCGGTGTCTGTACAGGGGTGCTGTGTGATCATTTTAAATATTAACTGGTTTAAATATAAATTTAAAACTCAAATAACAGCAAAAACGGTGAGGCCACATTCTTTTTTTTTATTGATTTTTCTCAAATAACACTTTTTCAGTTAGTAACTATTCTCCAAATTATTCACATTGTACATTGAAAAATGTGGATGTTTAGTAGTACTCCATTTAAAAAAAAAAGTCTAGATTCCTAATACTTTTTCTCTAAACTTAAAAAAAAAACTGATAACAAAATGTTGATACATATCAGTTTTATTTACCTCAGTTACCTTTGGCTAATAGTATTAATAACGCGACTGATGTTACTCTGATCAGAACAGGATTTGATTGCAAGGGTGCCTTTAGAAAAACTTAGTTTAAAAAGGGAGCCATAAGTCTAAAAAGTTTTGAAAGCACCAAACTAGTTGATATACTTTTATACTAAATGATTAAGGAAATTATTTAGAAAATATAAACATTTATATAATGTATTATATTTCAAATACCTGAATAAAATTAACCACAATCAGATTTTCATAAAATTTTATAATCATAATCCTGCAAACACTGCTTTATGATAAAACAAGTGATAAAATGAAAGATTATGTATCTATAGACTGTTATTATTTATTAATATCATCAGGTAGTTCAGATATAATATTACAGTAAACTTTGAATACTTCAAAATTCAGAAGAACGAGGTGAAAATTTGATTTATATAGGTTTTTGATTTAATGAGAGTTTGAGGTAAAATTCAAATTAAACTTTATTAAAACTTATATTATATATTTATTATTTAATATATTTTACATTTATTATTTTATCTAAGTACATATTATGTACCTTGCAATTTATGATTCGTACTACTCTACCCTCATGTACTTATAATATAATTTTAATAATAATACATTAAAAATTAATTTTGTATATGTTTAACATTATTCTTGTAAATGTTAGATCTGTAAATATTTTATGAAAATAAAATAAAATATATAATTTAAAAAAAAAAAATCATTGATAAACAATATGATTATAGTCTAGAAATAACAGCTATTTGGGAAATTATTACTGATATAGTGATATGCTATTATTATATAATCACTATCATTATTTTTTGATGTTAAAATGATATATTCTAGGTCTAGTACTAGTAAATTTGTATTATAAAGGTTTTGGCTAAAAATATTTAAATTGTAGAGTGCAGTCTCTTTATTATTCACATATTTATTTTGAATTATGGAGGTTTTTTTCAGAGGATCAAATGTTAAATTTAATTTATGGTGGTCTTCAAATAATTATGAGTACTTATTATGTAGCAATTTAATATTATTGTAATTTTACTATCCAAAATATATTAAATGGAAAAAAAATCTTGTATTTAACATGATTTGTAAAAACGTTAAACTAAAAAAACTAATTAAGCATCAATGAATTAATTATTTGTGTTTTCAGACAATTATTAAATGATAATGAACTTTTTGAAGTTCGTGAAGCTTGTGATATGGCTATTGATCTTAATAAGTTAAAAATGAAAGTTTATGAATATGTAGAAAGTAGAATGACTTTTATAGCTCCTAATCTATCTGTCATTGTTGGTGCATCAACAGCTGCTAAAATTATGGGTAATTTGTTTAAAATTTTCTATATTATTATAAATTTCTTAACTTATTTGTATTTATTAATTCATTAGGTGTTGCAGGAGGCTTAACAAATTTATCAAAAATGCCAGCTTGTAATGTTCTATTATTAGGCTCTCAAAAAAAACTTTTATCTGGTTTTTCACAAGTAAATGCAATGCCTCACACAGGTTTTATTTTTCATTGTTCATTGGTACAGAATAATCCACCGGTATGAAATGGTTATTAACTATTATATCTACTTTTTTTTTTGCCAAGTTTTAATTTCTTCTGTTTTTTAGGACTTACGTAGGAAAGCCGCCAGACTTGTTGCAACTAAAAGTACTTTAGCTGCAAGGGTTGATGCCGCACATGAAAGTATTGATGGTCATATAGGAATAATTTTAAAAGAAGATATTGAAAAAAAATTGGACAAATTAACAGTTAATAAATTATAATATTCATAATAATAAATTATATAACATAAGTATATTACTACAGTAAAACCTCCTTATAGCGGACCCCTATAAAGAGGAAAACAACAATGGTTCAGTGTAACTGGTATCCTGTATATTTTAATCTCTCTATGATGTAAACTCCTTTATAACAGAAAAATAAGTTGGTACTAAGCGATTCCAAAATGAAAAGGTTTTACTGTATATTCTTTTTAAAGATTGCCTTTTGCTGAAACTGATCATAATTTAGTCTGTCTTATAATACAAACATCTGCATAGTTTTTTTTATTTTAAAATCGTGTTTAGGTTCTATGTATTTTAGATTCTGTTTGAAGTGAGGAATGTATTGGTTTTACAATGATGTTTATTTATTTATTTTTTATACTATGTACAAAAATTCTACCAGGAATCTTGCTCCTAAATTCCCCTTTATATCCCAACTTCTCACTCACAATAGTGGCCCACCAATTATACAAAGTATGCTCTTTTTTTATAGCGAATATTAAACATTCAATTTAAATTTAGCTTTATTAACAATATAAATTATATTGCTATTTTATTTATGTTAATTATTTTAAATTACGTGTAACATTTCTAATTTTTACAGGAACCACCTCCAGTTAAATTTGTTAAACCTCTACCCAAACCAATTGATCCAGGTCGAAAGAAGCGAGGAGGTAAAAGAGTTCGTAAAATGAAGGAACGTTATGCTGTTACAGAGCTACGGAAACAAGCAAACAGAATGAATTTTGCTGATGTAAATGTTCAGTAAAATGTTTTTTATATTTTACATTTATTTAAACCAAATTTAAAATGTAGATTGAAGATGATGCTTATCAAGAAGACTTAGGATATACTCGAGGAACTATTGGAAAATCAGGAACTGGTAGAATTCGTCATGCTCAAGTTGATGAAAAAACTAAAGTACGTATTTCAAAAACACTCCAAAAAAATTTACAAAAACAACAAGCATGGGGTGGTGCTACTTCAGTAAAAAAACAAGTATCTGGTACTGCATCAAGTGTGGCTTTTACTCCTCTTCAAGTAAGTTATTATACATATATTTCTTTAATAATGATTTAAATAACATAAATGTTTCTTCACTCAATATAGAATGAAAAATGCCAGATTTATTTGTATATTAGTTTGTAAAGTTTTGTGTGCCTATTTTTAAAGGAAATGGTAGACTGTGAAAACAATAAAAAAGAAAAAATCAGTAGGCCCAGCTGGTAGAAGTAGCATATCTAAGAACCAATTTGGTTTTTTCTCAGGGAAATTGACAATGGAGATAGTGTTTTGTGTTAGACAAATTGTAAAAAAGTATAGAGAAAAGAGGAAAACCTATGAAATATAAAGTAATAAATATAATATACTAATTGTTTTATTTACAATGTTATGTTGATTAATGTTATGGTTTTATATTATCAATGATGTTATGTAAATTAATTAATCACGCATGTGTACTGTAACTCCCTACGCCACCACAAGCTTAGCTTAAAGGTGTAAGTAATTTTTGTTATTACTTAAATGTATTTATTTTAATAATAAAAAAATTTACACATTTTTCTCCAAATCGATGTCCCCCGCAAAGATAAACAGATCAAAAAAAAAATATAATATTTACAGCGCTAGAAAAATCCGTCAACATAGTGGGACACACTGTATATTATAATAAAAAAAAAAATTCATTTTCAAAATGTATACATCAATTTTTATCTTTTTTATGTTTTTATCAATTTGAAATGCAATCCAGTTTTTGGGTTTGTATTTTCTAAGTAGGACTGATTATATTTCATGGTTCAGAGTTAGGGGGGTTGAGAAAAAAATATAACAGAAAATGAGTGTAGCAAAAGATGGGATTGCTTGCTTAGGTGCATGAATGGAATGACAAGAGAAGATAAGATATGGAATGAATAAATAAGCAATAAATAGTAGTCAAAATGAGAGAAAATAGACTGAGAAAGAGGAATTGAAACCAATAATAATGGTAATGTAAATAAGCATAGGAGAAGAAAGACTAAAAAAAGGTGGATAATCCAATTCAGAATAAACGTACGACAGGTGTATGCAAAAATGATGTGAGAGATCGGGTTTATGAAGCTTAGGGTGAGAGTTGTCGACTCCAAAAAGTTTGTTTAAATGTGAAGAAAAACACTATGAAGTATTATTAAAGTACTACGTCAGAATAACTATTTCTGAATACTCTGAACAATGGTTTAATAAAATTATTGTACCTTAAAATTAGTTAATTTTGAAAATGTTAACTGAATAAATAACAAAGGTAAAAACCTGTTAAAAAAAGTGTTAAATATACAAACTCCAAATTATTATTTAGCTAGATTTCTTATCTAACACACCTTATTAAAAATATTTAGGTCTGTATGACCTTGTAGGCAAGGTTATTTAATAGTACTATAATATTATGATTATGTCTGGGATTTCAATGCATTTTAAATTGTTTTCCAAAGCTTACTGTACATACAATAAGCATTGCTTATTTTGCATTTTTTAACTAGTTATTTTTAATTTTTAAAGCCTAGCATGTGTTTCTTGTACTTTTTTTGGAATTTTATGAGGTATTCCTAGGCCTAATTATGATCAATAGTATTATATAACTTATTAGAATGTTTTATAACAAATATTCTTTATGTTTTAGGGACTGGAAATAGTTAACCCACAGGCAGCTGAAAGTAAAAATTCTGGTATAAGTTCTGCTAAATATTTTTCCAACACTGCAAGTTTTGTTAATGTAATAAATAATAAACAATAAAATATTTTGGTTTCTTTTTTTAATGTACAATTTTTTTTTTTTTTTTTTCATTATATATGATAACTTTTTATAGTGAAAATAAATTATACTATTATGCTACACTTCAAATAAACTATGCTCTGTATAACAAAGGTTAAGATAACATTTTACTTATTACCTATTTATTTTTGATAAGATAACAATGTTACAAATTAAACTACTAAATAGTAATTGCGTTATTCTATATAGTTAACTTTTAAATATTTGATGTTACTCAAGACTAATATTATTTAGAAATATTATTAACAAACAAACTATGCATTGCATAAATTCTAGATCTTTAAAGTATTTTAAGACTATCAACTATATTAATTTCAGTTCTAGGAAAACCAGTAGTTTTTTAATTAATGACAATAAATATTTGTTTCTTAAAACTCTTGGATTGACTGAAGAAAATGCTGGTGTATATGATGGAAAATGGAACGCAAATGGAAATGTTAGTATTACTTTGGCATCATAGAATTATTTAAAATATACAATTATTCCATAGGTTATTACATCATTTTGTCCAGCAAATGGTCTACCTATAGCCTCAGTGCGTAATGGAAACAAAGCAGATTATGACAGATGTGTATCTAATGCTCGTGAAGCTTGGAAGTATTGGTCAGATATGCCTGCACCGAAACGAGGGGAAATTGTTAGGCAGATTGGCAATGCATTAAGAGAAAAATTAGAACCATTAGGAAAATTGATATCATTAGAAATGGGTAAAATTATAATAGAAAACTTTATTAATAAGTGGTAAGCTAAATATTCAATATTTTAGGTAAAATTTTGGGAGAAGGTATAGGTGAAGTACAAGAGTACATTGATATTTGTGATTTTGCGGTTGGAATGTCAAGAATGTTTAATGGTTCGATATTTCCTTCTGAAAGACCAAATCATATTATGCTTGAACAATGGAATCCCTTGGGGCTTATTGGAATTATTAGTGCTTTTAACTTTCCTGTCGCAGTTTATGGTTGGAATAGTGCTGTATCCATGGTAATATTATGGTGATTGATAAAGATTTGACATTTTGGCTAAGTATACAATTAACATAATTATTTGTGTGGTTTATACTTAGTACAGATTGTGATTTTGCTAATCATAATGTGACATCTGTAAAGTATAATTTTATCAATAAATCATCAAAATATAATATTAATAAAAATTATAAATATATTTATAATTTAGAAAGTTAGGTAAGTACTTCAAAATTTATTCATATTTATTTTTATTCCCCTGAATTTATCAGGTAAAATTACATATGGAAATCCGTATACTTTAAGAATACAATTTAAAGGTTATTATGAATTTTAGAAAATGTGAAATTCAAATACACATTTTTCTTAAAAACTTTCTCTTATGACTTACAGTATTTTTGATTATGAGGGCAGTATATGTATATTATAGAATACCTTTTATATTGGTACTTGCTTTATGTTTATTTTCCATGGCTTATATTAAAATTTTAAATAATAAAATAGTATTTGATTTATTTTATTTTTCTTATAATTAAAATTCTATAGTTCTAACATTTCATACATTGTTTATATTTTTGTATACCCGTTTGTATTAATCATGTATTAAGCTTTTTAATTGGAAAATCCATTTTAAATTTAAATTTGGTTATGGGATTAATATGGTATTAATTGGCCTATGCAAATGTAACACTTTTTTTTTTTGCAACACTACACAATTTTGAAAATCTGTATATTTTTAAAAGTATCTAAACATTAAACAAAACAAATTGTAGTTTTTGTTGATATAATTTTATGATTAGCTACCATGTGTTGTTACACACAGGGCCATTTCAAGATTCATGTCAAGGAAAAATTAATGTGGAGGCCCTCTGACCATCATACGATATGATAAAAAAATACTGAGAATCTTGCTTGGAAATATATTTTTCCAAACCTTAACCAATCAAGCTTATTTAAATTCACCTACTGCACTAGGTACATAGTACATTTTCAACAACTTCTTAGCAATATACTAAAAAAAATACAATTTATCACTAGATGATTTTAATATTTATCGAAAATAATAACTCTGATATATACAGAATTAAATTATAGATTAGATAAATTAAGAAAATGAAAAAACAATTGTATTGTTTAATTATTTTCAATATAATATTACAATTTATACCGGAAAACTTTTTTTCAGCAAATCTATTACACAATCATAATCTACAGTCTTTGTTAATTTGTGTCCAGTAGAAAGTAGTATTAAATCATTTAGATTACGGTTCTCTTTTGTGGTTGACTGTAAATAACTTAGATATTGAGTGTAGCAATTCTATTGGTTAACTATAATGTGTATATTTTTTTTCTGTCCGTAAAAATGTTCTACCAAAAATTTTGCTCCGATGTATAGTATGTAGAACTTTTTCTGTAAGGAAATTTTTTATTGTTGTTGCATTAGAGAGGTATTTTTTAGATGTTTTCAAAATAATTGGGAAAAACTGGGAAGAAAATTATAGGTAAAATAGCAAATATTTACAGCACGCCACGGCTCCTCCAATTTTATTATTTTATTGGTTTTAATTTTTGCAAATTATGTTTTTTATCAGAAATATTGTTCCACTCGAAAAATTATAAGAAATCAATTTTATTCCTTTTAATATATAGCCATTGTCAAAGAAAGTGGTTTTTTGACACATATCTATTGTGCACATTATTAGTCTCTATGACTCATGCTCTCCATGGGTGATTATGAATAAATCATGAATAACTTGTAGTCACCGCGTCTGCCTGATGTAAAGAAATTTCAGTATTTTTATTCATATTTCTTCGCATACACCGCTTTTGCACCAGTGTACCACGACAACAATAAGTAATTAATAATATTTAATTATAATTTATAACTATTATTATTATCATTTAGAATAACTAAATGTTGCCTGTTTATATATTATTATAAAAAATAAGTCTACAGATACGAAATAAAATTGTATTATTGATACTTATAAATATAAAGATTTTAGAAGTTATAGTTTCGAATGGGTAACATCGAGTAATCCTAAATTCTAACATATGTATTATTATCTTATACATCAAGACTTTAATAGGTGGTATTAAAAATATTGCAAAAATGTTCCCATTGTTCTCCCTGCCCTATGAATGGCTCTAGTTACACATAGTAACAACACTTTATGGCAAAACAAAGGAGTACTTAAGTACCTATATTATCATAAATTACGTGAATCAAATCCATTGGCATTATTTCTTCACTGTTATAACCACCTTACATAAATGTCTACAATATAACTTCTGTTAAAAGTAGTCTATAAATAACAGTCACCTTTATGTAATGGTCATTTTTTTGATCTTGTCCTTGATAGGACACCTTTAAGGCTCTAAAGGACGGTCACCTCTATATAATAGTCTTTATTTCCAATCCCTTCGGTGACCATTATATGGAAGTTTTACTGTATAATATTAAATAACTTATAAAGTTTTTTTACTCTTCAAATAACACAATATTAATTTTTGATTTTTGTGAAGAAAAAAAAATTATAGATGCAAATCAATTGTTTATTAGATAGGGATCTACCAAGTTGGTGTATTGGTGGGTTGGAAAATTAAATATTTCACTGCACCACCAGAAATTGTAATCATTTTATACCGCTGTATAGGACATAGGCACTAAATTAAATTCAGCAACGTAAATTTAAAAAAGAACTGATACTTCTAATGAATGCACCACTGTTGTAGGTTGAAATGTAAGATACATAAAGTTCTTAATTATTTTGTATCTGTAAACAATAATAAACTATTGCTAGCAAAAAAACAATTCTGAATGAAGTTGGTTTTTATTGTTTGTTATTACGTTTATTATATGTGATTTAAATAGTCATAATATTTACAATTTTCATCAAAATGAAATCTTAAAATCATCATGAAAAAACGTTACTACATTTCCCTTATTTTATTTTTTTGTTTACAAAGTACAACTTATAATGAACCTCCTGTTAAATTTACAAGCATTTCTGTTCGGTTCAACAATTATATTCACTTACCTAGTACCAGTGGTGTTCCCATCAATTTATTTGAGAGTATCCTATAACATTCTGCGTTACATCTAGTTTTTTTATATTTGTTTTATGATCCAAAAATTAAATTAAAATATCCAAAATAGAACTGAAAATTTAAAAAAAAATTTAATTATTAACACGGATTATTGTAAACTATAAGAATATTGCGAATTTTTGGTTATAATTATCGAAATAAATAAAATGTGTAATATTATGGTTTAAGTGATTATAAGATGGTATGAACGGGCACTGATAAATATATTTTACAGCATGACAAATTTGTTTTTTTTTTTACATTTTTATTTGACTATTTTTACTATCAAAACTATTTTAGAGTAAATGCAGTATGCCCGTGATTTTTCAGCATTATGTCGAGAGTATACGGCGAATGTGTAGTTTACCCTATGGTAGTATCTTTATGGGAACATTACTGTCTAGTATTTATCAAATAAAAACTAGGCATGTAAAAAAATCGCAAACATAAAACGTGTATAAATAGTTCAAGAATCACCTAAATGCTTCGAACATTTTACCACTTCTAAAAATGTCAAATATATGTTATTTTGATGAAAATTTCAAGTCTTTGGGAATATTTTTAATTAAATTACAATAATAAAACAATTGAAAATAATGAAACCATTATTTCTGTAAACTTTTATGTTCTTTCTACGTTTTTTTTTTGATTTTGCATTATTAAAAAAAACCATACGGCGAATCAAAATTTTTTTTACTTACCAACCAAATTAAAAATATAAAAAATAAAGTAGAAATCAATAATGCCTCTGAGCGCAGTAAATATTGATTGTGTGATTTTTTATTTTTTTCAGTTATTTTGAAAACCTTTTAGGAAATCAAAAAATTACCTCCTTATTGTACATACTAGATAAAAAATGCAACTAATTTATCTAGTCACTTTTCAATTGGAGCAAGATTTGTGGTAGAAAAGTCATTTACAAACACAAAAAATACACAAACCAATAAATCCCTAGCTCCACTCCTAATAATATAATTACAGAATCTAAAAATCAAATTTGCCTCTTTATTTTATCATAATCATTATATTTTAGGTATGTGGCAATACAGTAATTTGGAAAGGGGCGCCTACTACTTCTCTTACTTCAGTTGCCACTACAAAAATAATAACATCTGTTTTGGAGAAAAATAATATTCCTGGAGCTGTTTTATCTTTATGCACTGGTGATGTTGATATAGGAGTATCAATGGTTAATGATAAACGAGTAAATTTAGTTTCTTTCACTGGAAGTAGCACAGTTGGCCAAAAAGTATGTACATAGTACCCTGACATAATTTACCGTACCTAGTACCTATTCTTTTTAATTTCCATAAACATGATGTTAAATATATATTTCTTCAGGTTGGTGTTGAAGTACAAAAACGATTTGGTCGTGTTTTATTGGAATTAGGTGGTAATAATGCTATTATTGTCACACCAGATGCTAATCTCGATATTGTATCACAATCTGTGGTTTTTGCTTGCTGTGGTACAGCTGGTCAGAGATGTACTACTACTAGAAGACTAATTTTGCATAAATCAATATATAATAGTGTTTTAGCCCATTTAGTTAAATCATATTCTAATGTTTTAAAAAGATTAGGAGATCCTCTTGATGAAAATACTATTTATGGCCCTATGCATTCAATGAAAGCTGTTGAAAACTTTAAACAAACAATATTAGATGCTATTGAAGACGGAGGACAGATCGAATTTGGGGGAAAAGTAATATTAAATATCTCTTAATAACATTATAATTAAATTTCATAACTTTAATGAAGTTTTAAACATTACAGATTTTAGATAGAGCTGGTTATTTTGTAGAACCTACTATTATATCTGGTTTAAGGTATGATTCACCCGTAGTACGCCGCGAAACATTTGCACCTATTGTTTATTTATTAAAGTATGATACTTTGGAAGAAGCTATTTCATGGAACAATAGTGTAGATCAAGGATTATCATCTAGTATTTTTACTAATGATGTTGGAAATGTATTCAAAGTATGTAACAATGTATTACAGTATATTATATATTCACATATAAAATTACATAAATGTAATGTTTTTACCCTAAATTAATAATTAAGTACCTAATAATAACTACTATTAACTTGTTAATCAAATATTTAAATACAAAATAGAAATAAGCAAATTGATAAATTAGAAAAAGTCACAAAATTATTAAAGTTTAAATTTCAAAATTAATACACTACATATTAAAATTATTTAATATACTTATTAATTGCAAAATTAATTGTTTTTGTAATTTTTTTGTTAGTGGATTGGTCACAAAGGATCTGATTGTGGTATTGTTAATGTCAATATTCCAACTAATGGAGCAGAAATTGGTGGTGCATTTGGTGGTGAAAAACATACGGGTGGTGGACGAGAGTCTGGTTCAGATTCTTGGAAACAGTATATGAGGAGATCAACTATTACAATTAATCATGGTTCTGGATTAACTTTAGCTCAAGGAATTAAATTTGAATAATATATGTTTTAATAAATTTAACTGAAATTGCCTATATTCAAAATTTTTATAAATTAATTTTATTTGTAAGTTTAGACAACTACCGATTAAATTAAAACAATTTTCATTCATCTAAATAATATTAATATTATTTGTTTATAATCTTGCAATTTTATTACGACTCATGGTGCATTAAATAGTAAAATATATTTTGTTTAAATAAGATGTGTAGATAACTAATGTAAGTATCAAAAGTAATTTCATTGTTCATTTTTAATAAGTTGTTTCATGTACCTAACATAATAAGTCTCAACAAACTTAATTTTGTTTAATGTTCTATATAAATCTACCTTGGTATAACTGTTACTTATTATGTAATAATGTTGAACAATATTTTTTTATTATTCTTTTTAAAAGCCTCATTTAAAAGTTTAGCCTTAAGGTAAAGTAGTTTTTATTTATAGGGAAAAAAATTGTCATAAAGGGGTCGAAAAATAGCAAAATAGCATTATTACATAATTTTTTGAGTTTATTTAAAAACCTATTATACTTATTAAAAAATGTATAACAGATAAATTATAGATATTTATATTGCCAATAAAAAATGCCTTTATAACATTTTTTTTATTTCCCAAGAAAAATGATAAAATATTTAATGTCTAATTTTTATTTTATACAATTGGTTTTTATATGGTAATTTGTATATTTTAGAATAATGGTTGATGATACAACAAAATATCTTAAGTAAAAATTATAAAAAAAATATAATTTCCTAAATGAAAGCCTAAGCATAAATTGTATTGGATCGACTGTTTTATTGTAATATTCTGGTTCATATAATATAATTTCTGCAAAACAAGTATGAAATAACACGTTCTAATAACTATTCAAAGATTATACATATTCTTTGTAGACAACCAGCTATTATATACAGCTTGTACATTATAATCAAGCCCCTATTCTTCAGGTCTTTGAAACACTGTTTTTATTTGATTTTGATCAGTCCCAGACATTATATTAGAAACACTTAGAGGTTTTTCAAAATTCTTAAAAGAAATAATTACTGGTAAACAATCAACAAGTTTATTTCTTGTTATATCTGAGAGCAGCTAACTATCCCAATGAACAATAAAATAACTGGACTTTTTTCTAATAAACCAAATTTATTTTGAAGTTGCCCTTAAGTAAATGCTAGCTATTCGATTAATAGATGTATTTGATATCATCAAATAGATGATTTAATTATAAATCGGACGATTTATAATTAGGTTAATTATTTGTGTAACAAATGATTCCACAAAAGCTGCTATTATATGTACTTTGTCGCGATCAGTTATTTTACACTTAGATAATACGATTTCACATTTCGTTATTATATTTTTAATTTTTACTTGTATTACATTATATGAATGCGTTGACGATAGTGTGCTAATGGATCATCTTAAATAATTCTTGAGAGATTTAAATTTTGTTATTGTTTATGATGGTTCTTGGTTAGATGCCATTAAAATGCAATTATATTAGAGCAAAATTATTTTGTATAATAAAGAAAGTGACTAGGTAAATTTCCAAAACTATCTTATAAATAGGTACATGATAATCATAGGTGTGAGCAGACCTTGCTGGTAGGGGGGAGAATTTATACCTATATATATTATTATATTTAATTGAATATTTTGGTTATTAGTTAGCTCAATTAATTTCAATTAATATTAGTGATTGAAGTATTTTAATTTTATAAATCATTAATATAATTGCAAACTTAATATAATAATTGAAATTTCAGCTTTTGAAAGAAAAATTTAGCCCGCAAGAGGGACAGCTGCTCCCTCCTACCCCTCTCTCCCGTGCGCATGCCTATGATGATAATGAATGTAGGAAAAAAAACCAATTTATTTATTATATTATACATTTTTTTTTTATTATTATTTAAGTAGTGTACAATCTGTGAATAACATTTACAACAAGCACAAGTGAAGAATTGAGAGTTACGAGTATCGAGATAGCAAGCGTGAGCAAAGAAGCCAACCACTGTTGGTACTTCAGGGTGTGTTTTGGTGATAATTAGTCAGTCAATAAGTCCCGACACTACGTTCGCTTGAGACGCCTTCTGGGGTTCCCAGGGATAGTGTGGGTGGAGAGTTATTTATGGATTCCTGTGATTGAGGGTGCTGGAATGGAGACGTTTGTAAAAGGTATTTTTAATTGTTTGTATGGAGAGGTCTTTGTGAAGAGTGTCGTTGGAAACATAGTATGGAGCTTTTGTTATTTGCCGGAGACATTTGGATTGGAAAATTTGTATTTTGTTTATAATAGAGGGCTTGGCAGCTCCCCAAAGTTGTAGGCCATAAGTCCATATAGGTTTGAGGAGTATTTCGTAAATAAGAAGTTTATTTCTGAGGTTCAGATGTTTTGACGTAAGAAGGTAGCGTAATTGGCGGGAGCGGTTGTTTATGGTGAGGCGCTTAAGGTGGGATGCCCAGGTTAGCCGACGATCTAGGTGAAAACCCAGATATCGGACGTTTAGAGCAGTTGGTAGGGGGACGTCGTTGAGGTATATGTGAGGGCAGTCAGTACGTTTTAGTATAAATGTGCACTGGATGGATTTTGTTTCATTAATTTTGATATCCCATTCTTTGTACCAGGTGGATAGCAAATTGAGGTGATTTTGGATAATATATTATAATTAGTTACATTACGTGTTATTAATTCTATAATAACAGCAATAGCATTTTATACTTTTATAATATTAATGAATGTATTATTATTATTATTTATTGATGCTTGATAAAACAATTTTTTAACATTCTATATTAATCAAATTGATTGTATAATGTGTACTTTTTTATTTTTACTAAAAACTTTATTTAACTTATTTTTAACTTCAGCAATTTTTCTGTGGGAAAATTTAAGGTTAATCAGCGAAAAACAAAAAAAAATTAAAAGGACAAAGTAGAGAGCCTAGATTTAGACTCTAGTACAAGGTAAACAAATTGTCATTTTTCCGTGGTTTTTTTTTTCTAATTACCGATTATATTTTATGTTAGTTTATTTGAAATAAATATTTTTATTGATGAACTTGTGTATTCTATAATCAAATATTTCATAAAATATAATATTTATCAAAAAATGTATAGAAAAAGAGTTAGGTACCTATAGTAAATTTAATATTCTACACATATTATCCAAGATACCAATATTTTTATAGAAACTAGATATAATTCAAAAATTAAAAAAATAATCTGATACTAGGGATGGGTGCGGCCACTGTTATTGGGAGATCGCCTGATTAAGCCAAAGTGACTTGTTTTCCTTTTTCATATCCCGATTGCGTCTATTATGAAAAGGCATTTATAAAGTCCGTAAAAAAATATTTTAGCCAAAACATAGGTACACGACGTTTTACGTTTAATTGTTAACAAAAAAAATGAGGTTTAACAATTTTTACTAATTAATGATCATATAAAGAATATTGTTCTATTTTTTTGTGAAAGTAATTTCCGTAATATAACATTTATTTCTCAAATTTCTATCTATGGAACATTTCAAAGCTGTACTTAAATAATTTTGTCAGTTATTTACGTCTATCATGTGTGATATGCTTAATAATGGTCATTATTATCCAAGTGCATATTTTTATTACCGGATAAAAACATTGAAAGTTATCAAAATGCATTGGAAGGATTAATACAGCAATGCAATAAATATAACTTCAAGCCAGAGATAATATTCGTAAATTTTTTTTTAAATATTTTAAGTAATTTTAATTTGATAACAGTTATTAAATTTATATTATATAATCACTGTAAATTATAATGATTCGTCGATGCCTATGATATGTTTAAATTGCAATTATAGTGTAAATAATATAAATATGTATTGATATATTTATATTAAATTTTATTTTATTTATTTAAACGATCATAGACTATTTTATGAACCAATGTGTCATGAAACGCCATTGGAATACTTATATTTGGGATAAAATAGGACTTTGGTTTTTAGGACTTAGGAATTTAGTTTGTGTCGCAATCGGGCAAACCTAGTTGTAGGTGAGTAGTAAGGTGGTACTCATAAAGTCATTTAATATATACCTGTAACTAACGAAGAAAAAAAGCACACATCTTAATAAAACCATTGTTTATTGAATAGAATAGTCTGTTCTATATTGAATGAGGAAACTAATAAATAAATTTACTTCGCACGATACGTGGTGGCCAGGTGGGTCACTGTTGGTGAGAAGTTAGGAAGGTAAAATATAGAGAGGAATTTAATGTACATCTGAATGCGAAGATTAATAATTGCTAACGAAAAACGGTTCTGGGTGGAGTTCGGTTTATATATGTTTTAAAAGGCTGTAATATTTACAATTTTCGGCAAAATTTGATTTTAAAACGTATAAAAAATAAAAAACTACATTAAGTACATTCAATATTTTTATGAGTATGAATTATAATGAACCTCCTGTCAAATTTTCAATCATTTCTGCTAGTTAAACAATTTTATCCACAGAGTACCTACCAAATAAAAATTATTCACGTAAAAATTTCGAAAAATTAAAATTTCTATGTATAGTTCAAATTAAGTAAAAATTACACAAATGTCCACGTCTAGAAAATGTAAATATAAGTTTTCTGTAAATATTTTAAGTCTTTACGAATATTTTAATCTTAATTACATTAAGAAAATATTAAAAGAATTATTCAATTTTCCCGTACTTTCTACTTATTTGTCGGTTTTGGTTAATCATTTAAAAAAACTATAAAGAAAATAAAAAACACGACTCGTTAGGTCACCAACTAGATTAAAAATTGAATAAAAAAGGTTTCTTGCAGTTTTTCTATTGGAACAATATTTTTTGTAGAAAAAATAAGCTGCACAACTTTAAAATAATGAAATCGTTGTCCCGTAATTTGAAAAAATTTGTATATTTCGTCTTTTTTGGTTTTTTCCATTTATGAAAAATACTATAGATATCAAAAAAAGATCTCTGTTTCTGTCTATGGTCATCTATTAAAAGGAACAAAATCTATTTCTTGTCATTTTTGGATTGGAATATTTTTAAAAGAAAACATCCTGTAAACATTATAAAAACAATGAAATAAACATTGTAAATATTGTAATAAATGTAAATATTTGCTGTTTTATCTATAATATTCTTTCGTGTTTTTCCTAATTATTTCAAAAAACCCTTGAAAAATCAAAAAATACCTTCCCAATGCACCAATTAGAAAAAATTACCTTTCAAAAAATGTTTATAGTATAAAGCAAGTTCTCTGGTAGAAAATTGTTCAGAGATAAAAAAAAAAAACACGTACGTACCTGTTATAGTAAAACCAACAGATTCCTCGCTACGCTCCAAATCTAAAACAAAATTTTAAAAAGTATAAAAATTGTATTTTTTAAACTTAAAAAAAATCAAAAATCACTTTCTTGGTTAACAATTAGATTAAAAATTCATCAAAAAAGAGCTGTTGAATTATTAATTATTATGTAGGTATGTTCTCTACCTGCTATTATTTATCAACTAAATTAATATATATTTCAATTTAAATTCAGAAAAAACCGTTATCCACTTAAAATCTATTTTTTGCAATAATTTATCTTTGAATTTTACTATTCATTACCGGATGAACTAAAACCATCTTAACTTTAAAGGGTCCTTCTTCATCTATATTATAGTGGTCTACCCATAGGGGTCGGGGATATTATAGAGTTCAGTGATTCCGTGTTCCATTTAAAATTTAACGATACGACATTGGACGATAAATACTAAATAGATGACATAAATAATTTCTACCATGGATAGCGCAAATAAAATAAACTTTATAATTGTGTACAATATTCGGGTAATATTACTTATTAATAATAAATAATATATTATTGGCGGGACGAGTAAAAACAATAAAAAACACAATATGTTTAACGGACGGGAGAGGGACAACGACCGTTTGGAGGTTTGTGCATACTGCATATGTCAGCACTGCGCACCCATCTTATTTTCTCACTCCCACCGCTTCATGACGTACCACTCCGCGAACAGTTTAATCTCTTTATCTATGGAAAATTCCGAAATTCCAATACACCTCCCTTCCCACCGATCAACCCGATTTTCCTTCACATAATAATAATAAATAATAAATAAATAAATAAAATTAAAGTGTTCCGTGTGCCAAACCGTGGTGGTTTTCCGCGACATCAGCATTCGTCTTGACGCGTGCGCAACGGTCGTTCGATCGTGCTGTATTCCGCTCGTGTGTACTGTGCACATAGGTCTATTTTATTTTTTCCCTATAAATGTCGTCTTACGTCCGTTTATAATGCTTGGAACAACCTCACACAGCATCGCCAGCCACCAAACGCTGGCCGCTGTCAATATCAGTATCAGAAAACGCCAATGGAACTTGATACCATCCTGATCTATTAGGTGGACTCGTTCATCAGGTCCTCCGAAAAACAACTAAGTGCTTCCCAAGACGTTTTTTTTTTTTGTTAAAATTTCATATTAAATTTGTAAAATCGTATATTTCTTCTGTTTTTTATTTTTTTTTTTATCTTAGTTATATTTTATTTTTATAATAATATGTAGGTCGATTAAATTATAATATTAAATTATATCAACGAGGTTGTGAAATGTCCTTAAAGTGATATGTCAGTACGTTTATCTAGCGGGTGTTTACCCGCAAATGGCGAGAAACCACCTCTGCCCTCTTCAGATACACCCGATTCCAATGGCCAACAAAATAACTTACAAGAACAACATCAACAACAACAAACTAGGAGTAATAGTATGGATTATTTGAATTTTGAAGAAAAAAGACAAATAATTGCATCTTCTTTGTCACTAACGGATTTCTTGCACACAAGTGGTACAGCTACTACACCTACATCACCTACTACCGGCAAGTTTATTATTGGTGAGCTTATTTAGAAATTTAAAATAGGTATTTTTTTTTTAAAAACATACCCTTGTGATTTAAGTAATCATAAATAAACTAAAAGTGGGTCTACTTGTAATAAAACCAGAAATAAAACTAAATCTAATTCAAAAGTTAATTTGATGATTCATACATAATATTAATTCTCAATTTTATATTGGTAAAATGTTTAAAAATGTTAAAGTTAGTAGGTTTTTTATGTTGTTTCAGTAATACTTTTTTAATTAAGTTTGATTAGGTTCTTTTGTATCTAATATTATTAATAGATAATCTAGAGCCTACTTACCTAATTTACATCTAATCCACTGTTTAAAAATAGAAAGTTATTCATAAGTATAATTTGAGGTATAATTATTATTAGTCAAATTATTATGAGTCTTAATGTATAAATTAAAAATAACAAAAATTGTTTATACAGTAAAAATCAGAATAAAAAGTTTAAATAGTATTTACTATAATTACTTACCTACGTAGGTAATATACTAATACTTTAATTTTAATAAAAATTATTATTACTATTATTATTATTATTATTTTTTGAAAAGATAAACATTAATTAGATTTTTATACTGTGTGTGCTTCATATTTTCATAAGATTGTAAATAAATTAAGTACTATTTACCTTTTAAGGTTTATTATTGGTCCACACATTTTTAAGCTAACAAATATTTTAATTATTGGTACCAACTTTTTTTGATTGTATTTTATAACCTGTTTATAAGTTTCATTTAATGTTTAATAACTCATGGTTAATAAATTGACATCAATTTATTTATATGAACTTAAAATGAGAATTTATCTCAATTCCACCCACTTCAATTTTAAATCATTTTTAACCTCGTTTTTAACTATTTATAAATTTAACATATTTAGTATTTTGATTTTATTTTTCTTAAATAAATTTTAATTCCCTATCTACTATCTAACCATCAAATATGATTAATTTTAAACTATTATTTTTTGAATGCACTTCATTTGTGCCTTGTAGTCATTATGTTGCAATAATACTTATTAACTATTTAGAATGACTCATTCTTCAATCACTTATGTTGTTGTTGTATATTTAGGTATTAATACTACCTACCTATAAAATGCATTTTTTTACAATTTTCAGTAGGTGGAATTATATGAAAAAATTTATACTGATGGCGGGTGTGCCGTAGTTTTAATAGGGAAGTTGAAAGGGAGGATATATAAAATAATTTAATTTATATTTGTATGCAACGATAAACCATTGCTAACAAAAGACGATTCTGAGAAAAGATAAAATTAATAATAATTATGGTTTTTTCTTGTTACCAAAGTAACCCAAAAAGCAACAAAAATTATACAAAAAATTGTTAGTTTTCATATTTATTAAGAAAATTATGGAAAATCAAAAAAATGACTTCCCTATTGCATCAACTAACTGCTAAAAGAAAGTTTCTATTAAGTTATTGATTGTGAGCAAGATTTTTTTTATAAGAAATCTTGTTGTTTACAGACACAAAAAAAGTAAAATCAATATATTCCTCGCTTCACACCAAATCAAAAATTTCACTACTGTAAGCTATTAAATTTTAATCATTTTAATTTTAAAATCATTATAAATCATAGATAAAATATTATTTGTTACTTATTTTATATTTTTAATAAAACATTAAATATTACAAAAATTATATTAAAATAATGTAGGTATTAGGTACCTACTCTCAATTTGTTATAATACTTATTCAGTGTTGTACCCAAATACTTATTTTTATTTTATAATTTATTATTTATGATGATTATATTATTATGTTCATGACATATATATATATATATATATATATATATATATATAGTCTGAATAGGTTGGTATGATATAGTTCCATGTTATACATTCTCCAAATATCTTTAGATATTTTTATTATACTGTTGTAACGGTAAATTATTGTAGAAAAAAATAATTTGGCCATTCTATTGTTATGTTTTGTGATCTTATAAGGCATTACATTTTAAAATAAGCCATAGGTATTTTCTATTATAATTTATAATACCTACTTATATGTCCTGTACATCATCATTAAAGTTTTAGATAGAATCCTATAACAGGTAAATGATACTCAAGGTTAAGTTAAAAAATTTAATTTAATATATTAATAAATTGAGTTTTTACATTTTTATTTTTAATGGTAAACATTTAAAAAACTTAAGAGACTTATAATTTGCATTTTCTGTGTTTCTAAAGATTAATTTACCATGTGTTTATATAAAACAAATAAAAATACTTTTAAAATTGGCTTAAGACATTATTATGTCTTAATTATGTCTATATTTATTTTATAATTTGTAGATGAAAATGTTTTGAAGACGACATCATCAGCACTTTACAATTGTCTTTGTATTAAATAAAGTTAAATTCAAGAACATTGTATATATTGTTTATAGTTTTTGATTTTGATTATCATTATATTATTTAATATTAATTTATTACTGCTTTTAATAATATACAATTTATAGTTTTTCCTCTGTTTATAATAAATAAATATAATAAACAAGGTAATTTTTAAACATAAACCATTTTTATAGCTAAATTATGCATGTATTTAAATTCTGATTTTTGATATTTTCAACTGTAGTTATTTATGATACATTCATATAATTCTTAGATTTTTCACAACATTTAAAGAGTATCTTGTGGTGATATTAACTGTAGTTTTTGTTTTAGTAAAGTCAAAATACCTCCAATGTGTGGCCTATTTCCTTCAAACTTCTTCAAATATCATATTAATAAACTTCTCACTTACAATTATTGTAAATTTTGTTTATAGATTGTGTAATAAATATATAAATATATATATAAAAAAAAATAATCAAAATTTGAACAAAAAGTTTCTGAGTTAATAAAAATCTAATAAATACATTGTAATTGGGTATAAGTTTGGTAATTATAATTAGCTACATATGTACTATTTAGTTAAGTCTACTCAGACATTATTTTATTATTTCAAAATACTTATGGATTAATATTACCATATTTACTTAAAAATTCCAAAATTAGAGTGTGAATTTATGCATAATTTAACCTAAAAAATGGGATGGGTGGGCTTAAAAAATCTTGTATACATTATACTTTAGTGAAGTTAGGTTAGGTTTAACATTTTAAATTAAATTAATACATATTGTTAATTAAAAAAGTTTTAAATATTTGTTAATATTACAAAAATATATCATATATTGGTTGATCAAGTTAATATAATAATTCAGCATTATATTGGTCTTAAGGTAATTAAGTGAGTGAACATTCAACATTGCTGTGTATAGAGCTATGTATAATAATTTACTTTTAAAAATATTATTATTTTCATAAGTATATTATTACATAAATATAAGTTTAGTAGTTATAGAATGGATTAGAATTATTTCTAAATTAATTTGTATATTTTAATCATAAAGTTTGTAAGTACTAATATTTCTGATTAAAGTTCATGGTAAATCAATAATTATTTTGTAATTTTTAGCTAAGAAGCAAAATGGTACAGCACTTCGAACGAATAGTTTAGGGTCAGGGACACGTACTAGTCCATTACAATTAGATCGAAAACAACCAAGCAAGTTTTCTGCGTTAGGTAAACTGTTCAAACCATGGAAATGGAAACGAAAAAAGAAATCGGACAAATTTGAAACAACATCTAGAAGTAACTTTCAGTCTTTAAATGTATGTTAATTTAACATAATATTTTATTTTGAACTTCATAGATTTGGAAAGGAAGATCTCAGTACGAGCAAATCGAGATGAATTAATCCAAAAAGGAATCCTGTTTTTAGATAGTCCAATGGCTCAAACACATACGATCTCTGAAATTGGTACGAATATAAAATATTATTATAAAGTATTTTACTATTTAAGTAGTTTTTTTAACTAGTATTTTACATATTACTATAAAGTAGAACCTTTATGAATTACAATAATTTATATAAATTAACTTATTTTTTTTAATTTGTTTATTAGATAATTCACCCCAACTAAATCAAACGTCAAGTGCAACAACTACTTGTGTTACTGTCACTCCTACTATTGGTACGTCTATGCTTTTTCAACAACAACAAAGCAGATATTCTAATCAATATATGAATGGTAAGTACAAATTGTTAAATACATCAATTAATAATACATAATATATTATTAGAAAGCAAAAAAAAATGAGAAAACAAATATATTTTGTATAATCTGAAAGATTGTGTTTCTTAATTCAAGTGGTAGACTGAATAATTGTATACTTCTAGAAAAATATTTCAATTACATAATTTATACTGTTTATGTTATATTGTTTTAACTTTATATTTTAGTTAAATAATAATAATTTTGTAAAAATGTTATTTTGTTCTACTCCATGATACTGATAAAAGCTGCAATTTTAAGTTTGACCCTGTGTTATAATTTTCATAAATATCTGTAAATAATTTTACATTACTTTAGCTACAAAAATATCTCATAAATATGACTAAAATTAAAACCTGCAATTAGAGAATGAATTGGATTTTGTTTATTACTACTTTATTTTATTTACTAAGTATCATATTTTTAATTCTATTGATTAACTTAATTAACTTAATTTTTTAAGAATATAATTTAAATAATATTTATATAATACACAAGTATACCATTGTAATACTTAATATTATAAAGATTAATAATATCTTTGATAGTATTTAAAAAAAAAAATAATTAATGATAATGAGTTACTTAGGATAATAAAGATTTATTGTTATCACTTATTTTGAATGAAAGTGATCCAAAAGTAATATTTCTATAGTTAGGAAATTGAACATGAATATTGCAATCAATTATAACTTTATTTTAAAAATGTTGAAATAAAGGTTCTGCAAATTGTCAAGTGTTCAGTATTTTATTTAACAATAAAAATTTTAATTCGTTTTTGAATAAAATTAATAATCTTAAAGTATTAAAATTTTAATTTATTATTTATTTTTGTAATTTATAATCATGTATTTGAATCTGAATCATGATATTTATGGGTCTTAATAATATAATTTGATTTAATGAGGTATATTTTTATATTTATTATTTTATTCAATACATTTTAAAAATTTTAAATTTTATATTTTTTGCTAACTAGTATTTTAGTATATACTCCTTTATAGGAAAACTGAGGCCAGTTAATTTTATCTCCCCAAAACCTTTATTCATCATAGTAAGTTTGCTTTAACTTTATAGTACCTAAAGTGGCAAAAAATCTAAAGAAAACCTCAGTGAACTGAAGTGCAGTGTATTCATTTTTAGATTCTCACCGTAGCGAGAAATGTATTGGTTTTCTATGATGTGTTTTATTTTAAATCAATATTTGTTTTGTTTTTCTATCTGTAAATCATTTTTCTACCAGAAATATTATTCTGATGACCTAACTTTGGGTGTGGTTTATAGTAGCAAATTTTGTCTATTTGGTATTTTTCAGTTTTATTTGTTTGAAAGGATAATAAAATAAATGGAGAATTTTTGATTAAAAACAATAGTACCATTTGCAGTGGCCTATTTAGGGAATGTTAAATATATATATAAAGAAAATTATAATAAACTACTCTAAAACTATTTTTAAACTGTTGAAAAATTATTGATGTTTTTATAAAATCATGTTTGATTTATGTTGGTTTTTTATTTTAATCTGAATAAAAGTGTGTCTTAGGTTTTCTTTCACTACTGATTTGTGTAAAGTGTTTTTAGGGCCCTCTGTAATATTTTGCCTAGGTATGTCTCGCAATACCTAGTACCAGCACTCGATAAGGAGAGGATGGTAAGGATAATTTATTTAAGAAATAAAATTATAATGTATTGAGCAAAATATATTGTTAGTGTAGTATTCCTGTTTTACTTATTTTTAGGATGTTGTTAGGATAATTTTAATGGAGTCTTAGTGTTAATAGAAAATCCTACAGAAGTTCAAGGGGACTCTTATTATAGAATCTTTTTTAGGGCGCTGGTAGAATGATTTCACGAGAGCACGGTGCTATTAGAATAATATGAATTGCAAAAATACTTAGATATACCTTTTTGAATTACTCTTTTCACATTGTAGGTATATCTTACCAATTTTGTGCAACCTAAGTGAACCTTCCACTTAAGAACAGTGTCCATATAAATTCTTTTAGAATTTGAATGCAGCTAATATATTAGTTTTAGATTCTGAGCAGTGCGAGGAATGTATTGGTTTTACAATGATGTTTGTTTTATTTTTTATTTTTTTCTTCGATTTTCAATTAAGCACATTTTCTAAAAGAAAATCTGACTGGGGTGGTACTTTAAATAGATCATTTTATGATTTTCCTGGGTGGTTTAATAATAAATGGGACAATGTATGAAATGTATTATTTTTAAATCGTAAATAATATGGCCTTTCAAAACATGTGTAACCGTACTCTGCTCAGAATCGTTTTTTGTTAGCAATGATGAATCGTTGCATATAGATATACACATTTCTTCTCTTAATTCGCAATTTCCCACCTACAGTAGTGCAGAGCTTGGCAAAATCATGTAGACACTACCCAGTGATACTCAGAATAGCTATTGACTAGTTTATAGAAGTATAGACCAGAATTTATTTATAATAATTAAATAAATATGTGGTCCTGTATACATACAGTGTGTCTCACCATGTTCGACGTATTTTTCTTACGCTGTTAATATTTTTCGATCAGTTGTCTTTGAGGGGGACATTGATTTGGAGGAAAATTAAATTTTTATTTTCATCCCCTAATGACCAAAAAAATTTTTTTTTTTATTTCGCATTAGAAAATTTTCAAAATAGCTATTTTGTAAAAATTATTATTTAAAAAATTTGAATATATCACTCATTCATAACTGATGAATAATTTCTTAGTTATAGCCGCTTTAATTGGACACTAAAAATATTAATATTCATTAAAATAACACGTTATGTGATAAAGAATTACAATCATCACGGTAATTCTTTACTTTCTCTACCTATCAATTGTTTTTACGTCTATTTTCTAAAAATTAAAACAGCTATACAATTTTTTTTCTGTCTGTGAACAGCTTTTCTACCAGAAAACTTGCTCTGAAGTATAGACCATAGCTTTTATGAACGGTAATTTTCTCTAATTGCATTGGGGAGGTCATTTTTTGATTTTCCATGAGGTTTTCGAAATAATCGGGAAAAACCGAAAGAAAATTATACGTAAAACGGACTATTTATAGTGCACTACGGTGTTACTGTTTTTGTTGTTTTTATTATGTTAACATGATATTTTCTACCAGAAATATTGTTCCAACCCTAAAATAAAAAGAGATCGATTTTGTTCCTTATAATATTTTGCCACTGACGGAATAAGTCATTTTCGATATCTTAAGTATTTTTCATAATCATTATGAAAAACCAAAAAAGAATAACTATACAAATTTTCCAAATTCCGAACAACGATTTCATTATTTTAAATTGTTACTATTCATATATTCTACTATAAATATTGCATTATTGCAATATTGTAGTTTTTTTAATAACTAAACAAAACCGAAAAAAAAAATGCAGAAAGTACGGGAAAATGTACGAAAATAATTCTTTTATTATTTTCAATTTTTTTTTCTTTAATTAAATTTAGTTTAATATATTCATGAAGACTTGTAATTTTGACAGAACACTTATATTTGCTCCTCCTAGACTTGATAAAATTTTTATATTTAATAATTTTAATTTTTATATTTATTTTATATTTTATATTTGATCCATTTGATCTATTTTTGAGTTAATTAGAGATATTTTAAATTTGCGAGTTTTGTATGCAATTTTTATTCGATAGGTACTCTGTGGATAATATTTTTACGACTAAACAGAAATGCTTGCAAATTTAACAGAAGGTTTCTTAAATATCATACTTTGTGGTCAATGAAAAAAAATTGAGCTATATGTAGTATTTTTTTTATAAAGGAATTTTAATAACAAATTTTGAGGAAAATCGTTTGAGTAAAAAATTATGTGGAACAAATCTTGCTCCTGGACCAATCAAATTTTTTTTTTTTTTATTATATGTATATGAGATACCCATTGCTGATTTAAGAACAATGGTAAGTCAGAACTGAGCGGACTGACTTAGTTTCGAAATCATAGCCTTTTGAAGTTCTAATATTATGTGAATAACTCAATATTGTCGATTTATATGTATGTATGAATGAATGTTGTAGTAACTAATGTTATCCTAGGAGTCGTAATTTAAAACCCAAGTTCCGTAAAAATGGTTTTGTAAAACCACGGCGGGTAGGTAACAATGACAAAATAAATTAATTTTGTTTCAAAAAATAAAATTGAGGGTAATGTAGTATTATTTTTTTTATATAAGCTTTTAAATCAAATTTTGACGGAAATCGTAAATATTACAGCTTTTCAAAACATGTAAAATCTAACTTCGTTACGAATCGTTTTTCGTTATCAATTATTTATTGTTTGTTGCTGATATAAATTAAATAACTTTATGTGTCCCACTTTCCCTACTACCCATCTAAAATAGTGATCACTCCAATGTAATTTTTTATCAGAAATCTTATTCCAATCAAGTAGAAACTTTTTTCTGAAGTCAAATTTTGTAGTTTTCTGTTATTTTCAATTTAGTTTTTTTGTTGTAGTTCGGTTAAAAATAATTGTAAAAACCGGAAAATTTCACAAAATCTTTATTTATACTAACTTTTTCTACATGTGGCAAAATTGAGCTATTAATAATAGTCATTCAAAATTTTGAATTTTTACTTTTTTTATAAATACCAATGTTTTCACCAGCTTTTTTTTTAACAACGGGGTAAAAATGTTGAAACTAATGTAGTTGTTTTTGTAAAAATCACGAGATTTCATGTTTAACCGAAAATATAAAATACATATAAAATGTATGTTAGGCGATGTACAAAATATCCGTAATGTACTGTCTTTGTTATGCTTATATGTTTCTGGATGAGTATTAAAATTTAGTAAACACGTTTGTTAATTTTTTTATTTCTAGAAAATATTTTTAATATTATTTGGTATAAAACGAATAATATTTTTACATTTAATTAGGGGTGATAAAAACAAAACCTTTGAAAAAGTGTTTTCGTCTACTCGTATTGTAGCCGATTTGTATTTTAACTAAGTCGCATTAAACAGAATACGTTTTGACTGAAATACAATTCGGTTAAAATATTTAGTTATAATCACGGTTATATCTGCTAGATAACCGTGGTTATAATAAAGTATGCTCTACTAAATTGTGAAAAAAAATATCCATATATTAAAATTAATACTTCGTTTCATAAATTTCTTTTTATTTTATAATTCATTTTAAAGTTGAATATTTCTAAAATAATAATACTACAATAATTTAAATAGAAAATTTTTGCGACATTATAAAGACAGACGTATATTATACAGGCTAATTTCCTCAACCTAAAACACTCATTGTCACGGAAAGTAACTTTTTTCTGAATTTGTTTTATAGTACATTTAAGAAATGAGCAGCTCTACAATTTTAAATTTGTATTATTTTTCGGAAACCCATATTAAAAATTCCGTAAATATATGGAGTGTTAGTTAAAATAAATTTTGATGTTAAAATGTTTGATTTCTGTTAAATCGTTGACGAGATTTTTACTGGTTTTCACTCTTAAAAAAAGGGTAACAAAAAAAATGTTGTCGTCAAAGCTGGACACTACGGATATTTTAATTAAAATTGTATAGTTAATAATAACACAATATTATTTTAAATGTACATTATCACCTTCAAAGTAATCTCTCTCAGAAGCAATACATCGCTTTTATTTTTTTTCTATTCCACTTTTGAAAACACTTTTGGAACTTAAAGGAATGTCTTTTTAAGATCCTTTCCGTATTTTGTTTAATGTTATTAATTATTTGAAAACAACATCTTTTAAATGTTGACTTCAACTTAGGAAACAAAAAAAAATCACATTGAGCTAGGTCAGGTGAGTAAGGTAGGATTGTAGAACGACTAAAATTTGAATTTTAGCTGATAACTGACCAATGAGTTGTGGGTCGAGACATTATTGTCGTGATGCAGTATCCAAAAACCACTTTTCCAAATGTCTGCAATTTTTTTTCAACTTGTTCATGGAATCTTTTTATGGTTTCCAAATATAAAACTGGTTCACTATTTGACCTTGAGGTACCCATTTATGATGAACTACCCCACGAAAATTGAAAAATTTGATTAAAATTGCTTTCACATTTGATCTCATCTTGCTTGTTTTGGTTTGTTGACTTTCATTGTAATGATGCTCGTTTTGTTTGAACATCATATCCATAAATTAAAATTTCATCGCCTGTATCATTTTTTTTTTAAAGTCTGGTTCAGTTTCTGTCTTTTCAAACAATTTTTTCTAGATTGTTTTGTTTTTGTTTATTTATTAAGGGACTAGGGACAAATTTTGTTGCTTTTCGGCTCATACTTAAATCTTTGACTAATATTTCTTGACAAAAACCCTAAGGTATTTCTACGTCTTCTGCAACTTATTGAATAGTTAATTTGAATAATTTCACGAACACGAGCTACAGTTTCAATAGTTTTTGTGGTCGTGAGTCTACCAGGTCGTTTATTTCTTTAATAAATATTCTACCTTCCTTAAATCTTTTAAATCTCTCAAAACACGTTGATCAGGATAAACGTCATCTCCAAAAGCTTGCTGCAAAAGTCGAAAAATTCCACTGAAATTTTTTCCTATTTTAAAACAAAATTTCACGCAGACATACTGCTTCCATAATGCAATTTACCACACTTCTAAAACGTATTTACGTAAACAGACCAAGAAATAAAATTAAATATTGTTATCAATTTCAAACCAATGTTCTTAGACTCGATAAAAATTACTTTATCGAATAAAATTATATAAATACAAATTTCAATTATTATTCCATTGTATTCTAATTTAAAATATATTTAATTATTTTATTAGATACATTTCGAAAATCTTTAATTAATTTAATTATATTTTAAATGGAAATCATTTTATGAATAATATTTGCCAAACCAATTAGTTTGTTGCATACTATGTAATATACACAGTTTAAGACTATGTATGAAATATTTAGTGATAAATTATTAATGAGGCAAACTTACTATTAGGTACTTATATGGGATTTTCTCGCTTATAATAACTGCATAGTACACCTTATTATGTTGGCCACCCTGATTGGATTTTAGGTAAGGCGGAAATGAATTATTACGCACAGGAAAAAGTAATGTTATGGCGTGCATTCTCAACTGTGCCATGGGGGCCCCTCAAATCGTATATCCACGGCAACGGTAGTTAGGTTTTTAAACTTCACATGACGTGACCCGCTTGCAGCCCGTTGCTGTCCCGTCGTGAGTTAATTTGTTTTTTTTTTATGAGCTATTGACAGTATTCCACTAGACGATATTCAAAGGTCAACTTTTAAAAATACCACCAACTACTTAGTCCATTTTTTTATGGAATATCATCATGCTGCTATAGACCGTGTCAGAGGGAAATTATCTATGTTATCTAACCACACTACCCCCAAAACGACCAATGATGGGATATATAATGAAATGTTCTTGTTTTCACAGAGGTATGTTACATAATCGAAAACGCTGGCCAAATATTTTTATTTTATAATGAAAACAATTTAAAAAATTACTTTTTAAGATTTAAAGTATTTATTTTTATTCTAAACTCCTGTTCCAAAATATATTAAATCTATTAAATGTGTTTTTAAGTAAAAACAATTTAATAATACAAATTGTTAAGTAATTTTTAATCTATATGACGTATAATGTGGTTTATTTCGTCGTGGTTATACATTTTTCATTATAAGTATATAATTGTAGAGAAATAATGTATCTACATTCTGTATTATTAAAGTTGCACATTTTCTTCTCCTTTACCTTCATCCTACTATTTGGTCTCGACCAGAAAGTTGCAAATTCTAATTTAATATTAAAAATTAGATCATTGTTATTAAAATAGTTATTTTATGTTATATACGACAAAGACAAAACGTTTTAACTTTACTAAAAGTAAGTTTTGATGGTTTATAATAATAAAATTATATTAATATTTGTTTTACCTTATCTTAGTAAACTATATTCCTATTTTGTATATTTGAAATACAAATTATAATTTAATTTTAGATTGAAACTACACAATTATTTTATGAAAATGTATTTTAAAGAATACTATATTGCTTATGATTAGATAGAAACCATGTTTTAAAATCGAATTTTATTGAACCTTTTTACTTCGTTGCGTGACACTTAAAAATCTATTAGGTATAGGTGAGTGTCTAATGGTGGTTTTTTTTTTATAAGACAATAATAGTAATTTAAACAGGAGTTCACTAATAACAATGTTATTGTCGGTTTATTGTGAATTTTATGTAAATCAAAAGGAAGGAGTTTGTTTATTTTAATAAAAAAAATCTTTGGTCACGGTTGGTAACAACTAAGAAAGGAACGTAGACTAATAATAATTCTGTAAAGTGTTCATCTAAATGATATGACCGTTTATGTATGTGAAACATACAAATATGAACAATCAACTAACTGCACACTTTTAATTTTAGTTAGGTTATTTTAAAGTTGTATATTGTTTCAATTACCTTTAAAAATTTAACCTGCTCAATAAAGTGCCATAATTATTTAAATAGTGTTCACTGTCGATTTCATTCATGCGTTAGGTGCCAAACCAGTAAGTGACCTTGGTCAAGACCTAGTCTTTATATTGTGTTACGCATTATCGAAATCATTTGATTTTTACTTTTCAGTTATTATTTTTAAACCTATTTAAAAAATTACTGATACGTAGTATATTGTATTTATTAATAGGTAAACATATTTTATCTTAATCTATATTTTTAATTATTGTATCGTCTACGTTTACTGGAAGAGGTTTATTTTATATAATTTTATTATTATCTATTTTTTTTTCATGATTTGAAATACCGTGTTTTTATTTCAATATATTTCAATATCTATATAGTGCATATCATATTATACAAGTTCCTATAATAGCTACTGCTGGACGCATTTAGGATTTTTTGAAAGAGGTGTTCGCGTAGATAACATGAATAGGGCATCCCTATACTTAATAAAAAACGCTATAATGTGACAGAAGTGTTACCAAACTGCTGTAGGTTGTAATTTATGATAAAAAATACATTTTATCAATTCATTATCTTTAATATCTTCTATACTATAAGAATCTTGTTGAGCTTGGTAGGCTCAAGGACCTCTCTTTTCCCTTGCAAAAATGTTGTTTATTTTAACAAAAAATGCATGTGCAATCGCACATGGTGTTAACAATTTAAAAATGAGTTTGTTATCGTGGTTTTTATTATTTTCTTGATATTTTAAAAATATATTACCTTTGCGGTTATTTTATCACTATCACTTTCGGTTATTATAATTACGACCGTATAGCTATGCTCTACGTGTACGCTGTAGACCTATGGTGTTATCTATGTGAATAAATTTATAAATAAACAGAAATAATATTCAATAAAAACATTACAATGTTACATTCGAACTTAAAAAGTATAGACATACTTCGCATGTGGGTGCAGCCACTGTTGTAAGTGGAAAGTTGGGAAGGTAGGCTACAGAAGAAAATTTAATTTATATCTGTGAGCAACGACAAACTATTGCTAACGAAAAAACGATTCTGATCCGAGTTCAGTTGATAATGTTGCTTTGTCAACAATATAATATATGGTATTATGTCATATTATGGTAAAATGATTAAAACAATGTGCATTTCCATGATTGTTTAAAAAAGTTTAAAATAAAAAAAAAAATAAACAAAAACGGTTGCCAATGACAATCTTATTTTTAATATTTCTATTTTTTTTAACCTAAAGATCGAGGTTTTCTTCATTATATCGAATATTAATGCGAATTTCAAAAAATGACTTCTCAAAAGTACCACCAAGAGAAAATTTCTATTCAGAAAAGGTGCTATACTTAATAATCAGAATATAGTTTCTGGTAGACCACTAGTATACTGTTACATTTAGAAGTCATTCAGTGATTATAAAAAAAACATTCATTATTTTCTTTAGTTTTAAATACTCATATTGAGTATTTGTCATAGACCATTAAAGGTAAAAAGTTAATGGTATTTGTGTTATCTCTTACCAATACGTTACGGGCGTTACGGCTACTACATGCGTATAACCATTTTGGTAATATAATTAGCGAAGTATATCAAACGAATACTCTTCGATTACACTCAAAACACGCTCATGTTTTATCTATGTATATTTACTTTACGGGTGTTCGCCATTTTATCTAATGAAAAACGCTCATCATAAATGAAAATCTCATAATATAATTTTTGTAATTGTCAAATATTAATAGGTACATGCATAATTAGTTTCGTATTTCTTGTCTATCATCTAAAATGGTTTTTTAATTCAATTGCTGGTAATTACAAATAAAACTTCTTGAATAAAAAATTACAATACAAATTAATAAACTACACATATCTTTTATTGGTCATTGAATAAAATTTCCATAAATCCTGTTGAAGGGAGATTTCCAGACAACCAAAACACCACCTTTGGTTGCGCCTTTGTTATAATAATTTGCATCTCTCATATTTTATATATGTCAATCAAATTTGCTCGAAATACAAATGCTAACGACCGTAGGTAGGAAACAATTTCGAGAGGTAATAATTTGTATTATTCCTTAATTTTTTTTTTTAGACTGGTAAAACATACCAAAATAATCAATAAAGTGTTTGATTTCTGAAGGTACACCCCCCTGATCACGGCACTGAAGTGTTAACTATCTATATATACAAATTAAAAATAGTTTCATTGTATTTAAATCACGAGAATCTTTGAGAAAGAAATAATTAATTTAAACTTATTGCAAAAAAAAAAAAAAAAATACGTTATTTTACAATAATATAATTTTCACGTTGTAATTGTTGGTTTTTTTTTTTTTTAATTTGACGCCGGTATCAATAGTATTAATAATATAAAAAAAAGGCCTATAGTAAGTAAAAACAAAACGAGGATGTGATACCACCCGTATTTAATGGGCTGTGTAAAAGTATTATTCATGAAACTTGAAAAAATAGAAATTTATATCTACGCACTCATAATGTTCAAATTTACTTTTAAATAAATGTATTAGCAGTCTCGTAGCGTTATCACAATTATTTTCTATACCATCATGATATTAACTAAAATGCCTATGGAAAACTGTTTCCCGCAGAAAAATATTTACCTCTTTCTTTATTCATGCCTTGTAGCATTCACAAAATAATATAGCATAAAACATTAAAAAAAATTTTATCTTTGTCCTAGCATTCTTATTTCTTTATATACAAGAATACAATTGAAATTCTGTGTTTGTAAACATTGTTTATACTTATTAATAATTATTGGATAGTATAATTAAAATAAAAAAGCACACTATGACATTAATAAAGTATTTCGTGGTATTTTGGTAACTATTATAAATACTGAAAATTGACTGCGCAAAGCAGATTTTCGAATCGTAGTATTACTCTTAATATGTTAGATCAAAGGAATATTTGCTATATAAAAGTGTTTCATGCATAAAGAAAAATGTATGTATCTAATATTTATAAACACACTTGTATTGAAAAAAAAAATGCGAATTTGTGTGTATTCTGTGCAATGTACAGTATAAAATAGTTCAGTTGACGAAATTGGGAAATTGGAATTTACTTTATAATTTTGGTTGTAAATAGGTACCTACTGACACTTTTGCACATACTAAAACGATGGCGCGTGCTGAGTCGTTTTTAGATAATTACGTTAGAACAGCAGCAACATGGTGTGACATGCGAATTATAAATTGGCACTTGTCGTATTTTTAGAAATTCCGTCGCTACCACTACCGCGTGCCGTCGATTAATCAATTGTTGAGTCACTCGACCACGGGATAGGATATTATAATATAGTACGTGTGATCGTGTGTGTGTGTGTGTGTGTGTATGCACTATAACACAATGCGCAGTGGGGCGACCCTTGGGTAGGGGAGTGGAGTTTTAACCCCTCTCGATATTATAGTTTTTTTTTTTTTTTTATACGAATTATAATTAATAATTTGTTTACAATTACAGACATTTTCTTGTAATTTTAAATACGTATACGTGTAATAGGCTTATTCAGTAATTTATTATCCCCAAAATATTTCCAGGAATTTGTTTAAAAATCATATTTTAAATTAATAATGATTGCACTACTAATAACGTGGTATAGCAACGGCGCGAAATCGGCATAATAGTGAAAATAATTATCGTCGTATTTTCGTAAAAAATTCGGCACGAACGTGCGCTCTTGGCAGTGTAGTACTGTAATTAATTATAAGTATTAAAATAGTGGCCCGGCGTTAGTAGGAAGAAACAGTGGCAGAGGTACGAATTCCTCCGCTGCGGCGCCTTCGCCGCCGGAAAAGTTTTTAACGGGTGGGCGATTTGCGGCGCTAAATTTCCCTGTAAACAACTACACGCGAACGAAGAAGCGTGCTAGAGAATTTCAGCTTAGTCGTTGACGTCGTGTAACGAACCAGTAATATTTGATCGCCGCTTCTCGTCTATTATAATAATATTTACGCAATATAGGTACTTAATTATAATCGTGACAAATATTACTTATATTGTCCGTTGTCGTTTGACTCTCTCAAACTCGTTTATATCTATACACGATACACACCTTGCCCTGATTATAGAATATATGTATTCTATTAATACAAAGTAATTACTTCGATGATATTATGGTTAACGAAAATGTGGTGTTAAGACCTCGGACTCGCTCCGGTTTTCCGATTGACAGATACGGTCCCGTCGCAATGAAAAAGAAAAGATTGCCACCGATTCACACGATCGTCGCACGATCGACAGCACTCGTCCGGAGGATAGCAGGTAAAATCTTATTGCTGACAAGAATAGACAAAAGAAGCACTTCAGTTATGTTTATAAAGACAATTGTTATATTGTTGTCATCACGTGCGTTATGTTTAAGGAACTGCTATAAGCATCTACAGTCCTGTCGTGTACAGTGGCGTAGCCAGGGGTAGGTTTTGGGGTTGTGTTTTTTGCATAATCCATTGCTTTTTTTTTAACTTTCCTACCCCTCCGTTGATAAATTCTGGTTATGCTACTGTTTGTGTAATCTTTGCACGCCTCGGAGTTGTGAAAATAATCCTTATTTTTTCGGTATTTAATAAGTTGCTACTATTTTTATATGCCTTACATTTGCATTTGTATATTATATAAAATAATATAATATGTATAAGTATTATAATTTTCACATACCTATATTTATAATAGTTATATATAAACAGTGCGTATCAATAATTATTGTCAATTTATATCAAACTAATTTAGTTAAACATTCAATTAAAAGTTGTATTCATTTTGATTAGCTTTTTAAAAACTACTTTGAAATTCTATAAATAACTTATTAAGTACCTCTCAAATGTCTTATCTATGGAGGAATCATGCAATTCCAAGGAAGAAAGATATCCACGAACAAGATAATAAAAAAAAAACATTTAACCCAAATATTAGCTTCTTAGTTGCTTTTAGAATTTAAAATTGAATTGATGTTTTTGTGCAGAAATGTATACAAGCCATACAAAATAAATTGAACATTTTTGAAATTGTTGGTTATACATTTCTATTACCTTAAATATTTATGTGTTAGTTATTAGGTACATTTTTTATTTAAATTAATAAACCCTACATTTTCAATTTGGTTAAGATATTTGTACTTAAATATGTTTTAACATATTATTAATACTATTTCTAAATTGCAGAATAAAAAAACACTTTTTTTTAATCTTTAAATAATAATGTTATTTAACAGCAGTTGATATGTATAGATATTTTGCAAAAGAATAATATATAATTGGCAACTCATGCAACCATAGTTTTAACTATTTCTAGATCATTTATAAGTTATGTGACGTGAAGTAGAATGTGTATATCTAATTTTAGAATGTATAGGCCTTGTGCATTAGGGTTTAAGACTGATAATTTACACCAAGTTATTATTTTTGTTTTTTAACATCCATACAACCTACATTTTATAACTTTTTGAAATCTAGACTATAATATTGTCTTGTTTTATGTATGTTTTTTTTTTTAAATATTGAAAAAAAAAAATTAAAAAAATGTTACAATATTTATTTAGACACATAGTTAATAACATGTTCAATGGATTCTTTTAATGTTAAATGATCGTTAGTTATTAATTTATTATAAAATATATTAATTAATTGTTTTTGTTTAATATGGAATACAATTATATTTTTCAGTATTTTAAAATTTCCAATATAATAATATAGAATGGAAAATTATAAAGTACTATAAATCATATATCTGGAATTCTTTTAGACTTGAACAAAGATAACAAGACTGAAACGGTGCAAGGCCATAATGAGCCAATAGAATTAAGTTTTGAGCAGCAACAGCATGAACAGCCTAGTAGCTCAAAACCTGAGCGACCTAATTCACTCACTGGTCCTGGTGGCACGCTCACTAGACGTTTATTCTGTTACCATGCGCCTAATCAGTCGTTATTAGCAGGATCAGGTCAATCACCCACTAGACCTACCAATTCACTATTGCCATCAGGTATGATTAATGCAAAATAGTATAAATAATTATTTAAATTTATTTTCCCTGTTTGCAGGTTGTGAGTCACCCAAATTAAATTGTGATAGAACGTCTCCCATGATTATTTCTGGACAGAACATGTCTCAGATGGCCAGTGGTGTTAGGACAGGTTATTATCATTCCAGCCCAAGGATGATGTATAATCACCCTGGGCATTCATCGTTAATGCTTTCTGAACTACCCGAACCCCCTATACCGGTGTCTGAAGTCGGCCCTATACCTCCACCGCCAATGTTCAGTTCACCAGCTCAACAATCATACTTATATCAACGTAATAAATTTATAAGCAATATAAAATATATATGGTCTTAAATATTTTGTCTAAACAGATAATGATCGTCAAAATAATCGTTCCAATGACAACAATGTTGAAGACATGGATATGGGGACAAATGAAGACGAGTATGATGATGAAGATTATGATGAAGAAGAAGAAGATGATGATGATGATGATGATGAAGTAGATGATGATGATGATGATTCCAATGGATTTAGAATTAGAAGTCGTCACAATTTCCCTAGTCATATAGAACAGATTCCTGCTAAAGAACCTGTTTTTAATGCACAACCTCTTAAATCAGCTCTAAAAAAACCTTCTACACCTAATCAGAGTCATCAGGAATCATCACAATTGCTCAAGTAGGTTGTTGAATAATAAATACAAATAAAAATTGAGTTAAAGAATTAAATAAAAACAATTTGCAATAGTCGAGGTTAAAAGAAAGAAAAGTGAATAGTTTGCCTTTTTGCCAATTATTTGGCAATCATTGGCTCTTCATTTCACTATTTGTTTGTGTTTTTTTTTTTTAATTTGTTTATTGCTGCTTAGCAGAAGGGCTCCACTTAAGCCCAGGATACGTTTTTGGTAAATTGAGTTCAATTTTTTTATATTTCTATAATTCAAATTGGTTTTTACTATTCAATTATAGTGGTGCTAATCGTCCAGTAGTATTTGGAATTTCACTTCCTTGTTCATTGCAAGATAATAAAGAAAATGCTAGACCTAATGAGTCTAGTGATGATGACAGTTCAGGTGATGGACCAATATTATATAGAGACGACAATTTAGACAGTAAGTTTATTTAACTAGGTATCAATATAGCACTATTATAAAACTTATTATTTATGTTTTTAATTTTTGTAATAACTAATAATTATAATATTTAGATCGATTAGCTGAGAAAATTGCAAGAAAAGACAGTCTTGCTATTAAATTGGCACTACGTCCTGATCGACAGGAGCTTATTAATCGTAATATTCTTCAAGTCCAGAGTGAAAAAGAGCGTCAAGAAACAAAAGAAGTTATTGGTGCCCGTCTTATTAGGTATGTATTTTAAATGGATTTTATATAATTTTATTTAAATGGAAAAGCAATAGTTTTGAACATAATATTTAATACATTCTTATAATAATATAAATCTTAATTAATATAATTTATATAATATGTCAATTAAAATGATTTTGTAGACGTTTGAGTATGAGACCAACTCAGGAAGAACTTGAAGAAAGAAACATCTTAAAAAGTAAAAGATTATATTTATAAGTTGTTATTGAATATAATTTTTACATAGTGATTGAATTCAATTTTAGAACAAACAGCTGCAGAAGAAAAAAAATTAAAAGAAGAAAAAAAACGTATGTTGTTAAGAAAGCTAAGTTTTAGGCCAACCGTTGACGAATTAAAGGAAAAAAAAGTATATTCATTTAATTTAATTAATTTAAAACATTTAACTTACACTCATATAGGGATTTAAAAAAATTATATTTATTAAAATTTGTAGATTATTCGATTCAATGATTATATAGAAGTTACTCAAGCACATGACTATGATCGGCGAGCTGATAAACCATGGACTCGGTTAACTACCAAAGACAAAGCAGCTATACGAAAAGAACTTAATGAATTTAAAAGTTCAGAAATGGAAGTGCATCAAGAAAGTAAACATCTCACCAGGTAAATAAATAGTACTGACATAAACTTAATAACAGGTCTAGATGTAAAGGAAATGTAGAACTTAATAGTTTTAAAATACAATTTAAAAAATTGGTTGTATTTTGTTTAAAAAAACTTAAACCTTAACTATTTGATTTTTTTTTTTCTTTAAATAGTTTAAACTGTAATGATAATAACAAATGTGACTTCTATAAGAGATAAATATATGTAATAAATACATTTTAAATTTAAGCCAAATCAAATTTTCAATTTGTTATCTATAAAATATAAATTGATTAATTTTATGCTTACAGATTTCATCGACCATAGACATAATACCTACATCATAAATCTAATTTTCATAGTGTCTAATAAGGAGATAATGGCAAGAAGAAGAATAACATAAAGAATTGGCTGTTAATTAATCTTGTTTAGATAAAAATTAAGTTTTAAAAACACATAATAGTAAATTGAATATTTAAGATCAACAAAAATATTTAAAAACAATAATGTATTGAACAAGTTTTTATCGGATGAGACTTAGAACCAATATATTAATTATGATAAATATTAGACTATCCTTATATTGACGAATGCTTTTGTCCGTCCACATAGTGATTGTGTGCAATATTTATATTTATTATGCAATAAATTTTATATTATATAAATATACTTAAAGTACTATTACTGCTTCTTTTACATTCCTCAAAGTGCTCCCTTATGTTAAATAATTATTTGCCCCTCCTTTTTTTGTTATTGTTCGAAAGTTCAATATAAAAATAATTTATTGTACAATTACCATGTTGAAAATAAGCTCATTGTTTTGTTTGTTTTTTTGTAATTGTAACTGAAAAGATATTTAATTTTATTTAATTAATTGTATTTATGAAATATTTTATTTATTTCCTAAATTAGAATTACTTATTATTATAATTTGTATTATCATCATCATTATTATTATAACATGTAAATAATTGTAGATGTTTCTACACAATAATGACAAAATTCTCTTCCTATACCAATTATTTTTTGTAGTATAAAATTATACTTGAAATACATGTTTTTTTTAACAACAAATTGAAAACAGGTTTTAAACTTTGATTGATATATTTTAAAAAACATATTCTACTAGTGATTTTAATTTTGAAGTATAATTAAAATCTTTTAATTTTACTTTTAAATATATATGGCTAAGCGTACTCAAACCATTTTCTTGGTTAAATTTTGCATGTATTCAAATTTTTGAAATTTTTTAGAATAGTTAAAGCTGATATTTTAATACTTATATTTTTCATAACA